TCGGAGTACGTAGGTATTTTTTACTACTACTAATATATTCGAAGCTAACGAGTTCTCTTTTTTACCTAGACTCGACGTCGCTATATATCTAGATCGCTTAATAGCGTAGTAATAGAGCGCCTACTTAGTTTTATAATATAGATAGAGCGTAGTATAGCGAGTAAATTATAGTAGATAAAAGAAGAATAGTCTATACTACTTTTAGTAGTAGTAAGTCGAGAGGTTTTAGTAAGCTTAGCGCGTAATAAAGAGTCTCTCGGGCGTAAACTACGTAGCGACGATTATAGTATATATTTATAATAGTATAATATATATAAATTAAGCGATATAAGAGATTAAGGAGTCTATACTAGACGTTTATATAGTATTATATATTTATTAAATATTATAGATAGAAGTATAAAAAAGGAGAGCTTATAGAATATATATAGAGAAAAGCTTTAGCGCGTAATAAAAGGTCTCTTAGGCGTAATCTAAAGAAGCGAGTCTATACTTTTAAGCGTTAACTTTAAACGTATTTTATATAATAATAAGTAACTAGATATACTTTATTTATATAAAGAATAGATAACTCGATATAGCCTATAAAATATACTATTTTTTTTAAAAAAAGAATTAAAATACGCTTCTAACCTCTAACTTCGAAGCTACGTATAGAATAGTAAAGAATTCGCTTCTATAAGCTAAATATAACTAGCTTAGAGTAACTGTAAAATATAGTATCTATAATATAAGCTAGAATTCTAGTAGTAGATATAAAGAACGGACTTTTTTATACGATTTAAGCGATAGTATTTATAGAGCGTTAATAGCTCTTTTAAGTATCTTTTTTTTATAGAAATACCTAGCGCTCTATAGATATTTTTTAATCGCTTTCTCCTCTAAATAAATATCGCTACTATATAGCGTATATACTAGAATACTATAGTTAGTAAAATAGTAGATACTTTATACGTTAGCTATTAAATACCTCCTAATTAGCTATATAAAACCTAGAAGACTATATAATATTATATAGCCCTATATAATAAAATAGGCCCTCTACGAGCGTTATAATATATACTTAGAGTATACCTTAGGAATACGTATTATAGGCCCGTACGTAACCCTAAACTTTACGGAGAGAAACTTAGAATACGCCGTAATCCCCGTATTTTATTATTTTAGGTATAGAGGCTAATAGTAGTATCTAGGCAGTACGCGTAGTCGTGTAGATCCTGTCGGCCGCTTTGCCCTCGAGTACATGTACGGAGGTTCCTAAAGCTCGCCTTGCAGCGGTGAAACATTAGGCATGTTCAGCTGAATAGCGAAGCAGAGAGGTGCAGTTGCCCCCATGTTATTATAGTGGCTTTTAAGAGAGATTCCCAAGTCACCATGCTTTGCATTCAGAGGTAGGCTTGCGACGTGCGTGTTCGAAGCGCCAGGTCTTTCCTGGACGTGTGGGATATTGTACCAATGGTGGCTGTGGCTCGGCGTTGTGCAACTTGCAAAGCCAGAAAGATCAAGGTACGAGTGGACCTCATACATGAATGTGTCTGCGTTTTGATGCAGGGATCCTGATCAATACTTGCAGTGTGATCAAGACTGGCCGAAGTGCTGGCAGTGCGAAAGCAGCAATCGAGAATGCCCTGGGCCGCCGCGAAAGGTCAAGTTCATGCCGGTGCGGACACGGCCTCCAAAGAAGAATAAGACAGATGATGCCGTTTCTCTGGCACCGAAGTTGGACGACACGACCCAATTTGCGACATGTCCAGACCAACTCACAGCAGAGTATATTCACACGTCTAGCATCCGATCGACTGGATTGGCCTGCCTTGACAAGCAAGAAACTGCCATTAGAGCGGCGATCAACCCCTGCCTATCGTGGTCGGTTGCCACACAGCTTGCCACCCTGTTGGACGACAACATTGAATGCTTACCTTTCTTCGCTTCATGTTCATACATTGAAGAAGTTCCTCGGATGCTCGACTCCAGTCCCGCATTGACCGCCACGATAGCTTGCTGTCTTGATGCTTGTCAGCAGACCTACTCTGTCCCTCGTCGCAAGAGAGCGTTGGATGCCAGCCTCTATGGCCAAGCTCTTGCTACGATTAACGACGCACTTGAGCACTCTTCAGCGAGCCTCAGCACATTCCTCGCTGTCTCTCTTATCGCTCGCCTCGAATCACTACTCTGTCCACGGCAACTGGCCCGTATACCTTGCTGGTCCATCCACGCGTCTGGGATATCCGATTTGTTGCGTTCCAGGGGAGTTTTCGACCACAACGATCGGGTGGCTCAGCTGGCGGTACTCGAGAACTTTGGACCCATTATCGCCGACTCCATTCTAAAAGATCAAGACTGCTTTCTCTCATTACCCGAGTGGCAGCAACCTCTATGCCTCCATTCGAATATCGACAAACACGATCCTCATTGTCTCACACTTGAAGTCTTCTCACAGCTGGCTTTCTTGCCAAGTTTGATAGCGGCCGTGCGTCGATATCGCAGAAGCGAGGGCAGCGCCATTGAAGCGTGCGAAGCTGCGAAGCTGGCCATGTTTATGCACAGCAGTCTGGAAACCCTTGACCGAGCTATCGGAGGAGCCTATATATCAAGACTGAGTGTCGGTCCACCAACGTGGGTCGACATTGATGCGCCCATTTGGAAAGTCTACCAAGAACCATCGCAACAAGATTCTCGGACGATCACTTGGCATGCGCTTTTAACCATCATCTTGAACAAAGCGCTCATCTTCCTTAAAAGCTCGGTGGACTTCTACATCGAAGGGCTAGGAAACCATCTGGTCGAAGACTTGGAAGCACAGGCTCACCGCTGTAGCGTGAGGATTTGGATGTTAGCTGAAGTGGCCCGCCAGAAAGGCGTAGCCGAGTTCTACTTCTACCCAGAAGCTTTGTGTTCTACGTACGAGTACACTAACAATGACAATGAAAGGGACTGGATTGTTAGCTTGATGAATGAAGTCATAAGTGATACTTGGTTAGTAGAGACCTGGACTCGCCAGGCTGTCAAAAATGTGTCTTTGACGCTGGCGGGAGTCTTCGACTGACCGAAATACGACTCTGCTTTACTCTGCTTTCAATCGATTACCAATGTCACTAACTGCTTAGCCCTGGCTTTGAACCGCCTCGAAAAGGAGGAGCTGAACTTATCGAACACTAGTCGTGAAGAGTCACAGCTGAATCGGAGAAACGGGGCTCTCTTCGTGGAAATCGTTTTGTACTATTAATACAACTTCTTCGAATACAATCACTGGACACCCAGACCAGATTTCTCGAGTATGCTCACTGCTGCGTACCCGACTTTGTCCTCGCGTCTGCCATCGCTAAGTTGAACGTCCAAGTTGCATATGCCGCGCTCAGACCTATTACAGACACTCTTCGCGGTGCACATGGCCTCCCAGGCTGGCGATGGCTGTTCATTGTCGAAGGTGTTGACACGGTTCGCATTTCCTTGATCTCGCCATTGTGGCTTGTTGACTACCCTGTATCCTCCAAGTGGCTTGCTGTCTGACGGCTTCTAGACCGCTGCGTGCAGGTTGCCGTTGACGGCGAAAGAGCGCTTCCTCCCCTGAAGGCTCTCGCGGCGGCGCTACGAAACTGGAGACTATGGATGCTTATCTCGAGCTATCATACCATCATTAGCATCTTGTCGTTATCCTATTTCTACCCTTATACCTCAAGGGCCTAGGCTATATCTCCATCAAAGCACAGCAAGCTCTGGAGCAATCTTCTGCATCCTGGTCCTAACGATACTCGCCGTCGTGCCTTGTTACGTGTTTCTGTGCCTTTTGACAGCCTGCACATGGACCACCAATCCAATCTCCGAGTCTTTTGCCTCTACGAGCATGGCTCCATTACAACCGGAGGTTCGGGCCATCTGTCTCGCTTTCATCAACGCCATAGCCAATATCGGGCATATCTACTTGATGCCTTCCACCGACGCGCCACAGTACATGAAAGGCTTTACAACATTTGCTTGCCTTCTCTTCTTTGGGGGTTGTCTGTACTCCACGGCGACGATTATATTCCGGCGACGCCCATTTACCCTGGTAGTGACAAGCTATTGATCTTGCTGCATCGTTGAGCACCTTGCCAACAGAAAGATGGGCGAAAATATTGTCTGCAAACCGAAAACATACCGAGCTTCGTGGCGATGGCATTATATCCTGGATCTCTGCATACGGATGGGATATATAATCGATAATTGAAGAGCCCGAGGGCATTCTCCAATTCCTTTTCGAATTCGGGTGCCTCTCCAGTCCCTATTGTGCCAGACTCCGGATCAAAACGCAATGTGGACATTAACATAACCACTGGGTCGCAGACTTCTTGTTGCTGGATCTAATGCTACACTAACGCAGAATCTCGCTGGTCACACAGACAGATGTCTGGTGACTCGCAACATCGCTACGCCGAATGCGAACATACCGCAAGTCTTGGACGACGCAATCTGTACCAGCCGAGTACAGCTCCTCTGCAGTGTGGGTGGTCACGACACCAACAACGCGGCATCCAGCAGCCTTGCCAGACATTGCCTCTGACGGTGCATCCTCGAAATCGAGAGCCGGACTCGACTCGTTGGTAGCATTTGGGATAAGGCTTGCCATGCTCAACGTCTTCCAATGCCACCACGACTCCAGGCAGACTTAGGCCGAACTTGTGGAACCAAGCTTCAATCGGTCCTGTGATTAGCGAACTGACAACTGAGTATGTCAATTTATCTCAAGCCCGCAAAGCAAGTCCCTTGCTCCTAGTACTCCAGTAACTCCAGCCCAAAACCGGGTCGGGACCAGTGCCTCTACCCTGCGAACGTGTAGAGAAATGGAACATTTAGTGTCAGCGGAATGCCAAGAGGCTCTGACGGGACATCTTTCTTACAGTACCACGTCGCCAGATCGGGGCGGTAGAGTCGGAAGACATCGATTGCTCTTCCGCCATGAGATGTTCTTAATGTCTTCTTCGGATCCACACCAAGCTCAGTGGCAAGCCTATGCCCACAGTCAGTCATGTCCCAAAAGTCGTGTTGAATCGTACTTATATATGCCAGTATTGCGTGATTGATGATGTAGAGTCCACAATGAATGGTGCCGTCCATGTCCAGAAGGATTGCATCGCATCTCGCAGACCAGTCGTCCGATGGACTCTGCTGGCGGTCAACCAGCCCGCTCGATATTATCTCGTGCCCGTACGCAGCAACTTGTCTTGTTTCAGAACGTCTGCAATCGAGAAATTTGTCTGTCAAGGCGAAAATTTGGATGGTCCCCAGGCAGCGTCCTCAAGCTCCGAATCAGGGGCTGCTCGGCTCCAAGAACAGCCAAAATGCCCGTGCCCAATTCTTATCTCAACCGCCACGCAAGGCTGTCGAGCAACGTCAACGATGCGGCATCGCGTCTGCTTACATGTAAGATCTCGATAATCTACCACAACTTCTAGTTGTTTCGTGGTCGATTGCCGCACTTCCATGTCCAGAACATCGGAGAGGAGCCGGCCGCCATGATGAGCACTTCACAGGGCAACAGCGAAGCGACAGGATCTTCAAACTGGCTAATTCAAGCAATGGATTCGAATTTTTTCTTGCATGGTTTCACTGGTCCACACAATCATTTAGCGGAGTTTAAGAAGCCCGCCTCTGTGCCCAGTGCATTCACGCCGCTCTCCCGGTCCACTTGTAGCTCATAGGCGTGCGCTATTCATGCCCTTCTCTTCGCATCACATTCTAGCCTCGAAAGAGCACTCAGACCGAACTCGAACGCACCATCAGCGACACTGTAGGCTGGATTTCCCGCTGCAGTGACGTCCGACTTTGCTGCGAAGTTTGCAATCTAGTCGGCTTCAGGCGTATGTAACCGTCGGTCAACTAGCAAGTCTTGGCTAGATCTGATCGGAATGTACAGACTTCAAGAATGATCTGAAAGAAAGGCTTGCTCTTCGCACTCTTCGCAAGACTGCGTCTTGGCATCAGCGAGCCATCAGCCTTGCATTCAGCCCTAGGATGCATTCTGACATGTGATTGGACAGGTAGAACTCTCAGCAACAGTGAACTGGCAGAGCTCGCCTGGAGGATCCGAGCAACGCCCTTTCGAAGTAATGTCTCCGACGATCCCAACAGTTTGCGTTTGACGCGAATCCAGTAAGAAATGCGCAGCAGGGCATGGTACTTTCACCGAGGAGGTTATAAAGTTACATTGACACCAAGGCCGCCATGGTAATCAATTGCTTACCTACTTCAACCTCTTTCTACCATGCCCCTTTCCTTGCCGACGACTGGACTTTTGGTCGCCACCTTAGCTGTGGTGTTACTCTTGCTCTATAGGGCGGCATTGCCGAAGCCCATTGCAGGGATACCATACGATCGAAAATCAGCAAACCGTCTTCTTGGAGATGTTCCAGATGCCTTGAAGCACCATGCACAAACCTCGGAGATGGTAACCTTCCTGGAGAAGAAATGTCTGGAGCTTGGGTCCCCAATAGCCCAGGTCTTCATGCGACCATTTTCAAGGCCTTGGGTGGTGCTCATCGATGGGAGAGAGTAAGCAGCTCATGTCAAGAATGTTGAGTTGTTGACCGAACACATCCCAGGTCTCAAGACATCATGGCCCGTCGTGGTCGAGAGTTCGATCGTTCTGAATTCTTTGGAGACCTTCTCGTCTCACTGTTCCCCATGAACCAAGTGTCCATGCGAACGAACGACCAGTGGCGGCACAATCGACGTCTGATGGCGGACGCAATGTCGCCGCGCTTCTTGAACAACATAGCGGCCAAGGAAATCCACCAGAACACCCTTGACCTCATCGATCTATGGCGGCAGAAAATCAGGGTGGCTAATGGACATGTGATCGATGTCGGACAGGATATCAAGTACTGCACGGTGGACACTATCTGGGCTACAGCTTTTGGCACTGCCGTGGATGCCTGCAAGTCTCAGTGCGAGTACCTTTCGACATTGCCAGCGATGAGCCCAGCACTTAAATCACCGGATACCGTCACTAACATACCCGTACACGGCTTGTCCAAAGTTTACAGCGCTCTAGAGACAATTTCGATAAGTTCGGAAATCCCAATGAATTCTGCTTTTGGACGTTGGCACCATTGTAAGCGTGAATCAAAATCAGTCTCATCAGCACATCCTCTGACAGCATCGATGTAGGGTTGGCAATCAAATTATATCCATCCATTCGCCATGCAGTTGCTCTACGTGACCAGCTCATTGAAGCAAGACTGCGACAGGCTTGGAAGACTTTTGGAGAGGCTGTGGTAGATCCGAGCAAGCGTGAAGCAGAGATCAGATGCGTGGTTGATCTTGTGGTCGAGCGAGAATCCGCTATGGCTCACAAGCAGGGCAAAGAGCCGGACAAATACTCGCAAGTCTTGAAAGATGAGCTTGGAGGGTTCCTCAACGCTGGCTTCGAAACCACTTCATCGTCTGTGAATTGGGGCCTCAAGTACCTTACGAAACATCAGGATGTTCAACAGAAGCTCCGCCAGAGCTTGAGACAAGCCTTCAGTAGATCTTCCACCGAAGGACAGCAGCCTGCTGCTAAGGAAATTGCGGAATCGAACGTCCCCTATCTCGACGCATTCATGGAGGAAGTCTTACGCCACAGCTCAATCATATCGACAAATATAAGAGTTGCTACGACTGATGCCCCGGTCCTTGGCCGAATAGTTCCAAAGGGTACGAGAATTCACAATTTGAGCGCTTCATAAAGCTGACGATTCTCAACGCAGGAACAGATATTTTCATGCTTGCAAGTGCCCCTAGCATTCGTGCCCTGATCGGTTAGTTGCTGACGATCAACTCAGACAACAGGACCTGGGTTCAAATACTCGGCCTTCAACGTTGACGAAAGTCTTCGAAGTAGTTCTAGCCAAAGCTTCGATGGCGACTCTGCCCGATGGGACCAACATGCCGACATGCGAGACTTCAATCCCGAACGATGGCTCCTCAGAAACAAGCAAACCAACAAGGTTGAGTTTGATCCTCGCGCTGCCCCGATGCAGGCTTTCGGCGCTGGGGTTCGCTCTTGCTATGGTAATGTCATGAACACCGTCGAGTGGTAGATCAGTTCTGACTCATCGACATAGGCAAGAAGCTGGCCTACATGGAGATGCGGACTATATATACCTTGATTCTCTGGAACTTCGAGCTCCGGCCCGTTCCCCCATCTCTAATGGACTTCAACGGACAAGATGTACTCACTCATCAATCACGGAACGTGAGAGTCATCCTGAAGCAGCTGGATGAGAAGTAGAGGACACAGTCGAACATGAAGCTCTTCATCTACAATTTGTGCTTCTTCTCTCCTCTCTGCAATTTCTTGAATTGCTCTTGGGGATATCCGCGCTCAAAGGCCTCAACACCCCCAACCAACTCACGAACAACTTGCGCATCATACGCAATCTCGTCCACTCTCGACATGACCTTTTTAGTCCTCAGCATGCTCCAGGAGCTGAGATGGTTGCCCAACCTCTCTTCGCAGATCTGCTTTAGTACGATATTCTTGAACTTCTCATCATCCTTTCCGGAAGCATCAATCTCGAATGTTCCGTTGGCGAAACCACTTGCGAGGAGCTGCTCAATCGTGATCTTCCTGGCCATCAGTAAAGCCTCCTTGGCCAAGCCAGCTCCCATTCGATTGACCATGGATCGTGTCGCAGCGCCTTCGACAACGATGCCGATGGAGTTGAAAGGCGCCATGAGATACGTGTGAGGTGCTGCATAGATAAAGTCCGAATGTGAGACCAGCGCTGATGTGAGACCAACGACCGGGCCGTTCAATGCAGTTACCAAGATGTTGCTGTGAGTGTAGAAGGTTTGAGCAATATCGAGCAGACCTGCGAAGTGCTGGACATAATGACGCCGCCGATCTTCGTTTGCAGAGGGCTCTCGATCTTCGTGAATATCGGCTCCACTGTTGTGCTGTCAGCTAGACTTCGCCCGAGCAAATACAGCAATAGCTCACGACGAGAAGAAACGACCTTTCCCCGACAAAAGCGTGATGTACACGTCTTTGTTTTCTGCAGCTTCGCGCATATGGTGGCCCAGCTGTGCCATCATGTCACGGGTCAATGCACCCAGCTGTTTGGGATTGTTGATGGTGATTATGGCTACGTGCCCGCTGTACTCGAGATCGACCGACATGCTGGCAGCTGGAGAAGAGGAGAAGAGGAGAAGAGGAATGGATGCAAGCTTCAGAGGGAGCCTTCCTACTTATATATCCTTTATCCGCCGATCTCGCTCGCTCGCCTGCTTGAACATCATGGTGGTGATTGGTCAAGCTGAAATGTCTCAAAGTTCTGCCAATTTTCTACAAATTAACTCTACAGCTTCGCCGTAGGCGAATTGGGAAAGCACTTCTCCCGCAAGGCCTTCTTCTGGACTTTACCCATCGCGTTTCGAGGCATCGTTTTCAACACATGTAGCTTCTGTGGTAGTTTGTACGGTGCGAGCTCACTCCGCAACCTTTCTCTCACGTTCGCAATGGTTAGCTCCTCAGCCTTGCCTTCGACAGGTACGCAGACAGCGGCCGCCATTTCTCCCCAGGTCGGATCTGGAACGCCCATCACCGCAACTTCCTGGACGAACGGTAACTGCAGCATTGCTGCTTCAATGTCGAGTGCTGAGATCTTGTATCCGCCAGACTTGATGATGTCGACGCTGGCACGGCCTTGGATGAACGCTGCGTTGTTGTGCTCAGCTTTGACCACGGCCATATCACCTGTCTTCCACCATCCATCAGACGTGATCTCTTTGCTTGCAGCACCAGGTCTTCGCCAATATCTAAGACGAATGTTAGGGAGACGAGACAGTTGAATTCAAGCAAGGTTACGAACTCTTTCAGCAGGCCTGGAGTCTTGACTTGGATTTCGCCCACAGTCCCTGGCGTATTGCTCACATCACGACCATCATCAGCAATGAGACGAGTCTGCAAGCCAGGTACAGGCCATCCAACACTTCCCTAGATCTCGTTAGGTATTGAAGGGCCCGATATCTGCAGTTTTGCATACCAGAACTCGCCCGTTCGATTCTAGATTTCCTGAGTAAATGATGCCGGCTTCGGTTGTGCCATATCGCTCTAGTAGTAGATATCCATTTGCAATGTCTGCCCAGGCTTGTCTGATGGGACCTGGCAAGGCCGCGGAGCCACTGATGGCCAGTCTGAGAGACGCAGCGGCGTTCTTGGCTTTCCTCGCCAACTTTATATCATTTTTAATATTTTGGTCGAAATGACCTATCATCTTGACCCAGATTGTTGGCACTGCCATGAGGATTGTGATCGGCGGTTGTGCAGGATCCAAGAGCCGCTGCCAGGCTCTGCTTTCGTCGAACTTGGACATGAACTCTACTGTCGCTCCTGCCCAGAGTGGCAAGAACAAGGAGAGGTTGAAACCATGGCCATGGTGAAGCGGAAGCACATGTAGCGCTCGATCTTGGGGATCAATCTGCCATACCTGTGCCAGACCGCGTAACGAATGTTCGGAGCTTCCAGCCGTATGCACGACACCCTATGGATGGGTTAAGTCAATCGTCTGTAGAAGTTCATGGCCAATGCCTACTTTGGGAGAGCCGGTTGTGCCAGATGTGTAGATTATTGTGCTTGAGGTGTCAGCAGGCCAGTGCAATGCAGCATAATCTATCGCCTGCGACTCTCTCATCGTTAGTCAATGCGTGCTCCGTCATTACTAGTTGAACTGACCTCGTTTGGTACTGCGTCTTTTGAGGTGCTGTTCACATCCAGGCCAACTCTGTCTTTCAATATAGTAGCCAGCCTTGGTCGAAACATGGAGTGATAGAGTATGATAGCCTGATCCGAGTCTGTCACTGTATATGCAATCTCTTGCAATGGATGACTGAGACAAATGGGGACTATTTTCAATAATCAGTTCTAGCTCCGTTCCAAGTGCACTTCAGTTTCTCAGACGTATCTGACCTACTATTGCCCTCAAGCTCCAAATGCTAAGCACTGCGGCGACGAAATCAACACCGGGTGGTACCATGACTCCTACCCTCGCTCCCTCGAGATGGAGCTGTGCATTTTGTGCAGCTCCGATAACATGTTCACGGAAAGCTGTGACTCGTTCAAGCAGTTGGGCGTAGGTGTACTGTCTTGGTGGCGAGGAGGTCGTGTCCGCGGGGTCGATGATGGCGAGACGATTGTATGCAGCATGTGTTGCTAAACGACGGAAGTACTCGGCCATATTGTCATCGTCCAGCACATACCCAATTGAGGATTGAGAGGGTTTCGTCGGCCGGAGAGTAAAGAGACTGGCGGGAAGTCAGGAGCGAAAGAGGAGCAATAGCAGAAGAGGGGTAGTCCACTGGCCACGAGGAGCTCGACCGAAGCATGACGCGGCAAGGAGCAAGCATCTTTGATGCTTATATGGCTTGTGAGGAGACGTCTCTGTGGATATAGCCGTACGGATGTAGGTTGCGGATATGGCAATGCGGATATAGAAAGCGGATGTAGCCTGATTGAACGTGCAGAAGGCCTTCCCCCAGAATGAATCAACCTGTTGAACTCTCTGCATCTTTCTCATCAGACATCCCCAGATCTTCCCCAGACTCTGTCGATCTGTTCCATCATTCTAGTGCAGAGTTGGCAATACACTCTTCATCATGCCTGAGGACCAAGCCAAAAGTCACGACGAGGCCAATGATCATATCGAGAACACCCATGATATCTCCAAGACCGCTGATGCCGCCGTTCTGAGTTCGGTTGTATCAACTAACGTCCAAGTCGACATACTTTTGTTCTCAAAGGCAGAAGAGAGAAGTTGTCTTCGCAGGCTCGATCTTTGGCTTCTGCCCTTCATCCTGTTCACGTACGCCCTGCAATACACCGACAAGGTTATCCTCAACGGAGCATCGCAGTTCGGAATTGTTCAAGACCTGCACCTGTATGAGATCAAAGGCTATGATCCAAAGACACACCAACCCGTTCAAGACTTACATCGCTTCTCGCTGGCAACATTGATCTTTTATTGGGGCTATCTGGCTGGAGGTAGGCCAACGAAGCCATTCATGTGAGGTCGTACAGCTGCTGATTTACACGATCAGTTCTTCCAGCGGCCTTCCTCGCCCAAAAGCTTCTCTTGGGCAAGTTTCTCTCCGCCACGGTAGTCCTCTGGGGTGCCGTAACGATGCTTACGGTCATGGTATCTTCGTACCCAGGCTTTATGGTGCAGCGATTCTTCCTTGGCGTCTGCGAGTCCGGCGCTGGACCAGGCCTCTCTTTGATGATCGCCATGTTCTGGAAGCGGGATGAACAGCCCCTACGATATGCCGTCTGGTATGTTTCTAATGGGATCGGAGGCTTTGTGGGACCCATGCTCGTCTACGGTATTGGTCATATCCATGGCGGTCTCCGTCCTTGGAAGTACCAGTACTTGATTCTAGGTGCCGTCACCGTCGCTTGGGGAGTGCTGATGGTCTTTATACTCCCTGACAATCCACGCTCAGCACGTTTCCTGAAACAGAGAGAAAGAGACGTGGCAGTCGCACGCATACAGTCCGAGCAGCTGAGCGAGGAAAACAAGACGGTCAAGCTACACCAGATCGTCGAAGCACTGAAAGACCCTAAGACCTGGTTGACAGTCATGTCCACCTTTTGCATACATTTCGTTAATGGAGCCGTGTCTGGATTCGGAGCCATCATCGTTCGCAGCTTTGGCTACGGGCAGTTCAAGTCCGTCTTACTGACTGGTTGTGCTGGGCTCTACCTGCTGGTGATGCTCATCATTGCCGGTATCGCGGGATCATACATCCGTCACTCCCGTACATACATCTGGTGTCTCGTTGAAGCACCGGTCATCGTCGGCGCTGCGCTCATATGGAATGTCTCCTGGACTTCAGAACGATCAGCAGCACTGGCTGGGTTCTTCTTGCTCTCTACCTTTGCCCCGGCGTACACCATGCTGCTATCACTGGTGGGCTCAAACACGGGAGGGTACACGAAGAAGGTCTTCATGATGGGCCTCGTGTGGTCCGTATACTGCATTAGCAACGGAGTTGCTCCTCTCTTCGTCCAAACGACTGAAGCTGCGGAGCAATATCCAAGCATGTTTAAAGCAGTCATCGTTACGGCATCAATCTCTGTTTGCTGCCCGTTGCTTATGAGGGTGTACCTCGTCCGCGAAAACAAGAAACGGGATCAAAACTCTGGCCTTGCCTTTACGCACAGCAATACTGCTGGAGACTTGACCGACAAGGAGAACCTGCATTTCCGCTATGCGCTATAAATTTGATGTGGAAGCACAAATCGAAAGAGCTCATCCTACATTCAAAACCTACAAGCCATGGTAGAAGATCAAGCCAATAATTGTTCCTTGAGACTGATCTCCAGATCCTTGAAGTCTGTCCTGCCATATCTCTTCAAAAGCTCCAATGCCCTCCCATTTGCAACTTTGCTGAGATCTCTGTTGTCGTTTAAAGCGGGTGGATATTGCGTCCTCGAAGGGTCAATCTGCTTCAGCGTTTCCATCAGGTCATGATAGTTGAAAGGGCGAGCGAACGCGAACAACCGCTCATCCTTGACATCAGGCTCCAGCAAGGCAGCAACGTGGATGAGGGCACAGTCTTCGACGTCGATGTAGTACTGCGGTGGAAACCCTTGAAGTATCTGAGAGGCTCCCTCATCGCCGTCGTAAAGTCCTTTAACCCACCCGGCTGTAGAGGCGCTTTGCGATGGATCGAGAATACGTCCAACATTCATGTTCGGAAGGACTGTGTTGAAGTCGAATTTGACGGCCTTGGTGAAGTCCCAAGCAAGTCTTTCGCTCGCCACTTTGCTTGCTCCGTAGACTGAGAATGCACGAGATGGCTCGTAAGGCGGAGGTGCCCAGGCCAGCTTGAGATCTTCTTCATTCCATGAGTTCGAGTCGACTTGGAACTGCTTGTTGGGCGTCGGCTTGACGGCGGCGATGGATGACGAGGTATAGACAAAGCGCTGGACACTCGGCACACTCGATGCCGCGGTGAGAGCATTTCGTAGACCTTCCACTGTCGCGGTCACCGTCACATTGGGGTCCGGGTTGAAAGATAGATCGGAAGCGAGATGGACGACTCCGTCAGCGCCTCGACTTGCAGTCAGTTGACGTATTCTATGACAAACGAACAAGACATTACCTTTTACGGCCTCTTTGAAAGCACCGGCAGTCTGCATATCGGGTACAACCAGCCCTTCCACTTCAGCCGCCGCATTTCTCTGCCTAAGCCTTTTCAAAATGGCGGCGAGTTTAGTTGAGTCTCTTGCTGTCCCTCGAACTCGATAGCCAAGGCTCAATAGCTGATCGGCGACATGAGATCCAATATATCCGTTGATGCCTGTGACAAGAACCAGGCTGCCTTTGGGAAGTGCTTTCTCAGCCATTGTGGTTAATTCGAAACCGCGAGCGCTCGACTCTCTTAGCCTTGGATCCTCCTTTTGAAAGATGGTAATTTGAACACCCGGTCTTCTCAATGGCGTCTTGGAACCCTTTTAATGTGAGCTGCCCTCAATGTGTGGCAACGTCTTGATTGGAGGGTCGAGCTCCGCGGCTGTACTTCGTCCGTACCTTCACGCTTACAAATGGCCTCGTTGAAGGAGTTGGCAGATCTTTGTGTATTGTCCCGCCCCCGAAGGTGAAGGGTGCTATTATAAACCTCCTACCGTAGTACAATTTGAGTGACTACTCGGCCAAGCTCCAGGTCTACGCCCGAAAATCTAAACCTGTTGTAAGCTTACTCTACTCAAACAGGGCGCGCGGCTGAAAGAATGACGCTGAGTAGCGAAGGCGACTTCAACTACAGGAAGTTTTCTGAATGGACTTGAGCTCTTCACCTGCCTACTGAGGCTTGAGAGGTTATGTGCTTGATAGAATCAATTGCTGAAGTCTAAGTAATACAAAAACCATTGGATCTGCTATAGAGAATACACAAGAGTACGATCTCCGGTGGTTACGAGACCACATCCAGTCCTCGCCACTTGCCCCTTGATCTCCGTTTGTCTTTTCATCTAAAGAAAACTCTCTATGCGCGCGGGTCAACCAAACTAGTACTCTGCGGTGTAGTGTGGGAAGACGGGCACATAGGCATATCCCAAGAATGCCTGGCCCAGGAATGCTGAGAAGTCAGCAGGCGGTGGGTAGGTGTACGACATTTGATGCTGGTCGTGGTCGTACAGTACTCCAGGCGGCTCATCCTCCTCCTCTTCCTTGATGTTGACCTCGTCACTCTCCTGGTCGGTCTCCATGTCTTCGTAATCTTCGGAGATCTCAGCTCCTCCAACCGCTTGTTCCAATCCCTCAGCGGCTGGAACTCGATTTGCCACATTGTCTTCGTCTTCTCCATGACCATCTATCAAGGGGCCTTTCGCCACGTCCTCGTCCACCTGTTTCAAGCGCATCTCTTCGGCGTGACCCGCATTGGTGGCCTCCCAGCTGCTGATGATGTGATGTTGGCGAAAAGCTGCGAAGAGGCGCTCCGGCAGCCTCCCCACAGTTCCGCTAGCACCCAGAGTGTACAGCAATTGCAACAGCTTAGCCTCGTTGCCACACTCGCGAACCTGATGCGCCACGCGCACGTCGTCAGCTGGCGGGCCCGGCAGCTTCTTCATGAGACTCATGAGGAATTTGATGAACTTGAGTGCGTTGTCGAAGGTATCGGGCAGCTTGTTGGTGGTAATGTGGGAGACATCGAGCTGTCGGTGAGGATGAGGGTTGTTGCAGCCAAGGTGGATTCGGAATTCCTGCAGCTTGTCCGCACGATCGACCGCTGTGATGAAGGCTCGGAAGTTGGTGAACTTGAAGTCCTCGACATTGACGAAGACGTTTTAGGCGTCGTTGACAATGTGGTCGCCCAGAACCTCGAGGTACGCTGGTCGGGTGGCTTTGCAGAGAGCAAAGGCAGCGAACTGGGAGCTGCAGAAGGAGAAATTGTGCTTCCCCTTGAACTCCTCGGTGAGGCATGCTCGGGTCGCAACGACGCAGTATTCGTGCGGGACGGAATAGCCCAAGATTTCGAGTTGCAGCTCGGTGGGCAGGCCGCCGATGTCGAATGAGGCCGGCTGCGTTGTGTTGTTCGCCATGGCGCAGGACTCGAGTAGCGGTTCTGTTGAATCTGGCACGGTGATGACTTGGGAATGGGTGTCGTCGCGGCGTTTGCAGAAGCACAACAGCGAATTCGAATTTCAGCGCGGAAGCCAGAGTCGCACTAGCGGGAAACTTTGGCTTCACCATTCACATGCCCAATTTTCACATGCAAATCACGTGTCCATGTCGAAAGCACACCACGACACCCAAACTGATCCCTGGACCAGAGCCGTATATTTTATCTCACGTCTACATTGGAGTTGTTGGAGGCCTGCGGCTGGATGGGCGACCCTCCGTGCAGTATGCCCTCGTCACAGCATCGATGAGCAGGTACAGCCACACGCAAACGAGTGGGAAGTAGGGAAGTCTTGTAGCCATCTCGGGCAATCTCATTACCTTAACATAGCCCAGCCAAAGAGCTGTCGTCTTGCGACGTCAAATCGTGCCACTTTGAATCTTCCCACCAGCTCAACGTGCCAAATGCGGCAGTTTACGCTGCATCTTGAACAGAGTCTTAAATCGTCTATGGTTGTTTGAGACTTGCCGTACTGTAAGAAGGGGATAAGGGATTACCACACCGATCCGGCTGACCCAACCTTCGCACGCCTAGGTGGTATGTCAGTAAGCTGCTAGATATTGAGAAGCAGATATCATTACCATGCAGACATAACACTGGGGCGGTAGGTTGCCTACGATAGGATTATGGTCTATTTCCTGGCCGCACTGCAGGACATCGTCAGCGTCGTCGAATTCTCGCCGTTCGTCCTTACTTACGCGACAAGCACGCCAGAACCCAGACTGAACTCGATCCTGCTTCGTAGCTGGAGTTGCCGGAACCAACAGTTGTCCATCGCGCTGAATGTTGCGCAGCCAGCGATCGTTGCTATCTCTTTTCTTCACGAGATCGTTCCAGACTTTTTCCTGATGTGTCAAACACAGACGTTCCTGTGGAGGGAAAGTCAACCCCAGTGTGGCCTTGCAGGTACAGGACACTGTAGGAACTTGTTCCCACAAGTTTTGAGCAGGCCCCATTGCGATTGTTCCGGGAAGGTTTCCCATATTGAGATGCATGATCTCGGACTGTATAGCTTGTTCACAATGTTGGCACACTCTGGTGAGGAATCCGTCGAATGGTGGGTTCGCGCGTGGCGGTGCTAGTACCGTACTGCTAGCCAACTCGACGGGCGTTTGCCAGGGCGCAACATATGGTGGTCCCAGCGCCTCGGGTGGGCCGACTCCTGGCTGTGCCCGGGGTATGGCGGGCGGAAACATGCCAGAACCTTGGCCCAATCTTCGACGATTGGCAGCCCCAGGGGCAGCTAATGCGACAGGTGCCAGTGGTACCGCAGGCAGCAATGGTGCAAGTGGTGCCGGTACTGCAGTGGGGGTAGGCTCGAGTAACAGCATGTGCTTCGAATGATCTCGGCACCTCTCGCACACTTCAAATCCGTATTGAATGCGGCCCGGGTGATGTCTGTTGCAAGGGCCTCTGTTGGCTGGCACAGGGGTGCATGGCAGTAGACCTACAATCCCAGCAGGGACAGGCAGGTGGTTCTGTCTATCGTCGCAATCCATTTTCGTAGATCTGATGTCAGGAGGGTCGGGATGTGAGAAGAGACACGTTTCCAGCAAAAAATACTACAGCACATTCATGGCCGCATCCGGCGAGGACTTGAGGCATGCAGGGCACCATGCTTTCTTTGTACAGGCCATTGTCCAGCCATCGTTCAAGACACAAAGGACCGTCCTCTGGCAGGCCTGGCCAAGGGGCCCACCGAGAATCGCAGTTAGTCAGACATTGGGGGTCGGTCGTGGGACATCAGATCTTCTGCTGCGAGAGACGTTGCTTTCCGAAAGTGCAGTATGTTCTCGCCCCGATCTTGACTTTGGGTCGGCACCTCGACAATTCGAGGTATCACTGGACGATTCAGGGTATCAGTCGATCGGACCTTGGTGAAACGTATTCTCTTCTTTATATCGAACGGTGTTCAAGTCCGTGACTCCAATACCCGCGAACCTCCCCTCAACCGTACCAACACCTTGATCTTTTGTCTTCGCTATCACCATCTCATCGGCCCAAGAGCCCGCCCAGCGTCCCGCCCCCTCCTTGCCCATGCCTGGCGGCTTCATTCTCAATCCACTTGGTCAAGAACGCCCTGCTCTTCATCTCCTCCAGATTCGTCACTTTGGTCTCCACCTGGGCCTCCGACCGATCGAAGGCGAGCAAGGTCGGGATGGAGTTGACCATGTAACGCTGAGCGATCCCAGAGAGGCCCCCGAGGTCAGGGCTGTCGCTCTCCACCTCGACGAACGAGACGCCGCCCCGGTCCTCGCCCACGCGGTCGCGCTCGATGAGTTCGCGGATGATGGGCGAGACCTGGTCGCATCCCGGGGACCAGGTCGTCATCCAAAAGGTGATCAAGGGCACGCGGCTGCTGGCAGACATGAGGATCAACGTCTGCAGCTCATCCTCGTTCCTGATCCGCGCTGGGTAGATGCGGTTCTTGGCGAGGGCGGCGGCGGAGGAGGAGAAGGGTCGAGAGGAGGAGATTTTCACGCGTGGAAGGCGGTTAGTCGCCCGGATCAGTGCATTTTTCATGGCTGATTTCAGTGATCCTTCATCAAGTCTTGCCTGATTTCAATGCATATATAGATATATATTGTTGTTGATGGTCGAAGGTGCGGTAGCTGTGCCCCTGGCTGTTTGGATGACGTTGAGAGCTTCGGGTACTGCCGCGAGCGCGTCGACCTCACCTCTTCTTCCTGAATACGATACCTCCCTTCAACACACGACATGAGGCATTCGAACGCAAGTATCATGTTCATAGTCTCCGTTTAGTTGTACAGACATCATTCTTCATCCCACAACTCTCGACGACAGCCTTCAGCAGCCCCAGAGGCTTCATAGGCCTGGCATCTCTCCTGTCTCCCATCCCATTGTCACCATGCAATACAAAGACCATCTCTCTTCTTCTCTTTCCGGCTTCTCACTGCCCCGATGTCTGGACGCTGCTCGTCATTTTCCAAGTTTGCGACGTTTCTTTGTCTCATTCAAGGTGCAGTATGCAAGACAATCAATTTCCCTTCCCGGAATCTCTTCCCTTCCCTTCTCTTTTCTGAGTTGGGTGCTCAACAACTTCTGCGTCAACACCTCTCTCGCAAACGCCCAAGCACCATGGCAACGCACCCTGGACCAGACTGTGATGATCGCATCCATCATGCGAATCGACATGCCATGCCGAATTGCTCATCTCCGGCTTCGCAACCTCCGAGTGAACGCTGGAGAAGATTGAACTGCCCCGTCGGAGCATCCCTCTACCATCCTTTCACTCATATTGTCTGCGGTGTCTGCGAAGAGGATACTGCGAACGATCCCAGAGTAGCAGCTGTACGTCAAGCTTTGACAGAGGTCACACCAGCCCGTCAGCCTCCGGCCTGGAATGCACCAGGAGGGCCAGGGCCACCTGAAGAATGGACAGGCTTTCTGTAAATTAAAAGTCAATCTCACGATGATGAAAGCTCATCGACGTCCAGGACGAGACTTTGCAGCTCATGTGCGGAGCGAGAGCGGTACGAGTATTGGTACATCGCCAATTGGTGGAGACTCTCTCCACCAAGTCTGGATGGTCTGAACAGACTTGGCGGAATGCGGCCGGCGCGAGCAATGAGATGGCCCTGGAACGGCTGCTCTTGTCGCTTGGTTGTCGATGGCGTCACCGGCGTTGGTGCAGACGGGCAATTTGACCGGCAGAGAAGATGTGGGAGGTGTGAAGGCCGTTGAAACCGAATCGCGGGCCCATTACTGACTTCATGCCAGACACCAAGTTGATGAAGCGCTTCAGCTGGTGCAGAGGAGAAACGCCAATGATGCCTGGCTACGCAGTATTGCACGGGATACCAGCGGACAGACATGCTATGCTAGCCAGCGAAGATTGCGAAGCCGAATCTCAAAGAAGTGGTCCACCTATCGAGCCTGTAGGTGCGGAGCGGAGGTCGATACAATGAGGAGAGCAGAGGTGTAGGTCTTGACGTTTGGCATTTGATCCAAATACTCCCGAAGCTGACCCGGATACGTACACAGTTTCTTCTGTATGGCCTGTGAGGGGACTGTGCATCGCGCATTTCCCGGGGGATTTCCACTCACGCCGATTCCTGCTTGGTCTCTGCCGCCTCCGAGCACTCCCCCGTCCAGGTATACGGCAGATCATTACACTACTATGATGTGGACGGGAAGGTTTACAAGGCCTTCCCTCTATCGAAGGCCGATAGGCAATGTAAGTATTGTGCCACCCGGCCTGTCGAAAGTAGGCATTTTGCTCCATCTACTAAAACTTTCCGCGAGCAGATGTCCTTGGGACGCCATGTATTGCCGCATACTGTGTGATAAAACCGTCAATCGCGGACAAGTGAACTTCAGCTTCTTGCCGACATCCTCCTGCTGGCTGCAACCGTTCCGAATCCAGGGCTACCACCTCCCTCCCGCCGAAGTCGGCTTGCAGTCGAAGCCGGGATCACATGCGAGATGCATCTCGTGAACGTATGATTCTGCTGCCACGGATCCCCCGCACTCTCAACTCCTGGCACCCGAAAGGTGAATATTCGCCAGCTGCGGGCCGACCACCAGACCCGCTCCGCGAAACTTTTTTACGTCGGCCTTGCAATCGACGGACAGCCTTCACTATCAAGCCCCTCGACTTCTTGGCCATTTCACTCGCCATCCACCATGCGCGATACACCACACGGCGGCCGTCGCTCTGCGCGCATTGGCGCTTCTGGTCATCAGGCTCAACCAAATCCGTCCGTTGTCCGACCAGAGCAAAACGGTAAGGGTTCACCGAGACTTGAGGGGGCGCAGCGCATCGTCAAGTTCTCACTTCCTGGACTCGGACCCCTCCGCACCATCTCAGGAGTAGGTGGCATTGCTAATGGCACTGCCGAGCTTCCTGGACTCGAGGCCGCCAAAATTAAGCCGAAGCCCATTCGCAAGCCACTGGGCATCAGCAAGCGGTACTGGTTTCGCAAGAAGTCCATCCGACCATCCGTCCCATCGTCCCGCAAGATGCTGGACTCGTGCAAACTGACGGAGTTTGTTCGAGTCGGTTCGGTTAGACAGCATGATCTTGACTCTTGACCTCAAAGCTGACAGTCTAATAGATTGACTTCTTCAAGTTGCCTGCGGAATTGCGCGACCACGTCTACGACCACATCGCTCAGCCCATAAGCGTTGCAAATGCGCAAGAGTATGGCCACGGTCTTGCGTCTCCCACCAACATCATCAAGCGAGTCTACGATGTGACACTACTTGGATGCAAGAAGTGGTCGAGGAAGCCGCCATATGCCCCGACGGATTACTTCCTCGAGACTCCTTTGCCGATCCAGCTCGTCTCGAGAGCTTTTGCCTCAGAATACTACGCCACCGTTCTTCGCAACGCATTCAGTGCTCCGTCGATCATTCGTACCATAGTCGCCGATTTCAATTTCGACTTCATTGTCGCATTTTTCACGAGCCTGGAGCCGTCGCAAGTCAAGAAGATCAACGACAAGCAAGTCACCGTCCTCATAAGCTTCAAGACCGAAGGCCTGGCTTTGCTTGACTTTCAAAACCTGAACCTCAGCGCTTTCAACAACATTCTGCTTGAGAATTTCTGCCCTCAAATCAATGGCGAAGACAAGTTTGCGCAAGCAGACGAGGACGAAGTCCCACTTGCGAACGAGGAAGCTGTGGACAGCACAAGTCAAGGCCCAACTCCCAACATCCGCTTCGAGTACATCCGCAGCCCAGGAATGTCGCCTCCAGAAGACGTGGACATTATCAAGAACTGGTGGCAACAGCACCCAACCGATATGTGCTTCCTCGGTCCTTTCTTTGCGCAGTGGGAGAAAGACAACCCCCACGACGAGTATTGAAGAGCTGGATGGTCGCAATCAACTCCCTCGTGCGGAAGCATTCTGCCACATGCTAAAGCTGTTTACTACCCACATCAAGACTGTTCTGGAACGAGAGGGAATGCACTGGCGATTGTTTGTTTGAAATTGCGATGCGATGCGATTCCACGGCTTTGTTTTGGATGGACAAGGTACAGGCGAGGGACACTGTTCTGCTGGATACCCATTGCACACTGATTGTTTTATTTTCTCGAACAGGTCGTATTGCTACTGTTCTGCCGGATACCCCATGCTTGCTGCTTGTGTGCTTTTGTCGACCACATTGTATTGCTAGTTAAAATGCTAGGCTTTCGCCGCATTTTTGAATGAGAAAGACTCTGGTCACATACGATTGGTTGTAGATTCCTCTTCTTCGCACAGAAAATCCTTTCAGAGACATCTAATCCAGTGTAGATCAGGCGGTTGTATCCTGCCAGGTCTACGTCTACCGTAGCCCCTTTTTGGACCAACCCAGCCATTGCTTCACGCTGATAGTATCCCAGAACATGCTTGCCAACGACACTGCTTACCCAATGCATTCTGTTCGAAGCAGGTGACCCATCTTCAACAGCAGAAATCGAGTCAACATGCTACAGTTTCGATCGACAGCATAGTCGGCCTCGCGTCCGTGGAGACAAGACAGGTCCAATTCTGCCAGACCACCAAGCCGAGCTCATACTCCATCCCTAACAAGCGAGAAGGCAAGTGCATCCTGACCCTCGATCCCATTCAAGCTACTGACGCAGCTCTTGTTGCCCGATCTACACAAGACATGAAGAAGAAGCCAGAATGCGCAGGTGGTCATCCTCAACAACAACTTCATATGCCTCCGGAACGACGCTCGAGCTATGGATTTCTTTTACCCGATACCGTGGAATCCAATCGAAGAGAAGCAACAATCGCGAACCAGCTCTCGTCAAAGGCTCACGGTTGATGATGGAAGTCTCTCTCTCCCAAAAACGGGATCGCGCCCCTCACGAAGGCGAACAGATGGACGAGCAACATAGCTCTACGAAAACGCATGAAGCATGGAAATTTTTTCGGTCCTACCATCTTTCCACTTTCCCTGGCTGTCGACAAGAGATCTCTCATGATAAGCGTAACCACTCCTCTCTGCGATCGACCTATCCACAAGCACTCAGCAGCGCAAGAGTCAGATCTCAGCGCTCTCTAGCCAGAAGTAACTCTCTCCCACCGACGACTCCCGACAACCCCCTGAGACGAAGCACATCATTGAGCACTCGAGAACGTCAGTAATCGAGCCCACTGCAAGAAAAACCTTTCCTCTCGAACTTCAAACGTCTGCATGTGCATAAGTCCCTTTTCATTACCAGAGCTACAAATCCAAGATCGTTTCTTTCCACATCGAAATATAAATACTCTGATCAACTCAACTCATTTCCAAAAACAGCAAGCAAAGCAAACAACAGGGTGGGCGTATCTCGAACATCACAACCGAAAAGCCAAAACTCAATCTCATCCCTCATCTTATCCTTCCCTCCTCCCCTCCCCTCCCCTCCCCAACCAAACGTTCGTCTAGTACGGAGTATCAGCCTTCTTGATAGCATCCCAATCCGGGCCCGCCACACCCTCCTCCCCAGCCTGATGCGCCGGATACTTCGTCCCCGCGCCCTCAGCAGTCCCGTGCGTCGCCTGTCTCACACCTGGATCCGTCTCGTGGTACCCTTCGATCTGCCTCGCGCCGTCAGTTCCACCTGCGCCGGTGGTGCCATACTTCTCCACGTTCATCGGCAGGCCCGTGTGAGGCTCGATGATGGCGCCGGCTTGGGCTTCGTTGCCCGCGAAGGTGGAGGTCTCGTGGTGTGGTGCGCCTCCCAGAGCTTTCTTGTGGAGTTTGGTGTGGCCGTCGGTGTCGGTGGCTGTTTTGGAGCTGCTGTGACCGTGGCTGTGGTCTTTGTCTTCGGATTTGCGGCCTGGGTGGAGGATTTTGTCGAGGAGGCCGCGCTTCTTCTCGCCGCCTTCTTCGGCGTGAGACTTGTTGTGCTTGTCGCTTGTGCTGTGGTGAGACTCCTTCTCGGCAGCTCTGCGTGCGGCAATGACTGCAGGGTCGTTGCTGTCAGGCTGGGCATGAGTGGTAGTGGGCTTATCATCTCTCGTAGCAGAGTAAGCGCCCTGTTAGAAGTCAGTATCTTTCACGTTCGACAGGATCGATCATGATTACTTACCGCTCCAGCGGCACCAACACCTCCCGCAACGGCAGCGTCGCGATCATAGTGAGTCTCTTCCGTTCCAGCCTTAGCAGGATCAGCTTGAACTCTTGGGTCCGCCTTGTTGGCGATATCTGAGCTGTACGGCCCAGTCGTCGTCGACTCCTTCATCTTCTCAGGCTGTGGTTGCACGCTGGGATCGACAATGTTGGCTATGTTGCTGTCATGAGGACCGACGGTCTTGGATGCTGGACCGGTATCTTTGCTTGCTTCAAATGCACCAACTCCCGCAGCACCAGCACCAGCACCACCGGCAACGGCAACGTCACGACCAAGGTGCGAATCGTTCGTCCTCTCGTTGAGTCCGGTAGGTTGTGTCGTTGGTGCACTTGCAACTTGTAGCTCGGCAGATCGAGTCGGCGCGGTGCTTGTGGACGTTGTAGTCGTGGTGGTAGTGGTTGGTTGGCTCGTAGTGGTGGTGGTTCCCAACTGCGATTCTACAGGGCGCTGGTTGTCATGCTCCCGGGTCGCAGCATAAGTACCAGCACCAGCAGCACCAAGTCCACCGACAACAGCAGCATCACGTCCATAGTGGTGCTCTGTGGGCTGCTCACTCGTGGCTGTAGCTCCTGACAATGGTTGATTGCCTGCGTAGTCCTTGCTGGAGGTAGTAGCGGGCTCTGCAACAGTTGGCTCGTCCGTCTTCTTACTCGATGAGAAACCAACAGCAGATGCAATCCCTGCGACACCAGCCGATATTCTCGATCCGATGGTCTGCTTATCCTGCGCAGTAGCTGGGGCAGACGTGGAACCAAGTCCGGTTTCTGGGTTAGCACCGGCAAGGGTCGTTGGGTTCAATCCGTGCTTGTCTTCTCCAGTCTATGCATTGTAGTCAGCGCCCATCACTATCAAGTTCAATGCTGATAATAGCTAACCTCCGTGGGAAACTCGCCGGGCAAATGAGGATCGAGTTTATTCGCAGTCTCAGTCTGGTGAGGGCCTTGAGTGTGGTGGTAGACACCTATAGCTGGGTAAGTCAAGGCTTTTTTCTATACTAGACTCTCTATATACCATCATTGTGCGACGTACTACCAACTGGATACGCACGCTCAGTGTAGGTCGCCTGCTGCACGTCGTTCGGAGCCTTATTGAGTTGCGTCACGCCAGAACCAGCGGCAACGCCTGCTGCACCGATGCCTCCAGCCAGAGCAGCATCCTGACCAAGACGAGGCTGACCTTCCAGGCTCTCTTCAGGGGCTCCGACTGGATTGATGTGAGCGCCTCTTGTACCCGTCCCAGTACCAGTATGCGGAGTGGTAGTGCTGGCAGTTCCAAAGTGGACTGGACCTTCACCGCCTGCTGCACTGGAATTGTACGCCTGCGAAGAACCCGCAAGTGGCTGAGAGCGCTCAGTGTAAGTCGCTGCAGCAACATCGCTGTCTTTTGGTTGGTTCAAGTGGCTATACGCAGCTCCACCCGCAAGTCCAGCTCCACCGGCAATGGCTGCATCACGACCCAAGTGAGATTCTCCAGCCTGTGGTACACTTGATTGCGGAGCACCCACGGGGTTGATGTGGCTACCTCCAGCAACAGATCTATCGGCCAAAGGTTGAGGGTGGTTGGAAGTGGTAGTGGTCGTCGTTGTCGTCGTTGACGATGGGATGTCGTGCTTGGGCTTATCATTCGAGTACGCAGCCGCGCCGGCTCCAGCTGCTGCAGCTCCACCGCCGACGATGGCGGCATCACGACCGAAGTCAGTACCCTGGCTGCCTCTATTACCCGGTCAGAAGATATCATAGCCACGCAGATCGTGTGCACTCACGGTATCGTGCTCTGTCCTGCCGCAGCGTTGCTTGAGCCTAGACCATGTACGTCAGCTCCATGAGCAAATGGGCCGGCCACGCCTGATTTGATGCTCAGACAGCTGGCTGTATCATCACCCCCAGTTGAGGGAGAGATCGTACCTCCGGTGATTGGGTCTGCACGTCTATCTGCGCCTACCCCAGTGCTGAGAAATCGTGAGCTGGGACCAAGGCTGCAATTGTTGCATTATTCTACCTACGCCGAAGCGCCAGTGGTTGCCTGGGTGGGATTTTGAAGGCCAGTTGAAGTTGTTCCAGTCCCTGACGGACCTGGCTCGCCGCTGCCACCGTGAACGACTGGATCGTACTTCTCCTGGCCAGGATTCCTGCGACGAATTAGCCGAGTGAGTCTACTCCCTGCAATGGCTTCGACGTACAGAATCTGCCTTGCGACAGAATGATCCTTGGTATCAGATGGTACATTACTAAGGGTTCCTGCTGCGTGTGCTGTTGTTCCATAGCCCTCCTCATCGTATTTGCCGCCTCCTGGATTGATGATCTGGCGAAGAACAGAGTGCTCATGCTTCTTCTCTTCTGGATCGGTCTGCAATTTGACGTCTGAACCTGCAATTGGTGGAGCTTCTGGACGAACAGACTGTCTCCTGTCTCCTTCTGTACTGGCGCTGGACTCGAATCTCTGCGCATCATATCTGTCCAAGACGATCAGTACTCTTCAGTCAACTCCACTCGCGTCACTCACTTGTCTCCAGACGGATTGAGCACCTGGCCCAGGATTGTGTGGTCTTTGTTGTGTGCTTCTGGGTGTGTTTCCAGCTTGTCAGGGTCACCGGGTGCGGTCGTGGCGGTGGTGCCAAATCGCTGGTCGTCGAACTGCCAGCGAGTGTCAGAGGAGTTGCTACAAAGTACGGCTTTACCAATTTCAACGCACCTTCTCGCCACCAGGATTGACCAATTGACGCATGATACTGTGCTCTTTCTTGTGTGATCCCTCTACAGGATGGAGCTGCTCAGGCTCTCGTGGTTCTCGGGCTTTGCTGGCGCTCTCTCGTCTTCTCTCGCCGGCATCACCATACAGAACTTCGTCGTCCTTCTTGGAGCCCGGTGAGAAGATCTTCTTGACCTTGTCCATCTTTGCGGTAGTCTTCAGTAATTACTTGATCTCGAACGACGATTGAATGAATAAACAAACAAATAAACAGTAGCAAGGGTATAATATGTCACTGAATCGAGGACAAATGCTGGGAGTATATAGCAATATAGTGAAGCATTCACCTACCACTGCATCAGAGCGGGGCACAGACAGGAAGCTCTGCCTCTCAAGACGTCATGGGCGCCGCACCAATTCAAGATCTGGCGCCGTGATACATGAGCGCATCGCGCCAACGTGGGCGAGGCGTCTGCTTGTGAGTGGATGAGCAGGCAAGCGCTTGGTCTGCATTGCTGCACATCGTCGCCTGACCGTCCACGGCGGACTGGTGCTGGTGATGGAGGAGGGGTCTTCTATCGCGACCGTCGTCATCGTGAGAGATCGGGGTAACGAGACTCCAAACCAGTGGACACCAGATCTTGATTAGACCCCACGGTGCGGCTGGAGGCGATTTGGCGCGGCGCATGTGCTTGAGTTGCTTGGGTCGAGTCTGGCGAGAGTCTGGATTCTGGATCGTGCTGTGGCGGCTGCTCGCTGCTCACCGTCCAAACCCGAGCGAGAAGTCAGCCACCGCCAAAACGGGTGGTATATTCATCAATGCAAATACTGGGGAATGGATATGTGTTGAAGTCCTCAGGCATGGATATCAGGTCGATCTTCTCTGCCACAATGCTGGTACTTCCTGCATATCTTCGTGTCGTTTCGTATGCCGATGACAAGCAGACTGAGAGAATGCCAACCCGTCGGTCGGCGACAGTCTGCAGGAACGGCAGCAAAAAGAAGGCCTGATGTTCAGCTTCAAGTAAGATAGCGGTGTTGTCGAGGGCTAATGCAAGGAATAGACAGGGGGGAGGACTAGCCCCCGCCGGGAACCTATCAATACCTGGGCACGCCGCCGTCGCCGCCGCCTATCACCGCCGCCGCCCGGTGTCCCTCTGTCTTCGGTTTTTTCTTCGGCCCTACTTCTGTTTCCATCATGGCGAGGAAGTGTGCCGCCCACCAGCATATCCCACTCAGCACGCCCTCACTAGTCGTCTCGGCGCATCACTCCCGCTGCGGGATAGTCTCAGTATGTAGAGAAAGATATGTGCCGTACATGTCGAGCGGAACAAAACGGCGCCTGGAGGATCCACCTTCTCCATCCGCATGGACGCCATCCGAATGCCACGCCGAGTCCGCGTGTGTCTCTCCACCGCGAACTACTCCCCCAGGCGTTTCGTCTTATACACTCCCACGCCCCTAGGAATCGCCAGGCCCGGCAGTGCTTGTGCCGACTGCTCCCTTGTGCAGTCGACAGTGTAATAATCCCGCTATACTCCCCCCTACTTCTCACTGCTCCTCCTCCTCCTCCTCTCCTCGCCTCACGTCAACTCCTCTTCTCAGACGGCCTGCCTCCGCGGTCTCCGCCCATCGTACCAATCCGACCTACCCTATCTGACGTAGCTCGTTCTTCTCTATCTACTCCTCACGGCCGAACCTCTACCAGCCCATCTGCATGGCATAGCACGTACACACACCCCTCGACTGGGTTTCGCTTCTCTTCAATCAGCAATACATTTATCAACCCCATCCTCATCGGCCATCACCACCATGGCCATCCGCGAAAAAGCAAGGGCGCTCTTCAAACCCAAATCCAGCAAATCCTCAGACAAATCCTCCTCCCTCTCCAAATCCTCCACGCAAGAGCGATGGCCCTCCAACGTCTACAAGCCCGGCGAACCCATGCCGCGGCCCAAGTACCGCATGCCACCCAAGAAGGAACACAAGGAGAAACTCGAAGCCTTCTCCTTCGCCGAGGCGTGGCGGAGGAAATCGTTCCAATCGCAATACTCGCCCATGGGGACGCGAGCGCCGAGTCGGATGGCGAGTCGGCGGAACAGCTGGCTGAGCATGGGCCGGAAGAGTTTCAGCGGGAAGAGCGCGACGGACGTTGGGCGGAGCGCGACGGACGTTGGGCGGAGCGCGAGTGTCACGAGCGGGGATACGGAGAAGAGCTCGGCGGTGCACAAGAGGGAACATCATGCGCTTCATCCGCATCATTTGGGCGCGGCGAGGCAGACGGCTTTGTCGGGCGGGAAAGTCGCGGAGCAGGAGGGGGATGACGATGTTGCGAATGGTATGTCCATGTTCATATCACCTACATTCCAGTGACAAAAGTGCGCCGAGATAATCGCTAACCTGCGCAAAACAGTCGGCCTCTCAAGAGTCCACTCGCGAGACCACGCGCATCCACCGAAAACCGCTGAAGCATCACGACCGCAGAGTAGCGCAGGCGAGAAGCGATCCGACACCCCACAAGATCAGATGAACAGCCTCTCCCAATCCCACACGATCACCGCCCACGACCACCAGCCATTCACCGAGCACGATCTCGCGCTGGCCCTGAAGAGGTCGCATTTGGCCGTGCCCACGCAGGGCTGAAAGATGGGAGGAAATCGGCAAACAAGTCGTGTACATGTTGATCATTCATAACCGGGCATTTGGAGGAGAAAAAGAGGAGTCTTTGGATCATGCATTTGCCATTCGAAAATCGGAGAAAGCGAGCAAAGGCGTTGGATATTTTGATATTTGGGAAAGAGGATTGGAGAGGAGTTCGCATCTATGCACATACTTGTAAATGTGGGACTTTGTCTGTCTATATGGGAAGAGGCGCAAGGAAAGAACCTGCGCGCACACTTTGGAGAAAGTGATAGAAACGCTGCATGCATCTGTTGAATGTACAAAGTTTCAGCCGTGCTTGGTTTCATGCGTCGCGAGAAAGCAGAGCAAGTCGGGTCGAAAGATGACGGATTGTCAACCTTCCAGATTGGGCGATTGGAACGAAAGTTGAGTGAATGTTTCGTGAGCAGATAAGACGGATCCAGTGTCTTGCAGGCTAGTTCATTGAGTTCTAGATTCTTCAATGTATATCATCATCAAAATGCCTTATCCACAAGAGACCTCCCATACTTCCCGTCTACGTCAGATCTCTCCCTCCAGGATAAAAGATTAGTACACAGCCGGCATCTGAGCCAACCTCCCACCATCCGTCAGCAAAGTCTCGCCATTCAGATACGCCCCCGCTCGACTGGCGAAATACAACACCGTCGCGGCAAAATCCTCCTCACTCCCCGTCCTCTCCGCCGGCGCTCGATCCTTCGCCATAACCCTCGCATCCTCCCACGCTCCATCCACTGCATTGAACTTGTCTAGCTTGTCCGTGGCCGATTGGGTCAATTCACTAGGATACAAGCCTGGTGCGATGACGTTGGCGCGGATGTGGAAGCCTTGCTGGGCGAATGTCGTGGCGAGCATTTTGCAGAGGTGGTTGACGGCGGCTTTGGAGGTGGAGTAGGCGAAGGAGGAGGCGAGGTAGCGGGAGAAGCCGGCTACGGAGGAGGTGATGAGGATTTGGGAGTCTTGAGCGACGTTCTTCTTATTGTTGCCGGCGTCGAGGAGAGGGAGGAAGGCAATGGCGGTGTGAAAGACGCCGGTGACGTTGGTTGAGAGGGTCTTGTTGAACTCATCCAGGGAAGGACCGCCTACGAAGTCTGCGAATTCCTGCACGCTGGGCTTGCTGCCGTCGGGCTTGGTGATGACGGTGTTGTCGTGGTGGCCGCCGATGCCTGAGTTGGCAAAGAGGAGGTTGATGTAGCCTTGTTCCTTTTGGACGTGGTCGACGACTTTCTTGAGGGAATCCTTGTTGGTGACATCGCCGACGACGGGGATGATCTTGCCGTTGATGCCAGTGGCGGCGGCGTCTTTGAGGGATTGTTCTCTGCGGCCGACGATGTACACGGCTTTGGCTCCGTTGGCGTCCAAGGCTCGTGCAGCGTAGAGTCCCAGGCCACTGCCGCCGCCGGTGATGACAGCGACGAGGCCATTGACGTTGAAGAGGTCGTTGATCTTGTTGGTTGGGGCCATGGTTGATAGGTTTGTTGAGATAGGGGAGGGAGACTTGGAGATTCAAACAAAGCAATTGAAGTATGAGGTGAGATGTTTTACCTGCCTGCACGCGAGATATATATGGAGTTTCAGATGCTAGAGCTCGCTCGAGTCTGTTTACTATGACGTGATGCTGGGGTGGTGATTTGTGGTGGAGAGCTTCATCGGGGAGTTGGCCGTTCTGTGCTTGGGAGAACCCTACTTCAGAAGGACCGCCATGGAAGGAGATATCAAACAAGCCGAATACGACTGGAGTGCGATTTCCTTGTGAAGAGGTCGAGACTGTGTGGTGTATTGCCGAATCGCCAATGATGATTATGTCGTGCAGGAGGTACAGCACAAGAGTAACTTCCACAAGGCGTACCACCAGTTCTTGCCGGCGCTGGGTGGATCCAAACTTTATTCGACATTCACCTGAAAATAGTTCCCGTCCACCTTTCACGCCAAGACACGCGTGACCTCGAATCTCCAGCATTCATTCAACTAAAGTCGCCCTCTCGAGCTCCACTTCAACTCCATCAATATCGGTTCAAATCACTACCGCCTGCAGAGCGCACAACGACGATGGCGTCTGGCAGCGTGCAGGGGCTGACGGTGTGGGTGAAGCTGCGGCAGCCGCAGAACAACGACGTCGTCTATGGAGTCGTGCAGGACCTCGTCGCGGGCTCGCATCTGGCCCTGAGAGATGGTATGGCCAGGTCAGATCGTCACATGAATGCTGAACTAAAATTTGATTAGTCTTCTTCCCGGGCTCCAACACGCGGTGGGAGCACTGGACGGTGCAGGCCACGGCCATCGAGGACATCCAAGTCGTCGACACCAACGACCCCAACTCCCTCCCCACGCCGACTCCTCCCCCTTCACACGCGCCTACACCACCGACATCCCTCCCTCTCCGAGCGACCTCCAACGGCTATGCTCCCCCTCACGCGCATCCACCTCCGCCCTCTCAAGCCCTCCCCGCCGCCGTGTCTCGAGTCGCCAGCGAGCATTCAGCTGTCCGGCACGCTTCGGCTCCCATAGAGCTGCCTACCCAAACTCCCACGCCACAGCGCGAACCCGCCAGCTTCATCGATCCTGCCATTCTCAGCTACGAGGGCACAGCGTCCCCCGTGCACAACCGGACCGCCTCGAAGCCCGCCGAAATGGACACTCCTATCAAGTCAATGCTGGCGAAAGCTGCTGCCAACTTACCAAGTCCAGGCTCGCCGTTCATCGGAGATGTTACTAAGAACAACGTCACGCAGAAAATGGCTGTCGCCAAACAGCAACCTCCACCTCGAGCACCAGTATTTACGGCACCGAAGCCAGCTGAGAATGCGGTTCAAGAGGATACTCCAGACGGTGCTCAGAACGAAGCAGGATCGAAGAAGAAGGTCAGGCGAGGTCAGAAGACTAAGAAGCAGGCGACACTGTCGGCAGAAAACGCAGATCCTCCTCCAGTCATGAACTCGGAGGTGTCGAGGAATGGCAATGACATGAATGGATCCGTGAAGAGAGGCAAAGGTTGGCGTAGCACTCCGCTCTTGCAGCCTACTCCACAGGCTGCCACTCCTCAAGACAAGCATGGCCGGAACAAGAGCAGGCGGAAACAGAAGGAAGAGATCGATCAGATGGGTGACACCACCGACATCCAGGAGATGGGAGACTTTGACTTTGAAGGCGAGCTGAAGAAGTTTGACAAGAAGCAAGTCTTTGACGAGATCAGGCAAGGAGATACGACCGCCGATGAAGATCGCCTCGTCAGTCACAACAAGGCCGCTCGACCTGGCACGTACGGGGGTAAGAACCTGCATCCCACGGAGCCTGTCTTGTCGCCCAAGATCCAGCCAGTCTACAACAGCAACGAGTTGGACAGCTCAAGCGACGCCGACACGGAGTTGAACATGGCCAACGGACGATCATCCTCCAAGCACTCAGTCTCTCGGACCGTCTATCCAAAGACGAAGCCAAGCAGACAGAACAGCAGCCAGGTGGACCCCAAGCCACATCCTCTTTCGGCATCAATCTCCTCTGAGACGAAAAACCTCAATCCATCTACAACATCACTCGTTAACAGAGCAAAAGCTGCATCATTGGCAGCATCGTCACCACGGCCAGACCGCGCCAGCTCGCCACAGTCTGGAGTCTCCAACTCGAGAGGAGCGGACCACGCAAATGACACATCGACAATACTCGAACCACATCTTGCTATCCATCCTCTTCTGACGCCCTGCCCTACGTTGCTGCCCAAAGCGCTGGAAAGTCTCGAAGCAGCGGCAGTCTCAGCATTCGGTGTGAGTTACGACGCCATCACTGAAAGCGCAGCTCGATGCATCGCTGAGGCTGCTCTGCAACTATCCGAAACTCATGGCGGAGCTCGACGTCCATCAAGGACCAACACTCTCCGAGGAAGTATGTCAGCAAGCATGACTCTCAACAGCCCGAGCGAACCCGCCACCATCGTCGTACTTGCAGGAAATCACGAGACTGGCGCAAGAGCTCTCGCTGCAGCACGCCAGCTTCTGGGCAGAGGAGTCAAGATCATCGCCGCAGAAAGCCTGTACGAGAACGCCGAGACACAAGATCCTCTTGCGAAGATCCAATCTGCCATTCTTCGAAGAATGAACCGCGGCGGTGCTAAGATCAAGCGTGGTCTCTGGCGCAAAGCCTCCTCCCACATTAAGAATCTTTCTGGTCCTCCCGCTGTCATCATCGACGCCCTCCTCGCAGGCTCTACGTACGACTCCCTCCTCACCTCAAACGCCTCCCACAATGCCTCAGTCCAGCAAGAAACCCGCGAGATGATCGACTGGGCAAATCGCAGCCGTGCCCCTGTCCTCTCCGTCGGCTGTCCCTCGGGCGTGTCAGGCGTTGATGGATCGTCCACCATCGTCGAAGCCGAGCCCCTCGCCGTCCGCCCTGAAAAGGTCCTCTCCCTTGGCGCGCCGATGCAAGGTCTCCTGAAAGCGATGGAGAACGGCGAAAAGCTCGACATCTCCCTCGCCGACATTGGGATCAACTTAGCACTGAAGAGCGACGAGGCAGTGGCGTTTGGAGGGCCCTGGGTGGTGGATTTGAAGTATGTGGAGGATGGGGATGCGTCGACGGTTGTTTAGGGATCGGACAGAGGAGAGGAGGGGAGAGGAAATTGGTCCTGCATATTGGATTGGGTCTACTGCTCGTTTTTTGCATCAAAAAAGATACCCTGAAGCGTTTTTTGGTTTTTGGACGAGAGGAGAGGAGAAAAAGTCTTTGGACGTGATGATCGTTATTAGCGCTGTATCAACATGAAATCGTTTTGGATCATATCAAAACTACCACATTTCTCTACAATCAACGCACGTTCCAGTCGTACTTGTCAAACCCATCGCCAGTCTGCACATCTCCATCAATCATCCTCACTCTCATCCCCACTCATCCACCCCTCCTCATACTCATCCGCCAAAGCCGCCAACCCATCACACAGCGCTTCACGATCCTCCACGCCGACAATCCGTCTCGCGAACCCCTCCAACCCCCTCACACGCTCCGCGATCGCGGTGGATGTTGATAGTGAGGCGTCGACGGCGAGTTTCGAGGGTCGGCTGGGGAATCTGAAGATCGTGGGGTAGGAGCTGAGGTTGGGGAAGAGGAGGGAGGATTGGTGGAGGGAGATGCGGGGGTCGGTGGCGGAGAAGCGGTCGTGGAGGCGGGTGTGGGCGGTTTGGAGCTGGGTGGTGGTTTTCCAGGGGCCGCGGAGGGAGGAGATTTTGCTGAAGGTGTGGGGGCGGGATGGGGTGCGGTTTCTGTTGATGAGGGTGTTGGAGGGGACGAGTTGGGGGAAGAGGTCGACGGCGAGGTTGTCGTCGGGTTCTTCGTCCTCATATTCGTCTTCGTGGAGGTGGCCGTTCGTCATTCGCGAGTCTGAATGTCCGTTCGGTTGTGAGCTCTCCTCCAGACTCATGGGATCTTTGATGGAGAGGGTACAAGCAGCGATTCGCCGCATGCCGTCACCATTCAGGGTCGACTCGAGGGCATCGAATGTGGCACGGGAGGGTTGGTCACCGCGAAGTCGTGTTGGAAGAGTGACCGTCTCCATGGCTGCGGCGGCCAGCGCTGATGTGTGCCATTTGCTGGAACCGTCTAGAGAGACGTATGGTGGGAGTGATGAGGGTGTGCTGGCCAAAGGTATATGCATGCTGGCGGATGGATCGATCACCAAAATCGATTGCGCGACATTCGCCAGCTGCAATGCTTGTCGCTCTCGTGCACTTCGTTGCGCATCTTGCAGACCAAACACCCACCGACATCCTTTCCCAAGCTCATCCCCTATCCTCTCGAGATACTTGGACGCGAATCCACCCCAAGCATCATCAATTCCTGCCAGCACCTGGATGCCTTGTAGCTGATCACACTCCTCAAGACATGGCCTCAAGTCGCGGTCGAGAAGGTCATGCTCTCTATCCAAATTCGCGAAAAGCTCCTCACCTTTCTGCCATTGCTCGAAGGGCATCAACGAGCTATTCAGCTCATACTCGTTGAGCTGTACGATACTCCGTGGATGATAGAAGATGTGATTGTAGTCCGACCAGAAGCGGACAGTATCTGTAGTTAGTGTTGGAGGATCCACTCCACGATCAAGAGCTTGCTGGTACGGGCTGGGAGGGATTGGAGACAGTTGGAGTGGAATCGTACTGCCGCTCCACGGACCTTGCGAAGGAGGATGCTCTTGTTGCTCGAGCTGATACAGGGCATTTTCTCTTCGAAGTGTGCCGAATGCACCTTTCAAGTCGTAGATCAATGTTCTTGGGGTGTATGTCTCTGCACCATCCGCACCAATCCCAGGCCGGAAGGAAATGTCATGGTTCACGGGAAACTCTTCTTCTCCAGAATACGTGAAGTAGGATTCCTACAAGACGGTTAGTCGCTGGGTCTGATTCGGTTTATGTCGAGGTCGATTACTTGCCTTACCTGCGTGTTCCAGTAGTGGGTGCCTATGTAGTTGGCTTGCTGCCCGAACTGCAATGTCACAACCTCGTGCATCTTCACGTTACTGCCTCATTCTTGGTGTGAGACGAATTGTAGAGACGGGAGAGATTCGTGTTGGCCGCATTAAGCTCAAGCTAGCGGCGGGAGCGGCCGTGTGGGGATGACGATCATCCCGACTTCACGAGGAACTACGATCGACATCGCACACACACCCCCCAGCTACTGCACACTCCGACGCGCAAGACCCGAGTCTCCCAAACACAAGGAACGATCAGAAAGAAGTGCCGCGACGCATGCAGTTGGGACAAGCACATCTCCAAGCGAGGCGCGGCACGTGGGAGTGACCTCGACGACGCCAGCACCCTCGACTGCCAAACACCTTCCGACCCAGCGACACCTTCCTCGACATCTCCACGCTCTTCCCTCCCATCCTCCACCGCCATCTCCACCGCCACCATGGCGACTGCCACCGTCGTCCGCCCATCGCAGGCTTTGCGCACTCGCCGCGACGCTCCTCGACCCGCCCTCCCCACCAAGCGAGCATCGGCCATGGACGCCAGCGAGCCCGCCGGCAAGAGGCGCAGGCTGGACGAGCCATACGTCCGCACCAAGGACTACATCCTGCGCAAGTTCGCGGGCAAGCCGCCGTCCCTCACCGTCTATCTCCACCCCAACTACTTCCGGTTCGATGGCCAGGAGGGCAGTTTCACCTACGATGGACCCATGGTCTCCTTCCTCAAGAGCCTGCGCAACCAAGAGGTCCCCGCCGACATGGTCGAGGCCCTGCTCGCCGGCAACGTCCCCTTCTACGACGGCTGTCTCATCGTCGAGATCCACAACCACCGCTCCGCAAACGGCAACAACAAGGGCAAGCATGACTCGGGAGCCGGCGACCAGGTCAAGTTCTCCATGCACAACTACAACAACTATGTCACGCCCTCAGGACTGACGCCTTTCCCCAAGAAGGCCAAGGAGAGCGAACTGCCGGACAAGTCTCAGGCTGCTGAGGCCGTCAAGAGCGAAGAGGGCGGCGAAGACAAGGCCAAGGCCAAGGACGAGGATGGCCCTCACATTTCTACCCTGGTCATGTTCCCTACTCCACTATCTCAACACAAAGAGATGATGTTGCTGGCCAACACACCGGCGTCGGAACTCCGCAGCAAGAAAAAGGTTGCAGACGGATCTACCACACCGCAGGTATCGGTAGCGGCCTCCCAGGAGAACAAGATGGCCCTCGAGGAGCAGGACTACTATCAGTTCCAAGCAGACGTATTGCTCGCCACTGAGCCGCCGCTGTATCTGGAACCTGTCAAGAATCCGCAGGAGGCGCAGAAAGTCCTCGACATGCTCAAGCATCCTCTACACAGCAATCCGCCTCCATCGCCAAAGACTCGCAAGCGGACCACTGCAGAGCTGGCCGCAGACGATGCACAGGCTGCCGAAGCGGAACGCAGAATGCTCATCATGGACGAGCGAAAGGCGACCGCCCCTGGAGCTGCCGACAGCGCTGGAAACTCACAAGCTCTCGGCCTCAACAGGTTTAAGACGCTGCAGATGGTCCGCGAGAAGCTTGATGAGGCCGAACGGCAGAAGAAGGAAGAGCAAGAGCAAGCTCAAGCTCAACGCAAGCAAGAAGAAGCCGCCGCTAATGCTGCCCAAGCACAGAAACAGGCCCAGCAGGAACAGCAGCGCAAACTCATGAACCAGCGTCAGCATTTCGCCCGCCAGCAGCACGAGCAAATGCGGGCGCAGCAAATGCAGCAAGCCGCCGCGCTCATGGCCCAGAACCAGTCTCACCCTCAGCAGAACGGCATGGCGAATCAGCAGCAAAACAACTTCCAGCACCCAACTTCGATGTCGCAGTCCAGCCCCGTCGTCCGACAACAGACGCCGATGATGAACTCATCACCCATGGTCGCTCAGAATGGGTTTCCCATGGCTGCCACCTCCAGCCAACAAGCCGGCAGTCCCCCGCGACCAACCTCGGCGGCTATGCCAAACCCCAATGTCGCCATGGCCCGACAAGCCAGTCAGCAGGCACACGCGAGTCGCAATGCCACACCGCAAATGGCACAAGGCACTCCCAACATGACCGCCATGCCTAACAGGCAGATGAACCAGACGCCGCGCATACCTCATGGAAGCCCCGCGCCTGGCACACCGGCAACCTCCAACATGAACATGGCCTCGATGCCCATGCCAACGCCTGGCCAGACCGCCATGACACCAGAGCAGTTCGCTATGCTGCAGGCTCGACAACAACAAATGGCAAATCAAGTCGGAGGCATGAACGCCGGCTCGCCAGGCCAGAACCAGGTCAACATGACGCCAGAGCAGATCCAGCAGATCCAGCAGCAGCAGCACCGAACCCGTCAACAGCAGATAATGGTTGCGCGTGCTCAAGCTGTTGCTCAGCAAGCGCAACAAAACGGCAGCAACCCTCAAGCGCAACAGGCTCTTGCACAGCGGGCTTACTTGCTTCAGCAGCAACAACAGCAACAAGCGATGCAACAGCGGATGTTACAAGCTCAGGGGAACAACGCGGGTCAAGCTGGCAGTCCGCATCCTGGAAGCATGCATGCCACTCCGCAGATGGGGCATGCTCACCCTCAGCAAGGTCAAGGGCAGGCTGGGGACACGAATCAAGGGCAGCAATTGACGCCTCAGCAGCAGGCTCAAAGACAGCAACAACAGCAGGCGCAGCTGAGACAGGCGCAGCACGCTCTGCAAGGGCTTGTGCAGCAGTACAATGGCTTGCAGAATATCCCACAACAAGTGGTGAGCAGCTTGCCTCCGCCCATGCAGATGGTCGTCCAAAGACAAAGGCAGCAACAGCAGCAGACGGCTCGTGCGCGCCAGATGGCCATGCAGGCACAACAGGCACAGAATGCGGGTCAGGCCGTTGCAGGGACGACTTCGACGCCCGATCCTGAATACATGCAGACACTGCGAAACCACCAGACGATGCTCGCACAGCAACAGCAAGGAGGGCAGATGAACGGCATGAGCATGACGCATAACATGAACTTTGCAAATATGGGGAATCAGCAGTTCCAGGGCGGAGGTGATAGTCTGTCGCAGCAATTCCAGGCGATGCACGCGGCGTTGAACCGAGGCCAGCAGGGCGGTGGTGGAATGGGGCAATAGTATGCCCTTGCACGGCCGTCGAGGATGACACCGACGATAATGTACAGTTGTTGAACTTGACGCAGCGCGAGTTGATCGATTAATAAAGATGTTGGGTATCACTCGAAATGCTAGAATATGTGACCTTCATCTCGCACTACTGCTCACACTCGTACTGGCGCCTACAAATCGTCTCATGCCAACATCTTTCGCACTTTTCCCTTTCTTCTTGGACTGCGCTTCAAGTGGGTGCGCCTTCTCCCACTGTTCGTCTTCTTTGTATGCATCGATCGCCGCCTCGAGATTCCAATCCGCGTTCTTAAGATATAACATCGCAACATCATATCTAAACGAGGGGGGAACACTTCGTCAGTCAAAAACCACCATACATCCTCACAGAACAGAAATAGTTTCAAGACTTACTCAGCAACCTTCGTCGCCACCTGAAACCTCCTCAGCTTCCTCTTCCTCGCGTCCTCCTCTTCGCCCTCGACGGGTTCCGGGGAGAGGGACACGCCGCCTTTGTAGAATTCCCCGGGGATGAGGACGGTTTTGCGGCCTTGGAGGAGGAGGTCGGCGTAGAGGTTGTTGGCTTTGCGGAGGGCGGGGAGGGGCACGGAGTAGGCGAGGGAGAGGGAGGGGAGGGAGTCGGCGGGTTGGAGGAAGTGCAGGACGTCTTCGGCGGGTTGGAATTTCTCTCGTGGGGCGTGGAGGGGTGCGTGGGTGGAGTAGGCGGGGAGTTCGTCGTCGTCGTTTTGGGGATGGTGGTGGTTCGGTGGCGAGCGTTGTTGATGATGGTTCTCCAGTGATGAATATGCCGGGGGGTCTTTCAATCCTTGCGGGAGTAATGAGGGTTCCGTGGTGATTTGGCAATAAGGACAGTATGTTTCGTAGCGTTTATTTTGGTTGAGACATCTTGAACATATCGATCGTCCGCAGCAGCCTAGATATCGTCCGGGGAGGGGGGCTTTTTCTGATGCTGGGTCTTGTGGGGAGCCGAAGGAGGAGGCGCACGTTGCGCAGGCGTTCGTCATTTTTAACAAGATTCTATTGTGGTGCGTGACTTTGATGATTGTGTAGGATAATCTTGGGCATAGTTAATATTGAGATGTTGTCGACGACGATGACGACGTTGACGTGCGGTATCGATAGCTCGCCGAGCCGATTTGCCACCCGTGCCACGCTACTTCAGCCCTGACCTGAGTGAGCGCGCAAGACAATCTCGAACCACTCGTCACGGCACTCATCTTGCTACCCACCTCCTTCCCTCTCGTTCCTTCTCGATTCACACTCCCTCTTGCCATTCGACGTCGCCGACCTCCAGTCGCTCCTTCTTCGAAATCGTAAACACCACCACGCCTTCTGCTCTATTACCGGCATCCGCCCTCCTCCGCTGATTCCGGCCTTCTCCTGACGCTGCTCCAACTTGATCGCGTGCTACGGAACAACCACACCATTGCTGAGCGAACGGCCTCTTCTTTGCGCGCCTTCTGGCGCCTCATTACACCAACATAAATCAACCGCGAATCAATTGAAAACAACATGGCGAACGCGACGGCATACTACGATCTCCCTCCCCTCCCCGAATACACCCTCAAGCCATTGCCACCGCTCATACCCGGCATACCAGACCCGTACCTGTCATTGGCGCTGCCTATCATCGCGTACTGGGCAGTGTCGATGTTCTTCCATTGCATCGACGAGTGGGATCTCTTTCCGCAGTACCGGTTGCACACTCCCGCCGAACTGTTAAAGAGGAACCATGTGAGCAGGTGGGATGTTTTCAAGGATGTCATCATACAACAGGTGATACAGACCGTTGTGGGCATGGGATTGACGTTGACGGAGCCGGAGGCGGTATTTGGGAAAGAGGAGTACGAAGTGGCGTGGTGGGCGCAGAACGTGAGAGTCGCGCAAAGGGCTCTCCCGGCCGTGCTGGCTGCCATTGGATTGGACGCGAAGACTTTGGCGAACAACTTGGCTCCATCGCATGCCATGCTGGCGAGTGCGATCTCTGGTGGCGTCTACCCAGGTCTTGTGCAGACTGTGACGCTGATGGGCGAGCCGATTTCCGCGCCTGCGTTTGCAAGTTGGGAGCTGCTGGTGGCGAAGGCGATATACTACGTCGCGATACCGGCTTTCCAATTCTTGCTGGCCATCTGCATTGTGGATACCTGGCAGTACTTCCTCCATCGGGCCATGCACATGAACAAGTGGTTGTACACTACCTTCCACAGCCGACACCATCGCCTTTACGTGCCGTATGCTTACGGTGCGCTGTACAACCACCCGTTCGAGGGCTTCCTCCTGGACACACTCGGCGCTGGCATTGGCTATTTGGTGTCTGGAATGACGGTCAGGCAAAGTATGTGGTTCTTCACCATGTCGACGATCAAGACTGTGGATGATCATTGTGGGTACTCATTCCCGTGGGACCCACTGCAGCACCTCACCAGCAACAACGCCGGCTACCACGATGTGCATCACCAAAGTTGGGGCATCAAAACGAACTTCTCCCAACCCTTCTTCACTTTCTGGGATGGACTTCTTGGAACCAAGTGGACGGGCGGGGATGTGAGCGCACGATACGAGAGAGCCAAGATTGCGGCGCAGAAGAAGCTTGATGCCGACAATACTTCTGTGACTGGGTCAGCCGCCAACGAAAGCGCTCAATCTGATCGAGTGTACGAGAAGGAAGCGGTCAAGGCAACTTCAACAGCAAGAGCACTGCGAACAGTCGCCGAACCCACCGTCCCAGCAGGGAAAGCAACCCTCCAAGCTCTTGGATCGAGACAGCAGGTTCTGGAAGATCCGGTGGCAGGGGGCATCAACATAATCGCCGAAGAAAGTTTAGAGGAGATGAAAGCCCAGCAGAGGCTTCGATCGAGTCCGAGGAAACGGACGACGAGTTCGGGATTGAAGGGGTTGGCCGATAGGGTGGGCGAATCTTCGCATTGCAAAGGCACGGGCGTGCTGGGCGTTGAGAGTGGGAGTCGGAGGAGGTAATCGTAATACATGTCCTTGTGTGTGTACCAGCTTCATGTGAATATATATATTGTTTTTCGAAATGTCAGACTGACTGTACGGTCTTCGATGGTGGTTGCTTGTCCCCACTCATAAGAAAGTGTCTTGTTGATCAAGCTGAACCTAAGATCATCACAAGCCTCACGCGAGCTATTGCCAAATCGAAGCTATACTGTCCTCTCGAAACGACGATCCCAATGAGAAGAGGTTTTGACAGCACCTGTCAGCGATATGGTCATTGTCATTGGGTGTGTGGATGCTCTGCGGGTGAGACGGCCAGGCCGCCACTTTCCGCGTACTGTATCCATCCGTCCCACTTCACCTTTCATCGACATCACCTTTGACTATATCGTTAGTGGTCTCCTGCCGTGAGTGGTGCTTTGACGTGTCCAAACTATTACTGAATCGGGATGTCTCTGGTTCGTGAGAGACTGTCTGGAGGTTCTAGCTGAACAGGTCTCTCCATACGAACGAAGCACGCCACGGTGATGTTGGATTCCAGCTCGTTGACGAGATGCAGACGATGATGAAAGAACAAGGCGTAGAGTTCCCCATCGCGTACTGCCCCCTGTCGCCGCGTGGTTCGTATCGATACGCAGCCCATCCGATGGCGCGGATCTGTGAAGAAGCCAACCAGGTGCATCTCGAGCGGCACGTGGAGGCCATCCCACCAACGCTAGCACCGCATCCAGCTGCGGCAACGAGGCGGCGGAGGTGGGCCGTCGCCTGTAACGACTGCACAAAACTGTAATGAACGAGGACAAGCTTCCGGGATGCAGCTAGACAGACAAGAAGTGGCTAAGCTCCAGCCGCAGCATGGCAAGCATGCCTAATACCTCGCCGCCCATTGGCTGCGTGCCTTGGTGCCTCGCGTGCGCTGCTCGAGGTTCGCACGGCCATTGACGACATGCCGGGCTCCAGAGCCAATCTTCGCCGTGTCGAGCTGATGAGGCGCCTTCCTTCGTCTGGGTAGCTTGCCGGGAGCTGGAGCTGTCTCAATAAAATGTCCTGCTCCTCGTCCTCCTCCTCCGTGCTGGGGGATCTGATGAGCTGTTGTTGTTCCTGAACCTCATCTGATCTCCAAGATGAAGTTCTCCCTCGTGTCTGTCCTCGCCGGCTCGGCTCTGGCTTCGGCGAGCTGGGTCAAGAACCTGAACTACCGCTCACCCTCAGAGAACCACCCGGGCATGGGAATCGCTCTGCACAAGGTCAACAAGAGAAACACTCCAGACAAGCAGTTCACCGCCGACCAGCTCAACTTCACCCACGGCATTGCTTCGGGAGATCCATACCCTGACTCCGTCATCCTCTGGACGAGAGTCGCTCCCGCAGGACCACCCAACGGCAGCAACGCTTCTGTCAGCGGCTACGTCCCTCTCTACAATCACGGACCCGTGCAGGTGTCCACAGCACCAGTCTGCGTGCAGTTCAAGGTCGCCAGGACCCCAGACTTCAAAGAGGTTGAGAGCAGCGGCACGGCATACACCTCCAGCGACATCGACTACACCGTCAAGGTCGAGGCGAGCAACTTGACCGCATGGACGAGGTACTACTACCAGTTCAACATCTGCAACTCCAACAAGACGAGCCCGCTCGGCCGCACCAAGACCACTCCCGCCGAGAACGACTACGTCGCAAAGGTTGGCCTGGCCATCTACTCCTGCTCCAACTACCCATTTGGATTCTTCAACGCTTTCGGCAACTCGGTCCGCAAGAACAGCGTGGACTTTGTTGTTCATCTTGGAGATTACATTTATGAATATGCAGGTGATGGTGACTATGGATACGGCTACAGCATCAACCGTATTCCTAAGCCAGAACGTATCATCTATACTCTGTTGGACTACCGCGAGCGAATTGCTACCTACCGTACTGATCAGGACCTGCTGCTGTCCCATCAGACGTACCGTGAGTATATCACTCCGTCATAATTTCATGGGAAATGCTGACAACTTTCTCAAGCCTGGATCCAGGTCTGGGACGACCATGAGGTCTCTGACAACACCTACAGAGACGGTGCCTCCGAGCTCAACAACACTGAGGCCTCGTTCGTCATGGATGGTGGTGTTTCTGTTGATCAGCGCAAGATGAACGCCGTTCGTGCCTACTTCGAGTGGATGCCAATTCGTCAGGTAAGTTCCAGCACCACCATGTCTACAATTATGTTCTAACCCAGTCTAAGGTGGAAATGGACGACAACCTTAGAATCTGGCGCAACTTCAAGATCGGCTCGCTGTTCGACCTGATCATGCTCGACACCCGCCAGTACGACCGCTCGATCACCGATCTCTACTGGAACACCGACTACATCCACCAAATCTCCAACGACGCCGGACGCTCCCTCATGGGCAGCCGTCAAGAGAACTGGTTCTACAACACCCTCGGTGAGTCCTCCACCCGTGGTGCTCGCTGGAGGATCATCGGCTCGCAGACCGTTTTCTCCAAGGTCAACGAGTCGGTCAGCTACGGCAACACCAACCCTCTTGACTACGATGCCTGGGACGGATACCAGGCCAACCGCAACCGTACCCTCGACTACCTGACCAAGAACAACATTGGCAACAACATTGTCATTTCCGGTGACAGCCACGCTTCGTGGGTTTCTGACCTCGTCTGGCTCGACCACGTAAGTTTAAAAACCCCCAACAAGCCACACCATCACACTGACATTACCTACAGTCCAACTACTCCGTCTCAAGCGGCGCCGGCGGCCTCGGCGTCGAATTCGCCGGCTCAGCCGTCTCCTCCCCCTGCCCCTACGGCGCCAACATCACCATCAACTCGGCCAACAACTACTCCAACTGGCTCGAAGCCAACAACCCGGAACTCCACTGGAACGACCTCTACTACCGCGGCTACTTCGAGCTCCAACTCTCCTACGACGAGGTCAACGCCTCCTTCTTCGGCCTGCCATCCCTCCTCACCCGCAACCCGTACGAGATCTCCCTCGCCAACTTCACCGTCAAGAGCGGGGAGAACCGCTTGCAGCGCCCGATAGCGAGCGGGATTGCGGAGAGTGGCAGTTTGAAGGGCGGGCAGGTGCAGCAGACGAATGCGACGAATAATACGCAGACCGGGGAGTGGATCGTGAGTCATTTTAACATGTCGGTTACCTAGAAGTTGGAAAGATGGGAGGGGAAATCGACGGGGAAATCGACAGGGAAATGATGAGGTGATGATTGGAATGATCCAAGGCACTGTGCAAAAGGCATTGTGATGATGATATAGAAGACGCTCATTAGATGAAAAATGAACGAGCAAGCTACACTCCCTCATCCATCCGCCCAAAGTAGAAAGCATAGAATGTCAACGTCTCTCCGACCGTGAACATCTTACAAAGCTTCTCATTACACTTGCGATTGCTTAGGTAGCTCGCGAGCAACAGAGATGATGTTCTAGATGTTCTATACTTGGTTTGACCGGAAATAAGGGGGAAGTGTAGAGCAATGAGCTCAAGATCTTTCACCACAGGACCCTACCATTCATGACAGCGACTCGGTCTTGTCTTCAACCTCTTCACAGAAGCAAGACCAAACTCACATCGTGCGTGAAAATGAGGCAAATAGGGGCAAGTTTCGTGATACCCAACCCATCCCCCTCAACAATCCGTCCCCATCTCCCTCCCCCACACTCCCACAACCACCAAAATCTAATACCTCCCCTCAAAAGTATCCACCTTCCCCCTCACAACCTCCGCCACCGCATCCCTAATCGGCGTCTCCCCACCCACCACATCAATCGCCAACCCCTTCGTCCCGTCATTCTTCAGCACCTCGACCACAAACGCCGCGACATCCTCGCGGGGGATCATATTGTTCAGATGGACTTTGCCGGCGGCGACTTTGCCCGTCGCGGGGTCTTGGCTGAGGCCGCCGGGGCGCACGATGGTGTATTCGAGTCCCCGGCGCGAGTTTTGGGTTACGAGGGAGGTGTCGGCGGTTAGTTTGGCGGACATGTAGGGCTGGGGTGTATACATGGTTAGCACGAAGGTTCTTGTTGTGAGGTGGTTTTACATAAGGGAGGTGATGTGTATTCACGTACCCCGATAGCATTCCAAACTTTATTACTCCGATCTCTATCCCCATCGTTATACCACTCCGGCTCAGGCTTGTTCTCGCGATCGCGGACGTCCACGGCCGAGATGATGATGTAGCGTTTTGTGAGGCCGGCTTTGGCCGTGGCGTCCTAAGAAAAAAGATCACTCTCAGCCTACGCGGATCAGATGCTCGTGTGGGATTGATGGAGACGTACCATACTCCGAATAGCACCTTCGTTATCCACGGCTTTGGTCCGATCGGGGGATCCGCCTCCTGCGCCTGCTGCCCAGACTGTGGGAATCACATATCCACGTTAGCTAGAAATGTCTTTTGAGCGACTTATGCGTATGGAAAAGGACTGACTTATAGTCGACGGCTTAGTCTCCTTAATCGTCTTGACCATATCATCCACCGAGGAGTCCTCGATGGATTGGAGGATGGGTTTGCCGCCGAGGGATTTGACGTCGTCTTGTTGTTCGGGTTTTCTCTGCTCAACACCAGATCCATCAGCATTGATCTTGTTCTGTAGAGGATCTTGAGGAGTTTGGTGTTATTTCTTACGATAATGGAGTACACATTATGTCCCTCGGCGGCGAGCAGTCGCGTGATGTGACGGGCGACCTTGCCTGAGCCGCCGAAGATGAGGGTGTTGGCCATGATGGATGGATTGAATTCTTTCGATGGTAGAGCCTTGAATGTCCAGGTTGTAGTCCAGGTCTAACTTGTTCTTATTATACCACGGAAGCAAAGCGGCACTCGTTTCTCCCCTCTTCCATCATCACTCTCAGCATACTAAACATCCATGAGGGGATGACGTCGAGCTCAGGGTAGCTTCTCATAATCAGCCGGCCAATACCCGGTTGTGTCTTCGATCTCGGATATGCAAGATTTCAGCCTCAGGCACACCGAATTTCGAACCCTTTGGCGATGAGCCGTGAGGACCGGGTCATCGGTGAAAGTCAAAGCAATATTGCGTGCTCTGGCGTGCTTGTAAAGAGACGTCGTTTCACGATCATTACTTGAAAACTTGCATCCGTTTCCCTACTGTCATCAGAAGTGAATGTCTTCTTTATCAACCACCGTCGCTGCTTGTGTCGAGCGAGAACAACGCCAAATCCAACGCCAACCCCGACCGCCCTCCATTACAACAAGGCCGTAAACATCGTCATTACATTCCTCAGGATGATCACGCGCGCCATCTACAACTTGATGGCGTACTGCTTCAAGTACTCGTAATCCGCCACATTTTCGTCGACCGTCCGCTTGATCAAGTCGGCCGCTTCCTGGCCATACTTCTCGACCCATTCGGCGTACAACTCCTCGTCGCTCTTGGGCGCCTTTTTCTACAGGAGAGATGAGTCATCAGCCTTTGATCCAATGCTGATTGAAGTAGGTGAGTAAAGACACTTACATGCTGTCTCGGCTTGAGATCAGTCGAGTTGATGGCATCGTCGTGGAAGCCATCCCATTTCTCGAATTGCTCACGAGCGAACTGATGAGCCTCCTCCGAATCCCAGTTCAGCATGGCCTCGCTGAAATCCAGACCGACCGACTCGCAGTACTTCCTAAGGTACCCGACCGGGTCGTCCAGCATGTCATCGGCGTCAAGGACACAGATCTCGACCTGGCCTGGCGGCACCTCCATGTTCGGAGTTCTGGTGCAGACCTTGGGACCGACCAGGCCGGCATCCTTCAGGTAGTCGAACAGACGGCGCAGTTCATCGTACCCGGCCTCCTCAGGCATGAAATAGTCGAAGCCAGTCCTCTGCACCAACGGCGGAATACAGCATCGGTAGTAGCTGGGGATGGCAGACTTGGGATGACGAATGAGGAACGTGAAGTGGAACTTCTCGAGGATTTCCCTGGGCACAACAGTTGGATTGTCGGCCTCGGCCTTGCAGCCTTCATACGGGAACGGCGGGCTCTTGGGCGAGCTGGCCGTGGAAGAGGGCAATGCGACGCCCGAATCGTGGTCGCTGTCGGTATCCTTACCGCCAGCGACGACAGGCAGTCCACTCGTTCCGACTCCACGCTCGATCCTGGCAAGAGACGGAGCGATGGCTGAAGACTGCTGGTTCGGTGGAACGAGATAGTAGGTGATGTCTTTGATAAAGACACGCTTGCCCTGGTGGAATGTTAGCGGACACGATCATCTGTTTCAACAACTTTGATTGATGCTGCGACGATGGAATGGGAGATGGGTCATGGGTGATGCTGGCGCTTTACAGAAATCTTCGGCCGGCCCTTCCTGCACGACCACGCAAACTCTGCTTTTGGGGCGCGAAGAAACCATTCTTCGACAATGGAAAGAAACACATGCGATGAAATGTGCAATGGGAAAGGCTTCAATGGAAGATGCGACCGGGCTGAACGTTGAGCGACCTACCTCAGCGGCTTCCTGCTCGATCCTGTCCATAATAGTCCTGAAGGTGGAATCGCTGAATCCGCTCTCAGCGCGAGCCTTCTCGTCGGCCTCGAAGCGGCTGCCCATTCGCTCGGGGCCGTAGTAATATGCGTCGCCGAAGGGCTCGTGGATGGTCTGGAGCGATTGGCGGCGAGTCATGAAGACCTGGGCGATGTCAGTCGATGCGGTTGGTAAGTTCTGATGGTAGACTCACTCTCTCGAATGCCGTGGAGCATGCCCTGGGATGGGTTGCTACAAACACTGGCTTGTTCAACATGATGCCTCAGGTAAGGTGTGCACTTTCAGTCGGTAGATAATAGACGTATAGAATGCGATTTCCACCAATGCAGAGTAATACAATGGGCGAAGTGAAGTGAGGTCAAATAGAGGTGATTGGAATGTCCAAGCGAACAAAGAACTTAAGTGACGATGGAATGTCGGTTCCTGTCAAAACTCGTTGAAAGAACAATGAGACGACTGTGACGAGGGTCTACGTACGGGCAGGAGGGCACGGCAAGGATGGACGGACAGAGACGAGCGAATGCCGGGCCAGTCGCCGAGGCTGCGCTCCCGCAAGCAAGGCACGCAAGCCAGCACCAGCATTCAATCAAAGTCAGCGTCTACCCACAGGTTGAGAAGGCAAAACTGCTGGGCGGCGCTGCAAGCATGGGGCGCCATTCACGTAACAAGACGGCCCTCGCAGCCAGTGACGAGCGCACGCCACGAGAGTCGTGGATCCGGGTCCCATCCACGCTTGGGGGATCTAGTACACGCAAAAGGGCAGTGGATTAGTAGTAGCATTGCTGATGTGCAGACAGAAAAAACTCGAATCCTCGAGGGCCCCAATGATGGAGGTTGATGAGGGTGCTGCTGCCCCACTGTGGCTCCCGCGCAATCGGAGCAATCAAAGATGGGAGCGGCTTGGCGGTGCAGGCGAGGCAAGCGAGGCCGAGCCACGGCCGCGTTTCTTGTCTGGATCATCACACAGAAAAGAGGAACATGTGAAAGAGTGAGGGAGGTATAGCTTTCGACGTACAAGATGGGAAAGGGTGTATGAGGTGTCGTCGAGATAATAGACGGGCCCGGCCGAGTCAGAGCACGCTGGACCATCACTAGGTCGAGCACGCCATCCAGAGGCATGCTGATACGCTTTGGAGACTGTGCAACTGTCGCGCAAGAACCGTATGGGGAAGTCTTCTCTCGATAGCGATGACCGTTCGTGCTCCCCCAAGGTACAGCGCGCGTGGATGGGTGGCAGCTCTCGCGGCTACTGCGTCTACAATCTTCACGGCAACATCTCGCGTGTCTCTGATCGTCCAAGATGCACATGGCGTTGCACCATCGACATCGACTTCGTGTCCCACGCCACTCGCGCCTCTGCTCGTGTTCTGCAGGTCTTTGACGGCCTTGTCCTGGTGGCGAGAGTGCGAGGTCGGCGTGAAGGGTCTTCAAGTGTGTTCTCTGTCTGCCTCGGCTAGCTGTGGTCTTGGTCGAAGCCCCTTTTCAACCTCATGTCGACGGTGAGGTTGCTTCTCGAGAGCACTTGTCCGCCCAGACACTCCTCGTCGTCAACTCGAAAGGATGGACGCGAGTGTCAGCGTGGGATGCAACCCTTCTGCTCTCTGCAACCCACTGCTGAGGATGGTGCAATAGCTGCAGGAGATGATGTTGTTCCTCGCCTGTATGGCACCGCTGATATCGAGGCCTTGGGACATCTGAACTGTGTGGCATGACATTGCACAATAGACCACGTTCACTCAGATCACTCGACATCGACCGATGGGAAGTGCACTTCGACGTCCTCAGGGGAAGAGTCAGAACAGTCCTGCAGCCACTCCCGCAGAGCATACCAGTCGTCCGGATCCCACGTCGAACTCATTATACCAGCAGAGCGAGCAGTGGTAGAAGACTTGCGGCCAGTCGGCATCGCACCGATCGCATTTTCGTATTCCTTGCTCGTTAGGCTGGAACTGTTCCGATGGAAGCACGTCCGGTAGCGTCTTTATCAAGTCTTCCATGAGCTGTGGCTCGTCGTCCGCCCTGTGGCCGGTCTCGGCGAATCTGTAGAGCAGCATGTGCGCGTTCCATTCATCTTGTGTGGCGAACAGCCCTTGTAGAGTCGGACAGTCTGGCAAGACGCAGGTGTATGACAAGAGGTCCTGAGCGATGTGCTTTCTGGATGTAGTCAGAACAGAATCCGACACGAACAGCAATGATAGATTTCACTTCCAGCGATCGCCCGTGAGAAACCTCTACGGCAGACTTTGACAACAGCAGGGGCCTTTGAACACAGTCGTGCCTGATTCCGATGCCGGTGGTCGCGGATACTTTACTTTTTCAAGCGTGGTAGAGATCTGGGTGGTATTGCCTTGGAGGCCAGGAGGGAGTGTCTTGGGTGGTTTAAAGTCGTGCGCCGTGATTTTGCACATAGATGAAACGAATCTTCCTCAGAAGGTTCGCCTCAACGAGTCGACGCTGGATATCATTGGGTCTGTAGCTGAGAGCTGCAGATGGTTTGAAAGAAGTGCCGAGTACGGCAAGAAGGCGGACGCATAGCTCAGCGTGATCTTCTGGGTCAAATTGTCGATCGGCCTTGACAAGTTTTGAGCAGGTCCCTGCCCTTCTCAACGCAGCGGATAGCCGTACCAGCAAGTCAGCCTCGGCCTCGTGCGTATTCTAGTAGCAGATCAACCAGCGTTGGAACAGGTGTTACATCGGAACATGTGATGCCAGGCCGGGATAACTTCACAGGCGCTATATTAGCGTCTCACACAGATGCATAGGGCGATAATTGCCGTGAGAAGTTGGAGAGAGCCTTGGGGTGTTGATTCATCAAGTTAGGGGAGCCCGGGTTTTGGGGTGACATAGCATGCTCCAGCTGACGCCCCAATTGCCATACGTCGCTGACTTGAGCTGAGGCTTGCACATGGAGGCAAGGCAGGCTGATATCGTCCTCCCACCTTCTCCATCGCTTGACTGATAAGTCATATTCCCAACAAGCTTCATGATTGACTCGAAAACAAAAGCAGAATGATGGATCAAGGAAGTCTTCTGATCGCACCCAGCTTTCGTTTCATACCGCACACGTGCTCGACACGACTATGAAGCCTTCTCGTCGATCCTACCCGCCCTCATTGCAGGTTGACTGCCGTCAATGCATTTGAGCTGTCAGCAACCTATCCAGATATCGAAAAGGTGGTTGAGCATGGTTATGACGTTCTGAAGTCCGACCGAAAGAACGCGTTGGGGCCTTTTGGGCTACATCCCTGGATACTCAGGGCGAACGATCCTGATTTGTCTGCTGCCTTGTATGCACAAACGGGTTAGAAGTAGGCTTCAGCCTCGTTCGACATAGTCTGGAGTCACGAGTGGGTTACGTCGTTCAAGGTTCAATCCCTTCCATGTGCTTTCTCGGCCGGCCGGATCGTATTCATCGCGTTGACCACCATCCTCCGCGTCTCGTTAACAATTGTCCGGGCTCCATGAACATTCTCGCAGCCACTGGCGGCTAGTGATCTGTAGCAACGGACGCTCTCGCCCCACGGACTACGCGTACTGTGGGACGCTTTTCGTCGAGCACGTCATGGACTTCTTGCTCGAGAATATGTCAAATGTCACGATGGAGACTTCTGAGCATTTGCAAGGGTACTCGTAGTGTTACTTAACAATGAATGAGTCATGAGAAGACAGCGGTGTGCCCTGTGGATTTGGCATGCTTATCCAATGTATTGTAGTATAGAACCCTATTCTACCAATTCTTCTCCCGGAGGATGTGATCCGAGAGCAAAGTCCTTGTCTTCGTCTGACCATCATTTTCGAGCGCCCCTCGAAATCATTGGGCCGGACCAACTTTGAAAGAACCGACCCCGTTTGGATACGTCGACTCGTCGGGAACATAACACTCCGGGTCGTCTGCATTGGGGAAAATTCCCGTGATTTGGTTCGCGCAAGCCGTATCGCTGTAGAGAAACACTTCGCCGTCGCCCGTGCTAGAGTCGAGGGTGCCGCTGATGACGAGCGAGTTGACGTTCGACGAGAGAGCTTGAACATTGGTGCAGTCGTCGCTCGCCGTTACCGTGAATTCCAGCGCGCTGTTGCATTGTCGTCCGGTATAGCCTTCGATGCTGACTTGTGCAGTGGCAAATGGCATCACGGCGGCGGCGCCGAGCAGAAGGGAGAAGGTGGCAAGCATGTTTGGGGAGCGGCCTGTGTCGTTGTCTTGGCTGGAGATGGAACTGATCACATTTGGACGGCATTGAGCTGCGATTTATACTCGACTCCATGAACTTCGACATAACTGAGACGGATCAATGCTCTCGATCCTGTGCACGTCCGTCTACAGTTGGCAGCATTATTAATGCCTCGTTGCGACTACTAAGCTACAACTACTGTATCGCGTTAGGACATAATGGGCTTCAAAGTTCGTTCGGTGCCCTTTTAGTCTCCTAGACGCTTCCAGCTTAGGCATTCGGGAAACCATAAAGCGCACTATCACACACTCGACTACATGACAAAGGGATACTTCGAATCTCAAACGTTCTCCTAGTCTACACTTGCTCAGTTACAAGCCTGCGTTGTGCATTGTAAACCGATGTTTCGGATTGCAAGACATTCGATCTCTCGTTCTTAGTTTTCTTGCCTAGCCGTCCTTTCTATTTCGCGGTATAAATATGTTCACCTTCCAAATGAGGTGCTACCTGTTTTGGTAGAAACGTCTACATACGACGCACTACATATTCAAGAAACGACTCATAGATCCTTGCGGTGTTGTAGACTGGAAAGACAAACTTTATGTTGACAACGGTTCTCCCATAGTTCGGCCCGTGTACAACTCCCAAGTCCATTGTGAGGAGCCGATCTTCTCCTCGGCATCCCTGCGTGCACTATATGCGTACTATCCATGTTCTCTCTCCCACGTGCAAGATGATGTGATTCAGTACAAGCCAGTTCTAAGCCGCAAACGGCCGTCGTTTCGAACGATGTTACTCTGTTTGCAGGCTTACGTCTCATCGAGTGCTACGCCCGAACGTTCTATGCTCTCCACAAGATCCATAGTACCACGTTGTTGAGTCCTTAGTGAGGCGCCTACATCCCAAGGAGAGCACACTAAACTATATCTAGAACAAGGCTACCAGTCCCGGCTAAGGCAGTGTAACACTATATGTTGCATTGACAATTCGTTCAGCAGAACAATCAAGTGTTTTGCAATCCGCAACACCGGTTTGTCATGCCGTGCTCATATTTGTAACCCGGCAAAATGAGAGAGAGAGCCGCGCAGACCCAAGCCAAGTCTTGGTATAGCAAATCGCCCATATCGACCTTTGGTGTAGATAGAAGGTATGTATAAAGGACGAGCCTTCACATCGGTTTCCTCCCTCTCTATTATAATATCTCCCTTGCATCCTATCGTTCCGAAATCGCACCTCAATCATGGCGGTTCTCTCAAAGCAAGGCTTGGCCGTGTTGGCTGCAGCCGCGTGGACTCAGACCACGTCTGCTACCCGCGTCGCCTTCATGTCTGAAGAAAACTGTTTAGGGACCATCATGTACATGGCTCCCAACGTAACCCAGGAAATCCAATGCTACGACCTCACGGGGTACGACGGGATCCCATCGGTTGATGTCCTGAACACAACCCCTGGCCTTGTGGTCAACTTTTTCTCGGATTCGAAATGCCAAAATGCCGTCGCTGCCGCCGACGTAGACGGATGCAACAATGACTTGGACCCGTTCGGAAGTTGGTCCATCACGAGAAATGCCTCGGCCGCTGCAGACACAACAGATCTCGAGACTGTTCCAGGAAACATCAAGATGGGAAATTACACGCAAATGGCGCTGACGGACCCAAACATCGATCTAAGTTTCAATTTTCCTACTGTAGGTCACAAATACGACGGTCTTGTCAGAACTTGTGCTAAATACTCCCTCTAGGTGTCAGCCACCGTTTTTGGTACGGCCAGTCTTGGTCTTACCATTTATGGCGCGGTATACGCGTGTGTTTCTGCTACGGATGGCACAGCCGCCGACATTGTCGCCTGCATTGCAGGCCCCATCGCCACTATCCTTGGTTCCGTCACTGGATACCTCTATGCTCGCTCCGGCGCGGCGGCGCGTGTCAACCAGGACATCGACTTGGCCACGGGGACCTTCACCAACGTGCGCAAGCGTGAGGCAATGGACTCGGCGCTTCACAGCTACTTGGGAGAGTTGCTCCCGGGCAGTTCGCATGTCGGTTACATGTATCATGCTCAATATGATCAACCGAGCCCGATGTATGAAATTGAGCCGATGCCTGGCCACAAAGTCCACATCTCAGCGTTCATCAACGACGGGGGATCCATCACCCATCATCTCCACTTCGCAGAGGAGACTGAGATCGCCAAACGAGCTCAAGGGATCAGTGAACGAGCTGCACCATACCCATACAATGGCATTAGATGGGGTAGAGGAGGTTTCGATTGGTGCGTTCAAAATCATCGCTACGAATTGTCGCAGGTCTAATAAGAGTCAATAGGAATTTGTGCCCCTACAGTGGCGCTGGCAACGCAGGCTTGGCTCCGGATCCGTCTACCTATTACAATGCATTCTACGACCAGATCACTTGCATCTTCCCCACCACGGATCCTTACAAGGCCTCGACTGCTATGCAGGCTGACTTGTACGACACAAACAGCGTCCTCGTTGCGGACATTGAGATTATCCCTTACGGGGCAACCTTCAGTTCAGGAGCTCCTTCATGCAACAGCAGCCCTCCGCCAATTAACGGTGATTGTCAGATCAACTAGAAAAAAGGGACATTTGTATAGTCTAGAAGAGTACTTGGATTATACTACTGCAGGACTGAATAGGGGAAGATCGTACTTAATTCAACATATAAGTACTACGAGTGACTTCCAGCAGTCATGCTTCTCCTCGTATGAGTCTTCCTTCCGCTGGATCGACTCAGGCTCAGTAATCCATCTGAGATATGCGTCTCCGATAGGCTGAGGACCGAACAGCCAGTCAGTGACAATTGCCAGCTGCTTGCTGAACACGACGTGGGTAGACCAAATGTAGGAGGACATTTGGACGGCTTGGATTTCGTACTATGCTGCGATGTCCCTGTCTGATTGGAGGTGTCGAGAAAGTCATGGTGTTGGCGGCAGTTGAATTGAAATGAGGCTGTCCTCGAGGTGGCGGCTCAATCGTCTCGTGACTTTGTGCGAGGTGAAGGAAAGCTGCGCCCGTTGTGACCAAATTGGAAGTCGCCAGCCCCATGCAGTCGGCGCACCGTGGCTGCCATGGGGGCGCATAAGCGAGACTCGGCCTCGCTATCGATGGTGTGCAGTCTGTTCATGTTTGTGGAGGTTGATGTGCGAGAACAGAGTCTGGGGGCGGCTTCGCATGAGCAGATGAGAATCTGGCCGCATTTCCGCTATACCATTTCGGGTGCGAAGTAACAAGGGGTAAAAAGAAGCAAGTACAAAATCACAAGAGCTAATTCAATCATCAAATATCTTGTAGGCATTCGATATCTGATCTCTGGTGCTTCGGATGGTCACCGCTCGTTCACCACCCAGCCCCTGAACTCATGAGCGCCGCAGCACGCAGAGAATGTGTATCTTCAGATGGTTCACCGTTTAAGTCACACTCTCCAAAGGACTGCGCGTGTGCAGTCCCCGTGGTCTTGCATCGATGCCTGGGCCACAATAATAACAGCGGGCTGATGCGCACCCAACCTCGAGCCGCATGTGCTGCTGGAGACTGGCCACGGTCGTTGCGAGAGCGCTAGCTGCTGTCCTTGGGGACACGACACGTCGATTGGAAGATAGTGCTTTGGTAAGAAAGCATTCCCGATCTTTTCGAGCCGCGGGCGCATGGCTAAGAGCAGCCATTATCTCGATTCCGGTCGTCAGAATTGGTGGTCGTTGAGTCCTGCATGTATGCAGATCTTCGTCTCAGCATAGCGGATGTATCTCATTATAATTTCCAGTCAGATAAGCCACTGCCACGCCTCAGTCAGAGCCAGCATTGGCTTGAGTCGAGTAGTATTCGCGCATCTGGCCGGCCAGCTTTCGATCACGGAGCGTCGACTTTGGATGGCTCGGTAGATTCCAGTTGTTTACACCCCACCCTGATCAGCAATGTCAGCAAAAGCCACGATCGGAATGACACATTGCTAGGTCGATCGTACACCACCTGCGGATCTTTGCGCCCACTGTCTGCCCAGAGAACTTGGTAGCACCGTTCCAGTGACGCCCTGCCACGTTGTCAGCATGCGGCCAGTATACAGTCATTACGTTGATGTGTTTACACCCAGCTACGATGAGAGTCCATGCCATTCCTTGTACCAAGGGCATCAACACCTGTCCACTGTAAGCCACATGCCTCTCCTACGCGATATCTCCACCAACCTGATCTTTAATCGTGATGTATGTGATCATCTTCCAGTCATTCGTACTGCTAATGCTCTTGAGGTAGCTCTGCTCGAACCTGAGATCGGGAAGCTGGAGATGCGGTGGCATTCGCTGTCTCTGGTCTTGCGGCAGAGGCTTCAGAATCGACAGTGGCACCTCGTCCTCGTCAACGTCGTCTGCTTCGGATACGACATCTGCTGAGCGGTCGAATACAACGCGTTCCTTGGTGTCGGCGGCGGTCGATGGTGCGAGATCGCGTTCGGTGGGGGCTTTGTTTATGTGGGCGGTTTGGATGGTCTCGGCCGCTTGGATGGCAACATCTTCAAGACCTGGGGCCATCTTGAATTATTGTTCTATGTGTTTGGTTGGGGTGTATGGCCAATGTCGTCTCGGATCGATGGAGGAAGTGGTCGAGGTTCGAGAGTATCCTCCCCTTGCAACTTGATACTCGAGCCTCGGTCGAGAGAGGTTTGGTTCGAATCCAAGTACAACGGATAGATTGGTCGTCGGTCGATTCAATGGCAGCATAGAGCGTCTGTATACTTTGATGGGGCGGATTACTCGACGTCTTGAGTAGCTCGTGAAGGAGTGAAGTGAATCCAACCTCGAGTCAAGCTCAGAGGACTTCGGGACTTCTGGCACGTGCGTCAATCTTCCCCACATCGGAAAACAGGCGGGGCCTGGGCATCTGAGATTCAGCTGGGATGTGTTTGACTGGACCCTCAAGAACACCACGCTCTCTCCTTACCAACTCCCCATACCACACCACCAAGATGGGGAACGCAAACTCACAGATGCTTGATAGCATCGTCAGCGGTTCGAACTGTAAGTCGGCGCTCCCCCGCACCTGCGGCCAGCCCTGAAGCAGTGACATCAGGCTCGAGAACAACCACGTGCTGACCATATTTCTCTATAGTCGACCGAGATGAAGTCGACCGGTTGCGCAAACGCTTCATGAAACTCGACAAGGTGAGACAATGCCATTAAAGTAGCCCTCAGGCCCCGGCAATTACTTACAGCCCTCGCTACAGGACAACTCGGGCACCATCGAACGCGACGAATTCCTCTCCCTCCCCCAAGTCTCCTCCAACCCCCTCGCCACCCGCATGATCGCCATCTTCGACGAAGACGGCGGCGGCGACGTCGACTTCCAAGAATTCGTGTCCGGCCTCAGCGCCTTCAGCTCCAAGGGCAACAAGGAGGAGAAACTCCGATTCGCATTCAAAGTCTACGACATCGACCGCGACGGCTACATCAGCAACGGCGAGCTGTTTATCGTGCTCAAGATGATGGTCGGCAGCAATCTGAAGGATCAACAGCTACAGCAGATTGTGGACAAGACGATCATGGAGGCGGATTTGGATCACGATGGCAAGATCAGCTTTGAGGAGTTTACCAAGATGGTGGAGAATACCGATGTGTCGATGAGCATGACCTTGGACCAGTTTTAGTGGTCCTCAATACCCGCTGGATACACCGTGTATGGCGTTCGAGGAGTAGCAGGCGAGGAAAGTATCGCCAAGGCCGCATGCAGCAGGCTCTCATGTAGCCCATGAATCACACGGGTTGCTCGAAACGAGCTGAGATGAGATGATGATATCTTGGACGCCATTCTCATCAAACGTATCACATAACTTCCGAAAATAGGGGTATCTCTTCAAACACTCAATCGACTCTGCATGCGAACCAGCCGCATCGACAGGGGTAATCCAAAGGCACTCTACACCAGGATTCCCCAACCCAACAGCACGGCGATCCAAAATCCAGCATACGCTCCCTTCCATGCAATGCTCTCACTCATTGACTTTCTTGCTGCAAAGACAGACCACGCGCCGGGTGCAGCACTGCTGGAAGTTCCCCCAGCTCTGTTGACGTTAGCAATTGAACGAACGTTGAACGCTTCATCAATGGACTTACTTCTTGTTGGACGCGATGATGTTGGTGCTCCTGCCCCCAGGACAGAAGATGACTTGGTATTCGGCGCCTTTTGGTACGATGAATGTGCTGGACTGGTCGTCTTGCGGGAAAGAATAGGCATCAGGACAAATCGATTTCGCCGCTTTGGAGTAATAATTGGGTTGACAGCTTCCACGCGCCTCGTTCGCTCCAGTACAGCAGTATTGGTCACTGTGATATCTTTGACATGCCGAGTTACATGGATTAAATGCAGGCCTGGCGACGTTGCCGTCAGGGTAAGGATAGACGCCATCACCTTGGGAGGTAGGTGTGTCGACTTGACAATCCCAGGGACACCATTTCGAGACTGTATCTGCAGTGACTTTGTTGTCGAAGTCGATAGGGGAAGACGAATTTGTGCCGAGGAACTGCTGGTTGTTCGTGTAGGGATTGAAGTCCGATCCTGCGAAATCACCAATGCTCCCGACACATGAGGGATTCGTGCCACTCGGATCAAGCTTTTGCAGCGCCTGAACACCATTTGGAAGCAGAACAATGGCCAATGGCAGATTGTACCCATCGACCAAGCTTATGTCGTAGAAACTCTGGTCCTGGCCGCCATCCATGGTGAATTCTGCGAGGGTTGCTGGTGGATTTCCGGCCTGTCTGCAGTCAAGAGCGCCACACTCTCCCGTTTTACAAGCGCCATTGCTCCCAGGACCATTAGGAAACGTGCAATTCGTGCGACCCCAGATTCGACCTTGCCAATCTGCACCCACGTGAACAGTTTTGTTGTTTCCAGGATCCAGCTTGAACCCGGTAGCATTAGGACCGGTGCTGCCTCCCTGGGTAACAAGACCTGGCCAGATGGTGTCCTGACATTCATTGATAATGTACAGATCCAGAGTACCTCCGCTGGTGCCTTGTCGAGGGGCGATGACTCGCTCTATATGATGTTCAGACAGTGCGAAGGCGGCGAAGCATGTTGTCGACAGCAGAGTGTTCGCCCAAGACAGAGGCCCAAATCCCATCGCTCGACGTAAGCTCTTGCAGGCGGACCTCTTACAGCAGTCACTTGACGACCTTTGCCTTCCCGTGAGCTGATCTAGCCTGGAGCTTGGCTTTGTGGGCACGGATCTCTGCACGGAGGCGTTCGGTCTTGAGAGCAGCAATTGTTTTGGCCTTGCCGGCCTTGATCTTGAGGGATTGCTTCTGCTGGTGTAGTCGCTCGCGGGTGTGGCTGGTCCGGCTGCTACGAGTGGACCTGGTCGCTACTTGTCGATCCAGAATGGCGGTTTATCTGGGGAAGTTCGGTGAAGAGTAGGTGAAGAACAGACCGGCTGTTTGGGTGCTGATATCGTAGTATGGAATGTCGTAGTGGAGGGTGAAGCAGGGGGTAGAACTTGTTTTGAGGCGATGAAGATAGACGAGAGACCGCTTGACGCCATGGCACAATGGTGAAGTGCAGACCTACCGTTTCGGTGCGGGCAGCTGCATCCTCGCTTGCGTGCCTGACGCATGTTTCCTTGGTTGGTGAATGCAGGCGCGTCCACGAGGCGTCTTGAAACGTTCCTGCTTCGCGGTAATGTCAACTCGGTTCACACCCCCGTTTACGGCTACTCCCGAGCCGGTCCGGGTAGTGGGCATCCGACATCCGATGGCCGACCTCACCAAGGATCCCAATGGCTGCCTAAATGGTTCAGGACTCTGTATCGGCAGTGTAGCACTCCAATCGAAGTCAATACCACAAACACCTTGAGGGGTGGGATTCTTCCCGAAGACTTCGCAGAAGGACCGACTCTCAAGCTCCTGCCGATCATCAAAATGGATCTCACCATCCGACTCAAGACCAAAGGCGGTGTCGACAAATACCCAGCCAAAAGCCATGCCAGGAGATTTCGAGAGAAGCTGGGCATCAGCTCCGGCATCATTGTGGCATCCGGCACCAAGAACTTGAACTGGCCCAACTCCGACATGCCCGCACCGTTCAGGCAAGATCGATCCTTCTACTACCTCACAGGCTGCAATGAACCAGATTGCGGAGTGTCCTACGACATTGAAAAGGACAAGTTGACTCTGTGGCTACCTCCGGTTGATCTTGGATGGCACCAGCTTGTGTACTATGGCCGAGGAAGCACGGTCGAAGAGGCTCTTGAGAAGTACGACATCGACGACGCACACTATATCAAGAAGGAACCCTCGGAAGCATTTTCGAGGGCTGGATTTCTGGTGTCATCCGACTGTAGCGAGGCAGCTTCAAGAGGGTCACGCCTTGGAATCTTTGATCTCGAAGTTGGAAACGAGCTCATTTTCTCTCGGCAGACTACGTCAAAGCCCGATCTCTTGCAACGTGCTTTGAATGCTTGCCGTGTCATCAAAGATGAGCATGAGATTGATCTCGTCCGGCGAGCCAACGATATCACAGCGGAGGCACACACCAACGTTCTGAAGGGCATGCATGGCTTCACGAACGAATCAGAGGTGGAGGCCGCTTTCATGAAAACTTGCATAGCCCGAAAAGCAAAAGCTCAAGCCTACGATCCCATTGCTGGCTCAGGCCCCAATGCAGCTATCTTACATTACTCAGAGAACACAGCCGACTTTGGCAAAGGACAGACTGTCGTACTCGACGCTGGTTGCGAAGTTGATAGATACGCCTCAGATGTCACTCGAACACTCCCCATCAACAAGCACAACCCCGGTCATTGGTACTCGAAGGAAGCAGAGCATATTTACAAGCTCGTGGAGAAGGTCCAACAGTCCTGTATCAAGAAGATGCTGCCAGGAAACAAGTACATCGAGGCGAATTGGCATGCTCATCACATTGTTGTGGAAGGCCTGCTGAAGTTGGGGATTCTCAAAGGCGACGCCAACAAGATCTTCCACGCTGGTGTATCCGCGGCTTTCCTTCCACATGGCTTGGGCCATCATGTCGGCCTCGATGTGCATGATGTCTCTCCCGATCCTCCGCCACCCGCACAAGCCACGAAGGCCAATGTTGACCGCCTACGCGAGGCATACATCAAGTGGAAGCCAGAAGCTGCATCTTGGGCATCAGAACTAAACTCATTTGAAAACTTTGGCATTGGACCCTACTGGCAAACATCACTGACCAGCGTAGATGCGCCAGTACTCGAGCCTGGCATGATAGTTACGGTTGAGCCTGGTATTTATTTCAATCCAGTGCTATTGAGGGAGCTTCTATCAGATCCCAAACGGAGCCAGTTCGTTGATGAAGCGGTCTTGAAGCGGTATATCCCTGTGGGTGGCGTGAGGATCGAGGATTGCATTCTCATCAACAAGAAAGGGTATGAGAATCTAACCACAGCGCCCAAGGGTGAGGAGATGTTGAAGATTATCCGTAAATCAGCAGAAAGATAGGTTTTAAAAGTACGTTTATGCAAGCGCTATGCACGGATTCACATATGACCGCCAAGCCTCGCCTTAACAACGACAATAGGAATGGTGACAATACGCCACAATAGCAGCCATGACAATAGGCTCACACCTATACCTTCTCTCGATCTTTCTCCATCCTTTCCCTACACTCAAACACCCCAATCCCCTCCTCGATACCATCGTCGCACTGCCGGCCAGGCGAGATATCATCGAGAAAAATATCAACATATACCATTTTCACCTCCAAATCACCACGCCAACACGATGCTCACCTCCGCCCTGCAAGAGAAGCTCGCTCCGCTGGCGGACAGCATCCATACCAACCGCAAGCGCTGGTGGGCGCGCGTGAACGCCGTCCGCAACCAAGAACCCTCGCCCCTCCCTTCCTACAAAATCATCAAGCGGCGCAAGAAACCTACCACAGCGCTCGACACCTTCGCCCACCGCCTCAAGTGGAAGATCTCGCACGTCGCCGCGCGTAGCGCCCTCCTCGCCCGCTTCTCCTTCGCGCCGTACGATTTCACCCTCGAGGAGCATGTCGCCTCTTCCCTGCGTCCCCCGAGGGAGACTGAGACGTTCACGAACCAGCTGGGCAATGCGTTGCGCGCGACGGATGGGAGATTGAATCGGTGGGAGGGGGCGGTGAAGGCGGCGGAGGGGTTTTACTTTGGGCTGTTGAAGGATGTGAGGGATCGGGCGAAGGCGCTTGAGAGGGCGTTGAGGGTGAAGAAGGGGGAGCATTGGTGTGTTGGGGAGGTGGAGCGCTGGGAGGAGAGGGAGATGAGGCTGTTCTCGGAGGGAGTGGAAGGGACTGGGCGGGAGGGGATGAGAGGGGAGTTTGGTGTTGCGGGCAGGTGGCGGAGAGAAGTGTTGGAAGTGTTGAAGGAGATGAGTGAGCTGGGAGTGGAGGTTGCTGGCGGACGGCAGAAGATGATCACGGAGTTCTTTGAAAGAGTGTGAGGGCGCTACGAATCCACCTCAGCATCTCGCAAGATATCATCCGCAATCTTCAACGCCAAAGCATACACCGTCCCCTGAGGATGTCCCGGCGGCAAGAACGGAAACGCACTCACATCCACGACCCTCAATCTTTTCACCCCGAACACCCTGGCTTTCGAATCCACCACCGCCATCGAATCATTCGCCATACCCATCTTGCACGCCGCGCTAGCATGCCAGATCATGATACTGTTCTGCCGGATGTACCTCTCGATCTCGCTGTCCGTCGACACAGCCGCGGTGCCTGGGTAGTATTCAGGTCCGATCGTCACGTTGGCCATGCCAGCCCAGATCTTGCGCACTTGGTTGAAAGCGATTATGGCGAGTTCCATGTCGATGGGGTTGCTGTAGTAGTTGGGATTGATCACGGGAGGCTGCAATGGGTCGTTGCTGCGAAGGGAGATGTTGCCTCGAGAGAGCGTGGTGGAGATGGCTGCGCTGATGGTGCCGTAGTTGTATCCGTCCTTCGGGTCGGCAGTCAAATAATCGGAGTTGTTTCCCGAAAAGCCGTTTTCGATGAGATACTCTACGTGTGGCCCATCTGGGCTGAAGTTGTTCTGAAGAGCTGCCTGAGCTGAGGGAGACAAGGACGATGATGGCAAACGCTCAAAAGCAACATATGCAGGTCCGTTCGTGAGAGGACCAGTTTGGCTGTTGAGGAAGTCTCGTGCTGCCTTTGCCGCGTATTGTGGAGAGTTGACGAGAGATGATGAGGTCTCGACGTTTACCCGAAATCCAGTCCCGACATAGGTCTTGTCGTGCAAGTTCTGTCCGACCCCTGGTAGATCATGCACAACAGGTATTCCATGGGACCGAAGATGATTGCTCGGCCCAATGCCAGAAAGCCTGCGTTGTCGTCAGATGATGACTGCATATACTGTAGTATTGACTTACATGAGCAAATGAGGAGACTGGAAAGCCCCAGCAGACAATATCACCTCCTTGCGAGCAGAAAGACTATACGCAACCCCTTCCGTCCGCACTTCAAGACCCGTCGCCGTCGTCTGATCGAACAAGATCTTCGTTGCCTGAGCGCGAGTGTACACCTTCAACGACGTCTTAAGCATAGCATCCTTCAGAAAGCTACTCTGCGAAGAGCTTCGATGCGAATCTACTGGATTGATCGTCCCAGGAATCCATCCATGACCCTCGAGTATGCCAGAGCTAAAGCCAGTCTTGGAGTGGCTCAAACCAATGCTCTGGAAGCCAGAGGCTCCCCAAGTGCCTAAGGGTATCGCCCAGTTCGGCCAAGATATCTGCAGTGGTCCTGGCGTGGTCGTTGCATAGGCTGCTTCATCGAAAAGGACACTGCCATTCGGTGGCCACCTCTTGGCGTGGTTAGGAGCCGTGAGTGTGCAGCTATCCTTGAAGTATGGCAGCAACTGCTCGAACTCGTACGATGGATCGCCGGCTTCTTCTGCCCATTTTTGATATGTGCCCTTCGTTCCTCTAGCACTTGATCAGCATGACAGATGAATGGTACCTTTTCTGACTTACCGCATGAACGCCCCATGAGCTCTGGCACTGCTCCCACCCAACGTCTTACCACGAGCATAAAACAGACTCCTATCATCCAAGCCCTAGACAAAGATACATATCGGCCAAAATCGCCACCTCTGCTTTCAAAGCCCTACCTTCTGCGGCTCCGTCACGAATCCCCAATCAATCAGCAAAGGAGCCGGATGATTCGAGTTCCAACCCAAATGCTGCAACGGAGCCAGCCCAGGGATCACACTGCCATTGCCATTGTCCTGTTCGTAGAATCCTCCCGCCTCAACGACCGCAACTTCGTATTTCCCGCTCAGGGCGAGCTTCCACGCTACTGCAAGACCTGCCGTTCCTCCGCCGATAATTCTGTTAGAGATCAGTCATCGACAGAGCTGAAGAGACACAAGTATAGTTACACATAATCGTAAGTGGCGTTCACGAACGGCACGCCGAATGAGTTTGACCAAAGGGGCTGGTATCCAGATGCATGTTCATTGGCTTCGGCGAGGAGGAACTTGTTGGTAAGGAAGTACTGCACCAGGAAGAAAGCCACAGCCGTGATCTGTGAGGCTGGCTGCATCCTTGAGGTGGCCTGATGAAGTTTGTGCAAGATGGATCGCAAAACATGGGGTCGGCCATCGGAGTTCTCTGTTCAGCTTTAGTGAAACGCTATTGTGATAGTCCCGTGTCGTCAAATACCACTCACGCTATCGTGATTCCGTTCAAGTGTGCGAGAGTAGCCTCATAGTGATGTTGAGATCTAGTTCTACGACGTCTTCTCGAAATGCTCTGCCGGCTCTTCAAGGCTTCGGAAGGTTTGCCTGATGTAGTAACAAGTCATGGTGATGAGCTCTTCGTCGATTGCGTTGCGGCTGAAAACCTTCACGATCATCGACCAAACATCGCTGCTGTCTGGAGGTGGGCAGCCTTGATACACCAATTGTTGTCCAACCATTCTGCCAAGTTTCTGCATGGTCGCCACGAGCATGCACGTGTTCCGGAAAGCGTCCCAGAAAGGCATCCCAGATGGAAGCTGCAGCGTCGCGTATGTGTCTCCAAAGCGTAAGGTCTGGATCCGGAATTGATGTTCAGCGAGCCTTGTTCCATGCGGCTTCTCGTTTATTAACTGACCCTACGAGCATGTCCGACTCAATACCTTTTCTCGTCGAAACACAAGCCAGAGCCACGCCGTCATCAGGATACTTTCGGGTAAACAGCACCACAGTCATGCATAGCGATTGATTGTAGTTTTTGTGCATTTCGAGGGTATGAGGAGGAGGAAGCAGAGATAACATCCAGAATCGACTCCAATATGGCTTGGAATGGTTCATCGCCATCATGTACCAGTCGAATACCGCAGCGAATCGCTATTGTCGGTGCCGGCTGGTATGGTACTCATCTCGCGCACTCGCTATCCGCCGATGGACATACCGTCGTTCTCATCGACCAAAACGACCAAATTCTTTCAGGAAGCTGCTCAGGGTCCTTTGGAATTCGCCTTCATCTAGGACCACATTATCCCCGTTCTCCCGCAACACGAAGAAGTTGTCAGGAGAGTTTTCACAGGTTTGTGAGGGCATATCCCGAGCTCGTGGTATGGCATGAACGATCGATATACGGTTATGGAGCGATCGACGCGAAAGCTTTCCTTTCCAAGGTATCGAGAGAGACCTTTGAGCGGGTTTGCCGAGAAACCCCAGAAAGCAGACAGCTGGATCGAGCAGAGATGGAAGAGTTTCGAGATCTGGAGGTTGCGTTTGATTTACCCGAACCCAGTGTCGCGATCGGCTCGATCTTGCGAAGGCACATGAAGCGTCGACTGGAAGATGCCGGAGTGTCTGTTCGTCTTGGAGTCGAAATTCGAGACGTGAAGTACCTCCCCACTGGCAGAAGTGAAGTCGTCTCTGGAGATGGATCCTTCGTAGAAACAGCCGATTGGGTGATCAATGCGACAGGATTCCAAAGCCTGCTCTCTCAAGTCATGCCTCAGGCATTAGAGCTTGTGTATCAAGTATGCGTTGGCTTTGACTATGAAGATACGCAGCCTGGAGACAAGCCTTTCTCATTCATCGTCATGGATGGATGGTTTCCGTGTCTGATGCCTTGCATTGACGAGGTTCGAGCTCCAAAAGACTATGTGTTGATGCATGGGAGCTACACCATCTTGGGGTCGTATGGAGAACCGCAGTCCGCATGGTCACTACTGGCCAGTCTGAATTCAGACGATAAGGTCATGCCACGGCTGCTGAAAGCGACGGAAAGCGAAATGGGTCGTTTCTGGCCAGAGTTTGAGAATCGGTTCCAGTACAAGGGCTGGCATGGAACTGTTCTGGCGAAGCCTCGCACGCATTGCGAGTTTCGATCAAGCCTGGTCTTCGCCAAAGACAAAGTCATCCATGTCGTGCCTGGGAAGATCAGCAATGTCTTTAATGCGTACGATGAGGTTGTGCAGTTGATGGACGCGGAGCGGAATCCATCAAAGGCTCTTCAAGACGAGAATAGATTTCAGTATGCCTGCGGCGGGGCACTTGATGTCTCCAAGCATGAATTAGGAACCCTGAATGGTAGCAGGATGACAGACTCCCTGCAAACCTACTACGACTTCATCGAGACATGAAGATGTTGGGATCCTCATGGCTCGTATTCGTCACCTTCGGTCCAGGCTTGCGTTCTCACAATAAACCCCAAGCCAAGAGGTCCGCGAGGGGGTTGATGGCTTGAATAGCACACAAGCGGTCTCGTGAGCTCCTTCTCGATCAAAGCGAGCACAAGCGTGCAGTCAAAGAACACCGCATTGAGAAGCCGGTCTGCAATGCCGACATCAACAGTCCAGACCGGTACCCACAACCGTAGCGCCATCATCTTCAGGCTAACGCCTTTCATCCCATGCATTAGCATCTGGTGGCTCAATTTTCCTATGGTCTGATGATCAATCGAAATGCATCGTAGCGCTCGTTGCGGCGAAAGTGTACATACACCGGCCTGGAGTGAGCGCTCAAAATGTCTTACTTCTCGTTGACCGATTCTCCTCATTGATGCGATCTTGACCTGGAGTGTGTATGTATGACGCTGCTGTCGCACAGTAAACCATACCTTTCCCACATACAATGACGTTTTCATCATCGTGAATTCGACCTTGTCTGATGCGTACCATAATAATAATACGAAAGATGTTGGGGAAGCCAAAGCCAAAGCCAAGACATGTCGTCGGGATACAAGTTCCTACCCTGGTTTAACTCTGGCTCCATGGCTCCTTCCGCCGCGCTCAACCGGCCGGACGGCGATCCACGTCGCCAGCCAATGCGACGAGTGCCGAAAAACGCCACCTTCATCTTGCTTGGGACAGGGCGGTGTCTGACGGACTTTTTGAGACTGTTTCAACGGCGAGCCGGAACCATTGTCACGACGACAACCATATGCAGGTGGGGAGGTTGGGATGAACAGGTGGGAACAGGTGGAACAGGTCTCGTGACAATCAAAGCATATCGTATGGTGATTGATTGATGGTATTGCTATTCATACAAGGTGCTCTCCTTTCCCATTCCTCGTCAAACGCCAATTGTGTGTATAAAGGTAGAAAGGCATTAGCGATCTATTGTGCAATCCGGTCTCTGGGGTATCACAATGAATCGGTCCAAAAAGTAAAAGCAACGCTAATTCGCAGAAAAGAACCCAAGCGGTCAATCAATCGATCGATTGCTCGAGGTTGATGTTCGTTGTCGTTCGAGGGTTGTGAAGCGAAGCGCTTGAACGCAGCCAAAGTAATGTCAATAAGCCCTTCCCAGTAGTACCCGTGGTTTGTTGCCCGGCCGTGTAAACTCCGTTACTGAGCAAAGTCGTAATTGTAATTATGGTGGGGGTGGTGGTTGAACAAGTCGTGCGTTGAATCGGCCGTGTTCGTGTCGTATCGTTTAAAAGGTGCTCCAGACCATGCCACCCTCTGAGCGAGCCATGCTGCCCACACGCAGCTCTTCGACGGTTCTTGAGGCCTTCTTGATAGGGACGGCGGTATTGCCAGAGTTGCCAGAGTTGTTGGACTCGGCGATGCTGGATGCACGGGAGTGGAATTGTTTCCTCACCTCCTTCCAGCGGTCGGAGCAAGGCTTGCACGCTTTGCTAGTCTGGCCTTCTGGGTGGAATCGAGCGTTCTGGTCGAGGGGAACGCTGTGTTGGACGTGGGTCGCGCACACCAGGTTGCCGCAGCGTCGACAGTGGTGTCGTCGAAAGAACCAGGTGAATGATTCGCTGCAGACGTAGCAGGAGTTGGACGATTCGTCCGGTTTCCAGTGAGCCGTGGTCGGTGGCCCTGTCACCTCACGCCACTCATCTCGCGAGAGGTCCTCGCTATCTGAACTGCTTAACATCTGGTGTATACTGCCGGTCCCCTGCCTAGCCAGTCCCTCTGGCGGCAGTCCTGGTCCAAACTCGACCGCCGACGCTGGATCGGTTCTTGCACTGTCGAAGCTGCTGTCTTGGCTGGCAGGTGGGGTGTCTGGTGCTCGAGGTCGACCTGGGATATCGGTCGGTCTGGCGAGTCTGTCGTTTGGTCGGAGCGCGGCGGGGGTGTAGAGGGGTTGGCGAGGTTGGCGCAGCTGGCGTACATTGACGTTGGAGTGGTAGTTGGTGGGTGAGATGTTGTTCGAAGGTGGGGTTTGCGACGTAGGTGGGATGGAGGTGTAGGCGTCGGGCGGCGAGGGCCCTGCGGATGGGTTCATGTAGTATTTGGAGTTGGCCATGGGGTTCGCGAAGGAGGTGGTGGCCATCATGTTGGTGAGAACCTGGTTGGCGGTGCTCGAGTGCAGTTGGCGAGGGCTCGCTTGTCGGACAGTGTGCAGCGAGCGAGCGATCGATCAAAGAGGTGGCGGACAATGGCAGCGCGGCGCGCACTTGTATGCTGCGTCGCCGTCGACCCCGAGCTCCTGTTTCGAAGCGGTCTGGAGAGGCCTGGGGGTGGGCTAGAGTGTGCGCAAGGAAGGCAGAGGAAGCGAGTCTGGCGGAGTGCCGGCGGGCTTCCAATTGGCGATCTGGGTTGCGATAAAAGATACGAGCTGCCGGTATCGTGTCACCGGCTGGCTATCTCCCGGCACCTGGCACTCGACAAAGGAATGGACATGCAGCGCGACGCATAGCACTTATCACGATCAGGCCAGGAAAAGGCGCTGGGCGGGCAGCGATAGCTACTAGTAGTCGTCGAGGACCGCCCCTGCGACGACTTCGGCTGGCGAGCACAAGCTTCACAACGGCCGTCGAGGGTGGGTCGCCTTCACGGGCCATTACCGCACACAGCAGGCTCTCGCGTGTCGTCTTGTGCTACGCCACCGACTTCCTATCGTTCTCCGCCACGCGATCAGATGCCGTCTTCACTGCCCGTCCACCTTCACCAACCCGTTCTTCCTTCACCATACCATCCGTCATCCTCAGCACATGCTCCAAACAACCGCGCTCGGCAAACGCACTCGATAGCGTCCAACCCAGGCCTGGCTGCGATGCACAACCTTGCACCAACGACGTTTCCAGGGTCGGGTCCCGGTGAGGAAAGGTGATGAAGAGAGCCGCATCAGGCCCGCTCTGATTCGTGGGCCCGGCGCCGGCGACAACCTCATCTACCAAAATGTCGCCGCTGATTGGCCGCCGTATCTCTTATCAGCGAGCGGTCAGAGCGCTAGGGCGCAAGCGAGCTAGCCTCGTATGCACGATGCAAGTCAGCGCCCGCCTGGCCGTACTTGGGCCGATGACAGCCATTTCCCATGGGCCAGCATCGCCTCCCCAGAAGCAGCAGAAGCGTCGTCGTTGCGGTGCTTGCGATGATCGATGTCGCGTGCCGAAGGTTTATAGATAGCAGGCTGCCGCCCAGGGCGTCCTGGCTACATGTATCGCTCTCCACCTCGCCCGCCGACCGACAACGACGACGACGACGACGACGAGACGGTGAGGCGGGCGGCTGGCGTGGGACTGACGATGAGACGTGAGGTGTGGTCTGGAAATGACATGTGCAAGTGCAAGCCGCTGCCTCCCAGGGTCCAGGATGCGGCAAACGAGTGCGATTGATTCCGCCTCGGCACTGCTGGACTGCTGGCCTGCCATCTTCACAGCGGCTGCTCAATGGAGATGCCAAGCCCCTCTGTACGCTCAAACCATCGAGGCATCTTCGCCCGCCCCCGCCGCCCCCAGCGCGACGCCGTGCAACAGTAGGTATTGAATAGATGATGATGCGGTAGACAGCTGTCCAACTCTTGTCCTCACCGCAGCCGCCTCTCGTTGCACTGCAACCACACGTCCCAGTCGTTGACCGTCCAAACAATCGTTGTGCAGTCCCGAGACACCTCCAAACCGGCAGCACATCCCGGTCTATAGCTACCACCGCAGTAGCTACGACTGCTGCACGTCACACCAGGCCGATAAGAACATGTCCGCCGCCAACGAGGACACGAGCGCAACACCGCTCCCACCGCCACCCAGCCAGGATCCGCTGTCTGCGGAGCAATGGAGCATTCTCGCCGCCATTGCTGACACCGTCACCCCGTCCTTCGCCCAATCCACGGGCAACCGACTGCTGCAGCACCCATTGCGAGGTGAGGTCTACGATGCCACCGCCAAGCGTCTCCGAGATCTCTCCACCGATGCGGCCTCGAGCGATGTCGTGCCGGCCTATCTTGCCGAAAATGCCACTGCCCAGCCCGAGTTCAAGGAGCATATGATGCGCTTGTTGGCGTTTTACATGACCGAAATGTCGAGGAAGCCACTGTCGTTCATTCTAAGCACTCTCAAGTAAGCCGTCTCCACCGTATCCTTCACGCCACCCCTTTGACAGCTCCATCTCCCGTACGAATCGTGTTGAGCGTCCCGATCCAAGACCGAACTTCTTTCCCCCAACATAGGGCGGGTCACGCAAGCTGACCAAATCCAGCACACGCGCCGGCGCACTACTACTTACAGGCCACGCGACACCTTTAAATGGACTCTCCGTCCAAGACCGAGAACTGATTCTCCAGGGCTGGGCCCGTTCGCGACTACCGCCACTCCGATTCTTGCATAGATCGCTCATAACACTTGTGCGCCTCTTCTGGCTGCGCACTTCACCAACTGTGCCTCAGGTCCTTGCGTATCCAAGGTTTCCGGTGAATGCGGTCAACCCAGGGCCAGGCTTCCCGTTCCAGTTTGTGCAGATTCCACCTTCAGTAGCGCTCGAGCCGGAGGTCATCGAGACAGATGTTGTCATTGTGGGCAGTGGATGCGGCGGTGCAGTCGCGGCGAAGACGTTGGCAGAAGCTGGATTGAAAGTGTTGGTCGTGGACCAGTCGTATTACTGGTCGCCAGAATGGCTGCCAATGTCTGATGAGGCCGCCGGCATTCACTTGTTCGGTAATGGCGGTGCTGTCATTTCTCAAGATGGCAGTATCATGGTCTTGGCTGGATCAACCTGGGGAGGTGGTGGTACCATTAACTGGAGTGCATCGTTGCAACCGCAGGGGATCGTTCGAAGAGAATGGGCTCACAAGTTTGGGTTGAAGCACTTTACTGGCGCTGAATTCCAGGCGGACTTGGATGCTGTTTGCGAACGAATGGGCGTGAGCTACGCCAATATCAAGCATAACAAAGGGAATCGGGTGTTGATGGAGGGTGCAAGGAAGCTGGGCTGGACGGCCAAGCCTGTGCCACAAAATACTGGTGGTGAGGAGCACAGCGATGGCTTCTGCACGAGAGGCTGCCGTTGTTGTGGTAAGAAGGGACCGACTGTCACTTTCCTACCAGATGCGGCCGATGCGGGAGCCAACTTCATGGAGGGATTCAAGGTCAAGGAGATTGTCTTTGGCAAGAACGACTCCAACGGAAACAGGGAGGTCACTGGTGTGAGAGGTACTTGGACGGCCAGAGACACCAACGGCGGTGTGGTCAGCCTAGGCCGAACAACTCGTGAAGTGATGATCAAGGCCCGGCGGACCATCATCTCAGGAGGCTCGCTCTACACTCCACATCTCCTCCAACAATCCGGTCTCAAGAACAAACACATCGGTCGCCACCTCCACCTCCACCCAGTCTGCATGCTCGCCGCAGTCTGGGACGAAGACATCCGCGACTGGGAAGGCCCCATCCTCACCTCGGTCGTCAGCGAATTCGAAAACCTCGACGGCGACGGCTACGGCACCAAACTCGAATGCACCACCATGATCCCAGGCTCCTTCCTCCCCGTCTTCCCCTGGTACAGCGGGCAGCAATGGAAAGAATTCGTCGCCAAAATGCGCCGCATGTCCGGCTACATCTCCATCACGCGCGACCGCTACGGCGGCCGAGTCATCCCGGACCCCGCCGACGGCTCCCTCGCCATCGACTACACCCTCTCCACCTACGACCGCAACCACATCCTCGAAGGCCTCGTCCGCCTCGCCGAGCTCAACTACGTCGAAGGCGCCCGCGAAATCCACGTCTCCGCGCCCGGCATCCAACCCTTCATCCGTCCCAAATCCTCCCCCAAAGTCCCCGTCACGCCCCTCTCCACCCCCTCCGTCACCGACGCCGAATTCCAATCCTGGCTCCAGAAACTCCGCGCCGGCGGCCTTCCCTCCCCCGACGCGGGCTTCGCCTCCGCGCACCAAATGGGTTCCTGCAGGATGGGCACCTCCCCGAAGAACAGCGTCGTCGATTATCGCGGCCGCGTCTGGGGCACGAGTGGACTGTATATCGCGGATGCCAGTGTCTTTCCTTCGGCGTCTGGGGTCAATCCTATGATTACGACTATGGGGATTAGTAGGAATATTTCCAGGGGGATTGTGGATGAGGAGAGGGGGGACGCAGGGTTGACGTTGGATCCTTCTGCGGGGAGGGCGAAGTTGTAGAGTTGATGTGTGAGGGGAATGTATGTGTACGAAGTGATGTGAAGGGAACAGGACGGCTCATATAGGCGGCATATCTCAGCAGAGGAATATTCAAGTGGATGAGAAGACGGTACAAGTATAAACGAGAAAAAGAAGAAAGAAATTTAGAAATACAACTTTTTATATCTCTAGGCATACTGTCTAGGTGTATCATACCATCGTTGCAGTCAATGCAGGGAGCTTTTCATTCCATCACTCATCTCTATCCCAAACGCCTAGAGTAGTCAGGACCCACAACACCAGGCCAGACTTCATCATCGTTCTACCGAGCTTCGTCGGTGCGACTGCATCCTACTGCTGCTCGATCTTCGGCGCTACACCAGGCGGCGGCTCGATCTTCGCGGGGAACGCCGAAGTCCCCAAGTTGCTCTTACACTCGGCCTTCCAGTTCTTCGGCGTAATCATGTCTGCCGCCTCCTTGAAGGCAGCCAGTGAGCAGAAGCTCTCGTCACCTTCGAGGTGCTTGCCCTGAGGTTTGCAGAAGGGGAGTGTGACGGGCTGGTCGTTGTAGCGGATACGAACGTAGTGGCCTTCGAGTTTCTTCTTCTCGGATTCGGGCATGGTGACGAGTGGTTCGCGGGCGGGAGATGAGCTGCTCTTCGGAGACGAGAAGATGGAGTACCACCAAGACTTCTCTTTGCTTGGCCATACGGCGCCGCTAGGTGATGGAGATGACGCAGCGTCCTTGGTCTTGAACAGCTCCAAGGCGACTGATGAAGTGAAGTTGGGCCAGTGGTCTTTGTCGACTTCGAAGCCGCCGAGAGCAGCTAGGGTTGCTGCGATGGTGGTATCATGGCAGCCGGACAGCTTGATCTTGAATGGTTCCTTCTCGCCTTCGCGAGGTGTGCCGTTGGAATGTTCGACCATTCGCTGGGACAAGTCACCCACAAGGCTTCCGATGCCGAGCTTTCGGTATTCGTTGGATTCTTGGTAGCCGATGAACCATTCTTCGGTCGTGATCCTGTCGATGTTCTTGCGCACTTTGTCGTCGTAGAACTGCTTTTCGTGAGTACGATCGTCCCTACAGCTTCTGATTTAAACATACCTCTGCAGGTAACTTCGTATCTGGACCATGCGCCAAAGTAGCATTGACGGTATCCATGACTCCAGACAGTCTTGGGTGAGAGTCGACCTGGACCACAGGGCTGTCCTTGGGCATCCACTTTCCTATCTTCTTATTAATATACTTCATCTCAATCGAGTCATTCCACAGCTTGGCGGTTCGGTCGGCAAAGGCATGTGAGAGCTCGGCGAATCTCTTGCAGCTGCCTTCGTTTGGAAACAAGGTCTCGTCCTGCATGGATCGTTGAACAACGGCAGGAGGTTCCAACCCGGGAGCTCGAGAGGCCGCGGGATAGAGGCCGGTGAAGGTCTGCTGAACGCTCTCCAATGCTCTCTGGATAGGAGTGGCACGCAGGCTAACGTAGGCCCTCGAGCTGTCGTCGAGTGAAGATGGGAGGAAGCCCAGCTGGTTGACATAGAGCGTCCGTATTCGCTGTCCAAGTGCCGATGTGGTCTCTCTTCCTCTGTCAGTCAACTCGCCTGGCTGGCAGATGGCATCAATCTCTCCACGTGGCCCCGCAGCCAGCTTTGGCGCATCACCAGTGCCCAATGTCTCCAATCTCCTCTTCCACGCCAAGTGATCCCATGAACCGTTTGCGGCGACGATTGTAGCCTTCAGTTCGTTGGCGGCTTTGCAATACGGCCAAGTTCCATGCAAGCCGGCATTCTTAAAACGAGGACCGACAGGCGTTCGCTCGCCATGGCGAAGCAAGATCTGGACTTGTTGGAGTTCGAGGTTGTTGGGATAGAGCTGGGCGAGCTCTTTGTCGCTGTAGGGCGGCCTAGGAGTGAGCGTCGTCATGGTGGTAGGAATTGCCTCTCGATCGCGGAGGCGTAGACTACAGGCTTATCATGGTCTGGGAAGATGTGAAGACGGCGTGTCAGCGGTCAAGTCGCAAGCAAGCGTGAATGAGCCATGCTGGCGGACTTTCGGCGGGCAACATCCACATTTAGCCCATCTCCGCATATAGAGTTTGCGCTAGATGCGCCAATGTTCGTGAAGGAAAGTGAGCCGATAGACCTCACAGAAAGCTCCATGTGTCTCCCATTTGCTTCCAGTGTAGCATGGCCACGCCCTACATTTGCGCCGCATGTCGAGGCAAACTGATCAGACCAACCCTCAGAGCGGCTCACTCAATCTCGCAAACTTCGTCCCGGCACCAATCCACCTACGCAAGAGATGACATCGATGGATTACTGCAGACCTCCAATGGGAGAAAACAACCTGCAACCTCAGAGGCGAGGTCTGCTACGTCGCGATACTCCAGCAGCACTGGCAGCGTAAGAGGTCGATATTCGGGCAAAGAACTGCGTCCAGAGCAGCTGCTGAATCAGCTCGATCGACCGGGAGAGATCAACGCCAATGGGGAGGCTACGAGGCACGCGGCACAAGTACCTCGTGCACCGCGTCCAGCGAAAGACCACGCCCGCACACACAACGAGAACGGTGGACGTGGGTCACCCCGATATGCCGGTTTATCACCCCTGGCGGACCGATTGTCGAGCCAATTGATAGCCCAAGCAAGCAAAGAGGACTTTACAGGCTGCTGGCAGACCTTGCAACAGTTGGGAAACGAATGTGAGAACCTTGTGGCTAGCGAGTCGCGGACGATGTTTTCGAGGAAAGACATGGTTCCATCTCTCCAAAAGCTGCTGCGCAAAGCTACTGGACAATGGTTGGATTCCCTGGCGGGAAACAAACATGAACCGGGACTCCCGTCTCCTTTGGATATCCATAGCATACTGTTCCGTCTACGTGGCACGTATCCGGGACTCTACAACGCCACACTGTGGCACGTGGCTTCAGGCATCGCAGATCTTCACTTTGCTAACAAACTCAACAATCAACCTCCTGGCACCATTCAACATGCAGTTGGACTCCTGGTTCAGATGTGGAGAGTTTGTATCGCTCTTCAGGCGTCAGACTCTCGTGGCCACAGCTCCGCCTCTGGCTCCATGTCCACATCTAAAGTTCTGGCAGACGACACGGACTGGAGCTTTCTACCACCTGCAGATGCCTTTGCTCATTGGAAGTCAGACGTTCGAAATCGGTCGGAATTTGAGGGCGTGCTCTCCATGTTGTTGCCAGTATCGAAACAGCAAGATAATCCACAGAGACAATTCGACTATGCTAGTGCTGCTTTGATCACCCTGGACCTCGTTAAAGAGGTCAAGACGGACGGAGCCGAGGGTCAATCCATGCCTCTTTCACAGCTTCCAGAGCATGCTCCATTCGCACACCTGCTTGAGACCATCCTCAGAGCTTTTCCCGCGCCACGAATACCGAGGAGTCTGTATCATAAGATGGAACGTCTCGAAGATGAGGGACTCCTCAGACAGTACGAGTTCATGATAGCGCGGCTTGGACTTTATGACAACAGGCCGCAACGAAGCGCTGAAGAAGCCGAGCAGAAGGAAGACGAACTTCAGTCTACGCCCCTTTCGAGCGACAACGAGCAAGCTCGCGAGAATCGGGATCGATCAAGGGAAGATGTCGAGTTCGCTGAGAAGCCACAAACTCCACAAATCGAAAGCTTTGCACTTTTAAACGTCAAAAGACTTGGCCGGGCCTTGGAAAGCCGCGACATGTACCAGGTTGAGAAGATTCGACGAGAGGTCCATGCTTTCGCTGGGTCGCACCAAGACGACCCTAGAGCCGTGCCACTCGAGCTCTACGAGCATCTCATGCTCACTTTCCTGTCTTTGCAAAATCCGAAGGCCGCCATTGAAATCTGGAATCACGTCATGACTCTAGGCTACAAACCGACCGTGAAAACGTATTCCGTCATGATGCGTGGTGCCCGAGCATCGAAAGACCGTGCTGGAATGGAGGCATTCTGGCACAAGATGCGTCAGTCAGGCTACCAACCCGATGAGCATGCTTGGTCTATCAGAATCTACGGACTGTTTGGTCTCGATGCCGCAAGACAAGGCATGGACGCACTGAACGAGATGGCGCGGCAGTGGTTGGCAGCTGCGAAGACCAAGGCTATCCAACACATGAACGCAGCTCAAAGCAAGCAGTTGATCGCCAGAAAAAAGCTTTTCGCCGAATTGTTGTCCACGTATCCAGGTCCGGTCGACGGCGTACCACGACCGAATGTCATCATCATGAATTCGGCCATCTCATCTTTAGCCCATAAACGCGATTACATCATTGGAGATGTCCTTCGCTGGGGCCGTTCGTTTGGCATTGAACCAGATCTCACGACTTACAACGCTCTTTTGAACGTGGCCATGCGCAAAGGCGAGGCTACCGAGGCTTTGAACATCCTTGTGAGCATGCAGAAGCGTGGTATACAAGGCGATAGTACAACATGGACTGTTCTTCTGACTGCCCTCTTCCAAGGCGGATTCCTGGACGGGTTGGACCACCTCGCACAGCAGAAGAAGATTTTAGGCTTCGTGGATGCTCTTGAGAACAAAGATGGCACCATGCCAGGCCTGGACGAGAAGGGATATGCACTCATCATCAACCACCTGCTGAAGCAATATTCGAACCCTACCGCCGCGGATGCAGTCATGGCGCGAATGATCGCGACTGGACGACAGCCATCCCCTCATATCTACACAATTCTGTTGACACATTATTTCGACACGCAACCTGAGCCCGACCTCGCCGCTGTCCAGGCTCTCTGGAGACACATTGAATCTCACAACAGAGGTTGGGGCGCCGTACTCGACAACATCTTCTACGATCGAATGATCGAAGGATACGCTCGCCACCACCAACTCGCCGGCATCCAGCCAGCTTTGGGCTTCCTCAAGCGTGCTCGACAGGCAGGGCAAAGGACTGGATGGGCGGCCCTTGAGGCTGTGGCTCGGGCACTCGCGGAGAGGCAGCAATGGGACAGACTCCGCGCTTTGGTCGATCAGGTGAAGGTCGATATGAGGGAGAATAGAGGCGGAACGTCCGGCCAGGCGAAAGGAAGCTTCTTTTCCTTTATCGAAAGGACTGGCCTGTCCGCCAGGGAAGAGGACTCGGGGGTTCAGCGTCAGAAATCGACTCATCGCAGGGAAGGTCCTTTGATGAGGGCTGCGGCGAGTGCTGCGGAGGGGGCGTGGTCACGGTCGTTGGCGGATTAGCCTTCACAGAAGCACCCACAGAGTCGTGAGGATAGGCCCAAGAGGTATCATCATGAAAAGACATTGAATTGTATCCCACCAAACTCGTCCTTCGCCGTGCTGATTGCCTGTCCCAGAACGCCTTGCTAACCCATCGAAAATCTATGCATGCAATGCAGAATCCAAGCTACCGTCAATCCCACTCAAGCCATTTCTCGAGTCCCTCCAAGTTCAGCGTATCCATCATACACCCCAAGCAAAGCCCGCAACAAATCCACAAAGCCTTGGCGTAGCGCTCTCATGGTGGACGCCTCAGAGGTGGTTGTCGTCGTCGTTGGAGCTGGATGGCCAGCGACGTGCTGCTCTCATCTCGCGAGCCTCCGAGGCGGTGGTGTCTCACTGCGACATGGTGGTGTTTGCAGAAGAGGAGACAGACTCAGCGTCATCGGACATGGAGGTCAGGATTGAAGACCTGAGCATTGGGGAGGAGCGCAAAGAAACGAGCCGAGTCCATTCAGTCGAATCAAAGGCACGCTTGGCCATCTCATATCTGCGAAGGACTCAGCTTGAGAGCCTGAAGGCTACGAGTCGCTCGAGTGATGGCCTTCTTCTGCTGCCGTACACTCTCGTACTCCTCACGCTTGCGCTTGCGTTGAGTCTTCTTGCCTTCGTTCTCAGTCTTCTCATCAGCCTTCGGCTCGCCCTCGCTCTCAGTCTTCTCTTCAGCTTTCGGCTCAACTTCGACCTCCTTCACCTCCAGCAGCGTCTTCTCCAACCGCGCCGCCCACTCTCTCGTCTGCTGCATAACCGGAAAGCCCGACTTTCACAAACGTCGCAACTATTCGGCGGGAGAGTATACTTGGAAAGTACAACGTATAGGGAACGAAACGAATGTAAGAGGGTTAAATTTTCTGTCCATCGACTTTCACGTTTTAATACATTCCGTCCTTGACAAAGGGAGGAAGCTAATATGCATGTCTTACAACTCATCATAGTCTGTCCTCACTTAGACAACTCCTACAACGGTTTGACGTTGAGGTGCTTTGAACAATGTACTCACCATCAACCCCTGAAGAGGAAAGAACGCTGTTGCTGCGGTTCACGCTGAGCACACATATCGACTGCGAGATAACAGTAGAGGAAGAGAAAGCAACGAAAAGAAGGAAGAAAAGAAAGTGTTGGACTTCACCTGATGCCAGAAACGATTTCCCCAAACAATGTACCTACCATATCACATCATACGATATTAATCCCCCGGAGGCCCATCCAACCACAATTCCAAACTCACCTATCCTCAAAGAAACTCCCTCCCACTGGCTCTAGACCCATTGATCCGAGAACTGCCCCGATACGCCTCAATCACCTCATTCTCCGAAGGAGAAGACCCCGAGAAGCGTGCAGAGGCCCAGAACGCCTCGTCTTCATCCTCATCATCCGGTCGACGGGAGTAGATCGAAGACGCGACTCGCGGGTCAAAGTTCGTTGTTGCGGGCGTTCTTAGGAGACGAGCTGTCTCGTGGGAGTAGGCTGATGAACCGGTTTGTCGAGAGCGTGTACGCAGGGGCTCTGGGATTGCGCATCTGCGGGTGTAGGGTTGTTGTTGGCTGTCGTCGGGGAAGAGAGTGTCCATTGCCTGCTCGTCGTACGGGTCATCGAAGGGATTGTGCGGAGTCGCGGTCGGAGTCGTTGCCGGATCAATAAAGGGGTCCTCAACATCCTGCAGAGCTTCAGCAACAAACGCAACATGGTCATCCTGACCCGGTGAGCGAGGTGGACGAACCGCAGCGGTCTCACCCATCTCCTTCGTCGATGAAGGAGCAGATCCAGTAGCTTCAGCAACGTACCCATCCACCCAAGGCCTCTCTCCACACCTCGTCTTCATCCCCTTACTCAGCGCCACCCCCGTCTTCCACATCACCTCCACCGCACTCAGCTCCTCCTGCCTCCACTGAATACACCCCTTCAACGACACCTCAAACCACAAAATCCGCTTACTCTTCTTCCAATTCCTCGGATCCAACCGCGCGATCATGATAGCCCCCAGCGCGATCATCGCCTCTGGGTTGCGAGCGATGCACGCGAGTCTGCACGCGGCGCATTTGTGGTCTTCGTAGCTGAAACGTATGCTGGGGGATCGATTGAACAGCTTGCGGAAGTCGTCGGGTTTCGTCCAGATGGCGTTGACGTCTTGTAATGTGGTGAAGGGGAGGTCTTCGACGCCATCCCAGGTGCGGAGACTGGATGGGGTGAGTTCTTTCTGCACGGCTTGGAGCAGGTCGATGAGGGGCATGGGGTTTAGCTTGTGGTGGAGAGAGCAGAAGGTCGAGACTTGGGGGACCTTGGCTCGAAGGTGGGAGGGCAAGTCTGAGATCATCTGCTTCGTGACTTGCCGGTATGTTGACGCGTTCGAGGCATCGGGATCGGGCAGAGCATCGAGGATAGGGGCCATGAGTTCGATGTCCGTCTTGGAAAGGTCTCTGTACTCGTGGGGTGGGGATCGGTTGTGGTGGTGATGGTGACGGTGGTGTCTGTTTGAACTGCTTCTCGAAAGCATCTTGAAGTTGGTCAGTGGAGTTATGTATTTGCCTGCAGTGACTCTTTCTGGTTCAACCTGTTGGAGATGATGATTGCCTGCAATCGTCAGTAGGAGAAGTCCTAAGATCGAAAAGGAAGACGTTTCGAAGAGCAAGTCCTGAGACTTGCAGCGGCCACGGCGTAGATATATCTTTCTGCTAACTCTGCATTGACTGGGTACAATACATTATGCTGCTCTTTGACCAAAAATGAAAGAGCTTTGTATGAGGTCTTTCACCTCCTTTGTTTCCTTGAATCAACTTCTGTTTCGTGCCATCCAATTGGTCCCATATCGTTTCATTCCGCCTTTTTGCTGGTGGTGGACAAAGAAGTTTCGCTGAAAATGTTCCGCCCACTTCGCCGACTGAGACGCTCGAACGCTAAGACAAAGAATATGCTGAAGGCCTCAATCTCGGGCGCTGGAAGGAGCTTCTGGTGGTGATATCCGTGGTCCTCGTGGAGACTTTCGTAATATCATCAACGTCTGCCGCCGACCTTGAGGCCTGCGGCAGGTTTCGTGCATAGGAAGCACGTGAAATTCGATGGCAATGCTGCTGGATCCAGTCCAACGCAGGAGGTATGCACCCACTGGGTGCACGAATGACACTGGATCAAAGTCTGGCCTCTGTCGCTCGTAGTGCCGCAGATGCATCGAACAAGTCGGCTCTGTTGAGCGGGCTGTCGGCTTCTTTGAGATGAGTATGGAATGTCCGATGGTGGATGAGTTGGCGAGACACTTGACTGTTGGGACATCATACTCCATCGTCGGTTGTGCTCGTTCAAGGTACTTCCAGCCCAGTCCATCTGCGAATCGTCGACATTGACCATAGACTGTCGTCGATCCGATGGGACATCCATAGGTGCAGTGTCAATGGAAGAAGCCGCGTTACTTGCTGCACGTCTCTGGCCGTTTCGACTTGGCGTCTGCTTGCGAAGACTTCCTCCACGACGAAGCTGAGCAGCAGCAGCAATAGCAGCTCTGGACGGCGTCACCTTCATGGACGCCGCCGAAGAAGAGCGAGGAAGAGTCAGACCCTCTAAGTTTTCGACTGGCGGGTCAAGCTTGGCCGCTTTCGATTTCCTCTCTTCTCCTTTTGCGAAGCTGAAAGACGCACTTCGGCTGGGCGTCTGCTCCTCCTCTTCTGACTCGTCATCACTAGAATCGCTATCAAACAAGCCGGGGTATCTTTCTCTCATTGCTTTCTCGGGACTGTCGTCTTCTGCTTGTGTCGTCTGTGTCCTTGCGCGTCCGTTCTCGTCAACGGTCAGTATGACGGAAGCTCGCGATTGCGGTTTTGGTTTCTTCGTCTCTGATATGGATCCTAGAGAAGCCTTGCCCGCACGCTTGAGCGGCGAAGCGGTTCGAGGCGGCTGCAGGACCGCATTGCTCCTGGCAAGTGACTCTCCTCCTACTGTTGGATGCGCGCTCGAAGGTCTCGCGGTACCAGTCGTATTGCTACGTCGAAGCTCGCTTTTTGAGACAGGCGTGATGATGGCATCGGCCGATGTTGCGGTTTCTGAGCGCTGGTGATCTACATTTGCGCTATCCTTGCGCGCCGCTGCAGTCTTGCTCGCATTGTTTCGTGCCTTGACCTGGCGAGGGACGGATTGTAGTACTGGGCGCACCGGAGAGCTGTAGACAAGTGAAGGATCTACGCCAGTTGCAGTGCTGACCGGAGGGGGTTGCGGTGTCTGGTTGTTAGCCATTGGCGCTGCAGATGCCGGCCTCTGCATGGGGGCTTGTACAGGGAAGCTGCTCATCACAGGGGTGTCGAAGGCTACGGGCTGGCCATTGTTCTGCTGAATTGGCATGGCCGGCCAGCCCATTGCGCCTGTCGTTGCGGGTGCAAATGGATCATCGAGCATGCTCTGCTGGTTGTACACGTGCGGACTGGCGGTGTGTTCCCACAACAGCTGTGTCTGTGGGAATACTGGAGCTGATGCTGGCCCCAAGTTGCCGAATTGGTACACATCAGGTAAAAACTGCAGGTGAGGAAACTGCATATGGTTGTTCGGCATGCCTTGCATCTGTGGCTGCGCAGTGTTGACCTGTTGGGGTGTCACGAACCGCCTCGAGGCAATCGTCGAAGGAGTCCCAAACGCAATGGGCTGACCAGGCGTAGGTTTCTTCACAGAGGTCCCTCTCGTCGGCGGTGGGGTCTGCATGTGAGAAGAGTCAAACGCCATGGGTTGGCCTGGTTGAGGTGGAAGTGCCTGAGAGTAACCGTATATCGGGCTGACCACTGGCGCTTGATATCCCGCTTGACTGGGAGGTGGCATGACCTGCCCAGCGATAGGGCCGCCGGATTGTACGTTGGCGTAGTAGTTGTTCCTCAGAGTATCCGACGATGTCTGCTGCGCTCTCTGCATCGAAGCCATGGAGGGGTATTCGGGCTGGCGTGGGGTGGCATAGCCAGGCATCTGCGGCGTCGAGAAGGCATCTTGGAAAAACTGGGACGGGAGAGTCGCAGTCTTTGGCGTTTGGAAGTGATTGTGGTTGAAGGACGCCGAAGTGGGCGTCGCTGTGGGACTGGGAAAGTTCCAGTCGACCGCACTGCACGCAGGACCTGTCAGCGCAGAGCCATGTTGCCCAAGTGTGCATATCCTACCCATTGTATGTGGGATCGTATTCCATCTCCGTGTGCCGGCTGTATCCCGCCCTGGCAGGCTCTGCAGCACCCCGTTCACAGTTGCGAAGGCAAGCGTGCAGGCCTAATGCATCTTTCGTGCTTAACAAATTCGAGAGGTGTTGGAGAGCGGTGGAAACGGGCCGGGAGAGGGAGTTTCGGAGTCAGCTGGCGGCGGGCAGAGCAGAGCGATGGAGAAGCAATGGAGGATAGGATGTCGGCGAGTGCGAGGACGTCTACTTGATTACGATCCTTCGGGAGAGTCGTACAATAGGACAGATAATAATCACTGGACGGGACAGGAACGAGACGGGCGAGCGAGCGGTACTGGGCTGTCTTCTCCTGGCGAGCGCTGGTGCTGGCAACGAAAGCAGTTATTCCAAGGCTGCAGGTACCTGACAGGGTATGGCTCGGCGGACGCAGTGCATCATTGGAAGAGAAGTGCGCGCACGGTTGCGCTGCCGAGCAAGGTACACACGGCTGCACCAAAGTAAAAGCATGCCATTCCTCGGTGGAATCTGCTGAGGTTGGCGAGGAGATGTGAGCAGCAGCAGCAGCCCGCCGGAACGAGAAGCCTGGTCTGAGCACCCATGGCCAATTGCTGCTGGCCTACCCGTTGTGCCACTGACCGCGAAACGGTCAATCAAAGCCCCATCTCACTGCGACGACCACATTGATTATTGTGCCCCGTGAATTGCTTAATCGGAGCAGGCGACTTCAGGCACGCCTGGTGCATCGCCAGCCTGCAGCTCGTCGAACCCTTTCGCTGCTCCAGCGAGCGCTCATGTCCTATCACCGCATCCAAGTTGTCCAGCGCTGCGGCCGCTAGCAAAATCCACATGTCAGCTCAGCCCAGCCCCATCAAAATCTTGATTGATCAACGCCCCTTCTCGCCTAAAGTCTTCGATTGAGAATCCATTCACTTAACACACGGCACTAATCTCCGTCCCTGCGAACACCCCTCTCCCCTCCTCCTCCACTTCTTCAGCACACGACAACCATGGCAGGATATCTACACTTGCTTATCACCGTCATCACAATCGCCATATCGTCCAGGCGTCGATCATGATCAAGATTCGAGCCCCTCCTTGCCCAAACGTCGACAAGGTTACTCCGGATTGTCGGGTCCCTTGAGCCCGATTGATGCTGGCCCGGACGACGCCAGTAATGATGGCGTGCTGCAGCCGAGCGAACGTCCTGTCTTCCTGCAAGGTACACAGATATAATTCCACCGCCTGGTATGCGACCACAGAGTCATGTCAGATTTGACTTACTACTGCACCTCTCCCTGCAGCTGGCTGCTGGTTGACATGATGGACGTTTTGTGCCACCATGAATCGTCCGTCTCATCAATTAAATGTCGTCCCGGAGCTGTCATGCCGCCACATCCGCCCAGCTTCTTGAAGGACGATTTCTGGGACGAACAGGGAGGTTCGGCGGCCAGCACCTCTCTTCACGGCCGGCCTGCTCGCTCGCTCGCGTGATGATTTAGACTCTCACCAAATCGATCTGAAGAGGGGTCCATGTTCAGAAAACTCTGGTAGCTTTGCATCTTGCGAAACATCTTCGGGATCCTTTGGTTTGCGCTCTCTTCGATGTTCGAGAGTCTGTTCCACTCGTCCTTCACCACCGTATGAGAACGCAAGTCTGCTCCTTCCCCTCCTGCAGATGGGCTTGGCTGTGGCTGTGGTTTCACCCGAGCCACGGCGTCACGACATGGCGACCATGCGAACGTCTCGTAATCAATTCTCCTTAGCATACCGCTGGCACGACTCTGCTTTTCGTCATTCCCTCCTGCGCTTTGCATATACATATACCCTCCTCGATCCGGTCAAATTGGAACGTATGCAATCACCATCTCTCCGACTTTTAAGAAGCGACTGCGCCGCTGATTGCACCTTAAGCTGCTTTGACGGCTTGGGAGTAATGGGGATGAAGACTCCACTTTGAGCGGAACACCGACACGAACGATATAATAATAATACTACAAATTTGTGTTCGGGGAGTCGATGACGATGGGCTCTTCATGACATGAATCATCGTCGAGCTCAAGTTTACGCTTCTGAACCGAGCCTGGAAAAACTTCAATCTATCGAGTCTATTTCGCTGCCGGACGCCGACGCTGCCCAACAAAGCATCTCCACTATCAAACCTGCTTCTCAGGATCTCCCTGCAAATGCAAATGCCGCTGCCGTGAATTATCATTCTGTTGCTGTTGCTGCCGTTCTTCAATCCTTCTCTGCTTCTCTTCATCCTCCGCTTTCTGTCGCTTCAACTCCTGACACCACTTGCTATTCGCCCTGATACGGTCGCCGTAGCGAATAAACACAAAAGGCACAATCCCCATCGCTATGCTGACGAACCCGAGCAGACTACACGCCCACGAAATTCCAAGTCGTTCGTACATGGGCCGGGCGGCGAAAGGGATGATGACGCCGAAAACGCTTCGTGAACATGATGCTGCTCCCATGGCGCTCGCTGCGAACACTTCGTAGCTGTCTACCACGTAGTTGATCAAGGCCATGAAAATAAGTAGAAACCCGATGCCAAAAGGTAGCGCTGACAGCGTTGGAACGATCCAGTGAATGCCCGGCCTCGCTGTCCATCCCAGCCAGAAGAGGCTGATCGCAAACAAAGGCGCACCGAGACACGCAACCGGCAGACGAACATACTCCTCCTTGTGCGACCACGCCGGCGGTGGAGACTTGCTCCTCGCCTTGTCGAGATAATGTTCCCAAAAGAGGTAAATGCCCCCAGATAGGAAGGCGCCCACTCCAATAGGGATGAACGTCAGGCCTTCCTGGCCTGCAGTGAAACCGTAAGTTCCCTGGAAGATGATGGGGTATGCTTGGAAGTAGATGTAGAAGATTGCGTAGGCGACGCTGAGGTACAGACAGCTGAAGAGGATGATCCATTCGAAGAGGAACATTCGCACGGGACGCGTCAGGACGACGGTGGTGAATTCTTGCCAGGTTTGCTTTTCAAGTTCGCAGGGCGCGACGATGTTGGCGTTGCCTGTTTTCTTGCGGAGTTTCTGTGCTCTTTGCTTCAGTAAAATCGGGCCGTAGGTCTCTGGCATGAAAATGACGAAGGGCCAAGTCACGCCGGCGATGATGAGAGCGACCCAGTACGACCATCGCCATGAAATGGTGGCAATATACCCACTGATGATGGGTCCAGCTAAAGGTCCCCAAGTCGTAGCGGCCATGAAAGCGACCATAGCTCGTCCGCGAGCCTTTGGGGTGTTGTAGATGTCGGCGTACATGCCACCGATGACGGAGACTGGTGTTGATGCTCCTATGCCTGTGAGGAGACGCATGATGATCAGGCCTGAGAAACTCGGCGCCAAAGCGCAGCCTAAGTGGAAGGCAGTGAAGACGACGAAGGTGGCCACGACGATCCATTTTCGTCCAAAGGACTCACTCATAGGAGCGAAGACCTGTAATGTGTTAGCAAAGCATTCAATCGAATACCTCCCACACGTACCAACGGCCCCAGGACATATCCAATAAGATAGATCGACACCGGCAACACCAACAACGACTGATTTGTGATATTAAAGTACTCGCTCATTTCCTTGGATGCCCCCGATGGCAAGGCACTACCAATTGTGCTGTTCATGACCAGCGCCATACAAGTAAGCAAGACATACGTCTTCCTTCCATTGCTCCAGTTATACGGGTTCTCCGGATCCCCTCTGGTGAAGGACACGATAGTGTACTCGTCGTTGTCGTGCTGGCTCGGACATCGAGACGAAGGGGGAGAAGATTCTCTGGAATTGTCTCCGGATTTGATCTCATTCTTCTTTTCCAAATCATGCTCTTGGCCAGTGGCTCCGGTAGAGTGAAGATTGCTCATGGCACCAGCGTCAGTACCGTCCCCGGCAATGGAGCCCGTGGCTTTTTGTAACCCCTCGCGAACTTCGGGTATGGGAGTTTGCTCCTCAGCTACGTCTTGTCTGGCGATCGGACTCATGGCGAACAGACAAGAAAATGGAACCACACATTTGAGACGCGGTCGATGGCATGAAAATAGTGGCGTAGATGCTGTTCCAAAAGTCTTTGCAGTATGTTGAAAGAGTGAGCTACATTCTACGATCAGCTGGCTAACGACAGCCTCTTACCGCCACTCAACGCAATAATGCGAAGCTCTGGTAGTCCGCAGCTCCAGGTGTACGGTTAATCGGCATCGATCAAATGTCTTGGGTTCTGCTCGTCCCCAGTAGATCGACCGCCAAAGCCGACCTCGGCTACCTCTTCCACGCCCGCGTTCGCAGGTACCCGATATGGGCGGCCAGGCGGAAATGCCTCCGTTCTGCAGTATCGTATCGCATCACATCTGCAAGATGTCCACTAATCCCGTGACAGCATGTGTAGCACAGCAAATGCTGAACAATGCATGCAGGTCGACGAAGTTGATCGTGTTTTGCGTGGCGATGTTGCACCGTTGAGGAAGACATGCTGGCCATGTGAACGGTTCCCGGGGTTGCTCCCTTGCATCTCATGTGGCACTGCTCATGCCTCGAGATTGATACTCTTGCCAAAACGGCCGTAGAGTGCTGCTTTGAGCTCCTGCATCTCCTCGCGAAGTTCCGTCAATTTGTCCTCGACGGTGGACACTTCGCCTTCGATGCGTTCGACTGATGCAGAGAGCAGTTCTTGCACTTCCGGCACGGGTAGATTGAAGAAAGTGTCGCCGATTTTGTATCTGCTCTGGTCAGTGTTTCGTGTAGTGCAAGAAGATTGGGACGCCGCACGGGACTTTATCGTCTTCATCTGCCAGTTCCAGCTCGGTCGAGACTTCCTCCAAATCTTCCTTGTCCTTCTGTAGGACCGTCAGTTGGCGCTTCAATCACAGCACATCAATTCACGTACCTGCTTTGCTTTGAGCTCGTCTTCCAAGAGTTTGTGGCGGGAATGAAGTCTGCTGAAGCGATTGATCTTTTCTTGATCTTCACGGCGGACCTCCTTCTCCTCTCCCATCTGCTCCTCCTCCTCGCGGGAGAGCTGGAATAGTCAGCGTCATACAAGTTCTAGTTGTCTTCGATTACCGACCATTCGCCTGGACAACATCTTGGCGTCTTGTGATAGTAGTTGAGTTGCAAGTCAGATGTTGGCGACTTCGTCAGAAGATTGGGGGCACGTGCTGCGGGCGCTTGGACCAAGTCTCAATTCTGTGCGGAAGATCTCAGCACGCTAGCCGGCATAAATACCGCCCAATCTCCTTTCCAGACCTGTTTCCTCTCCTCTCCATACTTACCTTGAGAGGGTGTGCTCGCTCATGAATGGGTTACACCTAGTCATATCTCCTGCATTGCACAGCGCGGTGAGAAGTGGCTACAAGTCTCCTTCGGGGGCCTTGGTCTCGTAATTTTTGCTGGCTACCCGCACGGCATCTCGCTGCTGCTCGCTTTTTCATCACGTCGTCGCCAATATGGCGCGGCCTTGGAGAAGAGGTCGAACACCATCACCAGCACACCCTCGAACACCCACCATCCCACCTCATGTCGCCGGCATCACCATCACGAGCTCACCTCACGCAACTGCTCACACCTGTTGGTGACACTGCTGGCCGCTCATCTCGCATGTCCACGAGCTCACCTTCATCGCGAGTGGCCCATACCATGCCATATCACTTCCACGACAAGGCCGGCCCAACTGACTGGTCCCTCGGTCGCTGCATCGAGCTCACTGCGGCTTCATTTGGCACGACTCGAGATGTGCAGCAGCCAGCGGAATGTTGCTCTCATCAGGCAGCGGCTTGACAAAGATGGGCGTCAGACTGAGAGACGAGTGCACAGCGCCTATGGATAGACACAATCGAGAACTGGGCGATATGGCGAGCTTCACATCTCCGCCGGCGCCTGTCTTCATGTATTCTATAGTAAATCACAAGCTACATTTGCACCTCCGAGTGGTGGTGGAGGATGCAGCGAGACCGCCTGTACCTTGCTCTGAGACACATATAGACCTCAATACTTCACACGATAGAATGCAACATGACGACCAGGAGCTTCGCATGTGAGAGCAGTGCTTTTCCAGTGATATTCAGAGGGCCGCGATGATGCGTCGCGAGCTCAACCACCTCCCCAGCCAGTTTCGAAATCCTCAAGACAAATTCTGAACTTTCTCTGGCCCGCAACTTCGACCTCAACACACCACCACCCAACTCACAAAATGGCCATCCGACAGCGCAAAGCTGCGGTTGAAAAGCCAAAGCCCGTGATCGAGGAAGTCTCAAGCTCTGAAGACGAAGCTCCGGAGCAAGACTTCCACACCGAACCTTCAGACGAAGAAGACGAAGACGAAGAAGCCGTTGAGCCTGAAGATGCGCCAGAGGAGTTTCACACCGACCCCGAAGATGCCAGCGACGCCTCGCCACCACCGCAGAACGACATCCCTCTTCTCCCCACGGCTCTGCTCAAGGCCAAGCCCAGCACACCTGCGCCGCGCATCGAGTGGGAATCCATGTCGCAGAAAGAGAAGAAAGCGCTTCGAGATGAGTTGGGCGTGAGCATGCGAGAGCTGCGCAGTGAGGCACAGAAAAATGGCGTGCTGGATGCTGGAAAGATGGCGCAGCTGAAGAGGGGGATACGGCCTGCTGAGCGGGTTGCTGGTGGAAGGATAGCAAAGAGGAAGAGGAGGGCTGGCAAGCAGGCTAAGCCGGAGAAGTCAGGCAGGCAGAAGTTGATGGAGCAAAGGAGTCGTGAGACGAGGAAGAGAGGTGTCAAAGGGAGTGATCAGAAGGTGGTGAAGAAGAGGAAGGGTTGAATTGAATTGGGGTATCTCTGATTGAATATGCACAAATTGGACGCCCACACCGGACGCATTACCTGCAAATTGCTGCTGCCATCGTAATGCGAAATCTGCTCACGAACACCGACACGTAGCCTCAGCAGCGTCGCACCATGCCCTCCATCTTCATCATCAAAAGTCCAACAGCAAGCCAGCGACGACCTTCTCAAGATCCTCCACCTCCAACCAGCCGGCGTCCATATCGCTGCACTCGCCCTTCGCCGCCGCCTCCTTCTTCTCCGCCTCTGTCCTCGCAATCGCTTCCCTCACGAAAATCTCGATGTATTTCTGCAGCACCTGGATGGCATGCGTGTCGATCTTGGTGTTCTTGTCGGCGAAGGCCTCATGCAAGAGTCGGACCAAGAGAGGTTGTGGTATGGATGGGATAGAATCAGACTGTGAGGGTACGGGTGCTGCCTCGTCATCATCAGGCGGTTCGTTGTCGTTGTGGGAGGATATGGACATGGGCGATGGATCTCGCGTGGGAGTCTTGCGTCGAGGAGCGGCATTGTTGGATGCTGGCTTCTGCTTCGTCTTCCTCTTCGTAGTGGCAGCCAGAGGATTATCTTCTAATGTCTCCGAGTCCTCGTCTTCGCTGTCCGCTCCCCCATCGTTCTTCCCAGTCCGCAAGGCCTCAGGATCGTCTTCATCTTCCTCGCTATCCTGGATAGGTACCGACTTGGCACGTTTGGCTGCAGGCTTCTTTGCCGCGCTCTTGGGCTTCACAGACGACTCAGACTCAGTCCGTGGAACTTTCGAAGGTCGCAACGGCTTGAATGCAGGTGTCTTGCGCTTGGATGACGGATACACGACCGACTCCTTGGGCTCCTTTCGTGGCGCCATGTTTGCGATCTATCCATGTCGTGTTCTCAAGACGTGAATCGGAAGCTCTGTCAAATGTTCCTAGCGTTGCAGTTTCGCGTTGCGGGGAGGCCTGAGGCGGGGTTCCGAGATGTTCGACTTCACTTCTTGCGCCTCACTTCTCGCCATGACAGCTCAGCCTTCTACACTGCCTTGTGTAACATTGACGGACGCTCATAGACGCTCCAATCTCCTCGCGATCCACGATGGCTGCCATTCCACATCAAGCATACGTGCTGTGCGACGTTTTGCGCAGCTCTGCCATTCTTGACCGTGAACACTTGATCTCCCACAGGCGTCTCAAAGCCCCTATAACTCTTTCCGAGCGACATGTCAAAAGCGTCGAAGAGAAAGGCCGCGCGAGCGAAGAAGTCGGCGCCGCTGTACTCACCACTAGATCGCACTGCTCGTGAAATACGTCTCATCAACATCATGCCCCTCAGAGAAGGCCAGCCGGACGATACGCTGATTCGCTGCTCCATGTACACACACAGACTTCGGCGGCGCGATCAACACACATACGCAGCATTGTCGTACGTTTGGGGTGACCCAGATGATACGGTCGAAGCTCAAATCAACGGCCACACTCGATGCATCACGCGCAACCTTTCCGAGTTTTTGAAGATACTTCGAACTTCCTACGGAACCTGCAAGGCCAATGGCGAATATGCGTTACCTTCGATCTGGGCTGATGCTTTGTGCATAGATCAAAGCAACATTAAGGAGAGGAACCATCAAGTGGGCTTGATGCAGATAATCTACAGGCTCGCCTCGCAGCTCGTTGCATGGCTTGGGCAGCCGTTAGAGGATTCATCCACGTTCCTCAACCAGACACAAGCATGGAGGCCCGGGTATTTTTGTTATACCGAATGGTGGGGTGGCTGTCGTCGGGATTGTCGTCGGGACGGCGATACTCCGTATGAGCGGACTGTCGACAACCTTACATCTCCTGAAGTCGTCGAGGGCCTCAGACGACTCTTGGATTCAGCTTGGTGGTCAAGACTCTGGGTCATACAAGAGGTCGCCTTGTGTCTGGACGTGATCGCGTTTTGGGGCCAAACCCAGTTCTTCTTCTCGCACCTACAACGCTGGCTTCAACATGTGGTCGTTAGCCTTCTGAGGAAGAAAGACTATATCAAGGGTGTCGGCACGTCTGATCTCATCAAGACGAAGCTGCCTTTTGGATATCTGGCTGAGAAACGAAGGGCCCTAGAGATTGTACGGTTCAACCTGCGAAAAGAGCTACCGGAGCTCAGCACCCATGAGATGCTGGACTGCCTCAGCGCAGTCTCTGAACGCCAGACACTCGAGCCTCGGGATCGTGTCTTTGGTATCCTGAGCCTTTTTCCTTGCAATATCAACGTCAAGCCTGACTATGCGAGCAGCCTGTCGCGGGTCTTCAAAGCTGGCGCATTGGGCTTGATGGAGTTCATGAAATCGCCCGCAGTGATAATGGTGGCGGGTCTCCAGACCAGGACAGAGAGCGACTTGGCCTCGTGGGTGTCAGACTTTCGTCTCATGCAAGAATTTCCTAAGCTCAGCGGGCATGCTGATGGACAACGAAATTTGCCACCGGACTCGGTCTATTTTCACGGTGTGGAACAGCGGTTATTTGTGCAAGCACTGGTGATAGACAAAATCACCTGGACCAGTCCTTGTATGCCGAAGATTCCCAATCACGACATCTCAGGCGCCCCTCGATACGCTCAGATTAGGGCGACATTGCGCAAATGCCTGTCTATACTTACGTCTGGTGGATGTCAAGCGGGCGAGTTCGAGAGAACATCAGCCATCTGTGCCGCCGTCATGACCGGCAGGCGCCAGAATTGGGAGTCTCTCACCTTGGGCGAATCGCAAGCTGACCAGTACAATGTCGATGCCGAAACGAAAAGTTCTCTCGTGGAATGGCTTCAAAGGACAGAGCCACAGCCCTCTGACCAACAGGCTGATGACCAGATAATGCTTCAACAACTCACGGAGGTTCTTTCTCAGCAAAGTGTATTCATCACCAAACAAGGCAGAATAGGCAAGGTTCCGCTCGTGAGGCCACGAACGGGAGACTTGGTCGCAATCGTGGCGAAAGTACCGCTGCCCTTAATCCTGAGACCAAGACCAGAGCATGGCACAAACGTCTACGAGCTGGTCAGGACATGTGTTTATTGTCATACGTACATGAGAATAACAAAGTGCGATGGTAAAGCAACTAACATCTATGCTACAGGCGTCATGTACGGCGCAGCCGTCCGAGAAGCAGCTATGAGGAAGAACGGCGACGACACCAACGTCGAAGGGGTCTATCAAGAGATCGTACTCGTCTGAAAATATCTGCCCTTGTGATGTGACTAGACGAGGAAGGTCTTCGAGCTCCTCCTGTAGCGACGCACTCGAACGAGTGAGGACCCGCGAGAATGTATTCTGCTCAAAGTAGAAGATAGATTCCCATGATTCGTAAGTAGGTACTTCAAAACGGCTGGAATGCGAACAGAAAAAGGCATAATCGCCGTAACAGACATCGAAGATAAGATAATGGGTGCTATGCATTGCATTGTACTTCGCGCGAAACGAAACGAATGGTACACATTTTCGATCCTAGATCCTGTAGCATGATTCCATAGTAGACGAGTCCTCCAGTTCCAATATCAAATATCGAGCCATCTTCTTCTAGCGTATAGATATATCCCAAACCCCTTTGTCCGATCGATCTAGCGACTTGGACCTGCCTGTATGTTCACGCAATCATCATGATCCGTCTCGTAACGAGCGATCGAAATCATATAACCCTCACCTCCCTTATAATTCACGCTTTCCTCAGAATGTGAGAAATGAAAAATGATCGAATCTTCAAGGCTCATCATCCATGGCATTTACACCTTATGTCCTTTTCTCAAAAAAAAGAAAAAGCACTATTAGAAACTACTACCCATTGCCATCTTCCCTCCTCAATCGCTTCTAAACCGTTCATGTGCATCCAAAAGAGAAAAGAGACCATCAACCACGCCAACAGGGTTGAGTACGAAATTGAACTCCATCAAACTCCTCGCTACAATCAATCAATCATTCAAATAAAAGTGTTTCACCGCTCCTGTTCCGTCCAAGTCTCCAAAATCGTGAAAGTCGTTAAAAGAAAAAAGTCCTGTTACCCCCTTTCCCTTCTCTCTTTTCCAACTCCATCTCCTTCCTCTGCATCTCTTCGCAGTCAAAGATTAATACCTCAACTTCCCCACCAACCCAAAGGTATACGCCGCGTCACGTTCCTATCGCACACGTCAGTCTCACACCACAAACCAACAACACTTTCTGGACGTTTCAAAAGACTCACCGACTTCATCTGAATCATAAACACCGTCGTCTTGGCACTCATCACACCCCCAACAGCACCGATATGCTCCTTCTCCTGATACACGCTCACCGCGATGCCCGTGCGTGCGACCCGCTCAAACGCACTCTCGCCGAGCGTGACGTCGAGGATCAACTCGCCTTTGCTCTTGCCGTAGAGCAGGATGCGTTTCTCCGCGCCCGTCGTCTTGGGGTTGGCGGGGATCGACGGGTCCGGGCGCGGTGGGAGCATCACGTTCAGTCGGGCGGAGCCCATATCTCGCCATTTCGCGGCGGATTCGCGCACGTACAGACGGACTTTGGCGTTGGTGATGCCGACGGGGGTGCCCATGCTGGTGTCGAAGGGGATGGGGGTGGCGGCGCCGGAAGAGAGGGATTCGCTTTGCGTGCTGCGGGTGCCGGTCTTGGACTGAATGGTACTCTTGGCGAGGTCGAAGATACGGCTGCCTGCGCTGAAGCGTCGGAGGGCTGAGAAGGCGGACCCGACGGTGCCGACGGATGACTCGGTTGCTGCGATGGAAGCGGTTCTACTACCTTTGGAGCGGTACGAGCTGCCCATCTTCGATCCAAGGTTCCACCAGGACTTGCCGGTCGATCGGAGGTTGTTTCGGCGGTCCATGACTTCGCCCCAGTTGCTCTGTTGTGGTGGTCCTCTGGCGTTCTGAAGGGCGATGTAGGTTGGGTTGTCGATGCGAGCACGATTGATGAGGTTGTACAGCTTCTCGCACTCTTCAGGGGAGCGAGAGCGGAACATGACGTTGTTGCCCATGCGGATGACCGAGTTCGCGGTGGGAGGCGATCGAATAGAGATGTCGACTGCAGTGCCTCTTCGCAGAGGAACGAGTGGCGTGAGTTCGAGAGCGATCAATGGCCGGATACCCTTGGCAGATGGAGTAAGCTCTTCGCCATCGCCTGACAGAGGCACCGAGTTGGCTTGAGCAATGTCGAACGCTTCAATCAACCCCGGCGTCACATAGATCTGGCACTCTTCCGGATGCAGGCTGTCCCAAGTGCCTTTTTCTGACCACGAGAAAATGCAAGCAACGGTCTTTGCGGGCTCCATTCGAGTCGGTGGTACAGACCGGTAAGGCGCTTGGGAAGCAGATTCAGATGGATCCAGGCTGTTCTCCGGAAGAACAGGCAGAGATGCGGGCGGTGGAGAATGTCTTGCACCTCTCATGGTGTACTGCTGGAAAGCATTGAGATCACCAACAGTAGAGACGTCCTCCCGTTTCGAGAAGTCCTCATCTTCATCATCGACATTAGACTCTGACGTGAGCGATTCAATGTCGTCCAGGTCAGAGAAGTAGCTGTCAGACAACGAATCCGATGCTGAAGATGGCTCATACTCATGCTTCAGTGGCGACGATGGCCGTCGATCTTTCTTCATCCAAGCTGGCGTGAACGACGGTATGATATTCGACTTCAGACCAAGCGACATGGGCCTCGATTGTTTCGATGCCGGTGGCGCCTTGTCTTTCTCCGGCTCTGCCTTCGACATCGATAACCGTCGCTTTTGTAGCTTAGCCGGAGCAGAAGCAGGATCGGCCTCACGTTCAGCGGCTGCTCTCTTCTGCGAAGGCAACATGTCACGATCTGATGACGGGCTTTCAGGTCGCTTTGGAGTCGATGGTTGCCTCAGTTTAGGTATCGTCGGCATGTCCATCGAAGGTACCGATGAAGTGCGTCGATGCATTCCAGGTCGTTTACTCTTTCGCCGTCCAGGTCTGTCTTCGTCGCTGACAGAACCGTCCGAGTATTGATCTCTATCCTCCGAAGGCATCCACACGCTGTAGTTCTGGGAGCTGGCAGTAATTGAAGAGCCCGTCCATTCCGACTTTGACCTCGCATGGCTCGTCACCGGCCGTCTTGCGGCGTGTCCAGAGTGCATGTCATGCCGTGGTTGGTCGTAAAAATACGCAGGCTGTGTAGCATTATCCCTGTCGTTTTGATGAATATCATCTGGGGCCGCCGGGGAGATTGTGGTGTAATATCTCTTTGCCTTGGTCGTTCGGAGCGTCGTAGGCTCGTCTTCTGTGTAGACGCTGTTAACCTCGCTGCCATCCCAGATTCTAGAGGAGGATTTTGCTCGTTCGCCTATAGGCACTTCGATCTCTCGTGGTGAGGGATCCCTGCTCTTGTCCGGAGAGTCACCTGACTGCCCAAACGGCTCCGCTGAACCCGACGCAGGAACAGGCGCTGCTTTGAGCATGTTGAAACTCGACTTCCTCGAAAGCCGTGGAGGCATCGGTGATGACCCCAACATTGGCAGCCAGTCGATTGCTGTTTGCTCGTCGTCAGCTTGGAGCGACATCACTTCTCGCCATTGCCGCGCGTTAGACAGGAAACCTCGTATCATGACCACCATCTCACCCGGCCGTTCACCTTTGCGGGCCGAGACGAGACTGAGAGGTAGAGGCGGGAACAGAAGCCATCGACCGACGGTGGACACTTCGCAGAAAAGTAGGTCTCCAGCTTTACCACGATCGGGCGCATCGTCTCTGTAAATGATTTCAATCTTACAGCCAAGCTGCTGCCCACTCGAATGATTCATGTCCATGTCGAAGTAGTCTCGTGCTCTGACAGATCGTGTCGGATCGATGCTGACACCTGTGATGGGGGCCAAGCTGCGTGGATCTCTCGCTCGGGTTGCGTCGATTGCAGAAGCAGCTTCGTCTTCGAGCCGTGCTTGCTCGTCGTTCACACGCCTCTTCGCATCTGCCACCAGATCGTTGTATCTAGCCGTCATGTCCTCCGCGTTTGCCGAAGGTTGAAGCTGATTAATGATTTTGAATACCTTGGCCAGATGTTTGACACGAACCAATGGTCGTTTCAGGAGGTAAGCAACGTCCACTCTCTCTCCCTTCCCATCCACAAGATCACCATCCTTATTACGGGGTAAGCCATCGTCCCAAGCTGCCGAGCCGTGTTTTTTTGAAGTCTGCTCCGCTGGTGCAAGATTGACTACTATGTCTTTGAAGCCCAGCCTCCAGGCTCGAAGATATTCAGAGTACAATCGTGCCGCGCCGTCGGCCCAGATCAACAGCTCTCCCGGTTCGTGCATGGGAATACGCTTGTGCATCGTCTTTAGCTTTTCAAGCGCGACTCCCATATCGACAATGGGCCTCGTGTCACTAGTCGGGTGACTGAAGACCCGCTTGGCAGGAGCGGAGCCATTGTCAGATAGCGCATGTTGCAGTAACACGGGAATGACACCATCCACCAGAGTACGCAGCTCACGCTGATATCTGAGTTCGTCGGTAGACAATTCGTTCATGACGTCTCCAACAGTGGCAGGTTCCGGTCTTGCTTGCCTTCGACTCGCTCGTATACTACGCCGTGAGGTGATGGGATGCGAGTCGTCTCGAGACATTGACAGCACCGACATCAAATCTTCGTGCTTCGTAGCACGCCGTTTCAAACCTGTGCCATTTCGGCGTGGACTGTCTCCGTCACTAGCGCGAGACAGCACACTGCCGTCTGCAATGCTGGCGTCTTCAGGAATGGTAGGATATTGGCGTTTGTGAGGCGGAGCTCGTGGTGGAGGCTGAGTGTCGACTGATAGAATCGTAGACAATGGCCTGCCACCACTTGGTATGCGGAATCTGTCCGATTGCGTGTTGGCAGAGGATGTTCGTGAGCTCTGCAATGAAGAGTTTGGAAGCGCACCGCTCATCATGGCATCGTTTGTTGGCGTAGAGTCACGGCTATCACGGCCTTTGACGGGCGACGTGGACTTTTTGCGGGCTCCTCGTCGCTTCAAGCTTGCTGGACCGGAGGGCGACCAGTCTCCTGAATCTTCAGCCTCATGCCTGTCCTCGATGTCGCGGACAAGCTCTTTTCGAGAAGTTCGTCTCTGTCCGCTACTCTTTCGGTTTTCATCCGGTGGAGTGTTGTCAACTTCCGCATCAAGCCGCTTTCGAGACTTTTTCTTGGGTATATCAAGCGGCTCAGGCGTGAGACTTCGCGCGTCAGTGAAAGGATCCGGCATGTTGGCCAGCCATCCTTCGATACGATTGCCATAGACCTTGGGCGGTGCTGGTGCAGCAGGAGCCGGCGCAGGAGGGGGAGGAGTCGAAGCTTTCTTCAAGGGCTCCGTGATCTTCTTTGCGTATGCCTGTGCTGAAGTTGAAGGCCGTAATCGATCTTCATCGCTGACTGGGGTCTTGGCCCTTCGCCGTCCACCACTTGCAACACGCTGTGCATCTTCAGTTTCTAGAGCTTGTGTGGCTGATCTGACACGCCCGTCTTCCCTGCTCGCTGACTTCCGTAATCTCTCACGAGGTTCTGACACTGGTCTCTTGATATCTTTCGGCGGAGTAGTACTTGGTGTGGTGATGTCCGTTGCAGAACTGGGCTTGTCGATCGAGGACGGCGCTGTGAAGCTGCTCTCGGACTTTCTGGGGTCCTTGTACTTCGCATCTTCTTCGACCGTTCTTGACCTCCGTCGCCGCTTGATGTACACTTTCGTGCCGCTGGTCTCATAGTCCGGCGTTCCACGGCGTCCATCGGCCGAAGGAGATCGGGATCTGGACCGAGACTGTCTCAGAGGTCGGATTCGGAGTGGTTCAGGCTCTGGTTCAGACTCGGCAAAGTCCTGGTGTGAAGGTGGGATTTTCATACCCACATTGACAACACTCCTCTTAATCGTGACGGGTTTGGGTGTAGTGTCCCTCTCCTTCTCAGGCGTTGGCTTGGGCTCTTCCTTGGTCCGGTCTCGTCGCCAGTGGCCATCACTGATAACACGCTTCTTAGGCGTGCCCACACCCTTGACCTCCGGCGTAGGCTCGTTGGAAGGCTTGCTCTTCCTCCGCACCCAAGCCCCTCGCTCCAGGTCCAGATCTCGTCCCGTCTTCTTCGCGCCAGATGTCTTTGGCGTCACTACAGCAGGTGTGCCGGGGGTCTTCGGTGTTGTAGGTCTGCTCGGCCTGGCCTCCTCCTCTACAACCTCCACCTCCTTCGCCTCGGTCTCCACCACAACCTGCGCAACACCATTGCTCTTGCTAGCCTTCTTGCCTACTTTCTTCGGCTCAGGCGCTCGCTCCTCAATCACCACGACTTGATCTTGCTCTTGAACGATGCCTCCTCCCGCCTGATTCCAGCCCTGGATCTTGGACGCAAAGTCCTGCGATCGCTTCTTGGCCAACTTCTGTCCCAGATCGACCACCTTCTTATCCGGGGTGTTCTTCGCGCGCGCATCGTTGGGAGAGGGCATTGGTAGGTCCTGTGATTCCGGCGAACCGGACAAAACGTCAGACATGGCATCGATGGCATTTTGCGCGCCGGGCGTGGTGACATCGAACATTGGGAAAGGAAAGACGGCCAAGGGAAAGTGAGGGGAGAGATTCACATGCTAGCAACAGGCGGTGTTTGGGGGAGCTGCTGGGATGGCATTACGCGCGTGTATGGGGGAGAGCTCTCATACGAACCTCTTCCGAGACTGTGCCGTGGGGCCTATGGTGTTGTCGCTATGTGGATGCGACCAGGCTATGCGCTCGCTGTGCCTATCCGAAGCTTGAGATGATGATTGTGATGCAGTAGCCGCCGCTGCAGTCCGGCAAACATCGCTGACCGCCGGCCGTGTCGCGGTGTTTGCGCTGACCGCAGATGGGCGTGGTTGTCGGCTGGTTGCTATGCGCTTCCGGTGGACATGGGTTGTTGACGGCGGCTTAGCGAGAGCTGGAAGGGTGGGCACGGTCGAAGCGAGCGTCGCGACGTCGAGCGTCTTGTTGGTGAATGAATCGATATCGTCTCGTCGGATTTGCTGCTGGACAGAATGGTATAGGTGAAAAATGCGAGTGTTTGGGAGTGAGGCTGGATCGTTTCGCCAAGTCCGAAGTGTAAACAATCATCGGGATGGATGGATGGCTTGTGCGTCGATCTCGAACCAAGCCTGTCCCTGCTGCCAGCAACCCAACTTTTCTCCCATCAACGCCCAATGTGCAGAACAATCAGAAAATACCTGATTATACACCTACTATCAAGTATCGCAGCTCACGCTTTCTCCTATCTGCATCAGCAGCTGCGCGCCGCCCAACCGATATGCGCGGTTGGAGGCAGTGGTCCACGGCCGAGCCCCGACATGCACATCATCGGACAAGCTAGCGAGCTCGAGCATGCACGACAATGCAAGGACCTGCCGTCCTACCACTGGCTGCCGCTCTTCCACCTGATCAATAGACCTGCACCATGCTCGAGGAGTGAATGATGGAGGGTGTAGTGCTACTGCCAGAGGTATAGCGATACAGCTTCACGCACCCTTTCGAGAAGCTCAGCAGACGCCACAAGGCCCGGTCATGCGACCTCCTTCACCGACACGAAACCAAACGAGCCGATGTTCCGCGACTACACTTCATCCTTCAGCATTATCGTAAGCTACATCGCTGCAAGACGAAAGACAAAGTAGCATGGATTTGTGCAGCACGCAAACTACATCTTCGATCGAAGTAGATGAATACAGCCTCCTCTCCAAAGACAACTACCTGGTTGAACTCATCTCAAAGGTGTGTGCCTTCGCAAATGAATTTCAGCTAGCTGGACGTAGTCTCTCCGGCTCCAGCATCTTCCGTATGGCTCGTGTTAGTTCAACTGTCTATCCATCGTGGGACTTTGAGGTCCAAACTACAACGGTTCGGGGAGACAAACATCACGGCGGGAGCGCGATCAAAAACACGCATTTGGGGTATCTCGACGACAAAAAGGAACATTGTATGTACACGAATTTCTTCTCTAGATTTGTATTGTTTTCACTTTCTTTTTTTTCTTTTCTTCCTTCCTCATATACTCAATTACCTACCCCCCTCTTCCCCCTCTTCAATAGTAGACATCCCCATCTACTCAATATCCACCTTCTTAACCTCCACATACCCAGCATCCAACTTCGGCACCTCGACCGTCAAAACCCCATCCTCCATCCTCGCCGAAATCCCCTCCACATCCACCTGCGCCGGGTTCGCCCTGCTCCCCAGTCTCACCTTCCTCTCAAAAGCCCCAATCTTCCGCTCATCCAGCGCGAGGGTCTTCAAAAACTCCTCATCGCCCGGACGGTAGACGACCCCGCCGATGCTGAGCTCGCTCTTGTCCGCGTCCCAGTTCACGCCGACGTCTTCTTTCTTCGCGCCCGGGAGGGAGATGTGGACGACGAAGGCTTCGGGGGTGTCGAAGACGTCGACGTCGGGTTGGAAGGTCTCGTCCTTGGCTTCCTTGTTGTTGGTGTTGTTGGTGTTGTCTTCGCCGAAGAGCTGGGTTTGGAACATCTCGGCGAGAGGGCCGAAGGGACCCATGGCGTAGGGGTGGAAATGACGGCCTCGTCCTCCGCCCCAAAAGCCTCCGCGGCCTCGACCGCCCCATGGTCCGCCGCGGGCACCTGGGCCGCAGCGACGGTGGGGACCGTGTGGACCGCGGTGGTGCTCTGGGCCACTCTCTTCAGCCTTCTCGCTGAATGGCGGTGGTGGATCCCTGGAAGTCGATGGTCCTTCTTCTGGATCGGCCTCTCCTTCAGCAGCAGCATGAGGTGGTGGTGGTGGCGGCGGTGGTGGTGGTGGTGGTGGCGGACCATGATGATGTTCGTGATGATGGCCACGACGACGATCACGGAACGGGAAAGCGCCCCAAGGAGCACCACCCCAAGCACCGGCCCACGGGTTAGGATGCTCATTCTCGTTGTCCGACCCCTCGGCGTTGCGGTGGTTGGTAGCTTGGTTCTCCATATCCGCTACAAAGTCCCAAAAGGGAGCGGAAGTGTTGTAGTATCGTACTGATGGCATGATGTTTTCTTTCTTAATATAAGTGATGTGATGTGATGATGTTGATGATGAAGCAAAAGAAAAAAAGCCCACAACGAAAGAACACTCCAAACCTTTATACACTCACCTCATCCCTACACCCTCACCCTCTCGGAGGTTACGCCATCCAGGCAACCGCAAAAGCCAACGCGGCTCGTACGAAAGCACCACGAACCTACTAGAACACCCATGAAGAAGACGATCGAAAGCGGCAAAAAGAGGAAAGCAAATAGGCAAAGGAATGCCACGCGTCAGAGAGTCAAAGTAGGCTGGCCACAAGCTGATAGGCTGACATCCAGGTGTACGTATATACGCACATGCGGAAAAGTAGGGACGTGGCGTTGGCGTTTGTGGCGAAACTTGGAATGGGCCCTGTCGGTGATTCTTTGAGATGGCCCTATTGGGTGGAAAGTGAATCACTGTGTGGATGGCGTCTTGTGAGTCAATGATGTTTTTGGCGCAAGGTTGTTGTTGTTGGTGTGTGGTGTGAGGAAAGTCCTTCGGCCGTGGGTGGAGTTCCAAGACCCGAGCGGAGGGTCCGTGGGCAGGGGTCGAAAGGGAGAGGTGTAAGTTCCGAAGATAACTTCCATCTTCCGAAGACCTTGCCCAGTACGCCTTGTCTGGTCGAAGAGATGAACAGAAGTGAACAGTGATCATTACATTGGACGGACTTCTTCCTTTCCATTCTCGCTACCAAAAAACTCGACTAATCGCTATCAAAAAATTCTCTCTCGCGTTCTCGCGGTAGGCTCTCTTTCATAATGGTTTCATAAAGGGGTGGCTGGCTAGACCACGTGCAGGGTAGTAAGACGGTATTATACAAACAATCAGTAGCCAGCCCCAAGGTAGGTCATTAGAATAAATGCAGTTGCTTTGTTCTTCGTCGTCAGTGATGGCCGTTTGAACCAGAAAAACACCCCTTCCAAGATTAGACAACTCCCAGATTCTCTCAATAAACATGTATCGCAGGGTAACACAGGGCGCTGATGTGTACACGCTCTAACAAGCTTTCGTTCCCGTTGTCATTCGTGGCCAGGCGTCAGTCAGAGCATAAACAACTGCAATGCGAATCAAAACAGCATCTAGCTTATGACGACGCGGTCGACGATGTGAGCTGGAGAGGAAAGGATCAGCAAATGAGGCTTTCAGGACGATTTATATGACTTACGCTCGACAGCAGGTCGGTCACGGCGGAAGTCGAGTCGTCGGCGACTCTCTTGAACAGCTCCTCAGCGCGGCCAGTAAGGGACGAGATGGTGTCAGTGACAAGTGCCGTTGGCTCGTCACGGCGGTTGACAAGGCTGGTAGCGGAATCCTGGATCTCGCTAACACCGTCAACAGCCTCAGCCTCGACCTCAGTCACAGTGCTGCGACGAGTCGAGTTGGGTGGGGCGTTGATGAGCTCGGTGGCAGACGACTGGACGTCTTGGACAGTGTCAACGACCTGGCCTTCGGTGTCGGTAACGCTGGACCGCTTGGTGTTGACAAGGTTCTCAGCGCTCTGGACGGTGGTCTGCACGTTGTCGACGGCATCGTCAGTAGTGGTGGAGACGGTGTCACGCTTGTCGGTGTGGACGAGCTCGAGGACATCGCTCTGCGTGCTCTGAACGTTGGAGACGACCTCGTCACCAACGGCCGTCACACTAGTGCCATCACGCTTGGTGTTAACGAGGTTGGCGGCAGACTGAACGGTTTCTTGAAGGTTATCCTCAGCCGAAGAGACGGTCTCTTCGACGCTGTTATCAGCTGGGGATCGCTTGCCAGTGTTGACGAGGTTGGCTGCAGATTGAACGGTGCCTTGAGCGTTCTGTGTGGCTTGGTCCTCGGTCGAGGTGACGCTGTTGTCGTCGGCGCGCTTCGAGCTGGTAACAAGATCGGCAACATCCTGGACGGTCCCCTGAGCGTTCTCGACAATGGAATTTTCGGTGGAGGTGACGCTGTTGTCTCGCTTGGTGTTGACAAGCGCGGTGGTGCTGTTGACAGTGCCCTGAACGCTGTCTACAGCCTGGTCGACGGTAGTTGTTACACTGGTAGTGTCGGCTCGCTTCTTGGTGTTGACGAGCGAAGCAGCGCTGTCGACGGTGTCTTGGAGGCTGTCAGTCGCCTCGTCCACTGTAGTCGACACGCTATTGTCTGCTCTCCTCGTGTTGACCAGATCTGCTACGCTTTGAACGGTGCCCTGAGTGCCGTTGAGTGTGCTGTTGAGGGTGTTGGCGACGTCGGCACGGCCATTGATAAGCTTGACGGTGCTCTCGACGGTGTCTTGGACACCATCCTCAGCGTTAACGAGCGTAGTGTTGAGGTCGGCTCTCTTCATCCAGACAGGAAAGGCTTGAACGGTTGCGCTGAACGCAAGGGTGACGGCGAGGAACTGCATCCCGGCGGTGGTATTGAGGTGGTAGTAGTAGTAGGTAGTCTTCTCCAATCGATGTTAAGATTCGTCCCCTTCTGCTGGTTTGCAGGTCGTAAGAAGCTGTTGATGTTAAGAGGTCTTGTGGTATCGCGCCTCGAAGCGAGTGGTGGGCGATAGAAGTGAGCGTACAGAGTTACCAGAAGGAAGGAAGGAAGGAGGTAGCAGTATGCGGGCAATGACCTTTATCAGGCATGCAGCAACCAGAAACGACAGAAAGGAGCTCTGCCGTGCTCGACCTCGCCAACTTCGTCATGTCGTCTAGACGAATCAAGATCCTCGACCTCGTCGTCGCTACGCCGAAGCAGAACGTACGCAACGGCCGTCAGTGATGAGACACAGAGGCGAACGTTTGTAGACGTGAAGTCGCTAGGACCCGATGTAGTAGGCGCTTTTGTGTAACAGATGTAGCGCTATGTTGATCGACGAGGCTTGGCCACATGGAGCGATGTTGGGGGTTCCTCCAGCTGCAAACCAGATATGAGGCTCATCATCGCCGAACGGAACGCTGCGGCATGCCTACCTTCTCCCGTGAAGATCAAGCAGTAGTGTGGTGTTCTGTCGAGACATGATGTTGGACGTTATCGGCCCGTTGAGGTGCAAAATCGCCTTGGGCCCTGTGCTGCTGCTTTCAACGTTGCGTGCAATCTTACGAGCCGCCTCGGCTGGAAGCTCGACGATCACAATTGTGTTCCCTTTCGTGGCTTCCACGCAAGACGTACCATCGGACAGTCGTCAACAGTTGAAGGACAAGACAGCTGCTCGCGTTTGGTACATATAACAGCCATGTCGCGTGCAGGGTTCGGCAGACCACCAATACACTCTAGCCTGCTCGCAAGTACTGCCAGAGTATACGAGGTGTTGAAACGAGCGCTGGCCGTCGTGCTGCCGTCTAACTGGTGTTGGATTAGGGTAGACTGCCCGTGTATACCTACCTTGATCTTCAATCTCTCTGCAACGAGCGGGCGAATAGCGTGGAGTGCTCGTCTATCATACTTCCCATCTTGACCTGCTGAAACTTGGCCAGGGTAGACTTGTTCGATCGGTCTGCGTCGGTGGCGGACTTGCTGCCGCGTTTGCTTGCGCGTACGGCGTTATGCCTTTCGTGGCGTCGCGAACGGTTGTGGTGAAATGAGGAGTGAGGCTAAAATAGGACTGGCAAGGGGCTCTTAAAGATCGCCGGCTATTCCGCAAGCTTAAAGCCTAAATGTTGGGCCTTTTGATCCCAAAATGCGTGTGCTGAAGGAGTGATGAAGAACGCGCTGAGTCGCGTAGTTGCACCATCCCGTTGTCCACAGCTGTCGATGGCGTCGTTGCGATAGTAATGCTTACAGTCCAATCGTTGTGCGAAGCGAAGTTGGCATGGTATAAGAAAGTTTCGTAGAGATTGAAGACCGTCGGGCTTTCGATCAATATGTATTGCGATGGGATCATGAGAGAGCAACGGCAGCAACAAGCAGGCAACTCGCTCCTTTCGAAAGGTCCTCTCAGTATGGCGACATCTTGGGGATGGTTTGCGGCTGATATTGATCATTTGCTCGGCTCGTCTATTTCATCATCTCATGTCACACTCCCCATGCCCGGACCTTGAGCCCCTCGAAGTCCTCCCAACGTGGACACGTCACGCCGCTTGCTCATTATTTGCCCATGGTCAAGTACAATCGGTCGCCGATATCTCCCAGGCCGGGTTCGATCATACCTCGAGCATCTGTCTCCTTGTCTACTCCTCCAACCCACAGCTCGACACCCTCCGGCCATGCCTCTGCAGCTCTTTGAAGACCGGTCTCGCTGGCAAGGATGTTTATCGAGATGATCCGCTTCACCCCCCAATCTCTCAGCGTCTCGATCGCAGCGCATACTGTTGAGCCCGTAGCGATGATAGGATCCACGATGATGGCCAGCTCGGCAACGCTATCCTCGTCGCCCGCTTTGTGATACGGCAAATTGTTGTAATACTCCACCGGCTGCAGCGTGCTCTCTTCTCGATACATGCCCAGGTGGTGGACGGACACCGGCGACGGCAGGAGTGCTTGGACAGCGTCGACCATACTCAACCCCGATCGTAAGATAGGAACGAGGCTTATGTTCTTCGGCGAGACGTCTTCGGTGGTGTAGTCATATCCAAGTGGAGACTGATCCTACACATGGACAATGCCAAACGATTAGCCATCGTGATCCACGGTCTCCTACTGCCCGTGGGGTCAGCCAACGGTGGCTGACAGCGTTGTCATGTCCATGGGAGGATGACTTACCGTTCCAGTCTGCTGCACAGCGAGGCCGCTGGCGAAGGCATCGCACGCCACAATAGTTGCGATCTCGTGGACCAAGTTCTTCGTGTCTTTGGCATTGGTTGAGGCGGATCGTAGAAGCGAGAGCTTCGCCTTCGCGCATGGATGATTGGAGACGTGGACGTTGGACATGGTGAGGAGCCGCGTTCGGGCGAGGGAATTCAGTGAAGAGTAGAGAGACGAGTGTCAGGTCTATATGTGTGAGAGCAAATGGGTTGGCAAACCGTCGTACGTATCGCAACAAAGATAGGGCAACAGAGGGAAGCTTAGGTAGCTGTGGGGTCGTCAACAAAACAGCTTGCTGGTTGCTACGACACGAGAAGATTGTATCATATCAGATATCGCTCTTGTTCCAGGTGTGTCTCGGTATGTTGATATCGAGATGCTCGAGGTTGATGTGATGGAAACGTATCTCAGCTTTCGCGCGCTCATTCTTTTTTCTGCGATGCCTGATCTCTGAGATAAAACACGCTGACTCGCCGCCGTCCCGTCTGTGCATCATCGTTCTGTGAGAGGGAACGATTGGCCGCAGCGAAGGGAGATTACCGAGCGCCACCGTTGACACCAGCGACACAGCGATGCATCTTCCAGCCGCGGTCCTGCGCGTCTTCGTCGTCGTCGATTTTTCTGATGTGTGGACCTCCTGAGACACATCCCGGCACTTCTGTTGCGATTTCCTGGTAGCGACGGCGGTACAGCTTGTCGGATCGCATGGGTCTCTTCCATGGCCGCCGAAAGGTCTGTTCTTTACCCGGACGAGCCTGTCTTTGACGAAGGAGAGGATGGCCGGCCCGACCACAGACGCGAGCGCAGGGAGTCCTCGAGTACGATCAATAGTAGCCGGCGACAGAGCTACTATGACAGCCAACGCATCAACCGCCGCTCAAGGCCACCTTCCGGAGCAAGTCAGGCCACCCAAGGCACTTCGAAATCGAAAGGAAAGCGTGTCAGTTACCAGAAACCGGCCGAATTCGGCAATGTAGATGAAAGTGCGGTACCGCGACCGGTACAACAGGACGACAACGAGCGGCCTCACCTCGAGGATGAACGTGGCAGACAGCAACACCCTGGCGGTCTTGGCCTCCACCCTGTCCCAAACTTCAGTCAGCCTTATGCCATGCGCAGAAGGCCGAGCGGGTCTAACAGTCGCAACCAGAACATCTCAGAGGTTGAGGCGTTGCCTCCGGTACCAAAGACTGAACGATTCTCCGCCGCCACAACACAGGGCCAAAACACGCAGAGCAGGCCATATACCCAGGACGCCGAGCGCGCAGACTTGTCCGACTCATCGAACGACCGGCCATATTCAAGCAGATACCCAAGAGACTACATGCCTGCTTCCAGTGCAGTCCCCAGATGGCTGACGGAAATCTACACCATCTCGTACCTGATCTTCTTCGCTATCTTTGGGACGTTGGCGCGACTTGGCGTGCAATGGATCACCTTCTACCCTGGAGCACCTATAACAACACCTGTGATATGGGCGAACGTGGGTGGATCATTTATCATGGGGTTCCTATCCGAAGATCAAGGACTCTTCAGGGACAAGTCTAGAGATGAAGCCGGGCAAGAAGACAAGCACGCTGACCTTGAGACCATCAACAAGGCGGAATTGTTGAAACGCAAGAAGACCATCCCATTGTACATCGGCTTGGCGACCGGCTTCTGTGGCAGCTTCACATCCTTTTCCAGCTTTGCGAGAGACTTCTTCCTGGCCATGTCGAACAACCTCCTATCGCCAGTCAGCCATCCGTATCCCGCAGCGGCCGGCGCAGTCGTACCCAGCTCATACGTGGGCAGAAACGGCGGCTACTCCTTCGAGGCCATCCTCGCCGTCATCTTCTCAACTCTCGCCCTCTCACTCGGCGCCCTCCTCGTCGGAGCCCATGTCGCCGTGTTCCTAGAAGGCTACACGCCATCCCTCCCCGTCAACTTCGTCCGCAGAATCCTAGATCCATTGATGATCTTCCTGGGTTGGGGTTGCTGGCTAGGCGCAATCTTCATGAGCATCTGGCCTCCCGATCGACCAGGCGGCCCCTCGTCACGCGGATCCTGGGCAAACGAATCGTGGCGCGGCGAAGTCCTCTTCGCGCTCGTATTCGCTCCCCTAGGATGCTTACTACGCTTTTACGCGAGTTTGAAACTGAACGGCTTGGTCGCTTCCTTTCCGCTGGGAACATTCGCCGTGAATATGCTCGGCACCGCCATCGAGGGCATGTCCTACGACATCCAGCACGTCGGCGTGGGCGCACACGGCATGAACGGCGGTGGCCGTATCGGCTGCCAGATCTTGCAAGGCGTTATGGATGGGTTCTGCGGGTGCCTGACCACGGTCAGCACGTGGGTGTCGGAGATCAATGGTTTGCAGCGGAAGCATGGTTACCTGTATGCATTTACGACCGTGGTGGGTGGGTTGTGTTTGATGACTATCATTATGGGGAGTGTACAGTGGTCGCATGGGTTCTCGGAGCCGGTTTGTAATACTGGATACTCGTCGAAAGTACATGCTTGACTGAAGAGAGATTTGGAAAGCATTGCCGAAGCATTTGAGAAGTCTATTGTTGCATTTCTGCGAAGAGACTGATGTAGACGACCCCTTTGATGATGATAGAGATGCTATATGAGCACATAAAATAGTAATTGAGAAAGAACTTCTACCTACGCCCTCGTTCGACTGGATTTACAACTTCACCTCGCCACCACTCTTCCCATACCTACCAAGCTGCGAATCAGCCACCCATGCTCATCCTACTTCCGACTCACTTCCCATACTTCCCAATCCACTCCCCCACCAAACCCACAATCTTCTCAGGACACTCCTCCGGCAAATAATGCCCAAACTCATCCCCAATCCCCTCAAACCTCACCTCCTTCCCAGCCTTCCCATCAACCCACCCACCCCAAACCTTCTCAACATTATGCATCCGCCCCAAACTCCCCGCGGAATAAACCACCATCAGCGGCACACTCACCTTCCTCCCCTCCCTCTGATCCTTCTCCTGCGCCTCCACGTCTGTCGTCGCCCCGGCTGCGTAATCCCCACAACTCCCCGCCACACACTCCGGGTTGGTGAATTGATGCGCGTAGTGGTCGATGGCGAGGTCCTCGCGGAATTTCGCGACGCCGGCGGAGTTGGCGCCTTGCGCGCGGGAGAGGTTGATGCGGGTGAATTCTCCCGGACCGCTGTTGAAGCCCTCGATGAGTTGGGGCGCGGTGGGGATGGCAAGGAAGGGCCAGTGGTAGTAGGCGACGGAGGCGAGGGGGTTGGCGAAGGCGGCCCATTGTTCCTTGGTGGGGACGATGTCGATGAGGATGGCGGAGGTGATGTTGTGTTTGGGGTCGTTGTCGACGATCATGCGGTGGCCGATGCGGGCGCCGCGGTCGTGGCCGCACCAGACGACTGGGCGGGATGGGAAGACTTGTTGGAGGGCTTCGAGGATGAGGGTGCCGACGGTGCGTTTGTCGTGGGCTGGGGGGAGGGAGGAGAAGCCGTAGCCGGGGAGTTCGACGATGAAGAGTGAGATGGAGTCTTTCCAGGAGGCGATTACGTGTCGCCACCTGGGGGTGAGTTAGTTGAGGAGGTTGTTGTGAAGGAGGTGTTGATGGGTGTATTTACATGTAGGCGCTCTGGGGCCAGCCATGGACGACGCAGAGGACTGGGCCTGATCCCAAGTCATGGGAGTAGCTCTTCACAGTCCCGCCTGAGGAGACTTTGGTGTCATTCTCCTGAAGCCAAGGGTGGATCGTCTTGAGAGTCTGGTCTGCCATAGTTGCTAATGTGTTTGGTGCGAAATTCCTGTGCCTTGACTTCACATATATATAGTTATTCTTCTCCACGCCCTGATATGACCAGTCCGAGGTTAGCTCTTCAACTGTCTGACAAACCTCACATGCTGAGAGCTTGCAAGGTCTGTCATGACGTGAGATGCTTCAGCTCCAGCTTCAACAAGGCGGGGACGGCTATTTTCCGTGAAGCATTAAAGATCCAAGACGGTAAATCGCCATCGCAGGGTTATGCTATGATTGATGACTATACCTTTGAGGAAGTAGGCTGACTGTTCGGAGAAGTGTTGCTCCTAGTCAATAGGCTTCTGAAAGACTTCCTGACAGTTCAATGTGTGCATGCCCCACCGCGCCTTCAGGGTCGTTGTCCGATGCTGTGTCATTTGAGCGATTAAAAGTAATGTTTCTCGTAAAGGATGCTCGTGGTTCAGTACAACTCTCCCCAGCCGCATGTTCAAAGGCATGCCTCGATCGATTTCAAAGTGCCAATCTCGACATGTTGGTACTGCTTGGCGAACTCTCAAAGCCGGTCTTTTCGGTGGCTGGCCATAGCGGCTTGTGTTCAAGCCTCGCTTTGTTTTAGCGGCACGAAGCAACGTTCTTACAAGATTTGTGATTGTTGTTGTACAGTGTCGCTGGCAAGTCGTGTCCGAGAGGCTGAACCAGGCTTGGCAGACTGAAGGTCATCAACCAGGTGCGAGGGACATCGCCATGCGAGACCCCGAAGTCAAATGCTGGCTAGCAGAGCAAAATAGTGACAGAGTGGCCGCTCTGCACCGAAGCTCGTCCAGGGTCTCTGACCGGCCTTCTAGAAGCCTGCAGCAGCAGCGTGGACGAAAGCTAGTTGACACAGCTGGTGCAGTGCCGCGGAGGCTTGAGTGGTGGTACACGAACACCCAAGACCGAGCAAACACATCAAACTTCCCTCCTACGTCGACGAGACGTGTTCTCGTCGCCAAGCGTGGGCCGCTGTGTTCCGCGAGTGCTTGCTACGGGGTGACTGGGAGGGCCTAGGATGGCGAAGATGGCGATGAATGCCCGCGTGCGACGTGTTGGCTGGGTTTGGGCCGGTCGGTCAAATCTTCCACGGACCAGGTTGTTGTTCTTCTCCTGATCGAGGGGCGCGTCTGATATTGTGCTTGGCTATGGGGGAGGCATTCTGTTTCCGCCATTTGTACAGAGCGGCCGTCTTCCCTCCCTTTGCCACGCGAGATCTCTGCATCGGCGAGGGCGAGAAGAAGCAGGAAGCTTTCAAAGCTTGGTGTTGGTGATTAGGAGCAGGACAAGACGGGCGTGTGGAGAAAGTCTCAGCGCTCGACTTGGCAGCTGGCAGGGGTCCCGCCGCTGTGCACCTTCCGCCCCAACTGCTGGCCTCGCAGGCTGACCTCGCCGCATACTCGCATCCTCTCCCCACGCTGTACACTATCCTCCTCCACCACCACCGCCCGCCGCAAGCGATCCCACCACCGCGCGATACCAGCACCTCACGGCCGACTCCTCCCCTTCAATGCAGCCGCCTTAATCGCATCGCCTCCCCGGCGCCAAGGAGCGCGCGACACCTACTCGGTCCTCGAGTCAGTCTGTCTAGCGATGTTGCCAGATGCGCAACCTCGCGCCGACCTTGTCGTCCGCCAGCTATGGAATCTGCCCACCGAGACGAGCAGCCAGACACAGGCGCACTGTACCCCCTTCACTCTCCCGAGTAACGGCGTCATCCAGCTTGGCGACTCCTCAGCCATCACCCTCACCACCGATGTCATCTTCCAGCCAGAATGTACCGGCGCTCCGCTCGGCGAGACTTTTCCCATTGGCTATCTCAGGGATCCGTTCTATGCCTCGACGATACCCATGGTCTATGTCATCGCTGCCGCGACCGTCATTGCCTGGGTCCTGGTGGTTATGTTAACCATCACTCCGCGCACTTCATTCTTCGGTCTCCCCAACACTGCGCCTGCTTTCACCAACGGACATGGCATAATTGGCGGCGCAAATGGAGGCATGTCGGGGCTGTCTGGATCGGGTTCAAGACCATGGTTACAAAAGGTGGCAGCGATACTCGTGGCTATATCACTTACCATTGCAACGGCAGATACGCTGGAAGTTGCACAGAATCAGTACTATGCGGGATACATGGACGCGGGCGACATGCGAAAAGAAGTTCTGGGATCTCTTGAAATACGAATCACGCGTGTGATATCCGACATATTCCTCTGGCTCGCGCAGGTCCAGACATTGATACGACTTTTCCCGCGGCACAAGGAGAAGGTGCTCATAAAGTGGATCGGGTTTGTCCTGATCATCCTGGATACGATATTCTCATGTCTAAACTCATTCTTGATCAACTCGCAACCAAAGGGTCGGCATTTCGTGGACGCCATACCGGCGTTGTCATACCTCTTCGAACTGGCACTTGGACTCTTATATGCGGCCTGGGTCATGTACTACTCCCTGACGAAACGACGATATTCCTTTTACCACCCGAAAATGCGCAGCATCTTGCTCATCGCGTTACTTTCCCTGGTCTCCATCTTAACTCCCGTGGTCTTCTTCATCACCGATGTTTCCAATCAGGACGTCGCCGGCTGGGGTGACTATTTCCGATGGGTTGGCGCCGCCGCTGCGAGTGTTGTCGTCTGGGAGTGGGTTGAGCGGATAGAAGCCCTGGAACGGGACGATAAGAAAGATGGTATTCTTGGAAGAGAGGTCTTCGATGGCGACGAAATGCTCGACCTGATGCCGAGTGAAGAAGCGGCATGGACTCAAAGTCGAAGCTTACGGCGCAACTTTCGAAGACCAGGTGGCAGAGACGATGATCTTGGAGGCGGCAACACAGCGAACGTGGTTGAACAAGGCCTCACTGGTGTCGCACATCGCTTTCGACAGAGGCACCAGCAATCACCGCAACACTTTCCACTTGGACGAACACACTCTAGCTCAGAGCCAAACTCGAGTAGCGATCAGCAGGCTCGAGCAGACGGGAGGACAGGCACCGTCACGTTTGACGATCAGACGCGGCCGAGTGAGCAACGTCGGAGCAATGCTTTGGGCGGGCCAACGCCACCACTGCCCATCGCCAGTCCTGTCAGCAGGGACGAATCGAACAGTGCAGCAAGTACTGTGTACGTGGTTCGATATCACCCGGTAGCTGATGTGGCTCCACCGATCCGACGGCGGAACCAGCAAAGGAGGTCAGCCACACAACAACGAAGATCCGACATCGATGAGCTCAACGAAAAAGACATCATCGAGGAGGATGAAAACGAAGTCAACAAGAACAGACATCGCGAACAGTCGCGATGGCTTTCTGTCCCTAACCCATTCAAGAGGAAACGGACCTCACCGCCGCAGGAAGTGCAAAGAGCTCGCGCTGCTGCTACTGACGGACCGAGAGCATGTACGCCTGCGTCTACCTTTACCAACTGGGACCTCAGGAATTGTCTGGGCACATTCACAAATGACGCTGGCGGCAAGCTTCGCGACCGCACTGCTCGTCGCAAGCCGGACGCCCCCTTGCCTGTAACTATCATCCCTGCACAACCACGAGGCAGCGGGAGAACGTGGAGCCCGGACCAGCATGCCATCATGACATCGCCAGCACCGGCAACGACGCCAGCTCCAATGGCAGCATCGGCCCCCGTCAATGACGATCAGGATACGCGAAATTCGAATGGCACGACCTCGACGACTTTGACATCGGAAACTCAGCAGGTGCAGGTCTCCTCTACGCCACAGGCCAGACCACCACGCGCCGAGGATTTCAGCCCAAGTCATCCTGTCACTGCGCGGTCGACTGCCTCTCCTAGCAACCGGATAGGACCCCCTCGGGCTGACGATATCAGTCCTGTTAATCGCAGAGCTGGCACTGTGGTAGTCCCTGCGCCCAGACGGACGCCCACACACTTTAACACAGAGGTCCCCTCGAGGAACAACACAGGCAGCGCTGGATCTGTCCCCACAGGCTCACACCGCCACACACCCTCAAACGGGTAAAAGTATTTGGGTTTCTATTATATTTGATGATTAGCGAGGCGTTGGAGGATGCATATACCCTTGTTCATGGCGATGAGTCTCCGAGAAGGCATGTCGGGGGTGGTCTTTGTCGTCGGCTGTCGACAGATGTAGATATGTGAAGCAGATGTTGTACATACTGAAGAAATGAACGACGATAGATGTGCAGCGTTCCTCATCACATGTTGTCTGTCGAAGCGAGCTTTGCTATCGACCAATCACGGTCCTCGACTGCTGAGCATGGATGTCGAGCTCGTCAACCAGATGCAGCAATTGACAGCTGCCTTGCTTTGACCATACGATCCGACTTCAGCGCATTCTTGAGCGAGGGCTTGTCTTCTCCTTCCAACAGTCTGCCCTTGGACTGAAGCGCATTGTTTACGGCTTCGTACTCGACGACGCAGCGGCACAGCAACCGCAGCAGCCACCGCCAACCGAATCCTTGCATCACATCTTGCGCATCGCATCGACGCAGCTCCACCGCAACACAACTTCAGCCATGTCGCTCTTCGGCGACGAAGATTACCAACCCGCATCACGACAGAGTAACGCGAACAACAAATCCTCTCTCTTCGACGACGGTCCGGGCACGCCGTCGAAACCCACCTCTTCCTCTATCTTCGCGGATAGCGGCGCGGAGGATCAAAACCAGGACGAGTCGCCTTGGGGATTCACGCCCTCGAAGAAGAAGAATACTGGCAGCAGCTTGGTCAAGAATCTTCTCTCCGACAGCGACGTGCCCGAATCGTACATTGACGCCTTCGACGCGCTGCAGCAGGGCGGGTCCGTCAGCCGGCAAGAGTGCGAGGATCTGGTGCGGGACTGTGGGATCGATTCGCAAGATCGCCAGAAGATATTCAGCGTTGTAGGAGCTGGGGACAAGTTCGGAAGAGGGGAGTTCAACGTGTTGGTTGCCTTGATCGGACTCGCGAAGGAAGGCGAAGAGCTTGGGTTGGACGCTGTGGATGAGAGGAGGAGTAGATTGCCCAAGCCGGATCTACCTGTGCAGGTGAAGCAGACATCTCAGCCTCAGCCTCCGCAACCGCAACCGCAGCAGCAGATGGCGGGCGCACCGCAGAGCCAGGACAATGGCGCGGTGAGGAAGCCGAGTTTCGGCGCTGGCTTTGGGGAGAGTGATCCTTGGGCAAGTCCGCAGATGCACAAGGGACATGGACATTTGAATGGTATTGGAGCTGGTCAGAGGACGACAAGCACGTTTACTACAAATGCTTCGGAGCCAGCGGAGACTGGGACAGGTGGTTACAGCAATGGACGAGCACCCCACAGCAGTGCTGGCAGCACGGGTAGCTGGGGCGGTTCGACTTCATACACGGCAGCCAATACTCCAGGATTTGGCGGTGCTGGAGCAGGAGGTGAGGGTGATGGGTTTGGAGATGAAGGCGCTGCTTCAGGAACCGTTCGACGCCCGGCACAACCTCGACCAACGCTGAGCAAGGGCGCAGAGGAGCTTGTGACTGTGAATTTGCTCGAAGAAAAGGAAGGCATGTTCATGTTCCAGCACCGGAACTACGAAGTTGCCTCGATACGTCGCAACAGCAAGGTCATCCGAAGGTACAGCGATTTCGTCTGGCTGCTGGATTGTCTGCATAAACGGTACCCTTTCCGCCAGCTGCCTCTTTTACCGCCGAAACGAGTGGCGATCAACGGCAACCACATCGCTGCGGATGCTACATTCATCGAGAAGAGGCGGAGAGGGCTGGCGAGGTTTGCTAACGCGCTTGTTCGTCACCCCGTGCTGAGAGAGGAGCAGCTGGTGGTCATGTTCCTGACGGTGCCTACGGTAGATGCATGTCCCCCCTGCACTAGATTGCGGTTGTAGCTAATTGTGTGACAGGAGCTCGCTGTTTGGCGAAAGCAGGCCACGATCAGTGTTCAAGAAGAATTTGTTGGACGTGCTCTTCCTCCGACGCTGGAAGACAGCCTTCCACAGAACCTGCAGGATACATTTGATACTGTTCGATCTGGAGTTCGAAGAAGCGCTGACTTGTACATCAACCTGTGCAACCTGGTTGAACGTGTCTGCAAGCGCAAAGAAGGCATCGCAGCAGAATATGGACGTCTAAACCTCAACCTGAACACCCTTACTGAAACCAGCGCGGATACTTACGCCATTGATACTAACGACGTACCTCTACTCAACGAGGGCATCGTAAGCACCGCCAAGCACATCGGAACTTCGCAGTCCTTACTGGAAGACGAGGCTCGAGCGTGGGATGAGGGCGTCCTGGAGGATCTTAAGACGATGCGAGACTCTCTAGTCAGCATGCGGGACATGTTTGATCGCCGGGACCGATACGCGAAGGACAACATCCCTACATTGGAAAAGAGGATCCAGGCGAACGAGCAGAAGCTGCAGACGATCCGAGCCAAGGGTGATGCTGCGAAGCCTGGGGAGGCGGAGAAGGTTGGCAATGCAATTACTGCGGTGAGTGTGATATGCCTTAGTACTTGTTCCAGTACTGATGTTATGGTGCGCAGGACAAACAAAGCATCGTGAATCAGCACGCACGCGGCGTCTTTATCAAGGAGTGCATCCGTGACGAGCTTCTGCACTTCCAACATACGCAATACCGCGTTTCTCGACTGCACCAGGACTGGGCGCAGGAGCGTGTGAAGTACGCTGAGCTTCAAGCGGACAACTTCCGGGGATTGGTTGATGCTGTTGAAGGCATGCCGCAAGGTGAGAACCCACCTACGAACCTTGGGTGAAGAAAAGCTGCTGACGAACTTGTCTGTACAGGAGATTAGGTTCGTCCTCGCTGCCCTGCCTGCAACTTCCACCGACCACATGAGCCTCGCCGAGCCTGCAGAGTCCTTGATTGACGCGTTTGAGCTTTGTTGATGACAGAACAGGAGATCCGAGACTGGATCGTTGCGAGGTATCGACGAGCTTCGGGGTTCACGAACTGTTCCGTCAGAGTGATATCATGAGAAGGAGGAGGAGTGTTGATAATATGCGGCATTGCTATGCTGTCTGTTGTGCAAAGATTCTTGACTGTCCAGATTGTAATCGTGTGTATGAGATTGTAGATAGATGGAGGATCAGGATGGCATTGCAAGAGGATATCGTGTATGAGACAGTGAATGATCGACACATTTCCTTTCAGTCGATCAATCACAGATCCCAGCACATATTTAGCGTGCCTTCCTAAATGTGTTGCGGCAAAGCACATGCATGAATGGAGGCTGCCATGTGCTTCTGGCGTCGCGACTGCACGTGAAAGCCATCATTATCCCTTCCCTTCCCTTCCCATCACCAACAAAAAGCATTCCTCACGGCCTTTCGTGACGCTTGCAATATTCTCCAACACACACAACACCTTGTTCACAATAAGAGACCGGACCTTCGCTGCTCTATTGTTCTCAATACGCTTCGCTTGTTGCTTCTACACAACTTTAAACTGTACATCCCCGGCTTCGTGAACCACCTCGACGCGACATACAACAAGCACCATCATGCCCAAGCGGAAATCGGAAGACGTCGTCGACTTGACGATGGACTCTCCGCCCAAGAAAGGCAAGAAGGCGAGAGTGATCAAGGAGCCAGGTGAGTTATACCCTGTTCTCTTGCTGTCGCCTCAAGATTCCTGCCTGAGGCATCACATCACCCCCGCAAAAGCAGCCCCACACTCCGGCGGGCTTCATCACTTCGACTTCGACCTTGCTGGGTGAAGTATCGCTTGTGCATCTTCACCCAACATTTTGACCGACCTGCTTTTACTCTCACCACACCACACATACCACCTACGAGATCGATGACTTCCTGACATCGCGATCAACCACCTACCCTGAACTCGACCTTCGACTCTGCCACCTTCTCTCGAATCTCGAATCACGCAATCCACCAACTGACAGCCATGCCTCCAGCAAGCACTCCGCAACAGAGAGCGGCCGTATCCGAGTTCACCAGCGTCACTCAGGCCGACAAGACCACTGCCTCCAAGTTGCTGAAGCAGCACAACTGGAACGTCGGCGCGGCCGTCAACGCGTAAGTCATGTCTTTCCTATCGTCAAGAGCGGACGCGGGCAGAGCAAGAGCCGGTGGAAGGTTAGGTTCAGAGCATACCATGAGCAGTTCGAGATGGGGCAACAAGGCAGCAACATGCAAGGAAATGTGGATGATCGCGTGAGCCCCGCTTTGCGAAGCTCTCTCTAACTCCAATCTACATTCGATAAGCTTGTCACTGCAACAATACATGTGGACGATGTGTCTGACATGAACTTACTCGATAGATTCTTCAACAACCCCTCCAGCGGCGCCAACCCACTCGCCGCGCCGCTTAAGAAGCTCTTCGACAAATACCGTGAAGACCCCAAGAACGCACCCGACGAGATCAACATCGAAGGCACCGGAAACCTGCTCGGTGAACTGCAGATCGAACTCTCAGATGTCGGCGCCCTCGTCTTCTCCGAGCTCGTCCAATCGCCCTCATTAGGTGTCATCACGCGAGATGGTTTCGTCGATGGATGGAGCGACGTCGGCGTGGACACTCTCCCCAAGATGCGCAACATCATCCTCCAACGGCGATCACAGCTCCCCACCGACCGCAACCTCTTCCGCAACGTCTACAACCACACCTTCCAGCTCGCGCTGCAAGATAGGCAAAAAGCACTGCCTATGGAGATGGCAACGGAGTTCTGGCGCCTGCTCTTCCAGGCACCAGCGTGGGAGTGGAAAACGAAAAACAGCCCGTGGTTAGACTGGTGGATTGAGTTCTGCGAGGAGAAGATCAAGAAGGCGGTGAACAAGGACTTGTGGAAGCAAACGCTGACGTTTGCGGAGGAGACGGTCAAGGAGGAGACGCTGGGCTTCTGGAGTGAGGAGAGCAGTTGGCCGAGTGTGATCGACGAGTTTGTGGAGTGGGTGAAGGAGGAGAAGGGTGTGGGCAAGGGGGATGCGATGGAGATCTCGTAGGAGGGACGTCGGAGGGATTCCCCAGCTACGGATGTCATGATGGGTTGAAAGAGGATACCATCGGGCTGGAGGTGATGGTGTTTCTGAGGAGGGAGATATACCCCAGGGAGCTTTTGCTACGAGTCGAGGAGTGAATCGTTGAAGAAGCGAATGAAAAGCGTGCCGTGAATGCCATGCGGCTCGCTTTGGTGCATTATCTGTGGTTGAGCGTTTCTGCGTAGAAGCTTTCGATAGACTGATATCGATATGAAGTTGCAGATTCACGATCAACACGTTCTTGAATGACGAGTTTCATGGTCAAGTGCTCTCGCATGTCGAAGATCCATCATCTCCTACTCCAATGATGTGGTCCTGCGCACTCACATCTTTTCTAACTCATTCTTATTAGAATGCCTGGACTTCCGCCCCAAAGGAAAGCAAAGAAAGATATAGTTTCGTAGTGAATTGAGAGCATGAACGTTTGTGTATCGGTGACGAAATCACCTCGTCTTCTTTCCATCTGTTAGAGGGTGGATGATGCATGTACGTCTATACATGTACTGACTTGTCGGCTGCTCCATGTCCATCTAGCTACTTGCCTGGTCATGGGTATACGTTAATCTTGTGGATCGGGAGAGGAGAGAAGGAGGGGCCAGGGGACATGTAAGGAGAGGAGAAGTGGAGAGGAGAGAAGGGAAGAGGAAAGGATGGAGGTAAGGATGGATCAGGGGAGAGGTAGAGAGGCAAGGACAGATGAGAGGAGAGTATAAAGGAGAGGCATCGACGTAGACGACGAGAGGTTTTCCTCTGGGGGGCTTTTTTGGTCAAATAGGAAGGGGAGGGGAGGTGGAGGAGCGGAGAACTTCGTGTGCCGTCGAGTGCGTATGATATGAAGAAAGGGGATACTGATAGAGAGGATTGGATCTGTCTGTCTGTCCCACACACGAGGTGGAGAGGCAAGCAGGTATGTATGCAGTCCGTCAAACCAGTCGTACTTCTTCTTCTCCTTCTCCTTCGAATTATACGAGAGATTTGTAGAGTCTCGGTCGGGGCCCCCATCGATCGAAGGCAGTTCGCTTTTCCTTCTTTAAAGTGCAATGCCGCCTCCTACTGCCTCTCGGGGAGCAGAAGACTGCAATTATTCACATCGAGATGAGAGGCTTTCGGTAGGGAAGTACTTGAGTGAGGCCGTAAATTCGTTCGCTGTCGTTGTGTTCTCGCTGTAGATTGTTATCGAGAACTTGTGGGTTGGGAGGGAGGGATGGGGGGAGAGGAAGTATGTTTGGTGGTTGATCTGTTCGGCGGTCGTGTATGCGAGGATGTCGAAAGAAAGGCAGAGGTAGCTGATGGAGAAAAGCCTGTTGCTAGCTTGACTGAATTATAGAATGGGTTCGATGAGATGAGACGAGACGAGAGAAAGAGGAAGTCTGTATTATTTCTCTTTGATCTGTTTAGCGTGCGGCTGTCTGTGCGAGGATATCGAAGGGAAGGCAGCGAGGTGACCAGTCTGCCTCGGGAGGGAGTTTGTTTTTCGTGGTCCTCTTCTTCGTATCCATGTAACCATCATCATACCTCCTTTTTCCTTCGATCCTTCGATGCACTCAAGTTCCGGGAAAAGGGGATTGAAAGATGTCATTCGGACCCGACGTTGTCAACAGTATAGCCGACCTTGTCATCAGTGTGGAGGTGTGGCAATTGATGAATTGTTGTTGCCTACACTCTATGTTCGGTCATTGATCCGTAAACATGTCAGTAAGCCATTGATCTTGTCGGCAAGCATGCAATGCAGGTACATACACAAAACCTCTCTCTATACGGAATTCTGCTGCCTTGGGGAATTCGGCAACGGTACACCACAACAAAATCCTTCTTCAAAGAACAACCATGCCGGGTTGCATTAGCCCTCTCACCAACCCGTAAAGGATTTTTGTTCATGAGGAGGTGGCTATGTTGCGTGCATTCGTGCCCGTGGCTCTCGTGCAGCGCCGGACTTAGAAGCCGAATGTGGTGGGCTCGGGGCTATTTGAAACGGTAGCTTTGAGGCTGCCGGAATTGAGATGCCTGATGGATTGATGGATGGATGGATGGATGGAATCACGGTTCTTGCTCCGGGTTGTGGGAGGTATGCATGAGGGCTGTGCATGTGGATTCCCGAAGTGGAGGCGAGATGGTGTTGAGAGAGGCATGCGTCTTGGGGATTTTGGAGAATAATTTCGAAGGCAACGATTTCAATGTATTTTTCCCTCGCGGCGACACAGACTCTCGGGCCAGGTTGTTGTTCACTTGCCACACTTCAATTACCGCTTTTGGCAATGGCTGGGCTTGGCATGTCATGTGAAGGTCTTGGCTGTAGAGGTCAGTGCTCGGAGAAGGTCTTTAGCAAGACTGCCCTTATGGCCGCAGCATTCACTCCGTACGCCTCGTTCTTTCTTCTACGTTGAAATCACTAGCAACGTCGATCTCGAGTTATCGGTGGTCGAGCTTTTTTTGATCGTCTGAGCAATGCGCCGAGAATGCATCTCCAGATCCTTCAGGAAGTAGCGGCATTAGCAATATTTGCGTGCAGCTAAAGCATTAGTGTGGAATGGGGAGGAAGCGGGTCCACGTGGAGGCGCAGCCAAGTTGCCTGTGTGCAAATTGACCAGAGATTCTGCTGCGTCTGATTGAGGAAATGAGGAACCTCATGCTGCCGGGGTTTGACAACAGATTGACGTGTAATGTTCAGCTCACGCGACATAATCGTTGACGTTGATGTCCCCGCATGGGCCAACAATCCTGCTCAAATCAGGCAGAATGATCAAGAGATAAAATGGATTCAGGGCTGCGAAGAAAGATGGTGCCTGGAATGGCAAACGAGGTCAGAAGTAGCTTCACTCGTGATGAGAAGATACCCGTATTCCTGGTAGTTGTTGGCATTGGCAGAGCACGCGACAATGTTCTTCCTTTCGTTGTCGATTTCTTATGCTGGCCTAGCTTCCTGCAATACTCCCCTTCGGCGATGCAGGACAATTGGTAACGTTCCATCAACCTATAAGGAGGCTGTACAGTCGATGCCTTCGGGAGAACTGTGCTCACCATGTGACAGGATTGTACCCACCGTATCGATGAATGCCTGGCTTGCCGCAGGATGGATTCGGCATGAGATAGCGGATGTTTTGTAGGTGTGGTTTGTGTGGGCTTGACGAGGTGCCTGCCCAAACTCGAGTTCTTTCATCGGCGGATGTCGAACGTGACGGATTACAGTACCAATGGCAAAGGCGCGTGGAGTCCACGGGTCCGTCATGCTTTCGACAGGTTACCAGCATCTGGCATGCTCGTCCGTTTATTCGTATGTCTCGGTAAATTCGGAGATGCCTTGTGCAGGAGGATGACGTGCGTAGCTAGCCGACAGGAGGCTGTGGTGGGTGAACGAAGAGGCTTTCTCCTGATACTGACCTTGCAGCAATGCACACAGGAGCGCTAAGCAGAACCCCGTTTACTGTTCGTGAGCACACGACACCAATGGATCGTAAACTTCGCTGCCTGACCTGTAACATAGCGTGGCCACCAGGCATGCTTACATCAGGCAAACTTCTGCACGACATGGGTTCACGTTCCATTCGATGTTTCCCGATAGAGACACCGTGAGTCGCGTGATGCCGAAGGATGGGAAAAAATGGCAAGGCAGTTGGGGCTTTGCTCGTCATTGTCTTTTGTTGGCGATAGCTTCTGCCTATTCTCCAATGGATGCAAGATCCTTTGATGTAGGAACCTCGTGTTTCTGCGATGTGGATCCGGTCGCATGTCCCGCCATTGTTGTTGACACCTGGTGCATTTTGCTGGAGAAAATGGCATGCCTGGAATCCTGAAGCGGGCACTGTCGTAATAGTCGACACCGTTCAACGGGTCGAGGATGGGCGATCAAGCCGTACCAGGCAAGTCATCGTGTGCCGCGTCATCTCAACAGCGAGAGTTAGGAGTTGAAGCATTGGTGGGCCGAACGAAGTGCAGCCATACGAGCGAGCAGCGCAGCCCCAGGAGAGTGCCGTCGCGATGAAGCGCGGATTAGGTTTGCGGGAGCAGCCTTGAAGGCGATCCCTGACAGATCGTTGGAGCAGGCAAGGGCCACAGATCACCCGCCAGTCTGCGCGCGAGCAGGGTCTGGCCGGGATCCAATCAGCGCCAGGCTGCGTAGCATGCCGCAGCACGACCTCCGTCTGCTGGTTGTGCTTCGTTTTGGGGGTCAGCGGTGTGGTGCATAGCAGCGTCGCTTGAAAGGCTGGTGCAGATGGCGCGTGAGCTGATCGTCTGGTCGGCGGCGGTATATAGGCCTGGTCCCCCAGCGTCAGGCGTTGTTGTCGTCGGTGCTGTTGCTGCGTGGACGAGCTCGCCTATCCATCTTTTGCACCCGTGGCTGCTGCAGTGTCCCCGAGCAGCAGTGGTACCGTAGCGCTCCATCACCACTGATCAGAGCATCAGTCACGCGTGTGCTTGTTCTGTTCTCGCGAGCACATTCACGAGAAACAGAGCACGAATTGGTGGGACGCAATCGAAGGAGCATTGCTTCATTGATCGAGCCCTTCGATGGCGTCGCCCACAACAGCAGGTGCGAGCGGAACCAAATCCGCCAGCGCCAACACCTTCGCCCTTGACTCCAGAAGCGAATCGTCGACCTCATCCGCCGCTGCCGGCCCCTACCGCGACTCATTCGACGATGACGAGGAGAGCCAGGACAACAACCAGTACGTCGCTGACCGCCCGCGACGAGGAGGTGTGCTCTCAAGAATTCTCCAGGCGGTCGGCATGAGGAGAAGAACGACGCATGCCCCACCAGAATACAATGACTATTTCTCGACACCTAGAGATCAATTACCCGATGGGTTATTACGGCACCCAAAACCTGTCAAGCATTCACGACATTCCTCGCCGCGAGAGTTGAGGAGATGTCGAAGAGGTCACGTTGGGGCGGTTGTCAAGCGGATTGTATTACTTTCACCAGTAGCGATTCTTGCATTTTTGTGAGTGGGAGTGAGATCGATCGAAAAATGCCATTATGCTGACTATTTCTAGCGGGATAATACATATCCTCCACGCACTCATCGGCCGAGCTGGCTTCTTCTGGGACTCGTCAGTCGAGGACGAGTTCCTCCCAGATTGGGGCAAGCCAGGCAATGTAGGCGAAGGTCTGGCAGAATATCCCACAGATGCCACAAGAGACGTCATCCCGATCGCGTGCCACTCCCACAACGACTACTGGCGACGGATACCCTTCTACGATGCAATCCACTGGGGCTGCACCGGCGTGGAAGCAGACGTCTGGCTCTTTGACGAAGAGCTCTACGTTGGCCACAACACGGCCTCGCTCACCAAAAACCGCACCTTCCGCAACCTCTACGTCAACCCCATTCTCGAAATGCTCGCCAAGATGAACCCCGAAACAGACTTCGCCAACGCAAGCAACAACACTCACGGCGTCTTCGATGCAGACCCGGACCAATCCCTCATCCTCCTCGTCGACTTCAAAACCTCCGGCAAAGCAACCTACGAATACGTCCACAATCAACTCTCCGCCCTCCGTGAGAAAGACTACCTAACCTACCACGACGGCACCACACTCCACCAACGCCCGGTAACCGTCGTCGGAACAGGCAACTGCCCCTTCGACCTCATCACCGCCTCCGCCACCCACCGTGACATCTTCTTCGACGCGCCCCTCTCCCAAATGGGCACCCAATCCTCCTCCTCAACCTCAAAAACTACCCGCAACCAACACAGTTCCTCCCAAGGCTCCAGCGGCACGACCCCATCCTCCTCCTTCGACTCCACAAACTCCTACTACGCCTCCGTCTCCTTCACCTCCTCCATCGGCTTCGTCTGGCGCCGCCAGCTCTCCAAGAAACAACTCGCCACGATCCGCAGCCAAATCAAAGGCGCCCACGACAAGGGGTTGAAAGTGAGGTATTGGGATACCCCTTCTTGGCCGAGGGATCTGAGGAATCATGTCTGGAGGGTGTTGATGCGCGAGGGCGCGGATATGTTGAATGTGGATGATTTGAAGGGCGCCGCGGTGGAGAGTTGGAGGGCGAGGGTGCATGGGTTTTGGTAGTATGGAATCTGAAAGGGTGGTGGATGATAATGATGTGTGTGTGTGTGTCTTGGATGATGGATAGAGAGCTGGAAAGTTTCTCTTGGTTGGTTTGACATGTTGGCATGAACGAACGAACGGCTTGAGATACCCCTGTTGACGAAACGGAGAGTATGACGGATAGAGACAACTGAATAATCCAAGATATACAGCATAGGAAAAATTGAACCCGTAGCATAAGCCGCGTAAACGAATACAATGCAAGAACAGACGAAATTCAAGAGCTCGTGATTCGGGTTCATGAAATGTCCGTCCACTTTGGTATATCGACTGAACAATGTCGTCGGACCGCTATGCTGCATCCTAAATAGGAAGACGAAAACTCGCTCACAAGAATCCTCACCCAAACAAAGCCACGAACAAGAATCATCATAATATCAACATGAACACCTGCAGTCCATTTTTCTCTCCCTCTACCGCCCAACATTCTTCCCCCACCTCAACGTCCTCTGTCGAGGCTGCTGAGCCTGAGCCTGCGCTTGCTGCCCACCCTGGTCCTGCTGCTGCGCCGCCGAACTCCCGGCCCTATGCCTGGGTTTCTGCTCCGCGAAACGAATAATCCCCCGTCCCTGAGAAGCTGAACCCGAACCTGAACCTGCACCTGAAGCTGGAACCTGTCTCGGCTGATCGACATCTTCCTCGTCACTGTCGCTATCCTCTTTGCTGATTCCTAGAGCGCCTTCTCGACGTCTCCGTTCCGCGGCGGTTTCGCCCGTCGTGTCGCTGATGTTGCGTTCGTGCGGCGAAGAGCTGGAGCCGGCGATCGCGGAGGGGAGGCCTCGTCGACCGCGGGGCCGGGAGGGTGGTACGCGCTCGGTGCCGTCGTCTTCGGAGTCCTCGTCGACGGTTTGGTGGAGGGCTTGACGGCGGCGTTTCTCCGCGGCGGTTTCGCCTTCTTCCGAGCGGAGCTGGTAGCGGCGGAGTTCGGAGGAGACGTCGTGGAAGGGGATGTCGCGATTATTGGAGTCGATGAGGCGGAGGTTGTTGGAGTCGTTGCTGGTGACTCTCGTCACTTCTGCTTGCCCTTCGGTGTCGGCCTCTTGTTCGGCGTCGGGTTGTTCTTGCACGACAGGGACCTGCGGGACTTGGAGAGATTGGCCTCGAGGTCGGCCTACTTGGGCTTGCTCGCGAGCTTCCTTTCGTGCTTCTCGCTTCACGGCTTCGGGGGCGTTGCTGTCTTCGACTGCCTCAACACGAGACTTGGGGTCCATGTTGCGGATCTGCTCGATGAACTCTGCCTTGCTCATGCGCCTTCCTCCTGTATTGATTGTGAAGCGCAAGCGATGGTCCTCATCCTCATCTGACCCTTGGGCCTTCTTCTCATCAGCACCCTCTGCCTCTTGGTTTGCGCTGGCCGGTCCTGGAGCACCTGCCTCAACCTTGCCTTCCCTAGCCCCAAGGCCCAGCATCTTACCCATTTGTCCAACACGTTGCTTGGTCTTCTTGGCATCCGCTGGACCTTGGGCCTTGCCTGGAGCTGGGATATCGTACTTCTTGATGACCTCACCATCCTCGTCTTCAACAATGATAGTGTTGCCGTACTGATACGCCCGAGCAGGACCTCGCGTTTCCTTCTTCTCTGGCGGGGGCTTCTCCTGCGGCTTACGCAGATTGGCAGCCATGGAACTCATCTTCATGGTACTCATCTTGCCCCATCCTTCTCGCCAGCCCTTGCCCGGTCGCTGCAAGCCCTCTTTCACGTTGGCTTCGGCGCTCTTAGCTTCCTTCATTGCCTCGTGACCAGGATCGGTTGTGGGGTCCTCATGCGTAGGTGCGACTCCACCGTGCTTGTCCGCGCCTTGCTCATGCATGAGCCGCCTCCCTTCGCGCCGTTCAGCTTCCTCACGGTTTGCGCCCAGGCCGTGGGTATCTTCCACCGCGAGAACGTTGCCATCTTCGTCTTCGTAGACTGTGTCATTGCCTTCTTCGTAGATTTCACCAGGAGTTGCTGTCTTCTCAAGATCTGTGTCTTCACGCTCATTTTCTGGAGAGGATGTCTTCTCATCAGACGGTGGCTCGCTCTTCATGGCCAAAGTGTCCGAATCGCTTTCCCTCTTCCCAGGTTCCGGGCTTTCCCGTCTTCGAGATGGGGCAATCGCAGAATCGCTAATCGGGCCACCAGGTCCCATACCAAAGTCCCAGTTCCTGCCCTTGCTGCCTTTCGATCGATGCCTCGACGATGCACGACTCTGTGCACGGCTTGGGTTGTCCTCTTCTCTCTGCCTACGCAAGAACGGATATCCAGGCTTGACAATGCCGCCCTCGACTTTCTCGTCGTCGAGAGACTGCACTGACATCGAGCTCTTGGATCGTGACTGGATCCGTGGCAGGCGGTCCATCCAATTGCCGTCGTTGGCCTGCGTGTAAGACATGGTCAGGGTCAAGGTATTGATATGCTTTCCCAAAGTGAAGACTGCAATGGACGAGCCGTGGACTACAATCGAGCAGATCACCAAGAACGTTGTGATGGGCCAGATGAGGTAGATGACATTGTACTCCGGCGTACTTTCTGGCGGTAGAACCTTCAGTGGCGTTGTTGAGTCCGTCTCCAGCTCAGCTCTCGCCAGGATGGCAACGAAGATTGCACCCACACCAATAGGTCCAAAGTGTCCTGCGAACAGCGCTTCACGCCAGGTTTTGACGTCCGGTATGACAGGCTTCAGCGCCATCATGATGGGTATTCGCCTGAAGAGTAAGACCAAAATTGCGATAACGACGAGCTTCCAGACGTCAAGACCAAGCCTGCCAGAGTTGTACTGCTCCCATGGAATGATCGTACCAAAGTAAACGAAGAAGGCCAAATTGATCAGCAAATCTATAACGTTAGAAACGTGAGATTCTTCCGTCTTCTCAGTGAACCAGCCATCGTTACTGAAGCCAACACCGCAGGCGAATCCGACGAGCAAATCGTCCATTCCAAGCAGCGATCCAGAACCAGCACAGAACAGGGCCAGCACGAAATAAAACACCAGAAACGATTCTCTGTCGATCAAGTCTCTCTCATGCGCATATCTGATGAGGCGGCGTGCGATATATCCAACCACGACTCCGTAGAAGGCACCAAAAACACACTCGTAAAGGATGGTGAAGCAGAACCAGTGGTATGCTACAGCATTAGCATCCGGCCGGTAGTGGAGAAGGTAAAGAGCAAGGTAGATGAAAGGAAACGCCATGCCGTCGTTGCATCCCGACTCGGCAGACAAGATGTCGCGAAGATGCTTGGGCACTCTCTTGGCGAACTTGCCCTTTCCCACCACTGAAGAAGCCAAGACGGGGTCTGTGGCCGTGACACAAGCAGCAATGGTCAAGCTTTCCAGCCAATTCAAGTGCGGTGTAAACAGGCCCCAGATAAATAAGCTTGTGATGAGCCAGCCGAAGGTCATGACTGGGACAAGCAAGAAGACGACGGATCGCCAATGTCGTTCCATGTATGCCTTGGGCAACTCAACACCGACGGCGAAACATTGCACAACCAGCACAATGCGGCTGAACTCGAGCGTGATCTGATCGGTGTTGCCCCAAGTCGCTGGATTGATGAGATCGGCAGCGTGTGGCCCAAAGATGATTCCGCAAATGGTTGCTACCGTGGCTTCACCAATGTACAGCCGTTCCTTGATCACAGAGGAGCACAGCATGAACAAGCTCGTGAAACCACCAAGAATGATGTAGACCAGATGCGGCCGGTTGATGGACAGTTGTTCCCACGCCATGTTGAATGCTGCTTCTCGATCCCTCTCTTGTTCAAGTTCTCAAACGATTGAATGTGCCTCGTCTCTTCTATTCATTCAAGTGGGTGCAAACAGCAATCGCGAATCGAAGGTCTCGGCCGCAGCGCGTCGGTCCAGGGTCGAATGATTGTTGTTCCGCGGATGCATACAGAGCGGTGGTGCGCCCAGTCGCCGCTCCCAGAATGCCGTTGAGTGGCAATGGATGGACGCAGCGAAGGCGAAGAGATAATACGAGCGAAGAAATGGTTCAAACTCTTTGCGACAAGGTTTCTTCGCGAATGTATCTTCTGGTGCTTGACCAAACGACGTCAGCCGAGGGAGAGGTGTGGAGCGAGGAGATCTGGTCTAGGGATCTGCCGTCCTTCACCCGGCCGAATGATGGGTTTGTGACTATTAGCGATTCGGCGGTCGGCAATGAATGCGAGTAGTGTCGTCAATGGGCGTGCTGTGGGAAAAAGTCAGACGAGACGAGGGTGCGGTGCGGCGGCGCAGGCCTTACTTACCTCGACTGACTGCACATGCTTGTCTTCAGCGTGGCGACGATCGGGAAGCTCTTCACGCCACGACCGGACGCTAGTGCGCTTGGCAATCTTTGACTTTGGACTCAGGCATGACCAACAACCTTTGCGTGGGCGACACCAAAGCATATTCGACGCGCGACCATCTCACGGCATCGCTCTGCACGTCCACCCACGCATCCACTTGCACGCGTTGCGCCCGCGGGTTTGTGGCAGTCAAGCACGTTGAAGCTACACAAGCACGGGCAAACGTGCCGACTGAGGGCCGCCGAGTTCTTGGGACCAAGACCGCTGCTGGACCGCACCACTTCGTTTGCCGTCTACCTGAGTACAGACCACATATCGCCTTCTTCGCATTGGACGGCCCATCAAAATGCCTGGACGACGTCTCCCGGCCCAGCCCGTGGACGACAGCCTCTGCAGACGCTGCCAGACCGTTGAGCCGGCCATTGTCGTCCGCACCGAGCCTCTGTGCAGAGATTGCTTCAGCAAGTATGTGCAGACCAAAGTGGTGAAGCGCATGGAGACTTTCCGCGTCCGCAACTCGGAACTGGGGAAGGTGCGCAAGCTCCTGGTGCCTCTGTCACATGATGCGTGCTCGGTGGGGTCGCTACACATCCTCAGCCATCACCTGAAGGGTCAGGCAGAGAAAACCGGGCGGACCGGCTTCAAACTGTGCATATTACGCATTGATGATGAGCTTGCTGCAGCAGATGGTCAGCGTGACTCTTCCTTGGCCACGATTCAGGCTCGATATCCGGAGCACGAATACCGTTCAGCCGCGCTATCGGAGGTGCTGTCATTGGACGACTTGTCAAGTTTATTTCCAGATGTGTCAGAGAACCGTGTTGAGTGCGCGAGCCCGCGAGACCGACTGCTTTCAATCTTGAACTCTTCAAAGTCGGCAACGGGTCGGCAAGATACACTTCAGATCCTTCGGCGCAAGCTCGTGGTCCAGATTGCGAAAAGAGAAGAGTGCGAAGCTGTCGTATGGGAGGACAGCACGACTAAGCTCGCCGAACGAACGCTCGCCGAGACTGCCAAAGGACGAGGTTTCGCACTTCCATGGACTGTGGCCGATGGAGAGTCACCCCATGGCATTACTTTCTATTACCCATTGAGAGAGCTGTTGACCAAGGAAATCGAGGCATACATCTCGTTCGTCGAGCCACCTCTGGACCAGCAACTTGTCAATCCAGAGAAACCGGCGACTGTGAGTACCAAGAACATGACAATCGACGATCTCATGAACCAGTACTTTGAGTCGGTCGAACGAGACTACCCGTCGATCGTGGCAAATGTTGTCAGGACGACAGGAAAGCTGAAAGCAGCACCATTGAGCCAGGTGGAACAGCAATGTGAGCTCTGCAACATACCGCTCCAAGGCCAAAGCCCAGAAAAGAGTCGATTGTGCTACGGATGCATTCGAAATATACCTCAATCCACCAGCTGAATTCTTGGAAGCCCACCTGCTGCTCATTTCCCTCTTTACCAAACGCCATTCTCAACGCCTTTTAGTCCATCAACAGCAGACGTGTCCAAATCACTTCTTGATGGGCGCTTGAGACTTCAGCACGACCGGCGTGGCCGTGTCGCTGGCGGTGTTGTCGACATTCCACTTCAGCACCCAGAGATCGTCGTCGACGGGGTCGGCATACCACTTGGTGGTGATGTCTCCAGAGTCGCTGATCCAGACGAGCATTGTTCCCCAGTTGTCGAATCCAGTGCTTGTGACTGTGGTGTTCGGATTGGCCTCAAACTCGGCAGCGGCGAACGCTCCAGAATTGTTGTTGATGACGAGTTTCGGCGAGGTCCAGTTCCCACTTGACGAGACCGACTGGTTCGTGGGTGAAGCCGTGAAAGAACCATCGCTCACGCCCTGAGATACTACTGCATTTTAGAATCATACATGAGCCATCCGCTTCTATCATGAAGACAAGGAGATTTCTGGAGGACAGCTTTGCTTACGAGTGACGTTCGTGGCCTGGCGACAGCAGTCAGTAAATGCAGTCAATATCGACGACGAAATCAGGTACTTACCACGACAGTGTCTGGCGGGGGCAGATTGCCTATATACGCAACACCTACTGACCGTCAGTCGTCGCACATCCCATCGAAACAGGCCCAGCATACCGTCGGCGTAGAGCAATGGCAACCCTTTGATTCCAGAGCCATAACCATAATAGCGAGCACCGTCAGCTGCCGCAACGCACACTGCGAGGTAGAGCAGAGTCAAGACACCAGAGAACATGTTGTAAAACGGTTCGATAACGACTGGAGGAGGGAGGAAGTGGGCGAGTTGCAGCAACAAACTTGATCAAGCTGCGTGTGGAAGACTGAAGGGGCGGACAGAACAGGACATATGACACCGCTTCAGCACAAACGTGTACGTCTTCACGGCTCGCCTGCGTTGGCTTGTGGCTTGTTTCTGGTTCACATCATCTATTCGCGGTTTCGACCCATCGTCGACCACACGTCGCTGGCTTCACATTTCGTCGGCGCTTGCGTGGCCAGGCCTTTTTTCGTGCCGATATCGTCGCCGTCTACACAGTTTCTCGGCCGTTGGCTCGACTTGGCATTGCACCTCGGACGCGTGTTGATGCTGGGATGTAGTGAAGGCAAGCCTCCATGGTGGATCTTAGCGAACGGGTCCACTGTTTCCAGGCTCTGCTACACGCTCGCTTCGAGTACCCGGCGGTCCCGAATGGACCACTTCGACTTCACTTGCCCAGATTGGATGCCCTCCAGCCTACGACGACTTGCAGAAATCGATATTTTCGTGCAGCTGCGAGCATATACAAGGTGCAGACCATTTGGCTATCGCCCTGTGTCACAAATCTGCCAGCTCGCTTTCAGGCTCGCTTTCGCCAAGCCAGGGCTATGTATCCACGATAATGCACACATCTACGGTTGACGATGGTCTAGACGATACTACAAGGATCCGTACAGACCGTGACCATGCCAAGCTTCGTACTCTCAAGCCTTCTCTTCGTTTAAAGCTTGTGAGGAGCTTACGTTGACAGTTTGACCATCGTTTGGAGTCAAGCGGCTCAGACGTGGCAAGGCTACGTATGAAAGGAGAACGTCCGTGACCCAGCGTTGCGGCAGCGCTATGATTCCAAATCAGTGTCAGCGACGAAGGTATGTTGCAGAAGTGCGTGATCGTTCTGAGGTCGCGTCCGAGCTTTGCACTATGCTCTTGCGCACTCATCCATCCTGGAACTCATGCAAGGCGCGCAGCTGTCATGGTCTTGCGGAGCCTCGAAAACCCATAGATCTTGCCCGATTGAGCTGCATGCAGACTCGCCACGCTATCATTTCTCCGACGCATGTTCCCTCGCCAAGCTATGCTGAACGTCATCTGTCGACGAAGTCGTCCTCGTTTCCCGCTTTTGGACTCCTGCTAATCTGATTGCATAGCGATGGAGTCTCAGACACCCGAACAGCACCAGTCCCCTTCGTCTCAGCTCTCGTCAATCTCTCCAGCTTCTCAGGGGTGGTGAATGGTTGGATCTTCCTCCATTTCCAACCGACATGTCTCCATACTGCCCACGAATATTGGGACTACTCGATTAAGCCACACACAGGCGCTGCCCTATCTCCACTCTGACCAAAGAGCAGCCTCTCATACGTACACCCTCGGGCCGTGCGCGGTCTATCATGGAGTCGACGAGAAAGCACAGGCGACGATCACGAGAACAGAGTCTCCGTGCAGTATCTCAACGCATACAACGCCGAAGCTGACACAATGCAGATAACAACACACTGACGTGTCGACCCAAGGAGAAGTCTATTCTCGGAGTGAGGATGTGGATCACGAAGATGTCTCCAGCGTATGCATCCATCTGCACGGTCAAGCACGCGGGTATCTCAGCTGGCAGAGTAAGAGCTTATAGACCGCATACAGTCGCACGTCTCCCAACATCCGAATCGCTATCATCGTCACTCTCGTTTCTCCTTCTGCACTCTTGATCGCGCCGCGGGAGTCTTGTTGATCACCATGAGGGGCGTTTCAAAATCCATTTTACTCATCGCTTCTGCTGCATCGTTCGTTCAATCTATCTCTATTCCCTCACCTTATCAACCAAAACTACTCCCTCGGCAAAGCAACGAGACTTCAGTCTGCTCTGGCAACACGGCGGATGACCGCAGCGTCTGGTGCGACTATGATCTCAGCACGAACTACTACGAGGACGTCCCCAACACGGGTGTGACCAAAGAGTATTGGTTCGAGATCACGAATTCGACCTTGGCTCCTGATGGAGTTGATCGGGTCGTTTTATCCGTCAATGGCAGTGTGCCTGGCCCGACGATCGAAGCGAATTGGGGAGATACTGTTATCGTTCATGTTACCAACAGCTTGCAGAACAACGGCACTGGGATTCACTTTCACGGTAAAGATCAATCGTTCCTCGGGTTGTACTATGCTGATGACCTTGACAGGCATTCGTCAAAATTGGACGAACCCCAACGATGGCGTGCCGAGTATCACTCAGTGTCCAACTGCGCCGGGAGACTCAATCACTTATACTTGGAAAGCGACGCAGTATGGCTCAAGGTATGCCAAACATCTAAGTATCTACAAAAATCCTAGCTCAGCTAACGTACAAATGCAGCTGGTACCACTCGCACTACTCACTCCAAGCCTGGGAAGGCGTCTTTGGCGGCATCGTAATCTATGGCCCTGCGAGCGGCAATTACGATGAGGACCTTGGTGTTCTGTTCCTGAACGACTGGGACCATCAGACTTCGTCTGCGCTGTACACCTATGCTGAGACTCAAGGTTCGTGCATCTTTGTCTTCTCTGACAGTGTACTTGTCGTCTGACCATCGCCAAAGGCCCACCGACCCTCGACACGGGACTTATCAACGGCACAAACATGTGGCTCAATGAGTCAGGCTCTTACTGGGAGACGTCCTTGACATCTGGGTCCTCCTATTTGCTTCGCATCGTCAATGGTGCCATCGACACCCATTTCGACTTCATGATCGACAACCACACCCTGACTGTCATCTCTGCTGACTTCGTCCCCATCGAACCCTACACAACCGAAACCCTGTCAATAGGCATGGGCCAACGCTACGACGTGATTGTGACCGCCGACCAATCCTCCGTCGCCAGCGACTTCTGGCTGCGCGCGATCCCTGACACGTTCTGCAGTGAGAATTCATACCCGAATTGGATTCGAGGAATCGTCCACTATGGTGACAGTACAGCTACACCTACAACAACAGTCTGGGCGTATGACGAGAAGGAGTGTTTTGGTGAGCCGGCGGAGTCTTTGGTGCCTTCGCTGCAGCTGGATGCTGGGTCCTCTTCTGCTCTCGACGAGAATTTGGACGTTACCGTCGCGTACAATAGTGATAATCTTTTCAAATGGTATGTCACGACCTACCGTATCGCAGTTTGATAGAACTGACGAACATTCAGGTACATCGGCGGCACCACCATGGCGGTCGAGTGGGCGGACCCCTCGGCCCTGCAAATCATCAACAACGAAACCGACTGGACCAACAGTAGTGGCGTGATCGAGTTCGAAGGCGATGCGGATACTTGGGCGTACATTATCATTCAAACTTCCAACGCCATTCCGCATCCTATCCATCTGCACGGACACGATTTCTATCAACTAGCTCAAGGGACCGGAACGTATGAAAGCGCGAACCCGACGCTGCAGACGACGAATCCGATCCGAAGGGATGTGACCATGTTGCCGGCGAGCGGATACGTGGTGATTGCCTTTGCCGCGGACAACCCTGGAGCATGGTGAGTTGAGCATAACCTACAAAACACATGAAGGTAGACGACTTGCTGACACGTTTCTTTCAGGCTCTGCCATTGCCACATCGGCTGGCACACCGAAGAAGGCTTCGCGCTGCAGTTCATCGAGCGGTACGATGAGATCGCTTCGATGTATAATACCACCACTCTGGAGACGGGGTGTAGCAATTGGGAGGCGTATACAGATGAGACGGATTTGGTGGATGAGGCGAGTGGTGTGTGAGCTGGGCGGTATGGGCGGATCGTTTCATGCATGTGGCGTTCTTTGGGTACTTTTCGTTGGTTGGGTGCATGGAAAAGGCGTTGGGTTGTGGGGGCTTTTGAGGGGTAGATGATGGCGGCGGTGGTGGTGATGGTGGATGAGGATGATGTCTAGTTTAATCGTTTAGGAAATCGACAGACGAGACGTGGAAGTGAATCAAAGTATGAATGAACGTTGGGTTGAGAAGTGCGTTGATGACTTATGGCGAGCATGTCGTTCGGCGGGGCATCTCCACCACTGGAAGCGATTCTAAGCAACTAATGAAGAGTGTGAGGTCGTGGACTGAGGCTTTTTCTTGGAGATATTGATGCGTAATTCAGCATGCAAGAGTCTGCTTGGACGTCGAACCGCAGACTGGCCATATAGTAATTTCCCGACTGAGACATGATATCTCGGGAGTTTGGCAGCTCTCAATCCTATCAGAAGTGGTTTCATCGCAGTGGTTGATGGAGATGTCACGGGGAGATGGTGACGTGAAGTCGAAGCAATGTTTGGGGTCCGTTTTGCCGAAGTTTCCCCAGTCGGGATTGACGCGCCTCAGGTCGCGGGGCTTGCTTCTCGGTTGTCAATTCACCTTCGCGACGCTTCGACTTTGAATAACCACACAACCACCTCTCGACCTCCCGACACGCTTCAAAACGACACACCATCGCCGTGGGGACCAGATATGTCACGCTGCTGATCTACGACCCGTCAATCTTCGCCGCCGCCGAGTAAAGGAGGACGCGACGGCTTCACTTACACCACCTGTCGCACGCGTACTTTAACCTCCGATAGACAATTCACCATGGCCTCTGCAACAGCCCCGACCGCAGAGGTCACGAGCACGGCGAAACGCGCGTCGTCTCGTGCCCGAAGACGACCTGACGTCTACACCACAAGTCCGTTCACAAGCAGCAAACGCAAACGAGACGAACGAGAAGCACCAGACGCCGATGGAGACGTCAATATGGACGGCGAGGAGGAGTCGGAAGAGGACGACGAGCCTGAAGACGACGAGCCCGCTGAAGAGGAGGTATGGGAGAAGGCAAAGAAGGCACGAAAGCCAAAGAGCAGTGCGCCCAAGAAGCCGGCGCAAAAGAAACCAAAGGCGAACGGCGTGACGCTGCCGATACGGGCGGCAACGAAAGGCCCGGCAAAGAAGCGTGCTCCAAAGAAAGTCAAGGTCGCAGACAGTGCGGACGCTGAAGCAGCGGGCGGCTTGTACGCAGAGGTCTTTGCACATGACAAGACGATTGAGCAAGTTGTCGCAGAGTGGCTCGAGGCTTTCGCGGAGCACGAGTCGCTGGCATTGAGCGATGTCATCAACTTTGTGCTCAAAGCGGCTGGAACCAACGGCAAAGTGACAGAGCACGATACTGAAGATCCGGACAACGCCAGCAACAGGATTACAGACTTGCAGGAGGAGTTTCAGGCCACGGAACCCACTGATTATCCTATGATCGCAAAGGGCAAGGGCCTGAATGCGAATGCCTTCAAGAAGACAGTGTCCAGTTTCTTCGACATCTTGATCCAGACCATCGCCGCGAAGGGCTGGCTCACGACGAACAGCGAGCTGATTGAGAATGTCCAGGTCTGGCTTTCTTCACTTACATCTGCTACGAGTCGTGCCTTCAGACACACATCCACAGTGTGTGCGCTCAGCGTGATCGGCGCGCTCTGTGAAGTGACCAAGGGCTTCGCACAGAAGGCGACCGATGATCAGAGTCTCGCCGAATCCGAACGCAAGAAGAAGAACGCCAACAAGGGACGGATAAAAGACTTCGAGCAAAAGGCAAAAGAGGGCCATGAACAGCTGGAAGTCGGACGAGAGCTGCTACGAGACTGGTTCGACACAATCTTCATCCACCGCTACCGTGACATCGACGCAAACATTCGCCGCGACTGTGTTGAGGCACTTGGAGACTGGATTGCGATACTACCCGATCAATTCTTCGACGGCAATCATCTCCGATATCTGGGATGGTTGTTGAGCGACGAGAATCCTTCAGTGCGTGCTGAGGTGCTGAAGCAGCTTCATCGATTTTACGGCGACAGCAACAAATTGGGCGGCCTCAAGACCTTTTCCGAACGCTTCCGCCCTCGTCTGGTCGAGATTGGCACATCTGACGCAGACATCAATGTTCGCATTTCAGGTCTCGAGCTCCTGGACTTACTCCGCGAAAACGACCTTTTGGAGCCAGATGACCACGATCTCGTTGGACGCCTTGTCTTCCACGACGATTCCAAGATTCGAAAAGCTATTGCTGGTTTCTTTGCTGCAAGCGTCAAGGACCTCTACGACTCCAAGGTCGAAGAGCTGGGTGGTGAAGAGGCTTTGGAAGATGCACTACCTGACGCCGGCGACAGCAATTTCGAAGCGCCACGGATTGCATGGCTGAAGTACAAAGCTTTGGCCGAGATGTTACAAGCCTACAACCAAGATGAAGATCTGCCGGCGCAGATCGAACGCAGCAAAATTGACGGCAGCCTTATACTCCGAGCTGGAGGCTGTGACTCCCGCTTTACTTGTGCGGTGGACGCTTTGTACGAGGAGATTAAGGAGATCCAAGAATGGCAGGCCGTTGCAGGTTACCTCCTCTTCGACCATTCACGTGGCCGAGCTAATGGTGTTGGTGATGATCCTCTTTCACAGCTTAAGCACGAAAGCACACTACAAGAAGCCGAAGAGATTATCCTGCTCGAGGTCCTCAACGCCAGCGTGAACCGTTCATTGAGCGATCTTGCGGAGCGAATCACCGGTTCCAAGTCGAAGCTTTCGAAGAAGCAAAAGGAGGACCTCGAGGAAGAACAGGATGAGGCTGTTCGACATCTGACAGATCTCATTCCCAAACTACTCCGAAAGTTTGGCGACGTCCCACATACTGCTGCGGCTGTGCTGCGGATTGGGAACGTGCTGGCTCTACCAGCGCTTCAAGGTCTCAGGCACGACTCTGCTGCGAGCGCAGCCTTGCTCGATGATCTTCGCAAGCAGTTCATGTCTCATGGCACTGACGAAGTGCTTGCGCCAGCTACGGGAGCCATCTCACATGCCATTGCGTATGGTGAGCTGGACGAGTCCGCTCTGGAGAAAGTGTCAAGTTTGTGGGAAGATGTGGTCAGCAATTTGGCTGAGCTACTGGACGTCAAGACCATCACCGTTCGCGGCTGCTCGCAGCAAGAGGAGCTTCTCGCACTCGCCAACAATCTCCTGCGAATCATCCGGTTGGCTCCAACGTCGAACCCCACCGAACCGTTAGAGGACACCAGCGTCGCTGCCAAGGACGAGACCATCGGCAAGGAGTACAATGGTGCTATTGATTTCATCATTGACCTGACCAAGCGAGCTCAGCATTCAAGTGGCCCGGCTCCTGACCCGGAGGAGGCTGCGCTTGAAGATATTGTCGCGACACGAGCTGCCGAAGCCGCCCTCTTCTACTTCCAATGGAAAATCACCGCCATTGTCAACACCGTCAAGGCTGGTCAAGAGGTGGAGTACGAGAATCTCGCGGCTCTTGCAGAACGTCGAGATGCCTTTGTCGAAAATCTGGCAGGCATTATGGACGGCAGACGAGCGGGCGATGAAGTTTCGCCGAAGGCCGCTCGACACCTTCTGGATCTATACATCACCTCTGCTGTGTTGCGAACGCAGCAACCTCGTCCTGGTGTCAGCGACGACTACACTGTGCTCGTCATAGACTTGAACGCCGATCACCAGAAAGCCATCATGAAAATCTTCGCCGCAGCAGAGAGGGAGTACGCGAAGCTCAGCAACAGAAAACTGGAAATCCCAGTCTCAGAGTCGAAAGACGATGACGACGATGTCGACGCAGATCCTATAGACGACGATCCTCTCTCAGAGGACGAAGACGAAGACGAGGAGACTCAACAAACGCAAACGCAACCTTCCCGACAACGCGACGCCAAACTCTCCAAGCCCGTCCTCGCCGAAGAACGCCTCTGCCAACTCACGACCAAACTCGTCTGGGCCATCCTCGCCGGCATCATCGACGACAAAGCGGCCCGGAAGCGACTCGAGCGCAACAAGAACCGGCTAGGCCCGAATTTCAAGGAAGTCCTCGCCTTCCTAGACGTGGGCAAAGGAGGTGGTGCAAAAGGCAAAGCTGCGAAGAAAGCTCCCGCGGCTGCAAAGAAGGCCGCCCCACCGAGCGGCGCAGCCAAAGCTGGCAAGGGTAAATCAAACCCTAAGAGCAATGCCATCGTCGCGGAAGACGAGGATGAGGATGAGATTGAAGACGAGGACATGGAGGAAGGTGATGCGGACGTCCTGAAGAGGAGGGAATTGGACGTCGAAGATGATGAGGAGCCACGAGACGATGACATGGTCAACGGAGCGCCTGCCGATGATGATGAGGAGAGCGTGCTGGGGGATTAAGTCGAGAGATGTTGCTTGCCGCACTCATTGCTTGAGTGGCGTACGCGTACTTTGCGATACCCTTCTGTCTGAGCTGCGTTACTATTCGTTCGGTACAATTGCTGGTAACATAGGCTTGTTTGCTTGACTGCTAATGGAGAGAATCCTTGCACCTTAACGATGATGAAGGTCTCAATCTTCCTCCTTCAATCGACTGCTCTTCCCACTCACCCCACCCACGGCGCCGCTCCCCACCGTGCCCCCAAAGCCCCCATCCTGCATGAAGAAATCCACCTCATCGATGAGATCCCACACAATATCTTCCGCAACCTGCTCTCGATACCTCTCCCCGATCCCTCGCAATGTCCTGCCAGGGTTATATCCCACAATCCCTCCTGCCGAAGAGGAGGAATTCTGCATCTCCACGTCCGCGCCTTTCTTCGTCTTGGTGCTTTTGAGATGAGCAGGCGGGCACCAGAAACCGTGGGGACCGTCGCCGAAGTTGACCTCTGCGATGCCGCCGAAGAAGCAGGAGATGGCGGGGAAGTAGCCCACGAGTCCGTCGTCGAAACCTTCCCTCGCGCCCATGGTCTTGCTAGGTGCACTCGCGGGCGGGAGGAAGGAGAGTAGGTTCTCGAAGGCTGTGCCGATGAGTTTGCCGTTTTTGTACACACGCATGGCGCTGTGGGGTAACGTTCGAAGGGGTGGGTGCTCGTGATTGGGATTTGGGGGTGCTTTGAGGGGTTCTTTCGTGGCGCCGATGCCTTGCGTCGTGGGGAGGGAGCTGAGATTGGTGGTGCGGTCTGCGTAGATGTCCATTGGCCGTGATGATACGTGGTCCAGCACTTCGAAGTAGCAATTGCTCTTATACGAGACAGGTATCCGATCTCGGATCACATCCATGGGCTCGTCTAGGGGTTCGCTCGTAGTTTGATCGAAGCCATCGCCAAAGTCCGCAGCGGGATTGTATACGCCGGTGACGATCTTTTGGTGCAGGGTGAGAGAGGGAAGTTGGATCTCAACACCAATCACATCGCCTTCCTTGACGTCTTGATCCTCGGGTGCCAGAGTGACCTGCGTTGGCGCTGCGATTGCAGCCTTGGCTGATTTGGACTTGGACTTCTTCGGATGGAAGAACTTGCCAGGACGACTTCGGTGCATTGTTTCGAATCGCTGGTCGGTAACGCCGTAGCTGTAGCCGTCGAAACCAACCGGGCCATCCAAGGGAGCCTCTCTTCGTGCCCAGCCGAATCTGACGTGTGGCTGAGGACCATTCGCACTAGGATCTGGACCTTCTGCTGGGACACCCTTGTGGACCTTGAGCTCGTAATACAGCGTTCCCTCCCTGGCACACACGTTCGACCGCACCATTCGCCAGCCCTTCTCGTTGGTCGTGATTAGAGCATTCGTGGTGAAGTGCATCCACTTATCCGCATCCTCGAAGCTCAGCCGTGCGTAGTGTGGTGGAGGAGAGGTCGATCGATAGAACTGCTTGTGTGGGAAGCCGGGGTCTGCAATAGCTCTCGAGTATCTATATCCCTTCTTGTTTTCCGCCAAATCTACCGGCTTGTACAATTGCCTCTCACTAAGAGGCATTGTGAGCGGGAAAGGCTCGTGTGCAACCATGCTGTCTTCCTTCGGCTCTTCAAAGTCCTGGGGTTTGGGGTTCGGGAGGTTGAACCGCTGCGGTGATGGATATGTGTGGACAGTGTTGGACTTGCGCTTTCCCAATGTACTCGCAGTCGACGAGGAGCCTTTGGTGTCGTTCATCTCGCGCTTCTTCAGTGACTCTTTCTTTTCGCGCTGTTCCCGCTGAATGGGTGTAGACGCAGGCACAGGCGTTCGGGATGCGGCACGCGAGGTCGCTGGGTTTAACGGAGACGGGACGCTGGGCGCATGTTCTTGATCGACGGCACTGCTATGCAGCGGCGTGGGCGGATGCGACGACGTCTGCGACTCTGCCATGTTGGCTTTGTGGTTATTGTGGCTGCTGAGGTTTGGCTCAAGTGTTTGCCGGCGGGCGGACGCGTGAAGTGGTGGCCGCTTCACTCGTGGCGCGTGCATTATTGTAAGGTGGGGGTGACATGACATTGTATAACAGCTTGATTGGGCTTAGCTGCCCCAGCCGTGCCGCCCTTTCGATGCCGCCCGTTGCCTCGTGTCGTCCTCTTTCTCGCATGCCTCTGTCTGCGAACGTCCCTAGCAATTCAACGAGGGCAAGAAAGGGCGTCGACTTTCGCATTCGCACTCATTCGCCTCTAATCTGTACTTGTAGGGCGCCTGTTCTCGCATCGTTCAGGGCGCAAATACGCGTCAGGCAGCATGGCTTATAGCAGCTGGCATTTCCACCCGTTCTGCCTCCCCCTTGAAACGAGTCTGCTCCTGCAAAGACAACCTCTTCCAAAATGAACGCGATATCTAAGTCATCAGCAGACTACAGTCCAGACGCTCCAGAGATACCTGAGCTGATCAAGGCTATCTTGACCGAGTACAGTGGCATACCGGAAGACGAGATTGTCCAGCATGTTCAGGAAGTGGTGAGCTCCATCTTCGGACTTGAGATGAATGAACACAAGTTTAGCTAAAAGTCGGTCTGCAGCGAGACAAAGGATGGAAGGTCTTCCAGTATCCCTGCCTGGGCGTTTATAGCTTCCTCAACCTGAGGATTGTCGATGCTCCGCAATACCAGGATGTCTTGCAGCATGTCAAGAACGGTGCGACGATTCTCGATCTAGGATGCTGTTTCGGCCAAATGATACGAAAGCTGGTCTTCGATGGCGCTCCAGGCGAAAACGTGACTGGCAGCGAACTGGAGCCGACATTTGTCGATTTGGGCTATGAGCTGTTCCGAGACAAGCAAAATCTGAACGCAGCGTTCAAGACGGGCGATTTCTTCGGCGCAGATGTTGGTGGTCTGAAAGGCATGTCGTTCGACTACATTTTCGCAGCATCGTTCTTCCACATCTTCACATGGGAGGAGCAGGTAGAGGCAATGTCCCGCGCGGTTGGGTTGCTGAAGCAGAAGCCAGGTTCAATGATATTTGGATGGCAGACCGGGTCTAAGACCCCCAGACTGCGGCCACATGACGCTGCCCGATCTGGCGAGATGTACAGTCATAACGAACAATCGCTCGAGAAGCTGGTATCTGAAGTTGCTGAGAAAACGGGCGTGGAGCTAAGTACGAAAGTTGACGTTGTTGGCCGTGCAACGAGCGCAGATTCTCAAGATGACGACGAATGGCGGTATATGAGATTCTCCATCACGAGGTGTTGAGCGGGTATCGAAAGACAAGAAGGAAAATAGATAGAAAGAGGTGTGTGTGAAGGGTGAAGTATTGCCTTGTTACCTCATGAGCCATACCAGGTACCTCGAAATTCATTATAAACTCCAAATCGTCCGTCCCCGTCTGTTGTAGATATTGATTTCGTTCCTGCTCCCTCAAGCTCATCGCCAGACCCTTCAAGAGCATCTAGGCCAGATGGTTGTTTCTGGGGAGGTGTGTCGAATAAAGTTAGCGCGGGATCGGCTCCCTTCTTCACATGAAATTCGGCAGCGCAAAGTAACTTCACCTAGTCAACATCCCAACCAAGATCTTGAAACTGTGGTCAGCACAAATGTACGAGCTGCCATGTCTTCTCCGTAGGTGAAAAAGCTCACACGCCAAATATAAGTAATTTTCTCTTGCCCGCCCAGCTTCTGTTTGTTTCCTATCCTCACACAGGCCCTTCGCCTCGTTTTCCAAAGCCCAGCGAAGCAAAATAATCTCACAACCAAGTCTTCCCCTCTCTCCATCATGGACCACACCATCAAGACCAGCTTCCTGATCATCTCCGATACCCACGGAGATGAGAAGATAGCGGAAAAGCTGCTCAACCTCAAAGAAGAGGTTGACGTCGCCATCCACTGCGGCGACCTCACCGAGGGCTCCGAGATGAGCGAATTTCGGTCAGCGTTTCAACTCCTCAAGGGGATCAAAGCTCACCTCAAACTCGTCATCGCAGGCAACCATGACTGGGCGATGGATAACGTCACTTTCGACCGCAAGACTCGCGAATACGTGGACCGCGAGACCAAGCACGGAGAGTTCACCCAAGGCGATCACGACCTCCTGGATAAAAGCTTCGGAACTCGCGGTGAAGCAAGATCTCTCTTCGAAAGCACAGAAGCAAAGGCAGCCGGGATCATTTTCCTCGATGAAGGAACTCACCACCTCACCTTGGCGAACGGCGCTAACTTGAAAGTGTACACCAGCCCTTACACATGCTCGCGGGAAGCAGACTGGGGATACCAGTACACTCCGAGCCAAGAGCACGAGTGGGATATCCCCACAGGAATCGACATCGCAATCACCCACAGCCCACCGAGAGGCGTACTCGACCTCATTGACAAGGAGAGACGCAACGGAGACTCAAGAGCTGGCAGCCCGAGCCTGTTCAACGCCATCGCCCACTCCAAACCCAAAATGCATTGCTTTGGACACATTCACGAGAGCTGGGGATCAAAATTGGTTACCTGGCGAGACGATGTTCTTGAGGGCCAGCCACTCACACACTTCAACGCGATCGATAACGGAGCACCAAAGGACGAGAACAACAACTCGTCACTGCGCCAAATTTCAGACGAAGGGGAACAATACCCTCCCACCTTCGAACTCAAGCTGACCGCCCAGGAAGTTGGCCGTCAGACGCTGTTCGTAAACGCAGCACTCGAAGAACTCGAAAAGAGTCGGCCTCAACCTGCGTTCATCGTCGAGATGCCCTTGTCAGAGGCCCAGCCCACAACAGCGCCAGCGGCAGAAACAGTACTGCCAAAGCCTGAAGCTGCACAGCAGGAATCCGAGGCTGCACAACCCAAGAAAAGGAAGCGCGAAAGCAACGAGCAAGAGACGCCGTTGCCATTCAAGCGAGCGTGCTGGTGCTGAGCTCGCTCTCAACAGCAATGATTGCGACCAACCCCGAACCACAGGAGAAGGCACCTCCAAATCAAACATGCTGACGATGAGCATCCTCGTCACGAGCCTGGACCGCCCACTGGCAAAAAAGATACACCGCCGACTTCTAAACAAGGATCGCTATCAAGCGAGCAGAGTAGCACTCAATACTGAGGGCACCTACCAAGCAAACATGCTGTCACTGAGCTGGCCCGTCACGACCCCACATCACACGAGGTTGCAAACAAGACTCAACATCTAGCGAGCATAACAAGATTCAGCTACCAGGGCGCCTGCAAGGCAAACATGCTGCCACTGAGCTAATCGGCCGCGAACCTACATCAGACGAGTCGCAAGCACGACTCACTACTGCACGAGCATAAGAAAGCTCCAAGAGCGCACCTACCAAGCAAACATGCTGGTACTATACTGTCCAACCACGAGTCCACACCATAGACTGGCGAGCAAGACTCATCACAACGCGAGCATCATAATGCTCGGCTCACAATGACGAATCATGATGGGATGATGAAATGAAGGAAATGAGGGAAACGTATGATATGAGCGCAGAGTCGCGAAACATGTGCTGGACCGATCTGAAGAGCAAAGCGACGATGGCGCTATTTAGCTCTCGGTTCACACAGAAAGCATCCACGACAGTGAACACATAGTATGGGGCAAATCAAGCGTTTCACGCAGGAAAGAAGCTCGCTTTTCGTCCTATTAACTTTTCATTCGAGATGCTTTGGTTCATGTACATTGCTGACCAGATCAAGGGTATCCTCGATAGGGTCAGGCCTCGACGTGTGCTATTCTCCATGCCACGCTTCACCGTAAACACAGCAGTGATCTCTCGCCAAAATGATCGACAACGGTCTTCTCATAAAGCAACATGTCGTGCAGCCATCGGCGTGCAGCCTCCAAGACAGGAGCCCCAAACTTGACAACAACACAACCTCGTACAGATGCCGCAGACCACAGTACCCCTTCGATGAGTTCCCTGCGATGCCTTTCCGCCCGTTTCACGATCTCTGAATCCAATTCTTCGTCGCCGCTCTCGCTGCCACTGTCCCATTTCCTCCCGCCAATGCGGGGAAGCAGCTTGAACTCGCTCATGAAGAACTGACCAAGACGGTTGAGGACTGGCCCGTAAAGAATCAATGTCCCGTACACCGCTAGGCCGTCCATTCTGTGGGCAATATCGTCGCCTAGCATTTGGTCATGCAGCAGGAGGTTGTCTCGGAGAAGAAGCTTCCGACTCCCCTCTGACTGCGACAGAAAGACCTCATTGCGGCTGCCGTAATGGTAGAAAGACCAATTCTCCCCATTCGCCGGCCGACCATTCGAGACCCAATCCAAGACACACAGACTCCCAGCTTTGGTACCGGGCGAGCTTGGAACTTCTATGTTGTAGATCTGTTGCTGTTCGAAGTTGCTCTTCTCAAACGGCTGGACAGGATCTGGTAGATAGCAGAGTGCTGACTCTGGAGCGAGGGTCACAGTCATGCATTGTTTGCTCAAGACTTCTCGATTCGGTGCTTTGAAGAGCTTCGTACTCCCTTGGGTGAGCAAGATCAGCCTCGTCGTCTTCTCCAGAATAACGTGCAGGTCGATCGCATCTCCGGCAACGAGTCCGCCGCCATACGTCAAGAGGTATACCGTGTAGACTAGAAACGGATCATTGTCCTCTGACTTGAGCGGTGCGGGTGACACCAACTTCAGCGGGTATTGGTAGTTGACAGTCTTGAGCCGAGGCAAGCTGGGAGGGAGCAGGGCCAGATGAATCGTTCCATTTCCAGGTGTTGATGTGGGCGGAGCGAAAGGTTTGGACATTGCAGTCCGTGAAAGTCGTCGCTATCGTAGTACCATCATTATGTACAAGAGCTTCCCTCCGTCCGAAAGAAACGAGTGACGTTCAAAGCAACGCTGAATTCAAGAGGTGAAGTTGTTATCGCAGCACGATTCAATGCAAGATCCATGCGCCCGCTAATGAGATCGAGCCGAGCCGACAAACCTTGTCTTGAGGGTCCCTCGAAATCTTGGCTCGAGCGTCTGAATTTCTTGAAAACGTCCAGCTTAAGTCCGACAATCCATTCAAACAACAGGAACGACATAAAGGAGACAAGATGCCGAAAGCAGTCACATCAAACTCGACAGCACGCCAAGAGCGACGACACAATCCTCTGAGTGAAGAATACTCGCCCTCAGCACCTCTGAAGCAAAAAGCAGGAAAGAAGAGGAAATCTACGAGTGAAGCGAATGGACAGGACGGATACGTCGATAGCAAGGCGTCGCGACGGATTCTGGACCTCGGACAGGATCTTGCAGCAGAAGATGAGGCGGAGAACAAACCAAAGAGGCCAGCAGCAGAAAACACAGCATTCGCATTCGAGAGTCGGTTTCGGCCAGAAGATCTTGAGGACGAGGAGGGAGGCGCAGAGCAGGGCGAGTACGATGATGAAGAGGCGTGGGGATCAGAAGAGGAGTTAGAGGAGATTGAGGTGGATCCGAACGATCTGGAGATGTTCAACAAATTCAACCCATCATTCGACCCTGCGACATTACTACAACCGAACAATGGCGAAGAAGAGGAGGCACAAGGACCTGGCACAAATCTTGCGGATCTGATATTAGAGAAAATCGCAGCGCATGAGGCGGCGCAACAGGGACACCCAGATGGTGGACTACAGGTACAAGGAGGCGGCGATCCAGAAGACGCAGTTGAACTGCCGGCCAAGGTGGTTGAGGTCTACACACAAGTCGGCCTTCTTCTCTCACGGTACAAGTCCGGCAAACTCCCCAAACCTTTCAAGATTCTCCCAACTCTCCCACAATGGGACATCCTCATCTCCATCACCCGCCCAGACAGCTGGACACCCAACGCCGTCTACGAAGCCACCAAGATCTTCACCTCCACCCGACCAGCAGTCGCGCAAGCCTTCTGCAACGACGTCCTCCTCCCACGAGTCCGCGAAGACATCCGCGAGACCAAGAAGCTGAACGTCCATCTCTACAAGGCCCTCAAGAAAGCACTCTACAAACCCGCAGCTTTCTTCCGCGGCTTCCTCTTCCCACTCGTCGGCTCGGGCACCTGCACACTGCGAGAAGCGACTATTATCTCTTCCGTCCTCGCGCGAGTATCGATACCCGTCCTCCACTCCGCCACGGCCCTCTACCGACTTTGCGAGATCGCAGCCGAGCAGATGATGCACGATGTCGAATCTGCTGGTGCTTGCAACATCTTCATCCGGACACTCCTCGAGAAGAAGTACGCCCTGCCATTCCGCGTAGTGGATGCCTTGGTCTTCCATTTCATGCGATTCAAAGCCATGCAGCAGGAAATGGGAGACGACGTGAGCATGTCAGGGACTGGAGCTGGAGGGAAGAGAGATCCCAAGCTGCCAGTGCTGTGGCATCAGTGCTTACTTGCTTTCGCGCAGAGATACAAGAATGAGATCACGGAGGACCAGAGAGAGGCGCTGCTAGACTTGCTGCTGGTGAAGGGACACAAGCAGATCGGACCAGAGGTCAGGAGAGAGCTGCTAGAGGGCCGAGGACGAGGAGTTGTTGTGGAGCCGAGTATGAATGATGGGGGCGATGATACCATGATGGACGCTTGAAGGATGAGGGTTCAGGAGCATGAATAAAAGGAATTGGCTGTCCCAAAATGTCTTTTATCCCTGTCTCGATACCTCTACCGATTCTTCGAAGCTGTGTTTCGTGCTATACGACTTGCTCCTGACGTGGGTGAGCGGTGCTGTGACCTGCGAAAGCTTTCTCTGGCGGGAATGTGATGACAAGATTCGCGTCAGTTATTTCAACCTTGTTGATCGCAGCTCGTTGCTACGGAGCCAGCTTGTCCAAGAATTGCTGCATCTCGGCCAATTCCAAAAAGGCCCATATGTTCTGCGAAATGTCAGCACTATCCACACCAGGGTCACTGGTTTAATGGGGGGCTGACTTCTTCGAACACCATCGTCCTCAATCTGAAGTACAACGACTTGCAGACCAGCAGAGGCGCCAAGAAACGTGTGCTGCTGGAAGCGATGTCAATTTTCCTCTTCTGGCAATAACCGCACGGGCAGACGGCTTTCTTCTCGATTGAATCGATCCCGCGCTTGGTGAGGCCTGCGAGGTCATATACGGTCGGACCATGTTTTCCGACACCCGGTATCTGCTCTTTCTGGAGTTGCCATTGGCAGTAAATTGATTCCTCGTGGCTCTCATCTATTTCAAGCTTTCGCCAGCAATTGCAGAGGTAGCGGTGGATGCTGGAGCGATCGGCGGGCAAAGCATCGGCGCCGTCGTCGACGTCGGGATTGTAGCGGGTGCAGGCGTCAAACTTTTATCATCAGCCACTAGCTCCAGCGAACAATGTGTGACTGAGCGCCTGAAGTTTGTACGTGTCCACTGGATGATAGATCGTTCTATGGGGACAGTTGTCTGAGAAGAAGCTTACGTTTGGACGTTCGGTCGAAGTGAAGACCACGTTGCCGTCGAGAATCTCAATACAGCCCGGCGCAAGGTAGTTGAAGATGTTGTCGAGGATCTCTTGAGGGAGATCGGTGAGGGTAGGCATGATAGCAAATGACTGCTACTTTGTCAGCGAAGCCTTCTTGAAAGATGTGGGCCAGGGGCTCAGTCGCTGCTTGATTCCCGGATTCGGCTGACCTGTTGATGTACTGATGCTTGTGTTTGGTACGAATGGCTGCTTGGAAGCGTTTTGCGTATGTTTGGTGAAGCCACAACAGTAGAACTTCGACCAATATCGAATGCCGTGTCTTTGGCAGCCACCTTCGACAATACTCGTAACGGAAGGCCTCAAGCACCATTGGCAGCTTCCACGCCTGGCAAGTGCGCGTTGCTTTGGCATCCGGGGCAGTTGTGGACTGTCTCGTGGCAGAAGACATCACAGTCAATGCAGAAATGGTTCTCGCATGTCTCGCACTCGTATCTGCTGGATTCGGAAGCACCTTCAACGCGAGTCCTCGTCTTTTCGTGAGCCTCTCCGTTCGCGCCATCTGACGCTCGAGGGACTGCAGGGAACGGTGCTTGACAGCCATAGCATTGTGTGCTACCTTTCTGCCGAGCTCGCTCCCATGACACCTCCACCCAATTCTGGAGAGGAAACAAGTGATGGTATGAGCGGGCCAAGTGCGTGGATAAGATGAGCGTCAAGTCACATGTTGGACATGTAGCAGGCAGATTGCAGACCTTCGCTTTGCATCTACTGCAAAGGTACCCGCCGCGTGTCAAGTTTCCGTGACATGCACACAGGGTAGCTTTCTCCTCGACGATACGAGAGGGAAATCCCATCATCAGGAGGGCAGCTTGGTTCCGCTTCTGAGCTTCGGCATCTGAAGCACGTACGACTGGGGGTGTTGTGATGCCCATCAGCAGTTCTCGATAGTGCACCTCATCAAGTGCAACATTGTAGCAATTCTCATCGCCTTGGTTGGTTTTGCGGCAGATCTCTGCACAAATGTGCATCTGTGCTGCAAGACCGATGATGTTGACCCGAATCTTGTCCTTGATGCAGGCCTTAATTGTGTCGTGGATGTCGCCGGGATCCGAGGTGAGTAAAGCACCCAAAATGATTACGACTTCCCGTGTGCCGTGAGATGGAGTATGATACAGTGCCGCCCGAGCCATGTCGAGACCGTTTTGCAGAGAAGGGTTGCCTTTCGGATCGGTGCCTCGCAGGACTTTGATGGCGTTGATATGGTCGTTTGGGTTTCCCGACATATCACTCACTCTGATCGCTAGGCCGTCGTGCATACCAAGTATACCAAGTTGGGATATTGGATTCTGCTCAAAGTATTCTCGAATGAATGCGATCGTGTATGTCATGGTGAGAAGATGCCTAGTCGGCCGAAGATCCTTCTCTGTCATGGCCGATGACAAGTCTATCATCAGAATCGTGTGCCGAATGATACCACGCTGGAGAGGAGTCGTATCTTTATGGAGCCTAACGCAAGTCAGAGTGAAAGTAAGGAATAGTAGAAAGTGCATTACTTCTTTCGTTTCTCCGCTTCCTCCCTACCAGCATACACGCCTTCAATGTCACCGTCTGCGCCTTCTTGCAGCTCCCAGTTTCGAGAAGCTGACGCTTCCCACGTCGCTCTCTCGCGTCCTTTAGGCCTAGAGGCCATCGACCGAGAGCTGGCCCCGTTGACTCGAACATCATCGTCCGAGCCGGCATCATACTCTGGATCCGAGTCGGCCATGTTGAAGGTATTGTGAATATATATGGCCCAGTAGAATCCAGGTCGGGGAGGTGATGATATTTAGGTCATATCATGATGCGGCGTCGTGGCGAGGGCCGCAAATCGGCACTTGATCGCGTCCGTGTCTCGCTGGCGACTTGGCAACAGGTGACGACGCCTTTAACTCGCGTCATCCAAAACAGGCGCGTTGATTGAGCTGATTGAGTTGGCGATAGCAACGGCGGCGATCCGATCTTGGTGCGGACGTTGCGACGCAGCGCGACGGCACGTGAAGATATCGTTCCACTAGCGGGCGGCACTAGCGGGACCGCCCGCAGACCCCTTCTGCTGCACTCCCTACGGTGGCTTTGACGAGCAGCGAGCGAGCATCCGTGAAGGCACCAACAAAGCCGCCAACGCATCGCAAACCACCGCCGGCAGCCTTGTCGCCAGCTCTCATTCACCAACCCATTACCGCCACGGCGACCTTTTCAGACCGCCTCATCGCCAGGCCACCGCATAGCGCAGACCCCACCAACCCGCCCCTCTGCTCCGACCACGAATCCCAGACCAACACCTTCGAACAAAGGAGACAGGAGACGCACAAGGCAGACACGCCATGGCTAGTATGTCATACATGGCACTCCATATGATACATACCACATGCTGACCCTCTCTGGCAGACGACGAATATGATGTACATCACATGACGCTTGATATCGGCCCATGCGCACGTGCTAACGCATACTTCTCCAGTTCCTCTTCAAGGTGGTCTTGATAGGCGACTCGGGCGTCGGCAAGTCCAACCTGCTCTCGCGATTCACCCGGAACGAGTTCAACCTGGTATGGCAAGAGCAGTGACGTAGAAGGAGCGGCGGCGAGCTGATGCGGCATGATAGGACAGCAAGTCGACGATCGGTGTGGAGTTTGCTACTCGCAGCATCCAGGTCGACAACAAGACGATCAAGGCGCAGATTTGGGACACTGCTGGTCAGGAGCGCTACCGTGCCATCACCTCCGCATAGTATGTGCCTGAGGATTCGGAGGCGGACATGGAGACAAGCTGACAAGTGTTCTTTGTAGCTACCGAGGCGCAGTAGGAGCATTGCTCGTCTATGATATCAGCAAGTAGGTCAAAGGAGCCATATCGCGGATGAGGCACACGCTGACAGCCCCCTGGACACCAGACATACGAGAATGTGACGAGGTGGTTGAAAGAGCTGCGGGATCATGCGGACGTATGTCAAATGGCTGAACTATGAGCTTGGGAAGATATGCTGACACTATACCAAAGACCAACATCGTCATCATGCTGGTCGGAAACAAGAGCGATTTGCGACACCTGCGAGCCGTTCCCACCGAGGAGGCCAAGCAATTCGCCAGCGAGAACGGCCTCTCCTTCATCGAGACTTCTGCTCTCGACGCCAGCAACGTCGAGCTCGCCTTCCAGAACGAACTGACGGAGATCTACCGGATCGTCAGCTCCAAGGCTCTCGACCAGGGCGAATCAGCCCCCGGCCCTGGCCAAGGAACGAGCATCCCTCTCTCAAGCAGCACACCTCCCGGCGACGCCTCCAAGAAGGGTCAGTGCTGCTAGTCTGGCACTTCTCTACCTTTCAAACCGTGCGCTGTCGTTGGTACATACATGGGAGTTTGTCCTCTTGATGATGGGAGCGAATTCGTCTTTGAGATGATGTGTGGCATGCATGACCCGGGGGGAAAGCTGCTGTGCGGTGTGCGCGCCTGGAGTTTTGCGGCGTCGGAAAGGAAGGGCGTCAAATCCAGCACTTGTCCCTTTTGACGATATCGTGGCACTGCAGAGAGTGGTTCATCAGGTTCGCACGAGTTTAGGCATGCAGCAATGAAATTTGAAACTTAATCCTGAGGATGTGTGAATGTTTTCAATGATTTCTGCATCGGTAACATCTCTCATTCGCGATTTCTAGCCTACGCAAACTGCTCATTGCTTCCAAAGCGTCCGCCATATCCTGTGTGTGTGTTCGACATTCTGATGTGGCCACCGTCTTTCACTGTACACGCCCACCCAGAAGATGAACATGATCTCCACGATGCCGTCCATCACCTTCTGCCACTTCTGCACATTCAGTCCACAAAGATCTCCTTGAAGCATCTCTTCCGCACTTCACGGAGCATCTGCCGACAGATATCGTACTCTTGAATCACACCCGGCAGCCAGTCCTTGAGATCCTCACGCAGTCCCTCTTCGGCATCGCTCTGCTCCACTTCCGTGGCCCCAGAAGCGAAGTCTTCCAGGATCAGGGTTAACGTCTTGTCGATCGACTCTTGGAGTTGGGCGACTTGCTTCAGGACGGCGGCGTTGATGGCGGCCTGCATGAGGTCGGCCAGTTTCTCAAAGGGAGTTCCTTCGTTGGCCACTGCGAGGTGGTCCTTGAGGACTTCGAGCCAGCGATCTCTGCACCCGTTGCCTGTTGGCTGTGTATTAGCTATTGTGTAACTGTGGGGGGTATTGGGTGTGTGTGTTACCTGAGATCTTCTTGCACGCTACGTAGGCCGGGACCATGGCTTGCATAAAGAAGTTCGTGGGACCGTCGACGGTGGCGTCGTTGTAGATGCGTCTGGTACGATGTCAGTCAGCGGCTGTGATAGTAGATCGCAGAGCATCATAAACTTACCTGAGATCGCCCTCCAGAGATTCTTCGGCTGCAGTGAAGGTCTCGCGCACACCGTTCGTTCTCGACTCCAGCGATGCAGCGAAGGTGTGCATTGGGGAGTCTGGGTGTCTGGCTTTGGACTTGAGCAATTTGAAGATGCTCTCCAACTCTGAGAACGTAGTTCCCTCAAGCAACTTCCACTTCTGCTTCAGATCTGGGATGTACGATTCCCAGTTCTGAACCACATGACCGCGTGCTTGCTCAGTGAAGAGGACGTTCCACTGCTTGTCCGGCATCGCGGGCGTCGAGTGATTTCCATGATGGCGGATGAAAACCTTGAGCGTAGCCCATGCGTGGCTGCTGAGTGTGTCGTCCACTATCTCCCATGCTTGAAGCGTGTACTGGCGTTGATTTGCTCTCAGGCTTCGGAAGACCTTCCTGTTCGCTTCCATTCGAACCTCTCGAGAATAGTCGTTCAGAGCAGTTTGAATCTTCTGCTGGGCGTCCTTTGTGACCGAAATGAGCTCATTTCTGCCTTCGACGGGATCGTTGCGGACGAACAGCTTGCAACCCTCGATGAACACACCGAAGTCATGGTTCACGAAGTTCAGGAGGCTCTGGAAGAAGGGCTGCGCCGCAGCACTGAGGTAGTAGACGCGGAGCTTGGGAATGCCGGTGCCTTTTGCGCTCAGCTGGAAATATGCTCTTCCGTCTCCAGACTTGAGCGATTCGTACTGGGTGTTCGAGATAGCGAAGACTTTCAGGTAGTGGGTGGGCGGCAGACACTTTCGACAGGCGTCCCAAAGTTCACGCCCGATGGCATGGTTCCGTGCATTGACGATGAGCTCCCACCACTCATCATCGGTCTTTTTGAGGGACCTCTGAAGCCTCTCGGGGTCTCCTTCTTGCGGACTGGCGCTAGTCTTCGATTTCTTTTGCTTCTTTCTCGACAGTCTCGAGATCTTGTCCTTCAGCGCTCCATTGATGTCCTCCCAGCGTTCCTCACGCTCCGCGAGATCGGGGCAGTACTTGAGAGCTCTCGAGTTGCGAGTCATCTCCCTGACTAACTCCGTGTCAACACCTTCATCGCATTTGGTGGCGATGACTGCGAAGTTGTCCTTGAACATCTTCCCATATTTGTCCAAGTGGTTGACCACGTTTCCGTTGGTAACGATCCGCGCCACATCGTCAAAGATCCAGAGATGATCACACTGTCGGATGTGGTTCAGAGTCGCATCGACTCTCACCTGGTTCGTGTCCGTGACACCTGCGAATGTATTAGCGGAGGTCATTCTGAAAGATGCATCGTCAGTGCCCTACCCGGGAGATCTGCAAGAGTCCAATGATCAAGCATCCGAGAGCCACGAACTCCAATCCTGCCCGAAGTCAGCGTTTGTACAATGGCAAGACGCGAAAGATAAGCTCACCGAACTTGCTTCACAAACGGCCACAAGAGGGGTTCCTCGCCGACGTTGTCCTCGCTGAGGTTGGGGTCCAGCCAACTACGAAGATCGTGTTGGTTCATCGCATCCTGGTATATCACACGCTCACTGTCTCCAAATCGGCTGTTCATCCGACCTTCAACAAGGTCAACAAACCCCTGTGCTTTCTCCTCGACCTCGTTCGGAAAACTACAAAGTTCATTGAGCCATCTCTCGGCATCTCCGTCCGTTCGAAAGTTCGTCAGATCGCAGAACACTGCGCGGAAAAGGCTGACCGTTGTCATCGCCCTCTTCTTTCGGTTCTTCTTCTCCTCGTTGTCCCAGTTCTTGTCGGCTTCGTTAAAGTACGCTTGAAAATCCATTATGGCGTCTTCGAGCATCTTCTTGACGGCTTCGATATCGAAGTATTCAATTCGAGCAGAGAAGTCGTGCTTCTGAGACGCCGCCACTTTTTCGTATAGCGAAACGACGAATGTGACACTCTTGCCAGCACTCACCTTTGACAAGGTCAGCGCGATTTTCCTTTGGAATTGAGTAGACTTACAGCTTTCGCGAGTTTCGAGATATCGTTGATTGAGTTGATGCATGAGCTCTTGCCTTAAGCTGGTCAGTAGTGGCCACAGGGCAAGACGATGATAGGCTTACCTTGCCCGGCATTGCCAATGAGTCCAATCATTTTACGCTCTGGTTCTGGGATAGTCCTGACCTTGTTGAGCTTATTATACAGTCGCTCGGCGTCAGGCGAAGTGCACGAGTTGCATTCGAAGAGGTCATTCGCCTTGTCAGCGAGCTCGACTAGTTTTGCTTTTACTTTTGGGGTTCCAGAATCAAATGCGGCACAAGTTGGCAGCGCTTCCATCTTTTCGCAGTATCCAGTCTCTTCGTCGCTTTCATCCTCTTCAGCATCGCTGATGGTGTCCATCGTCTCGTCTGCCTTGTCGTCGCCGCCCACATCCTGGTCATCGCCGAGCGTGAGGTCCATGAAGGTGTTGATCGTGTGTTTCTCTCCACCTCCTACGTCGGAATATTCTTCCAATGGCCTCTCCCCTCCGAGCTGGGTCCTCGAGTTTGTGTTCGCCATGACGATGGACCAGCGAGGGGATGCGCGACAGGTGGCAAGTTTTGGCAGGAGTTCAAAGCGTCGAATTTATGCTCGCCTAAAATCTGTTTGCGCCGGTTGTTTACATTCGACGAGACCGCCGCTGGAAAGTTCAGAAGCGGGAAGAAAGGGTTCCCAAAATGGAAGGCACGAGAAAGTGACGACTACTGAAACACTCAGGATTGTGCTTCAGTTTGATATGCGAGATTCGATCGCTGCATATGAAAAAGTGAGCGGGTACCTGATGTCTTACACGTGAAAGAGGAGATGAAGACGCTGAGTCTGGAGGCGGATTTTGGAGGATGTCTGAGAGCGTGGATCTGGCAAACCGAGATACGAAAGGTATGGCTCTGTATTATTTCCCATCCCTTATAGAGTGCTGTATCAGGGTGGAATATGCAGGCGTAGAGGCCAAACATCCGCGAATATCTGCAGGCATGGTTGCTAGGTCGGAATCGTGATGCGGTTCGTTTCTGATGGTATCAAATGGTTCTATTTGTAGAGAGCATGAACATCTACTACGTTGGCATTTGAACGCGCATGGGCGTGAAGCGGTTGTAATTGAGTGCTGGCGGGAGACCGATGGAGGTGAGCTGAAGTGAGAAGAGCTGAAGTGAGAAGAGGTGAAGTCGGCTTTCACATTGTGATGCCTCAGGCACCAACACCAACCAGCGAGCTCCTACGAGGACGCCCATGCCACGGCCTTTTACGCCAGTCCTGTACATCTCCATTGATCTCAGGCTATCTCGAGACAAGAAACAGGATCAACAACCCAAAGTCTTTCTTGGCACAGAGTCAGGCTTGATTCATCGCAGGGAAAGTACTATCTTTTGGATGCTACCTGTACAATTCTCAGTCTCGGCCGTGATGTCTGTATCACGGTCGTCTGCTTTTTGATTCAATCTGACCGGCCCTCCTCTGCTTGTGTTCCATCCTGCCGCATTGGGTGTTGTATCGGAGATGCAATCGTATTGCCAAATCATGAGGTGAGGCTCTCGAGCTCTCGAATCAGCTGTGTACGACGACCTCCCTTCTCAATCTCTGTACAAGCCCGCTTGATCTCTTCAATCTCTGTGTCCCACTTCTCGAAGAAATCCACGAGGTCGTTCCGGAGGTGTTCCTCGTCAGGGTGGAGTCTATAACCCTGTAAGGTGGACTCGTCGTCCTTCTCGATCTCCTGAAAGATTAGAAGGGTTTGCTTCTGGAGATTGGCGATCGTGGTCTTGACGCTGTTTTGGATCGCTCGCTCGATACGATCGACGAACAGTGCAAAGGGGCTACTGTCGCCTTCTTTTGTAAGATGAGCCTGGAGGACGTCGAGCGATCTCTTCCTGATTGTGAGGCCTGTATCATAGGATCAGTTCTGCAGACCCTTTGAGTGTTAGGAAGGTCAAGTTGTGCGTACCTCTAGTGAGCGAGTTGCATTCCTCATAGGCTGGCTTCATGGCTTTGGTGAAGAAATTCCCTTCCGCTACGTTGATACGGGTGACCCTGTTGCGGTTAGAACATAGCCAGCATAAAACGGAAACGACAGCGACTTACTTTAGATCTTCCGCTAGCTTGGCCTCTGCTTGTTCAAACGCTTGACGAATGCCATTAATCTTCCCCTGCAACGTGTCGTCCATTGTGTTAACTGGACCACCGGCGAAGGCCTTCTTTGCCTGGCCATGTGGCTTCATGCTTTCGGCCATAGCGGTAGCAGCTCCCTTGACTTCTCCAAGCTGCTTGGTTGCAGACTTGGTAAGAGGTTCCCATTCCGAGTTGACGAAAGACCGCGCGCCTGTTGTAAAACGCAAGTTCCAGGATGGCCGGTCTCGATAGGTGCCTGAACGGCGAAAGAAGGCACCGAGTGTGGGCCAATGCTGCTTCCTAAGGTCGTGATCCACAATTTCCGCGGCATACGCAGCATACTCAGGCCCACTTGCCTTAAGATGGCTTAAGATAGGTCGAGCAGCCTCATGCTTCAGGTTGTCCTCCAATTCCCCGAACATATGCGCGACCTTTGGTTTTGATTCCTGATTCATCAAGACCAGGTCATCGTCTCGTTCATCGGACGTGTTGTGGAGCCAAAGCTTGCAGCTCGCGATCCAGTCAGTGAATGGAAAGTCAACGAAATCCTGCAATTTCTTGAACTTGTCGGGGCCTGCAAGGGACAAAAGTTGGGAGCGCAAGGCCGGTACACCTGTAAGCTTAACGCTGATTCTGGCCTCGACATCCAGGGAAGAGTCCTTGTGGGCCTCGTACTGCATGTTCGAAATGCAGAACATCCGCGGCTCCACGCCAGGAACGTAGCGCTCAATCAAAGGCTGCGCTTTCGCTATAGCGTCCTTGTTCCGAAATTCGACAGCCTTTGCGGTAAAGAGGCTGTTGCATCGCGGCCTTGCCGCCTGCAATGAGTCAAGCTTTTGTCGTGCATTCGCATCTTTGCTAGACCTCTTTTTTAGATACTGTTTTCGATTGTCTAATAGGTCCAAGAACAAGGCCCAATCTTCACAGCCCGACTTGAGCTCCGGTTCGTGTTGTGCGTACGATTTCATCCGCTTAACCTCCAGGCCATCGTCACACTTCGTAACGACAATGTCGAATTTGTCTTTGAAACTGGGTCCATAGGTTGCCAGCAGGTTCTAGAAAACGGCGCCATCGATCAGTCGGTCAAAGCAATTAACGAAAATGAGGCGATTACACTGCTGGATTTTCGATTTCGTGTAATTAGCTCTGACCTTGTGGATGTCATCCAGTCCGGGAAGGTCTGCAATTCTCCAACATTCCAGCACTTTGGAGCCACGCACTCCAATAGTAGCCTGCTTCACAAAAGGCGACAGGCTTAGGTCTTTGGGCACTCGAGACTCCTCAATCCCGATACGGGAGTTGAGCCACTCATGGAGTTTCTCCAAGGTCTGGTGCTCCTCAGAGACCTGGCGCTTGCTCCCTGAGATTCGGTGGTCCATGGCAGCTTCGACGATTTCCACGAATTCTTGGACTTTTTCTTGATATGTGCCATTGGCTTTGCAGATTTTACAGAGCGTCTTGGCAGTCTCATCGTCGGTAGAGAAATCTTTCCTGTGCCGGAAGGCAGCTGCAAAAACGGAAACAGCCGTCCTCTGCCTGGCGTACTTCTCGTTCTGCTCAACTAGGTCGCATGGTTCCTGCTGGTAGAGCCTGTAACACCGTCTCCAAGGTGGCAGGCTTCCCAGTCCCGGATCGCGTCAACAAGAAGCTTGCTGATCTCTGCAGTGTCGAAGTATTCGATCGTAGCTGAAATTCGGGTATCTGCTCTTCGGGTGCTGTTTCGTATATCGTAGGGACGCAGGTTACGCTGTTCACGCCATTGCCCTGTAATGCATCAGCAAGGTTCATATACTCTAGATGTTCAGCTCCTACCGCATCGGCAAGCCCTGGTCTGTCGATGATCGAGTTGACGGTAGAGCTTTTTCCTAGAGTCAATTAGTATTTGGGCACTTTGATTTCGTCGCTGTGCATCATACCCTGTCCACCGCGTCCTATAAAGGCAATGATCTTGGGATCGTGGACGGGGATCTCGCAAATCTCGTTCGATTTTCCACGCAATCGTTCAGTTTCTTGCGTTTTGCAAGCGTGGATATCGAAGATCTGGGCTGCGTCTTTTGTGACGTGGCGAATTCGATCCGGCAGCGCCACCGTCCTCTCATCGAATGCTGCGCACTTGGGAAGCTTCTCCTGATCTTCGCTATAGGAACTGTTGCCCGCTTCCTCTTCGTCATCGGATTCATCGTCCGATATGCTGCTTTCACTTTCATAGTGTTTTGAAGCCGCTTCATCGTCTCCCTCGTGATGATGAGGCGATTTGCGCTCGTTCGGATCACCGGTTGCAGATGAGCATTGGTCGCCTGGAGGTGGTTCTTCATTGTCTGAGCGCTTGCGTTTCCTCGCGTTGGATGATGTGGAAGACTCATCCATGATGATGTCTCTTGGTTGGTGTGTAGTGTCAAGGAGTAGAAGGTATGGGGAAGCTTGACGAGTCTGAGATGAAAGCCGATGTAGCTGAAGAGATTGTTGTAAAGAGGTAGAGGTGGAGTGGAGACGAAATTACTTATACTTTCCACGGCCATATGTCACATGAAAACCCGCTCCGTGACCTGAATATGCGCTCTCAGAGTGAAGTGATGTGAGATGAGCAGATCTAATGAGCGGTTGGAGACATCACAGTATATGCGGGATCATCCTTTCCACGCGAACGCAGACGGAGCCGACAGCGCTCGATTGAATAGATGTGGAATGCGAGGCAAATGATATTAAACTTCTCGTTATGGATGAGCAATGCTGGATTCAAGAAGGGAGGTGAAGTCGGCTTTCGCTGTTGAAGCTTGAGGCACCAACATCAGCCGGCCAGCTCCTTCGACTCTACCTGCGGACATCAGCACGCGACAGGAAACAATCAAGACCTGCTCTTCGATTCGCACATTCTTCTACCATGCGATAGCCTCTATTTTGACAACAACGATCGCTTTAATTCTCCGACAAGATGTTCTGCCTTCGCTCCTGGGTATGCGCCTTCATGACCTTCGGCCAACCGCTCTAACGAACTGCAGGTACCACTCCTCGTCTTCCTCACAAGTACGCCACCGATCTACGTCGTTCTCTTCCTGCTGGCGCACTACCGACTGTCTGGTGCCTGCGTATATTGCTCCGTAAGTGCCGGCGACGCTCCATCAGCACCACCAGGCTTACAGCCACTCCAGATCCTCCTCTTCGTCCTCGTCTTCTCCCTCTTCGATTTCTCGGCGGATTGGTTCGAGCCACGATGGAACGGCGACTTTATGGGCTCCATCTCGACGACGACGGCCTCCTTCATCAGCGGCAATGCGACATTCACAGAGGCACTCGTTGAGACCGCAAGCATAGCCGTCTCCGCGATCAACGGAACGGGAGGCTCTCTGGCAAGCGCAGCGATGGATGGGATCAAGCATAAGATGGCGGGCACATCAAGTTCTGCAATAACAAACGCGACAAACGGAACAAGTGGGTTTGAATGGTTACGAGGAGCATTGGACAAGTACCACTTCCGGATACCTTGTCTGGATGTGACCGTTCGGTTATAATACCGAGGTCGCTCGTGGGTTTCAAAAAGGCGTTTACGGGTTGATGAGATACGACAGCATGGGAGGCGTTGGGTGGTATTCTGGGGCGCGTTGAGGCATATACCCTTTGGGCCGGGGCGACCGCGCCGGTATGAAAGCCTGTGGGCTTTGTGAAATGGGATATTTCCACATAGGGCTCTGGCATGAGCATAGCCACATCAGTATTGAACTGAGATCCCAATCTTGAATTCCGTCGATGTTGTGGTGAGTCTGGCGGCATGTTCTGACCTACGGGTGTTTGGTGCCGGGTGTCGATATGTACAGTTCGCAGCATCGTCTTGCTACAACACCATAGGTCAAAGTAGACGTGGCTTCTCAATTGTATCCGAGTCCAGCGTTCTGATCTTATGCCAACCGTATCGCCATTGTAGAAGTTTGTCACGTGCTTTCGCTCCGGCGCGAATGGCGGAGGTCGAGGGTCGAGTGGAGCGGAGGAGCTACCTATGTCTCACTTAGGTCTTGATGCCGTGCTGCTGGTGTTCTGCTGCAATCAATGATACCTTCCAATCCCACGGTACACGGCTTGATTCGGCTTTGCGAGCACCAGCTACGAACTGTCTCGAATGGGCACGGCGGGGCATTGCGGGTCTGCCTTCCAACTGCACGCCACGTCGACGTGAAACCGACCTTCCTTTCCAGGACACCAAACAATAGAGCAAGCTTCGTTACATCGGCCATTCCGCGAGCGAGCTCCACGCAAGAGATCGAGAGATATAGAGTAAGACGTGCTAGACGAGCAGTCCCAAGCCAGAGAAGAGTTCAGCCTGCGAGACATTGTAGCAGCGAAGCGTCTTCGCTCCTGGTCAAAATGTCTCAAGACAGAGACGTCCTCCCAGAGGAGTATGTTGGAAATACTCACCATTGGATAGAAGAAGCTGACAGGAACGACGGCAGTGTTAAGCCCATCAACTACGCCATCTCCCTTACAGACCTCTCCCCAGGCGAGCCATGGACGTACCAAGGCACTGTCAACATCGACGTCGAGATCAAAAAGGCCACCAAGAGCATTGTGTTGAACGCCTTTGCACTGAAGCTACACTCTGCCGAAGTGGCATCTGATTCTGGCAAACACTCCTCCTCAGTGAAGGCATCGAACATCTCGTACGATGAGAAGAACCAACGAGCCACTCTTACGTTCGACCAAGAGCTTCCCCAATCGCCAAAGGCAGTCCTTTCGATATCGTTCGAGGGTATCATGAACAACAATATGGCTGGTTTCTACCGGTCCAAGTACAAGCCCACTGTTGAGCCGGCAAAGGGTGTTGCGAAGGACAACGAGCACCACTACATGTTCTCAACTCAATTCGAGAGCTCAGACGCTCGACGAGCATTTCCCTGTTTCGACGAGCCGAACCTCAAGGCCACCTTCGACTTCGAGATTGAAATTCCCGAAGACCTTGTTGCGCTGAGCAACATGCAAGAGAGGGAGACCCGAAAGAGCAAGGCTGGACACAAGATTGTGTCGTTCGATCGAACCCCAATCATGTCGACATACCTGCTTGCGTGGGCGTTTGGTGATTTCGAATATATCGAAGACTTCACGCGGAGAAAGTACAACGGCAAGAGCTTGCCTGTCAGAGTGTACACTACCAGAGGACTCAAACATCAGGGACAATTGGCACTCGATAGTGCGCATCAGATTGTGGACTACTTTTCCGAGGTTTGTTCCGTGTTGTCCAAGGGAAAGGCGTTGCAGCTAACTCGTTTGCAGATCTTCCAGATCGACTATCCTCTGCCGAAAGTTGATCTTCTTGCAGTTCATGAGTTTGTAAGTGGTACCTGCTCTTATCTGCTTCCGTGTTCTTCGCAATTGTCTGATTTTCATCAGGCCATTATATGTCTCCCCACAATTCTTTTCCCCCGCACTTCCCACCCCTGTAGCTCCGAAATCTATCCACATATCCGAAAGCCCCCTCCCCCGCACATCCGATCATATCAGTCAAAACACGAAAAGAACCTCTACAACAGCGCCTTCCCTTTACTATCCATACACGCATACTAACCACTGATCCTAGAGCCACGGCGCTATGGAGAACTGGGGCCTAATAACGTACAGAACGACGGCGGTGCTGTTCGACGAGTATGCATCGGATCAGAAGTACAGGAACCGGGTCGTCTACGTTGTTGCCCACGAGCTGGCCCATCAATGGTTCGGAAACCTCGTCACAATGGACTGGTGGTCTGAGCTGTGGCTCAACGAAGGTATGTCTGATCACGGTTCTCAAGATAACACTGCTTATACGTTGTAGGCTTCGCAACTTGGGTGGGCTGGTATGCCGTCGACCATCTCCACCCGGACTGGAACGTTTGGGGCCAGTTTGTCACCGACAGCATGCAGATGGCTTTCCAGCTCGATTCACTGCGCACGTCTCATCCGATCGAAGTCCCAGTCCGCAACGCCCTCGAAGTTGACCAGATCTTCGATCATATCAGCTACTTGAAGGGTAGCTCAGTCATTCGCATGCTGGCCTCACACCTCGGCGTCAAGACCTTCCTTCAAGGAGTTGCGGACTACTTGAAAGCTCACAAGTACAGCAACGCTACTACCAATGACCTTTGGTCAGCTTTGAGCAAGGCTTCAGGTCAAGACGTTACGAGCTTCATGGACCCCTGGATCCGTAAAATTGGGTTCCCTGTCGTCACAGTCGCAGAGGAGCCAGGCCAACTCAGCGTGAAGCAATCCCGATTTCTGACTGCAGGTGAAGTCAAGCCAGAGGAAGATCAGACAGTGTGGTGGATTCCATTAGGTTTGAAGACCGGACCATACGCTACTGACGCCAAGCGTGAGCCATTGACGGCGAAGGAGGATACTTACCGTGACGTTGACACCAGCTTCTACAAGGTCAATGTCGACCAGACTGGCTTCTACCGCACCAATCTTCCACCCCAGCGCCTCATCGAACTCAGCAAAGTCCTTGATAAGCTCTCAGTCCAGGACAAGATCGGACTTGTCGGTGACGCGGCGGCACTCGCAGTCGCTGGAGAAGGTACTTCACCTGCGGTGCTGTCTTTCTTGGAAGGCTTCGTAACTGAGAAGAACTACCTTGTCTGGAGCGAGGTTCTCTCAAGTCTGGGCAAGATCCGATCCATCTTCTCAGCGGACGAAGAAGTTTCTGCCGGTCTCCGTAAGTATACGCTCAAGCTGGTCACTGCCGCTACAGACAAAATCGGTTGGGACTTCGGACCCTCTGACGACTACCTCACTGGCCAACTTCGCGCCCTGCTCATCAGCACTGCCGGTCTAGTAGGCCATGAGAGTGTCGTTGCCGAAGCTCAAAAGCGATTCAAGGCTTTCCTTGATGGAGATGCCAAGGCCATCCACCCGTCCCTGCGCGCCGCTGTCTTCAAGACCGCAATCAAGAATGGTGGTGATGATGCGTACAAAGCCGTACGGAAGGAGTTCCAGACAACGAGCTCGATCGACGGCAAAGAGATCACACTCCAGGCGCTGGGATCGGTGCAGACTCATGAACTCGCTACTGACTATCTGAAGTTTGCCTTTGGTGGTAACGTGGCTGTTCAAGATCTCCACTCTGTTGGAGCTTCATTGGCAAACAACTCCAAAGTGCGCGACGCCGTTTGGGAATACATCAAGGCCGAATGGCCTGCGATTCGCGAGAAGCTGGGAGCGAACATGGTTGTCCTCGAACGCTTCCTCCGAATGAGTCTGCAAAAGTTCGCCAGCGCAGAGGTGGAGAAGGACATTGAGCAGTTCTTCAGCAACAAGGACAACACGGGCTACGATAGAGGCTTGGCTGTCGTCAGCGATACCATCAAGGGCAACGCAAGATACCGCGAGCGAGACCTGGAAAGGACCCGGGAGTGGCTCAATGCCCACGGGTACACGAAGTAATGGAAGAGGTGAAGATCGCATGGACACATGACGAAGCTTCAGCGGGCCCGCGAACAGCCGCGAGAAGTTTAGGCTGCAGCGCGCAGTCCAGCGTCTAGCCGCGAGCATGTGAAAAGGGGGTCGTGCAAGTGATGGGAGCATCGTCGAGATAGTATCGCTTCTGGTAGCTATCTCTCTCGCTTCAACGAGTAGGTGTATCTCATTGGCTTCTTTCCGCTGCACTCGAATGTTCTGCGAGATCGTTGTGTCCTATTGTCATCGTCATTGCCGCGTTTCTTCCTATTGTCCTGGCGCCGTCAACAATTGAATGTCGCGAGTGAATGGGCCGCACTGACCATTCGCGACTGCCGCCAACTACAAAAGCCTCGCAGCTCCTCTGCGACTGCCACCTCCCTGCTGACACCGACAACGACTTCGCGCCTTCCGCATCGCTCTCGACATCACCGACCGCCCTTTGCCCACGGCAAGCGCAGACCCTCGCCTTCCACGATCGATCAGGTGACGCCACCGCGACGTCCTCCTCCGCGATCTCTCATCCTCGTCCTCCACGCTCTCATCGACATCGACATCGACATCCCCACTCCGCCACCGCCGCGCCATCTGTGCAAGATCTCGGCATCATATCACCGACGACGCCACCATCTGCTTGTCCCCTCTCTTCACCACTCTCCCTCGAGTTCGCTGTAGCCACCCGCACACCTTTTCGCTGCATCAGTATGGAGTGGACCGGTTCGCCATCCAAGAAGGCCGCGGCCTCATTCGCCATCTACGACGAGAACGAGCAGGCGCAGGTTGGTCCAATTCACTCGCCCCCGACGTTTTGCCGAAACTTTAACTGACTCTGTTTGCGCCTCAAATAGTTCGGCTTGAAGCGCACTGCCAGCGCTGTCCCGCTGCCTCTGACAACTTCCAAATTTGTCAATCGCATGGGCCCACATCCATCCGTCAGTCACCACCACACACTGCCGCCGCCCTATTCTTACAACACTGACACCCAGAAGCGCACCATGGAGAACATCGACAAGACTGAGAAGCCCGAGGCGACTCCAGTCGACCAGCTCCTCGCCAAACTCACCGCACAGCAGGGTCGCTTCGACAAGAAGCAGCGCAGCTTCGAGGACGGCCTCAACGAGAACCGCAGCAACGACTCCGACGTCACCGACCCCTACGGCGGCAACCCACCAGCCGAGGACACCACGTCTGACGGTCGCCCTGACGCCGCAGAGGTCCTCCGTTTGAAGAAGGAGCTCGATGCTGCCAAGGAGCGCATGGCCCAGATGGACCTGCAGATCACGCAGTCTCGCCTCGCCCAGCACACCATGGAGGAGGCCATCGGCTCGCCATTCCCAGCTGCTCAGCATCTCGCTGCCAACATCACCGGCCACAACATGATGCCAGGTGCTGGTGCTCTCGCCCAGCCAAACCCTTACTCACGCACTGCCACACCCCTTGAGCGTAGCAGCTTCAACGTGCCACAGCAACCGTAAGTGTGCCATCCTCTTGTGCCATACTCCTTGACTGACCTCCGATAGATACGACTCCATGCAAGGCATGCACGGCTTCCAGCATGGCCAGAACGGCTATGCCGGCCGCTCCAAGTTCTCCTCCAACGGCTACCAAGCTCCCTACACCCTGCCAAATGGCAACGGCCACACTCAACAAGCCCCCATCGGCACGAAGCTGTCACCAACTGCCGCCGAGTTCGGTGTCGGTCGTGGCCAGTGGTCCACGCAGCAAGCACCACCCACCTACCTCAACACCACCGAGCCTCTCAACTACCGTCGCCTCCTCGACCGCAACATGAGCTGCAACTGGAAGTACATCGTCGACAAGATCGTCTGCAGCAACGACCAGCAGGCATCCATCTTCCTGCAACAGAAGCTCAAGTGCGGCACTGCCGAGCAGAAGTTCGAGATCGTGCAAGCCATCATCGACCAGGCGTACCCACTCATGATCAACCGCTTTGGCAACTTCCTCATCCAGCGCTGCTTTGAGCATGGCACTCCAGAGCAAGTCATCGCTATCGCCCAGGCTATTCGCGGCAACACTCTCAACCTCAGCATGGATGCTTTCGGCTGTCACGTCGTCCAGAAGGCATTCGATGCCGTGCCTGAAGAGTACAAGGCCATCATGGTGCACGAGCTGCTTCGTCGTATCCCAGAGACGGTCATCCACCGCTACGCCTGCCACGTCTGGCAGAAGCTCTTTGAGCTTCGCTGGAGCGACTCACCACCCCAAATCATGAAGTACGTCAACGAGGCTCTTCGCGGCATGTGGCATGAGGTCGCCCTCGGCGAGACCGGCAGTCTCGTCGTCCAGAACATCTTCGAGAACTGTCTCGAGGAAGACAAGCGCCCATGCATCAACGAGGTCCTGGCCAGCATCGACACTGTCGCCCATGGCCAGTTCGGCAACTGGTGCATCCAGCACATCTGCGAGCATGGCTCCATCCCAGATCGCACCCGTGCCACGGACCACGTCATCCGCTACTCGACTGAGTACAGCATGGACCAATTTGCTTCCAAGGTCGTCGAGAAGTGCCTCAAGATGGGCGGCACCGAGTTCCTCGACCGCTACCTCGATCGCGTGTGCGAAGCCCGCCCAGATCGTCCTCGCATGCCACTCATCGACATTGCCGGCGACCAGTTCGGCAACTATCTCATCCAGTACATTCTTACCAACGGCGACCCTCAGCGCCGCGAAGTCGTGGCTACGCATATTCGCAAGCACATGGTCTCTCTGCGCGGCTCCAAGTACGGCTCTCGCGTCGCCATGCTCTGCAGCAACCCTGCTGTCGCCACTCGCCCAGGCCCACCAGCTGGCATGTCTCTCAGCCGTGGCAACAGCGGCTACGGAGGCGACCGTTTCGGCTCCAACTTCACCCGCTCTTTCCCACCAGATGGCCCATACATGGGTCGTGGTGGCTTCGGTGGCGGATTCCGCTAAGCAAAAGCTCATTCTTCATGGCGGCGGCATTTGGTCAACATCGCAATGATCACGACTTTCATGTCACAGCTTCACCGCCATACGCTCTGCTCTGATCTACGCTGCTGCATGCATGCTTGTTCTGCTCGCTTTCTACGCCAAAGCTACGCTCGGGAAAGGATACCACTTATCCTCGCTATTGGACAGGCGAAGGGCATCACTACCCAAGATTGCTCGACGACATCTTGGCAGGTCTTGTTCTTCTTACTCGAGCAGCAAGAGATGGTCTGGTCGAACTTCTTGCACTACTGCTTGCATCTTAGCAATTTCCCTTTTGGCGATGATTTCTTTTTCGATTGTTGACACTCAAAGCAAAAAACACAAAAGGGTAATCGATCATGGATGGTGCAGATGGAGGTGAAGGCTATCGGACATCTCGTGGTGCGGTGCAGATGGTGTTTAATGCGTAATCAGTTAGTGTCTTTTGTGTTTTCCGAGAGTACTCTAATTAATGTGGTGTTTCAATGGCTCTACCGATGTTCCACACTTTTCTCTTGATTGCTCGTGGTTCAATGAAGCTCCACCTTGAGATAGATAAAGTTGGCATTCACATGCCTTCCCCTTGCTGTTCCTTCCCAAGCGGGGCTGGTCCGCTGCTAGTCGAAACCTAAAAGCGACCTGTCAGGTCGCACAACAGGAACGCAAGACCTCTTTGCCGCTGCAACAACACCTTGAAGATGCTTTCAACTACAGCAGCCACATCACCACACATGCACCTCGATGGCTGATCAGTCGGTAGACGGCCTTATTGCGAGGCTTGCCTACATCGCCCCTCAAGCACCCGGCTTGTGGGCAAACGAGTTGAGCGACTTGAGCGCGAGACTCACTCATGCCATTCGCAGTGAGCGCGCAAACGACCCGTACAGGACTCATCATCAACCACCGATCACCCGCCAACCACCGTTCGCAGTCGTCGTCACAAACATACCGGTGAGAATCAAGGCCGAAGAAGTCGAGGGTTTCCTGAGCCATTTCGGCGCCGTGGTGAATTGTCGGCTGTGGGGGCAACAGCCCAACTTCATGGCAGAAGTTGTCTTCTTGAAGCAGGAGGCGGCGGAGAAGGTTATCCATGCGTCCTGGCAGGTGAGTTGTTTGCCGTTGAGATTCACTTGGTGCAAGGACTGATGGAGGTTGTAGGCTTTGAGTCATGAGTACAGACTACTGCAGGCGTGGTGGAAGCCACAGACTCTTGATTCGAATGCCTCTGGCTTCTCGTTCCATAGTGGTCCGCTCACGGCTCCTCTCGCTTCGCCACAAGAGAGCGCACCTGCTCGGCAGCCTGCACCCGCGATCGCCTTCATACAAGTGCCGCGTGGACAGAACTGGCAATTCCATGGCCGCCAGCAACTGACTATCATCAAACATGGCGATCCGACTTTTCCACGGTTCAATTTTGAACCACAACAGATGTATCCGCCTCATGCGATGTACCCACATCATCCTACGCACCCGCCTCACCCTACGTACCAGGCCCCTTCGATTCATACGGCGCCGTATCCACCTTCAGCTCCCTCAACGCAGGCCACTTTGCCAGCTTTTTCCCAAGCAAAGAGCACCCTGCCAAAAAGCACACAGCCAAGCCATCTTAAAAAGAACAAGGTGCCGAAGGATCAAGGATTGTCGAATGTCCAGCCCAAGGTGAACACGTCGGAAGAGCAAGGCGAGGAATTGAAGAAATCGCCACCTTCAAGTCGCTCTGAGAGACCACCGGACAGCTGCGATGAAGCGCACGGCGGAAAGAAGAGAAAGGCCGTGAAGATGGAGGATAGTTCAGCCACGACTGGTATTGAGGAGGAAGTCTCGCCAGACATGGCAGTGTCGAGAGGGGATGGAGGCATGAAACTCAGACGGTCGGCTAGGAAGGCCATCAAGCCGGATCCAGGTGCAGAAGTAGGTTTGAAGGAAGAGGACGTGGAGCAGACTCTCATCAAGAAAGAGATCATGGACGAGTAGAGCAAGGGGAAGACTGCTCGGCATGGCAGGGGTAAGTATGAAGGGTGACGAATGCATGTCCTATCAAAACGGGACCTGCGTCAGGTTCGAATCGAATCGAATTTCAAGTTCAAAGCGACAAAGAACACCGAGCAAAATTTTGATGAGGTCGGCATCGCCGTCTTGCCCTTCTCCATCTGGGGGATTTACCACTCATCCGATATCTTTTGTTCTTCGATCCCCATAACAAAGCTCATTCGCGAACACCACTCATTGACAGGACATCGTGGAGTATATATCATGGAGTATATCAAGTTGCCGATCGCTCGTACACCTTAGCTGCGTCCGCCTCAGTCTGGTACAGGACACCCCAAAGCCTCCATAGGGCCTACTCGCGGACGCTGCGTCGGTGGTGGCAGTGGACCTCGAGTTACCGTAACGTCAGCGAAAGCACGGATAGCCAAGTCCTGGCAAAAGGGGGTGGCGCAACATTCGAGTAGTATCAGCGAGGATGGTAAAGTGGCTTCCATCTGCTGCTGCCAGAATCTCACAAATTGCGTTCCTACGAGGTCTCCGATGGAGATTGTTGAGGGTGCACAGTCGTCTGGAAGTCCGCAGGGAGTGACACCTCCAGCAGGTTAAGGTCATCAGACAGATCCGCCAGCCAGCTCTTATTACCAGGCGGGAGTGTGTAGGCATCCCCTTCGGTCAGCTTATGATCAGCCCCGTCTTCGCTGTGCAAGGTGCATGATCCAGCGAGGACGACTGCGTAAATGGTTAGCAGCGAATAACATCAACGCGGTATACCGCCTTACAAGTGAGAAGAATATCAGAGTCATGGCTCGTTATCACACGAGATCCGTGGTTGCCAGCAACAGGACGAGCGACCTGCACGGATGCCACACCTCGCGTACCCTTCCCAATACCCGTGTCGCGAGCTTCGAAGCCCGGTATACGCCATGGCCTCCAAACAGCGTCTCTGGCTAGACTGTGCACGAACCTTTGACCCTCCCACTCCCTATCCGGTCGATGGGTCGAAGTCGGCAGCTCCATCTCATAATCCATCGTAGTCAAATGCTCCGCCGGCACACCGACCTCCACGACCTGCAGATTCTCCGAGGACTCCAGGACCCGATGGCGAATCTGAGGTGGCTGGATCACGCAGTCGCCTGCTGCTAGGATGAAAGGCGGGCCTTGGTCTTCGTAGACGAGACGGACCCAGCCACTTATGCAGAAGATGAGCTGGAATCCCACCTCGTGGTAGTGGACTTTGTCGGGTACGGGTCCTGCGTCTGGAATGCGGATGTGAGATGCGATGATGGCGCCTCCTAATCGTGAGGGGATGAGATCGCGGTAGTGCATGCCTGCTCGACCGATGACCCAGGGAGCGTTGTCTTTGAGGCGACGGGTGGCAAAGGCGTGTTGGGTGGGAGGCCGTGGAAATTGGATGCTTGCAGAGACGAATTCGACACGGGTGCCTGATGGAGACACAAGAGAGTCTCGATCTGGCTTTCCTCGACAGAGCAGACGCACAGTGCCCGGGGCGGTGGTGATCGTCTTATCGAGCCGTAAGTGTAGGCCGTGCCCTGACAGAGCTGCAATTTGAGGGTCATCAGCAGGATACTGAGGTCACGATACGTTAGTGAGTCTTTCAGCATTCGAGCAGAGTCCACTTATACGAACGATCTGGTCCATTCGAAAGCCGAGGTCGTCCCAGAATTCTGCTTCTCTTGCAATGTCTTTCGATGGTAACACAATCTCGGCTGACGTGATCATCAGATCTTTGATCGCCCCGTTCGTCCCATTGACTTGTTCCATAGTGGCTAGCTAAGCAACATGAAGGTCTGAGGATGTCCAGATATGGCAGCTCAAGGTGCAGCTCATACGCGGCGATAGAATGGCACAGATGGGAATGGCTGTGCTGTGCAATTGTGATTAGATGGATATCTCATACACGAGCCTAGCCAGATCACAAGGTAGCCATTGTAATTGAGCGACCTGAATGCTCCGATCCCCGTTAATCTCAAATGACTAGGGTGATGGCAATAGAGGAGCAGAAGAGACACGACGTGAGGTCGGCATCTTCGCCTCCTTCGTCCGCAATTGCCGATCGAGATTCAGGGTTTCGAGCTCATCCGAGATTTCGGGCCCGAAGCAATTATTCGGGCTACGTCAACGTCCAATGAACTATGGTGATGAGAAAGCCACCCGAATTCTAGCTGTGAAGTCTGGAGGAGGTCGAGAGATATAAGGAGATGCTGAGATCGCAAGTAAAGTCTTTTCCATCCACAGTTGAAAGGAGTTCCCACGACGACATACACCATTCCCACGACAGCCTCGCAACCATGTACCAAGCACAAATCGACACCTGGGGTGCAGCACCCAAATACATCCAAGTCCCAGACCTCCCCCAACCGACCGCCGACGAAGTCCAAATCAAAGTCTCTGCAGTCGGTATCCACAACGTCGTCCGCTCGCGAGCCTCAGGAAAACACTACTCCTCGGGCTCCCTCCCCCACATCCCCGGCATCGACGGCGTAGGCCACCGCACGACCGACAACAAACTCGTATACTTCTGGACCTTCGGTACCGGCGTCCTCCGCGAATACGTGAACCTCCCCAAAACCAGCGTCTACGAACTCCCCGACGAAACCGACCCCGTCCAACTCGCCAGCTCCATCAACCCGGCCATGTCGAGCTGGATGACCTTCAAAGGCCGCACGAAGGACCTCCCCAAGGACTTCACGGTCCTGATCCTCGGCGCGACTTCCGCCTCCGGCCGGATAGCAATCTCCATAGCGCGATCCCTCGGCGCGAAGAAAGTCATCGGCGCGGCGAGATCCCAAGCCTCGCTAGACACCCTCCCCCTAGACGAAAAAATCCTGATCCCTGAAAATGTCTCTGAGACAGACTTCACCCACCTCGACGACGTCGACGGAGTGCTGGATTACATCTACGGCCCTTTGGCCCTGCACCTCTTCTCCTCGCTCAAGACGCCCAAACCCGTGCAATACGTCCACATCGGCGCCGTGTCGGGCGTGCAAGAGATCAATCTCCCGGGGGCCTTGTTGAGGTCGAAGGATATTACGATAAGGGGGTCCGGGCCGGGGAGTTGGCAGATGGGGGATTTTGCGAGGAGTTTGCCGGAGTTGTTGGGGATTGTGAGTAGGTTGAAGGAGAAGGGGCCGGTGAAGGTGGTGAGGATGGAGGATGTGGAGGCGGAGTGGGGGTTTAAGGGAAAGGAGAGGTTGGTTTTTGTGCCTTGAAGTTCTGTATGTGATACATTATGGCGGATGAGCGATGATGGCACGATGGGATTATTTCTGGCGTTGCTTTCTTTTGTACATACCTGAGCATTAGGCGCATCTCCCCACAACTCTTCCCGCTGTTGAAGCTGTTAACAACATCATCACCCTCCATTCTTTGGCCGCCACCAACGACGCCCTACTGCAGTCACAAGTGATGAACACGATCACGCCTCCCCAGGCCAAACCCTCTCCGCAACCCTCCTCACCAACTCCAACTTCCTCTTCATATCCCCCCAACCCAAACTATTCCCCTCGGCATGACTAGCAAACCCACACTGCGGACTAACACTCAACTGCGCCAAAGCCTGCTCCCGACTCCTCCCCGTCCCCTCCACAATCACCCGCACCGCCTTCTCTACCCTCCCCACCATCTCGTCCACATCCTTCAACTCGGGAAACTTACTCGTCACAACCCCCAACACAACCCTCTTCCCCGCCGGCAGATACTTCAGCGGCTCGAACCCGCCCGCCCGGGGCGTGTCGTACTCCAGGTAGTATGTCGAGACATCCAGCTCATTGAAAAGTTTCCGCGCGATCCGATCATACGCCCCCTCGCTGAAATGCTTCGAACCCATATAATTCCCCCTGCACAGATGAATCCCCAGATGGAAATCCCTCTCCCTCTTCCCAATACAGGCATTATAAAACTTGACATACGCATCAAATTGCTCGTCCGCCGTCTGGAAATTCTCTTTGTCCTCCCTCCACCCCGCGAGCATGGCTTCGGAGCAGAAATACGCCAGGTTCGGGTCGTCGATCTGTGCGTTTCGGAGTCCCGCATCGTACAGAATTTTCAGCTCCGTTTGGTACGCTTTCGCGAGGTCCGAGAAGTATTCGTCGTCGGTGGCGTAGACGCCCGGGAGGTAGGCTTTGCCGGGGCCGTAGCGGAAGTGGTACCACGAGGGGGAGGTGAGGGTGAGTTTGATGTTTTTGTGTTTTTCTTTGGGGAGGATGGATTGGAGATATTGGAGTTCGGGGAGGAAGGTGGATTTTCCGGTGTGCGAGAGTTTGCCTGTGGCAACGGTGACTTGGTTGGGGATGGTTTTTTCGTGCATGAAGGATTTCACATCTGCAAGAGAGATAACCTCAATCAGTATTCCTCTCGATCGAACGAGTGGTCAGGAGAATGTAACAAACCTGGTGCGTACGCTCTGAAGATACTCTGATCATACCCTCCCTCCCTAAGATTAATCTCCTCCATCCCATTCAACGTCTCCATAAACGTGCCCCAAAACTGATGCCGCGAATACTCTCCATTCGTGATGCTCTCAATCCCGCAATCCTGCTGCAATTTCACAACCTCCTTGATCGCCTCTTGTTCGATGGGGACGAGTTCCTCCGGTTTGGCGGTGCCCGCCGCGACCTCGTAGCGTTTCTTGACGAGGTGGTCGGGTCGGAGGAGGGAGCCGATGTGTTCGGCCCGGAAGGGAGGGTTTCGTGGAGGAGCTGCTGCTGCAGATGCCGAGGACATGGTTTCGACGGTGGCGAAGTGTATGCAGTGTTAGCGTCGGTGAAGAATTAGGACTTTGATGGGCATGCGAGAAGGATGTAAGGAACGAGTTCGACAAGACAGTGAGCATTGCCCGGACATGGCATCTTTTGATCGAAGCGAACCTGGTGGAGTCGTCTGTCGTCGTTCCCCGCAGCACTTCGTCAAGAATACTCTGCCAGAGAGACTAATGCAGGAACAAGACGAATCCTGTCCAATCGCTGTTGAGCGTTTTGATATTGGGTGGAGTTGAACAACTGCCGTGTTGAAAGGGAGACGACGAGACGTCCGCTCTTTTTCATAGACGAGGCACTGCAAGAAGTTTAGCCTATTCATACAATGCGATGGTGGGTATAGTAAACAAGTCGTCAATTAGTCATTCCACCGTCGTTGCCAACATCCCTCGGTTCTCTGTCTCTCCTTCTCCCGGTCATAGTCCCTGTCTCTTGGATCACGCCCTCGAGGATCTCGTCCGGGCTTGTAGCTATCGTACTCCCTGGGTCCACCACTTGATCTGCTATGTCCACCGGGTGGAGGAGCACGATTTGAGCGATCTTGTTGATACTCGAGTCTGGCGTCGTAGTTGCGAGGCTGCTTAGGCGCATGCCGTACGGGGTCAGATGGAGCATGTCGCTTTGGTGATCTGGGATCCGTTGCCGGGTCGCCATTCGTATCTTGAGATGCGAATCGCTTGAGGGGCCTACGCTGCGGTGCGTCACCTTCACCAGGCGAACGAGGAGTCATCAGGACAGAGTCCCTTGGTGAACCCTGCACAGATGAAGTTGGCGCGGATGAGTTGTTGACCTGAGGCTGCAGTTTTGGAATCTCGATACGCTGGATGCCTGCGCCCTTCAAGGTCGTTGGTGACTTCTTCGTGGCATCTTCACTGACAGTGGGCTCATCTGCAAATGGTAGCCCGGCATTTAATTCTCGCGTGCGAACGATGTGCGCACCCTGCATGAACTCGGGTACGGGAGGTGCGCCGATGGACAGATGTCGAGCAGGATCCTCGACTGGAAGTTGAGCTGCCATGAAAACCATTGAATTGGCCGCATCGCCCTTCTCAACTGCCTCTTCTGGCATGATCGCAAGCTCGTCGTCCTGACCCTCTTCCAAAGGGAGCTTGAAGAGGTCATATCTATATGGCTTGACGATGTCTTCCAGCTCGGCCGGATTGTATGCGATGGGAGTGAGAGCCCATGGCTTGCGGCTGAAGACCTTCTCTTCTGGGGGAGTGTTGCCCTCAACGAGTGGGCCATCTGACAAATGATGAGTATCGACATCGTTCGCCTTGCGATTCTCCGGTACGACGAAAGGATGAGGTAAGATCTTGCCATTGACACGGATTTCCACCTGCTGCTTGGAATCCTCTCGGTAGATCTCGCGCATTCTTGCCGGTATTGACAGCTTGTCCTCGAAAATGAATTCGACATCGTCTAGACTGGTGTACCGCTGCGTTGGATGACGCTGGACGTTCGATTGTTTTGCAGCGTCTGCAGCCTCCGACTTGGCGACGTCGAGCTCAGACTTAAGCCCGGCGGTTTGAATCTTTGCCTGTCTCTCTGCAGAATCTTTCTGTTCTTCAAGCTTGCCATTACGATCCATCAGACGTTGCTTCTCCTTGGTCAGAGCGTCTTTCTCGGTATCGGCCTTCACCAAGCGGCCTTTGAGATCTTCACATCGTCTCGTCAAAGTAGTGACTTGGGTTCTCGCGGTCTCGGACTTCTGCTCGAGATCCTTCTGCTCGTCACGGAGTTTGTTCAGAGAGTTGTTCTCGATATTCGCTTTGGCCAGCCGATTTCCAAGATCTTCACAACGACTCGTCAAAGTGGTGATTTCGGTTCTGGCAGTCTCGTACTTCTTCTTGAGTTCCTTCTGGTCGTCACGCAGCTTGGCCAGCTCTGTGTTGATCGAGTTCCTGAACGATTTTTCGGAGTTGGTGCTGGTTTCTACGAATTTGGCCGCTGCAACGAGCTTTTCATCAAGTTGTGCTTTTTCGGTCTTGAGCCTAGCCACGTCACTCTCGCTCGTCTCGAGTTTGTCTTGCAAGAGTTTGAATTGCGCTCGCACGGCTTGTTCTCGGACACTGGCAGCGCGGCAGGCGTCTTGACCAAGTGCCAATATGTTGGCAAAAGCGTACTCGTCACTCTCATCCTGCTCTGACAAGAGGCTATGCTGGGCGTAGGGGAGGTTGGCTTGCGCAGTTCTTGCCGTTTGTATGGCGAGGCGAAGATGGCCGAGGCTCTGCTGTAATCGATCGTCTGTTTGGGCAGATGTCTTCGTCAATTCATCAATTCGTCGCTGCTTGTCCTGCCGAAGTTGATTGTGAGACGTTACGTCTTTGCGAAGAGCGTCAATGGTGCTGTTCTTCTCGTTGATCTCAGCGTTTAACTTCTGAAGTTTCTTCGAATGCTCGCCTTGTCTCCCCAGTTCCAGCTCATAGCGGTTCTTGTTGATCTCGACCTGCTGCTTGGCTGCCTTGAGATCGGCCTCCAGCCGACTCTTCTCTTTCTCCAACCGGGTGCAATCCCCTCTCAGTGCTTTCGCTTCCTGTTCAGTCTTCGTCAATTCATCAATTCGCCGCTGCTTCTCCTGCCGAGCTTTGTTGTGTGAAGTCACGTCTTTGCGAAGAGCGTCAATGGTGCCGTTCTTCTCGTTGATCTCAGCGTTCAACTTCTGAAGGTTCTTCGAATGCTCGCCTCGTTTCCTCAGTTCCAGCTCATAGCGGTTCTTGTTGATCTCGACTTGCTGCTTGGCTGTTTTGAGATCGGTGTCCAGCTGACTCTTCTCTTCCTCCAACCGGGCGCAATCCCCTCTTAGTGCTTTCTCCGCCTGTTCATGCTTAATGTCACTTTGCTTCGACCGCACTTGGGTATCGACGAGGTCTTTCTGCAGCTGAACATTCTTCTGTTGTGCCTGCCTCAATTCATTGCCCTGTCCATCGTAGTCGGCCTGCAGCCACTCATTCTTCTTAATGAGCGCGGTTCGTCCTTCGGAGTAAGTGACGAGGGTCGAACACATGGACAGGAAGCGCAATTTCAGCTCTTCAACGTCCTCGGGAAGTGGCAGAGACATGGCTGCCAAGCTGGACGCGAGGCTCGACCGCGGCTTTGTGTTGACGAGGTCGGTCGAATCGGTGGTGGGTGCATTTATCTGGCGCTTGGCGGAGTCATTTTCGGAATCGTCACGCGGGGTCGTGGTGGTGGTGGTTGTTGTCTTGGTGACTTTGGGGGAAGTGGGCGTTTGCATGTCTGCACTTTCGTTTTTGTCATGAGTGAATGCCTCGTGGGGTGGCTGAAAGTGTGGCATCCACGGTCTGTGTGATGGCTTCCGTCTCTTGAAAGATTTGGATTTCTTGTGCCTGTAGTCGAAATTGTTGTGAGAAGAGTAGGAGCAGGGGCCGCGCTGTCTCTTGAAGGGCGCATGCCCTTGGAAGCGCACCGTATCGATAAGGAAAGAGCGACCAGCAGGAGAACAATGCAGAACCAGTGAGAGACAAGGCTACGCGCAGGACCCGCGCAGCAGACAATAAAGAAGCGGCAACACAAGAAGACACGAGAAACAGCAGCAGAAACAGGGACCGGGACCGGGGTCGCAGAGAGGGAGGGGATGGTTCGAATGCGAAATTCACACTTGCCTATGGCCAGTCCGCGGCTGGCTCTGCGCATGCATTCGTTGCATGCAGGCGCCCAGGATATGGTGGGCGGGAAGCTTTGCATATTGTGACAGATCTGAAAACGGGGGGCGTCTGTGGCACGGCGGCACAGAACATGTTCTGAACTCTGCGACAGGATCGGCAACGGCACCCCTGGCGGTGTGAATCGACGCCAACGCCGGCATCGTGGGTGGTGAGGTCGTTGCAGGAGGTCGTTCTGTTGGTCGCAAGCGGCGACTATTGTTGCTAGGGACGGATGTCAAGAATGATGGAGGTGGTGTGAGGAATGCAGGTGAGGTCTGCATCGGTGAGCTAGAGACTGGCAGGACCTTGGTATCGACGCGAACGTGCCACGGCATGTGGGGTGCAGACTTCATCGATATCGCCGGATTGTCCAATCATATCAAGGTAATTCAACCTCATGTGAATGAGTCGACAGTACTATATCAGCGCAGACTTTGGTCTATGTCAGGCAGCACTCACGGCCATGAACGAGAACAATAAAAGGGATGCTGTGAGAAAGTGGTCATGCTCTATATTACGGCGGACAATGCACGTGTTGTAGACTTGTTGCATACAGTCGCGGAATAGAAGCGGCTACCGGTATCTTCAAGATGCCTCGCTCTGAATTCTGTGCGCAAGAAACGGGACACTCAGAGACTCTAGGCGCCCTTCAAGAAAGTATCTGTTTTGCCCCAAGCCATAAGGTCTCGAGCTCGAGCTGATCAAACCATTGTCCGTCAATATCGTCGTCTGCGTTCTCGACGATAGAGAACATCCTGATCCGCACTTTGCGAAGACGCAAATGGGCCCCAGCCCAGCGAGCAAGACGACGTGGGTCTCCAGCGAAGCCACATGTCTCAAGTTGTAGCTCTCGCAAAGTCGCTGTATGACTTGACAAGAAGGCTCTGCATCGATCTTCTGCTGGCAATGGCCAGTGCCACAATTCCAGCTGCTTCAGAGAAGCAAATTTCAATGGAAAGAGGAGTGCGTCGAGACATTCCATCCCATCTTGCCATGTCATAACGATACTGCCCTTGTCCGACTGTTTGAGCAGGTCTAAAGCGGTAAGCGACAGACGAGTCAGCGTTTGAGTGCAGCTCCGCAGAACCTCACGTCCAAGAGACCTCGCCATCCTTCTACGAAAGTCGATCGGCGTTCCTGGATCTGGATCTGTTGCAACGGCGACGGGCAGGATGAGTTCCTTTGATCCGATCAAGGCCTTCGTAAAGCGTGAACCAGCGCGAGTAATATCAAGGGGCAATGCTGCCACTTCCTGCGATGGCAGTACATTTCCGTCTCCAGATGGTAACAAGTATAGGGAACGCCTGAGATCATGCGGTCGAAGTGCCCAAGACTCGAATGGATGTCCGCCAATCGATAGCTGTCTAACGCGAATGTGCTGCATCTCGACAACGACATTCAGGACTAGACACAGATCCTCGCTGTAAGACCCAGGACAATATGACAGGCCAACCGGTTCCAGTGTGGATCCGAAAACCCGAAAACACAGTCTTTCATACGATTCCCCTTCGACAGCCAGCGCACGGAAGTCAGTAAATACGATGCGACGAATGTTCTTCAATCGTCGAAAGATCGCTCGGAGGAACTGTAGATCAGCATTGTGCTCAACAATTCTCTCCTGATCATTGAAATGTTCGGTGTAGGAAGCAAGTGCATAGTTCGCTCCACTCATCTCTTGGTAGAGCGGATCATCCCAGTCCATGTCAGGAAAATCCGCGTCGTCTCATGCTAAGGGTGGGACTTGGGCAACCACTGAGCGACACATGGCCAGGAGGCCTCTGTCTCGTCTTATAGCTCGCTCGTTATGAAAGTTTCTTTCGCTTTTCTCGCAGGCCTCTTTGTAGTATTCGGGATCTGAAGCGTGTTCTGCTTGATACTTGCTCGGGTCGTAATGAAGCTCGGTGACACCGTGGCGAACTTGTTCGTTCGGATGGGTCAGGATGCGGTAAGTTCGCTCGAGGTCCTTGCGTCGCTTGGAGAAACAAAGGCGAGTAGCGAGGAACTGTCGAGAGCATCCGTCGAACTTGCGGCATACCGTGCGACAAGCCGCAATGCTGTTTGGAGAATCTGCGAGGTATCCGAAAATGTCAACCAAAATTTCGTCCGGCAAGGCCTGATCTATAGTCTTTGAGGGCGTCATTCTTGCTGGGTGAAACAGGAAAGTTATGAGTGCCTGATATTGTTTGAAGTGAGAGCGTGTGGGATCAGCGAAGGCAGGACGAAAGTGAGGGGCATGAGTGCTCTAATATGTGCTCTGGCAGGTGGCACAGCAAGTTGAGGGTTTGACTGCGAAGCACACAGCGCTTATCAGGCGCTGAATGGCTGTCATCTGTGCGGTATTTGCTGCCATTGTGCTGTAAAGAGGACCACCGCCACTGGAGGAGTCGTTCATGGAATTTGTTCTAGGAAACACCACACTCCTTGGCATGACTTTGCAGGTTTCCATATTGTTTCTCGAACAGTTCTTCAATGTCGAAGGAAAGGCTCCATGGACGAAGCAAAACGTATGTGGGAAAAGCGTTCAATATGTCAGTATGCTCGCGGAGAACGCCAAATGATGTTCAAAATGTTCAATCTCGCTGAACCGACACGCATAGTAAAAGATATTGTGGAGTCGTGTCAGGAGACGTCTGGTGAGCGGCAGAGAAGAAAGCGAAAGCCGAGGGAATCTGCGCTTAGGTTGGGTCGACGCTGATTGGCCGCAGTTCCTGCCTCCGCCGGGAGGGCTTGGCAAAAATCGAAGCTGCAGAGAGCAGCTCGAAACTTGACAACATCATCCATTGACACGCTATCAACCGCGGCCGCACCCTCTCCACCACCCCGTCTGGCCGCCCTCACCACCCCATTGAGGCACTCCTCTCTTAATCAGCACCGCTTCCACCCTCTCCGCTCCCCATAATACGCCGCAACCATGCTCCGGACGACTCCTCTCCTCCGTCAACTCCCTGCCACGGTGCAGACCACCCGGACCGCCGCCGCCTCGCTCACCCCCCTCGCCCGGAAACAACAGTCAAATCAGCAGCAAGTGCGATGCGCGCACGCTATTTCCAACCCAACCCTCGCGAACATTGAGAAGAGATGGGAGGCCATGCCTCCTCAGGAGCAGGCCGATCTGTGGATGGCTCTGAGAGATCGCATGAAGGTCGACTGGAACGAGCTTACGCTGCAGGAGAAGAGAGCTGGTACGTGATTGAATCAAAGACGTTTCGATGCTGTGTTTGGGCCGGCACGTGTCGGTTGGGGGATGCTACCGGGAAAACACCGGATATCTTGGACAACAGTGAAGAGACCGGCACAGCGCAATGGTAACATGAAGTGAGAAGCAATGCTGACGTTCTGTGATTTACAGCTTACTGGATTGCGTTCGGCCCACACGGCCCTCGCGCCCAGACTCCTCCCGGTGAGGGCACCAAGGTCTTCCTCTACACCATGGTTGGCGTTATCGCAGCTGGCGCTATCTTCGGCTTCACTCGCTACTTCGCACGACCTCCACCACGATCAATGAACAAGGAATGGCAAGAGGCCACCAACGAATACATGAAGGTAAGTCATCTGGAATACGGTTTGTCGCTGTTTGAAGCACACTCAGCCGTTACATCGTTCTGGGACATCTCACTAATACCTGTCACTACAGGAGAACAAGATCGAGCCCATCAGCTTCGTCGGCGGCGAGGACTACAAGGGACCAGGTGCCGTCCAGAGCGGTCCCAAGCCCAAGGAGTAGAGCATCCCGCTTCAACGATAGCGAACATAGACGGTGGTGTTGTATACTCGAGCTTTGTAGAGCAGTTATCGCAAGCTCTACGCAACGTGCCATTTGCACGCCGATTGAGCGATTTCCTTGCGTTTGACTGTAGATCGGAAGACGGCGGCAGCGGCAAAAAGGGGAGCAGGAGAGGAACGGCATGTAACTTACCACTTTCCAAGATGCATTCTGCCCAACTGTATAAAGGAGCGTTCATGGCAAAGCAAACAATCCAAACTCAATCAAGAGTGCTTCAATTTTTCTCATCCGTCGCCTATCTATCTACTTGCCGCCTCTCCTCGACCCGGGCTTATACGGGAACTTGCTTCTGTAGTGCAGAGCAATGTCCTTACGCGTCGTCACCCAAACTCCTTCCTTTTGCGAGACATACAGCATGAAGTTCCTCAAGGCCTCTGCTCTACCCGCCTTGCCCGTGATACGGCTATGCAGAGGAATGTTCATCATCTTGCCGCCTTCGCGATACAGCATATCGAATGTGCTCTTCAGGTACTGCTCATAGAGCTGTCCACTACTAGACGTGAAACCTGGTGCCATGTGAAACTTGCCGTCATTGCAATCGTAGTTATACGGCTGTGAATGTGTAAGCGACATATCGATATCACTCAGGTGGAAAGATGTCTAAAACTCACAATCAACAACATGCCCTCCTTCTCCTCATCCGGCAAGTCCTTCTCGTACGGCAAATCGACCCAGTACGGCACATCGTCGTTGTAGCACTCTGAGCTGTAGAGCAGCTTCGGCGTGCCTTGGTCCTTGTTCATCTCCTTGAAGATCAAGGGGAGCATACCGGGAGTATTGGGCGTGCTCCGGCCAAAGTAGACGCCCACGGGGAACTCGCCCGTAACTTCGTGGAGGAGGTTCTGGGAGTCTTTGACATACCTGAGACACCGTGAGTAAAGCCATGGATCGTATTAAGATTGCAGAAAGGGAGGATGAATAACATACTGCTTATCCTTCTCCAAATCCAAATCCCAAAAATCCAACCACCGCAACCCATGATTCGCAATCTCATGCCCCTTCTCCTTGCACCACCTCCCAAACTCCGGATTCAACTGCATCGCCCTCGCCACCGCATAGATCGTAATCCGCCACCCGAACTCCTCGAACAACCGCATCAGCCTCCACACGCCCACCCGCGAGCCATACTCGAAATCCTGCTCGGCGTTGAGGTAGCGCGCGCCGTATTTATAGCCTCCGGAAGAGCCTTTCTCCCACAGGTAGGGTTCGCTGTGGGCGTCGCCTTCGAGGATGGAGCGCTCGCCGCCTTCTTCGTAGTTGAGGACGAAGGAGATGGCGATGCGGGCGCCCTGGGGCCATTCTGCTGAGGGTGGGCTGGGGCCGTAGCCTTCGAAGTCGCGGGGGAGTTGGTATTGTTCTTCGATGTGGACCATGTTGATGTTTGTTCTTTCTTGGAGATGAGGGCGAGAAGGGCAGTGAGGGATAGTCAAGGAGAGGGAGGTATTTCGACGTTAGACTTTACCTTGCCAATGTAGATGTCTACAATAGCTCTATAAGGCGAGAGCTATAATTCCTACGGCTATCGATAGCCATGATGATTGTCGTAAGAAGACTGCTTCCACCTTCCTGCCTATCTCGGGAGAAGCTTGGCGGGCGTCGGCCAAAGCCTCCAGCTCGTACCTCACCTCATTCGCGCTCTCACCCATCCATCGGCAAGTCATCTTAGGCGAAGCAGTGATAAGCCGCCTGGTACCTGCAGATGAAGTATCGATAGCGGCCAAGCTGTCCGAAACCGTAATGGGCGTGCTCGACGACCACGGGCGTCGTAATGCCTCCGCGCCGGAGAGGTGCATTGTCCGAGAGGTCGGATTGCTTCTGGATGCGTAGCTGACTATTGTTCTTCAGCTGCTCTCGTTGATCTGTTTTTGTTGCATTGAAAGAGCTGAAACGATGTCTGTCTTCTCTGTTGACCCGAAAGCAGGCACTGCCGTGACCACGGAAGTTCTGGATGAAGTCTGTAAGAGCTTGGGTGTTTCGATCAAGGATGAAGAGAAGGAAGATTACAGGAAGCTGCTCGCAGTCTTTGATGAGAGTGCACGAGAGGTGATGGAGATGGAAGGTTGGTACCAACAGTGGAGAGGAAACTGAGGAAAGTGGTTGACCAGCCGAGCAGACTACATCCCACCCGTCGACCTCGAACGCTTCCCTCGAAACGACGTCAAGCAAATCTCCGAGTCCGAAAATACACATGGAGCCTGGGCATGGCGATGTAGTATCGAAGATACCAAGTCCAACAGCGGCATTCTCGCCGGCAAGACAGTAGCATTGAAAGACATGATCAGCGTGAAAGACGTCCCTATGCTCATGGGTACCGAGTTTGTAACAGGCTTCACGCCGAATATGGATGCTACAGTCACAACACGAATCTTGGAAGCTGGTGGGCATATCCTGGGCAAGACGGTTTGCGAGAACTTGTGCCATTCGGCAACGAGTCATTCTGCCGGCACGGGTATTGTTGAGAATCCGTACGCGAAGGGGTATAGTGCGGGAGGCAGCAGTAGTGGAAGTGGAGTGCTGGTTGCTCTGGGTGAAATCGATCTGAGTATTGGGGCAGATCAGGGAGGTTCAGTCCGGATTCCCAGCACGAATAGTGGTGTTGTTGGACTGAAGCCGACGTTTGGGTTGATCCCTTATACAGGTATGAAGTTCCACCCAGATGCGAACCGACATGTGCTGATCATAAAAATAATAGGATGTGGTAGCAACGAAGCGACAAACGATCACCTGGGTCCAATGACCAGAACCATTCTCGATAACGCCCTACTTCTCCAAGCCATCGCCGGCTCAGACAACATCGACGACAGGAGCTTCGCTGCAGGCAAATCTTCAGCTCTTCCGAAGTACTTCGATAGTCTCAACTCCCTCCAGAATGCAGACAGCCTCTGTGGCCTCAAGATCGGCATCATCTCAGAATCGCTCGATATCCCCGTGCTCGACCCAAGAGTCAAGGAGTGCTTCCTCTCCGCCGCAGAAGGTTTCCGCAAACTGGGTGCCACAGTCACCGAGGTCTCAATCCCAATGCACACCAAAGGCTCCAATATCTGGACAGGCGTCTCCAAAGTCGGCGGCTATCTCACCAAGATGAACGGCTACAACGGCCGCCGCGGCCACGCCATGCACGAACTCAACCACCTCTTCCTGGACGCCATCCGCAAGCAAGAGAACTGGGACAAAGCCTACGTCGCCTCCAAAAACATCTACCTCAACGGCGCCTACGCCGAGAAGCAATACCCCTCACTCCAAGGCAAAGCCACGAACCTCTCCCGCAAACTCCGCGACTCCTACGACGCCGTCCTGCAAGACTTCGACGTCCTCATCACACCTACCCTCCCTTACGTCGCCACCACACACGCCGAGAAGGACGCCACGCCGCTGGAGCAGATTAAGAAGCAGGTTGGTCTCGTGAGCAATACGTGCCAGTTCAACCAGACCGGTCATCCGGTGCTGGCGATGCCGATTGGGATGTTGCCGCCGACTGAGGGGCCTGCGGTCGGGAAGGAGGGCGTTAAGTTGCCGGTGGGGATGCAGGTTATTGGGAAGTGGTGGGATGAGGAGATGGTTTATCGGGTGGGGTTTGCGTGGGAAAGGGGGAATGATTGGAAGATGCTGTGAAGGATAGAATCCACAGCGAGCGTCGCGTCATGAGTCGGATGCTGTAGGTGGGTCTAAGTCCTTGAGATCTCACTGAGTATGTTCCAGTTGCGAAATACCCAGCATGCATACATGTATGTCTGCACTTTCCCTTGGCACGGTTCCAGGTGTTCTGCGTTTTACGGATAGCCACAGCTGCAATGCACGATGCCGAGCAATGGTTGCATCAGAGGCTTAGCTCTGATTTTCACACTTCATGCGAAATGTGTACATTCTGTCGAGAGACTGCCCGTTTCTTCGCGAAGTCGCGCTTGTCGCTCCTTCCTGTTGTGGCAGTCGCTTTCAGTTCGGCTTTCACGTGCGGCTTGGCGTTGGCCCTCGCAACGACCGCCTGAATTCCGCTTGAAATCCGCAAAGCGAGCTGCAGTCTGCACTCACTGGAACACTGTCTTGCCCCGACACACACTTGCAATTCGTCTCACCTTCGCACCCCTGCGATGGAGAGGGAGCGTCCAGCGAAGATGAAGCGAAAGGGCGAAGGCGAGGAGAGAGACAGACGTCTCAAAGGGCCGCCAACGCCAACAGTGCAGGCACCGCCGAACCTGCCAGAAGCAATCAGAGCTCTGAGTGTTCACATCAAGAGACATGTCGACGATCAGAGCAAGGGCAAAGCAGAGGTGAGTTCTCCAAGCACCCTACCGTTTGCAGCCGTACTCTGACGAATTTCAAGGAGGATGCCGAGATCATCAAACTGAACCGTCAGGAGCGCAACTTCAATGCTGTCGCTTTGAGTCTGTCCAAGTCTATCGAGGAGGCCAACACCAAGGCCTCGTCACCCACAAAGCAACTGGCAAAGCACGCTGGAGAGAAGGCGAAGCTCAAGGAAGAACACAACAAGTCCCAAGTCAAGCGGTCGACGGCGATTGTCGAGAAGACCGACACCACCATAAAACGCCGCACGGCTTCTGAAGTTTGCGACACGGCGTACGGTGCTGCCTTACCTTCCGTGAACAAGGGCAAGAAGCCGGAGGCAAACGAGGCAACAAAAGGGAAGCCGGCTCCTCGTGCTCTCCCCTCCTTCGTGCGCAAGAAAGACTTAGCCTCGACCAGGGTCGGTCCAGGCATGGAGAAAGCAGATGCAGCAGCAAAGACTCCCGCAAAGCCTCGCATCCAGATGCCGCCCTTCGTCATCAACCCACATCGAGACGCCAAAGAGAAGTTCGGTCCGGATGAGCACTACAAGGAGAAGGACTTCGGGGCAAGCTGCAGAGAGATGTGCAAGTACCCTCCTCGAGAGGGGGAGACGAACATCGAGGCGCACAGTCTGCGCAAGCATGTGTGGCAGCTGTCGTTGGTGGCAAATTTACCAAGACGACCTGGATATGCGAATGAGGAGGAGGATGGAGATAAGGGGATTCACGAGGATGCTTCCTCTACTCGGAAGAATCGCCCCTACCAAGATGATGAGCTTGAAGACTACGTCTCTGAGACCGATGCCCCGGCCAGGATTGGACATCGCCAGTCAAAGACCGAACCTAAGAAGACTGGTTTCAACATGCAGGCGTTCCAGTTGAGGGATGGGCGTCCATCGTCCTTCGGAAACACACTTCAAGACGAGGGAGCCGCGGAGATGCATGTCCAGAAAGGTTACAAGGTCCGGAGCAACAACATAGAGCGTCAAGGGACCGCAATGGCCAAGGACTTATCTGGGGCCCCGCCACCGAGCGGCAAGACCTTCTCGATGAACGCAGCCCTGCCAAAGCACGGCAGAAACGTCCGCGGCCGCTTTTTCGACCCACGAGACCCACGCCGCGACACCCTGCGCAAACGGAGCCTGAGGAACTTGCAAGAATCCATCCTGCCACTCAAGCGGGCTCGGTCGCTGTCTTCGGACCGAGTAGTTCGTGACAAGCAGATTCCCGTCTGCCGCAGCTGCTGGCAGAGAGGAGATTGGTGCACGGGACATGTCAAGTGCAAGCCTTGCAATGACAAGAACCGCTATTGCGAATCCGTCTGGTGTCGGTTTGGACTGAGTTGTCGGAGCTCGAAGTGTGTTTACCTTCATCCAGGTCAGGTGGAAGGTGATGGGGAGCGGCGGGTTGCTGATGGTGACTTGGGTCGTAGGAACAGCTTGCGTTGAAGGGGGCGTCTGTTAGGCGTCCGGAAAGGGTGCTGGCAGGAAGAGTTTGCCGGTCGGGTTGGTTCTTCGGGAAGTGTCGAGAGATGAGAGTTCATTACCGACATCATACCGTGCTTTCATCAGATACCACCCGCCGCAAGCACTGATGCCAGAGACCGAAGCTGATGGGAATTTTGGGGCGTTTTGGCAAAAAGATCAGCAGTTCGCCTGCGACACGAAGCCTCCAAGGGCAACTTGGATCAACCTTCATCCGCAGGTAGAATAAGAAAGTGGCTATCACAGAAATGATTACAGAAAATGACAAGTGACTCACACAAGAGAAAGCTCCATAACAAGAAAAAAAAAGGCCGCACGAATTCTAGTTGCCTTGATGGCGATGGCTGCATGAAGTAGATGGCTATTCCCGAATAGGCAGTTATGAGAAATGCGAAGGTGGCGGACGGATGCCCTTCTCCCACACCCGTGACGTGCGTCAATCACCAGACAGTCACCTTGGTGGCGCCTCGCATCGCACACCGCAGAGAGCCGACGTATTATATCGTCTCGGTCATCATGTTGACGGGTTCCGTTGAGGCTTGGCCTGGCGACTGACCGCTTTCTTCGTAATGGAGGTCCCAGCGGTTTCGGAAGAGCCGTAAACGGTCCGAATCTGGGCAAATCCCAGTCAGAGACGGACAAGCAAAAGATGATATTCGACTGTAGCAGCTTCAGAAGAGGTGTCTTTGAGGAGATGAGGTCTGCAACGGCGCCAAGGGGTTCTCCGCGACTATGTAGACATCCATATCGCGCATCACGCGGGAGAAACAGGGTCAGGCGGGCGTTCACGGAGACGTTGGCTCAGTTCGCGTGGAGGGGTACATGTGAGCCGGGGCAGTGCGGGTAAAGGTCCGCGACCGGCCTTTGGGGCCATTGACATGGACGGTATATAATGGAAGCGGCATGGCCTGCCTGCGCGATGCGCCCGAGGGTGACTTGTACATACCGCAAGACTTTCGAACAGCAGCAGACGGACGAACAGGTGAGGTCTCGCCGTCGTCATAGCTTCACCTAAACCTTAAAGGTCAGCCAGCAATCTCCCATCGTGCCCCGCCAGACAGACCGACCCCACCCTTCAACATTTTCTCGCTGCTATCGTCTCCAAAACAAACTGCTCCTCACCCAACTGACATCTCCCCCAGAACCTCACAGTACGCACGAGCACGTACACCATCCGCCAGCACCTCACTGATCATCACAACAGCTCCAAAACCACATCCCAGCCGCAAACATGGTCGTCAAGGTGTGTCACAAGCCAAGCAGTACACCGCTCGAGGAGAAAGAGACATACTCACACCACAACTCCAGGTCGGAATCAACGGTTTCGGTCGTATTGGCCGCATCGTCTTCCGCAATGCGTGAGTCGAAGCAAGAGAAGTGATGGATGGACAACAGAATGACTGACGCCGGGTAGCGTGCTCCACGATGACGTTCAGGTTGTTGCTTGCAACGACCCCTTCATTGAGCCTCACTACGCTGTAAGTCGGCATTGGCAAGCATAGACTTCGCACAGAAGCCTGCTGGCTACGGTGAAGCTCGTGGAAGCTGTTCTGACCACATCCCTCCCAGGCCTACATGCTCAAGTACGACTCCACCCACGGTGTCTTCGATGGCAAGATCGAGGTCGACGGCAAGGACCTGAAGGTCAATGGCAAGACTGTCCGCTTCTACACCGAGAGAGACCCAGCCAACATCCCCTGGTCCGAGGTTGGCGCCGACTACATTGTCGAGTCGACCGGTGTCTTCACCACCACCGAGAAGGCCTCCGCTCACTTGAAGGGCGGCGCAAAGAAGGTCGTCATCTCTGCCCCATCTGCCGACGCCCCAATGTTCGTCATGGGTGTCAACAACAAGACCTACACCTCCGACATTCCAGTCATCTCCAACGCCTCGTGCACGACCAACTGCTTGGCCCCTCTCGCCAAGGTCATCCACGAGAAGTTCACCATGATTGAGGGTCTCATGACCACCATCCACTCCTACACCGCCACCCAGAAGACCGTCGACGGTCCATCCGGCAAGGACTGGCGTGGAGGCCGTACCGCGGCCCAGAACATCATCCCATCCTCCACCGGTGCCGCCAAGGCTGTCGGCAAGGTCATTCCAGACCTGAACGGCAAGCTCACCGGCATGTCCATGCGTGTGCCAACCTCCAACGTCTCCGTTGTCGACCTTACTTGCCGTATCGAGAAGGGCGCCAGCTACGAGGAGATCACCCAGGCCCTTAAGGATGCCGCCGCCGGCGAGCTCAAGGGTGAGAACAATACCATAATACGCGAGATCGAAATGTTTGCTAACTCATCCCAGGCATCCTCGACTACACCGACGACGACATCGTCTCCAGCGACTTGAACGGCAACCCCCACAGCTCCATCGTCGACGGCAAGGCCGGTATCTCGCTCAACAACAACTTCGTCAAGCTCGTCTCGTGGTACGACAACGAGTGGGGCTACTCCCGCCGTGTCCTCGACCTCCTCGCCTACATCGCCAAGGTCGACGGCAACGCTTAAATGTGTTGTGAAACGTCGTGACTTGAGAAGATGTTGTGTTGTAAGCAGAAATAGGGCACACCTAGACTACGGACCAACAGAAGCAAGCAGACAAGCGAGCGAGGAGTCACTTGATGCATTATGAATTCTCCTTTTAAGGGTTTCATAGGCATTGGGGTTAATCCATGGATCAAAATGGATCATGATGCAAAATACAGGCTAGCAATGAGTAGTCTTTTTCTTGATTGAAGAAATGTCGTACTTCATGATGTGCTACGAATCACGTTCATACTGTCGTCATGTCTTCATGGACATTCTTCATCCCGTTATCGTCGCTACGATCTCGATCTCGATCACATCTCAAAGGCCGAACATGTCCGCTCCGCTTAACGACCACTGCCCTCCAACAAACTCCTCAAAGCCGGCTTCCTCCGCCGTTCACTCCTTCGCCTCCCACTAGATCTCTTCTTCTTGGCGGATAGATCCGGCCCATTCGTGGTCGTATTATAGATCGCATCATCCTTCAACACCTTCGTCTGAATCATGGCATTCCCCTCCCGATACTCACTCCTCACAGTCCCTTTCGTCAAATACCCACACCCTTTCACAATGTCCACTTTCCCCGTCGCGATATCCTTCCCGTGGATGGCGCGGTCGAAGAGTTCGAGGGCGGCGAGGGGTTGGTAGAAGGGGACTTCGTGGCCGGATTCGTAGATGCGGACGAAGGCGAAGTTGGCGGCTTGTTTGACTTGGCCGTGGATGGTGTGCGGGGAGTCGCTGGTGGTTAGGTTGGTGTAGCCGGCGTGGGAGTAGCCTGGGGTGGCGTGGGAGGTGGCGACGAGTTCGTTGCCGAGCTGTGGTGGGAGGAGAGGGTTAGTTTGGGGGGTTGGGGAGGGAAGGGGAGGATTGGTACGAACCCAGTTGCAGTTGTAATCTTTCGAGGGGCGTAAGCATCATGAACCCTCATCGAAGAAAGGGGGAAAGTGTATTGTATCTCACCAGCATCGCCGTTATATTCCACCACATACACGCCCTTGGCCACGAGCTTCCGCACCGCTTCAATGGTCCCTTCCTCACGATCATCGTCGCCTGTGCTTCCGAAAGCGCTCCCCACGGTGCTGCTGGAGTCGGAGTAGTTGACGAATGCCCCGATAGCTTTTTGCAGTTCTGGCGTATTCAGATAGTCGACGTAGAAGTTGTAGGGGAAGGGATCGGGCGTCAGTTCGCGGATGTCGTATTCGTCTCGGCCGGTCACGGTGTCCAGGACTGATGACTTCTCGTTAGCAATCGTGTCTTTGCTCGTCGAAAACTCATGGGCTCTTCTTTCAAACTCACTCGACTCGACTTCATTGGCGCAGAAGGTGTCGGCTGCCGCACAGATCTCGTTGATCCCCCGCGTGTTGCAGTCCACCGTCTGGTCGTAGCAGTTTCCCTTGCCGTACATGCTGTTGTAGACCATCTCTTGCGTGCTCTTGTTGTAGGGCGAGTAGTCGTATGTATTGCCCGGATAGACCGTGTAGTTGTAGTAGGCTTGGTACTGGATTAGAGGATCATACCAGCCGTTGCTGTATGTCGTTAGCATTGCATACTCCCATGCTCTGTTGGCACGTTTTCATGTCTCAAGTCACCCAATCAGCACCGTCTTCAAGTCGATATATTTCGCACCGTGAAGTTTGCCGCTCTTGATCAAATCGTTCTGCGATTCGATGTACTGATTGAAAAGTGGTGCGTAGTGTCCACCGTACGACTCAGTCGCGAAGTTGAAGTCGTTTCGCGAGTATTGGGGGAAAGCACCCATGAACCCTTGCAGCGTCTTCCACATGCTGGGAGCGGCGCTGATCGTATCGTTGGCTGTATTTGTTTCGTTGGGGTAGGAATATGTGCCACAGTCCTTGTCCGCCGCGTATTCGGGGCACTCTGCGCTTGGGAGCTGGATGATTGAACCCGCTTGGGATGTGTATGCTGGGACTGGGTTCGAGTACGAGAAGCCGACTTGTGCTGGATGGTCTATGAAGAGCATGTTCGAGACATTGCTGCAACGCTGTTGTCAGTGTGTGGTTATTGCCTGGTTTGGGGCATGTCTTACTTCCAAGCGTATGGGTTGTTAACGACTTTGCCGTCCGCATCCACATAGCAAGGTCCCAGCTCTTGAAACAGGCCGATCATGGACGAAGAACCTGGACCGCCATTGATCTGTACGCAGCCACATGTCAACTTCAAAGCTCCAATCCTGCCATACCATATCCAACACATACCCAAACAGTAAGCTCCGCATCCTCAGGGTTCTTCTCGCGTGCCTCAAAGAACCAAAAGAAAATGCTCTGACTCGGAGCCACATCCACATATCCACTATACGACTTGACGCCCGGCGTGAGCTCGCAAGTCCCCTCTGGCACCTCTTTCCAGCGCACGGGCAGATTGAGAAATCCCTTGCTCTTCTTCAGATCGGTGGGTGCTGGGACGAATTGGGCGAATGCAGCTGTCGAGAGCGTGAGGCACACGGCCGCAGCTCGCATGAGAGACGCCATTGGAGTCGGCAGATTAATATGAACGATACAGGAGAGAGTAGACGATTGCAAGAAGAGATTCGTGTACCTGCCTACTGCTATATGTCACAGACGTGACACTGCAGCTTGCCTACCAGATTCTGCTTGCTACTGGAGCAGCTACGGCAGGCCAATTCGGAAGCGGTGCCTGATTCGTGATGGTGCTCGCCGGTCGTATCGCGTGCGGCGTGCCTGATCACCGCGGGCGAGGTACGGTAGAGATAAGTTTAAGCCTCGAAAGGCAGGAGCTTGTTGAGCTTGTGCGGCATCGTCTCCTCGCTTGACGGAGCGCCAGTCCTCGTTTGGGATACGGACCTGCCCGATTATGCCGACCTCCCCGGCGACAATCTCAGTTTCTCGCATATTGTCCCCATACTTGTGCTGCTCTTGTTCACTTGGGATAGGGAATCGACGTGCTCGGCTGAAGCGATTCGATCCGAATGCCATGCTCGCTGGCGAGATTGACATGCGACTTCGCTGAAGATCACCCGCCGGACGAGATTGCTCCCGAAGACGAGATGTGGAAACGCTCCCGCAACGGAATTTCGCGATGCAAAGAGCGTGGAGATGTGATCGATTATGAGGTGACCTTGGTCGGCGCTCAGCGCTCGCTTCGTGCAAAGGCCTGAGTCGGGTCGTGTGATCACGGTGGAAAGCAGCTCCATCGTGAACGCGCGAGGTCTGCGACCATTCGGCACGACATAAGGAGCAGAAGAGCCTCTCGGCAGACCAATACAATACATCAAGAGGTGAGGTGAGGTTGAAACAAGGACACAGTAGAGTTGGCTGCGCTGATGGCGAGCGGACATGGGTCATGTCTTGGACCAGTATGTAAGCTGACGATGAGCTCGCGAATATTACTCGATGATTCCACACGAACGGATTCGCTGGGAGATTTCCAAGAGTCGTAGCAACTCCTGCGTTGAAAAGCCACTATGCTCTAATTACATGGCTACGTCGCTCTCTGCGCGTCTCCAGATTCGAGACAGCAGCGCTACAGGCTGTATGGCCTCTCCCAACCTGCCAAGGCTGCGTTCAACTAACGCCCACATGCATGACGTCTGGCTCGTTTGCTTCCACCTTTGCCGCGTTTGAACAGCATACAACGCGTTGCTGCATGCATCGCCAAGAACTGCAATCTATACTGATGTCTCGGGGAAGAGTCCGGCCTGCTGCTTGCCGTCTGAGCAGGGACAGCTGCTGTGTTACCTTAGCATGCAATCAGTTCAGAGGCATGCTGCATGGCACTGTTCAAACGTGTTGAGACACTGGATGGAACTTGACCATTGTTTGCATTCGACAGCTGTGCTGTCCAAGCCTCCTGAATTGGACAGCCGCGTTTCTACCTTGCACGGCGGACTGGAAAGGCTAACAGTATCCAACAACGTTGTTGTCGACTGTCATTTTTCCTGCTTACCGCTTCGACGACCAGACGGGTACGTACAGCTATTGTCTCATCGATGGCCCGGGCCCAAGAAATCAAACGCCGTTGTTGTCGAATGGTAGGTCTGCCATGACGGCTACCGACCTATCGTGTCTTGTCTTTTCATTGCGGCTTTCATGTGTGTCTGCTTTTCGTGTGTTGTTGATTCAATTGAAATTCAGCACGAATACTACAAAATAAGCTGGCAAAGGCATGACAGTCCTCTTTCATGAACACCGGTAGCCAGAAACTTTCAAGGGCGTCACAAGCTTGATTCCAAGAAACGGAAGACATCGGCAGCACCATGGAGGCGGCATCGAGCTCTTCATCCTTCAAGAGAGAGCAGTCTCTTTCGCGTGATATCAAACGCTTAAGCTCGCTGGTCAACAACCAAGTAGACGAGTTGCGAAGAGAGGTGAGCAGCCGCAATTTGCAGTACGGCATTTTGTGAAAATCTAGACCCATCTGACTCTGAGGCAAAGGGCACACTACCGGAGAACCTGGCACGACAAGCAACCATTCTTGCTACTATCACCGATCCCTTGATGCAATTCATCGACGCTGGAAGCTCCAAAGGTCATCCAACTGTGGAAGCCCAACAGCAGTGCAAGAAGCCGGAACAGGGATTCCGAGATGGTCCTCTCGAGAGTGCACATTTGGGAGGAAAAGCCAAAGATGATGCAAGTCACGAAGGTTATCCCTCTCCACGAAGCAGCACTCAAACTGAAGAGGGCGAAGGGATGTCCACGTCGAGCACGCCTGCGTTCGCAATCCCCAGAGTAGCTGCAGCAGTTCCTGACGAACACGCCGCAAAGAACGTCGAAGTGAGCAGTGAAGACTCCTCCGCAAGTGATTCAGTGCCAGTTGCCAGAGGGCCTCGCGTGCTCATGCCTGGCTTCACGAAGCACTACGAAGAGGTCGTCGACTTGGACGTCGAAGATCATGCTGCTCACGATATGGGAGCGGAGTTGAAAAAGTGGTGCGAGACTACTCCGCTACCGAAGAGGCGGTTTGATACTGTTTCACACTCACTCAGGGAGCATGAATGGGTACTCTCCTTGGTGGCTGACCTTCCGAAGAGGCCTGGGTATGCGGATAAGGATGGTGATGAGGATGATGGCCACAAGAGAGGAGAAGGCTCTGAAAAAGGCGCATCACCTGCCGCGGAAGGCGAAGATGCTACTTTACAAGTACACCATGATGATGATGCGGAGAGGTCAGGAGAAGATGCTGTTCAACAAGGATCGCATAACGATGATGCCGAGACACCAGCAGACAATCAGTCCGTGCATCCAACCGAAGACGCGATTCGAAACAGTTCGAACGAGTCGTCACCACGAGGAGCTTGCCCTGAAGAAGTCGTGTCGCCAGCAAGTGTGGCGTTGCAAAGTTCGAGGCCACCAACTCCAAGTGATGGACCTCAGCGCTTCTGCCCCTTCCGCATAGCCAACATCACCGGAAAACCTCCTCAAAATCTCCGACACAAACAACAAGCGCAACCTTCCCCCCTCCAAACCAACTCCCCTCCCACCAGAGGCCAAGACATCCCCTGGGACCCCCGCCACCGCCTCTCCCACCAACTCACCCCCTCCTCCACCTCCACAACCTCCCCCCGCAAGCGCCCGCGCTCCCCAGAACCAGGCCACCGGCCTCCCCGACGCGGCGAGAAGCTAGTCTGCCTAGGCTGCCTCCAGACCAGAGCGCGCTGCTCCGGCGAGACCGTGTGCCGGGCGTGCGAAGCGCAGGGCTGCCGCTGTGAGTATCTGCGTTGTCGGTCTGGACTCGGGTGTCGGCGTGGGAGGTGTGTGAGGGTGCATCCGGGGCAGGTGGAGGGGAGGGGTGGGGAGTGGGGGGTTGTTGATGAGTAGAGGTTGGATGGGGGAGGGAGGGAGGGCGGGGAGTTGGGGTGAGCGCTGCGGTGGCGCTGGGTTTGGTGCTTTGTTGGGTGGTCGAGGAGGCGTTGTGTTTGTTCGATGCATGTTCGGGGCGATACACTTGTGAGGATACGCATTTTGAGTGTTAATCATGCAATTTACTTATTCCATAGCACGAAGGCAATCTCCACCTAGCATCAACATCCGCCCAAGTATGATGGGCGACGACATTCCAACGACTGATACAGACTGTAGATGCCCAATCATTCCGCAAAGCGCGGCAAGTGCAGGTTGGAAGAAACTTCGCGGAACCGCCGCTGTGACCATTCACTTGTTTAAGGTTTGCATGTGATTCTTGGCGTCCGCCGTCGCACCCGGTGACGGCGGCCCGCTCTCCCGCACCTCGATCTTCCAAAAGCCGCCGCTGCTCTTGCGACTTTCGTCTGCTCGACACACCGCCGACCTTGACTCAACGCCAACCCCGACACGCCGCCGTCGACCATGGCTTCCAACCAAGACACGTTCGCCACCATGACCGACGATGCACCACTTTGCAAGAATCAGCAGTGCTTGGAAACTCTCACCCGCGTGAAGCAGCTCGAGGAGGAGAATAAGCAGCTTCGAATTCGCCTCTCACTCTCGCGATTGCCCACATGGCCGAGTCAGTCCCCCGTAGCGATTCAAGCAAGCGATGCTAACATCTCGGCCTCTCAAGACTCTTCAAGTCAACAGTCATCTCTCGGACAAGATATATCTTCTGGACGTGAGCCATCTTCTGGGGGCCCTCTCGATTCCCACCCTCACACGCAAGGCTCTCCCGACGCAGCAGCAACCGCCACACCCTCACAACCTGTCTCATGCGCGCTGGATCGACGAGCCCGAGCCCAGCGCGCGGAAGAGTGGCATCTTCGCTTTCAGGGGCTTCAGAAGCAGATAGATGAGAAGGACTCCGACATCCAGCACCTGAAGGCACTTCTCGCCGGCAGACCGTCTCTCCGAGTGACGAGTGAGCTTCTCGCAGCTAATGGGATCCACGACATTGCTATGCCCAGCGCGCCTCGAGTCCAGATGCCTCCCTTCACTAGGCTCGTCGAGAACGAGCCTGTGGATCCTTCTCAGAAGTACGAGCTGCGCAAGGCTTACGACGCTGACCCGGTGGGCAGCCAGCAATGGGGCGCTAAGGGCATAGATCTGGAAAACACCAACGGAGTCCTCACTACCATCGCCAACCTGCCCCCGAAGCCTCGAGTCTTCGGAGATATCTTGCCACCACAAGATCCACGCCGCCCCTACGTCGTTGTTCTCGACTCGGCGATCTCAACGGAGAGAAACCCAACTTCTCTCAACACTCCCAGAAACAAGACTCCCTCCATCGACACCTCCAGTCCCGCCAACCCCGCCACCGACGTTCGCAACAGCAACACCCGCACCGAGTCACACGATCACGCCTCGAAGCACACCAGCTTGATAGCATCATCAACCCAAGTACCGTCAAACCAAGCACGACCAATTCCAGCACGACCAACTCCAGCACGACCAACTCCAGCGCGACCAACTCAAGCGCCATCGCTCCAAGCAGCGCCAACCCAAGCCCCTCAACGCCAGCACCATCCACGCCAGTTGTTGTATGTACGCACTGCTGGCGAGACGGCGGAATGTGCACGTCTGAGGCGACGTGCAAGACATGCCGGAACAAGCGCAAGCGCTGCGTCTACCTTCTCTGTGGCGACGGCCACGACTGTCAGCGCAAGAATTGCTACTACGTGCATCCAGGCCAGCAGGTCGTGGGGAACGAGATGCGCAATGTGGAGTTTGGACATCTCGGTCCGCGCGGAGGAAGAAAGATGTAAGCGGAAGGGAATGGTATGAGCAGAGGGAAGTAGCGACGGGAAGGTGAATGTTGGCTGGAGTCGATGCTGTCTTTGAGTTATTGTCAGGGGTTTCTTGTCGGAGAGAGTATTGGACGTTTTCATTGTATTGGGGCGTTCGAGTTGGTGGCTGTATTGCTGAAGTAAACTGCTCGGATCAGCTAGAATCGTCTCTTCATTCGTTCATGTTTGCTTTACCTTACTGTTGTTAGAGAGAATCAGGCCGCAAAGGGTTGTTCGTTTGGCAACAATTAATATGCACCTTCCAAGGAGTAAATTACCATGGTTTTCTAACATCTCCATCTCCTCAGACCAAAAGGGTCCCTCGTGCGCGTTTGTTTCCCGATCACTTGAAGAACAACATTGGACAAGCTGTCGTAAGCCATCCTGGTGCCCCGGTCATTCAGAAGTCGGTGGATATGAATGCCGAGTATGTCCGTGATTTGTGTGCTTCAACGAACCCGGTCAAGAACTCCTGATTATGCAATAAATGCAGCTGTACTGGACTTGATTGTTGTGATGAGGCTTTCGGACTGATGGCACAATCGCTTCTACGAAGATTTGGGCCGATATCGAGCTTTGAAGTGCTGTTCAATGAAAATGCGTTTCTATCCCCCTGAGCCCCTTGCATCAATGCAGCTTCAGGCTCCGAACTCCATATATGACGGACGGCTCAATTGTTTTCGTTCAGTCGATACGCCCAAAATCTTTCCGCTACCACGGTCTGTTATGTTTGCGGACTCTGATGCCTGGAAAAGATTACCGCGGAGATGAAGCCTCCAGGCCCGAGCATATTTCATGCCAGAGACTGATGGCCTACACTTGTTAGCCTTGGGTGGGGCCGAATGCCCACCACGCGTACTACGGTCAAAAGATGTACATACCTTTCGGTCCCAAGCCCACCGAGGCTGCCAAAGACTGTGTTTCAGCAACCGGAGCCATGGCCAGACACACTATTCTAGTCGTTGCCAACAGCGAAGACAGCTGAACAACCTCGAATTTGCGTGTGTTCTTTGCTGGATACACGGCCTCTGGCGTGGCGACAAAAGCGGTCAGTGGTGTGTCGATTGAGGCCAAGCTCTTTAAAACTATCCCGGCATTTCATTTATACCGAGACAGGAGCGATCTCTCTCGACCTGAGTGCACTGATGTCGCGCTTCCGAATGAGCGACCACCGGCTTTGACCCTTTGCAGAGTCGAACCTTGGGTGCGCCACAGACGGCACTTCAGTCGAGCGTCCAGCAAGCGTTGCGGACTGCCGTGGAGGTGTATAGTCCATCTTCGAGGCGATGCTTGCTGGGTGCGCTGTTCTGAATGCTTCCATCACAGTCTTTTGTTGACAGCCTTCGGCCCCTTCCTCGCAGTAGAAGACTGTGCTTCAGCAACCGAAGACCACGTTCCAGATACCCAAATATTGTGCTATCGGTGAGGAACGCAGAGCAACCTTGGTATTCCAGTCGGGAGGTTTGGGGCATCAGTTATCTGGGTGCGTGGGTCTTCGGCGCGGCGACAAAAGCGGCCAGCGCCAAATTGGCTTCCAATCTAGACAGCTCTCTGAACCGCCTCTGGTACTGGTGTTGCTACCATGGAGGGTACTGCCTAAGATCGGGCTGAGTGCACTAATGCCGCGCTTCCGAATGAGCGGCCTTGGATCAGGTCCTTGGGTACGCTCAAACGGCGCTTCAGTGAGGCGTGCCAGTAGCTGTCGCAGACTGCTTGCGCAATAGCGTAGCAAGTCCTCCTCGATGCGGTCGGTACTGGGTGCGCCAACACTGAAGGCTTCCGTCACAGCCTTCTGTCGATAAGCCTCCTCCGCAGTGATGAGAATTGCGGAGCAACCGAAAGTAAACATGGCCAGATACCCCGAAAAAGTATGCTATCAGCAGAGAGGACTGCAGAACAACCATGTTTTTCAGTGGGTGGTTTCGTGGTGATCCGGGTGCATGAATCTTTGGCGCGGCGACAAAAGCGGTCAGTTGTATGTTGATGAAGGCCCAGCTCTTTTAAACCGCCACTGATACTGGTGTTGCTACCAGGGAAGGAGCTGCCTTGTATCAACCTGAGTGCACTGATGTCGCGCTTCCCTTCGAGCGTCCACAGACGCGACTCTTTTTTTGTGGGGTTTTTTGTTTTTGGGGGGTTGAGTCACGTCCATGGGTGCGCGCAAACGGCTCTTCAACCAGGCGTCCCAGTAGCTGTCGCAGACTATTGCAGTAGCAAGTAAGTCTTCCTCGAGCAGCCGCTACTGAATGCGCCGTGATTGAATGCCTGCAAATCTTTCTTCAACTGCGAAAGCCAACCAAAGCCGTGGTAACTCGGCTGTCCAAGACTGCAGACAGCGAAGAAATACTGAACAGCCTTGGCTCTTTCCATTGGTCTTTGGTGCACCTGAAAGGTGCTTCGGCCATGGCGTTCCAACGAGAGTAGACTGCTGACGACCATGAAGTCTTTCTTCTATGCAGGCGCTCGTTGGGTACGCCACGACTGAATGGTGGCGAGTCGATCGACTGCTTGGATGATGGGCGGCGATGGACGGTGGTTCGGAGGACGAGGGCGTCGGCAGAGGAGGGCGGAGGAGGAGGTGGGCGGATGGGCGTCGCATTACGGACTCGGTCGGCGGGGAGGGTCGAGGCGACGGCAAGGGGCTCGGAATGGCTGTTTGAAAAGTCAGACGAGCTGTACCGGCAAAGATATCTGAGATTACCTCGAAGTCTGGAATGTATCGGCGAAAGACTTGGGTGCGCTTCGAGAAGCTGCTGGTGGTTGTCGACATGCAGGAGGGAGGACATATGGGCAGCGAAGGGCCGAGGTGCGTTGTGGTTGTGGAGGTGGTGGCGGCGACGACGATGTTGCTGTGCGGCGGCGTGTTTGTCTGACGGATGTGGAATTTGCAAGAAAGCGCGAGCTTTTGAATTCGAATTTGGCGCACGGACCCTCAGATGAGTCACTAGCGCGTCACGCTAAATCACTCGCATGTGATCGCATTTACTCGCTCACGGCACGTCACTTCTGCAGTCGCCGACCACTTGTCCCGCGAAGTAAATTAGTATTGAATGCTGCTACATTCCAAGGCGAGAGGCACGCGGGGCGACTTTTGCGACGAAATATCAACGAGTATGCACGTGCATAAGTCTTTTTGCCGGGCTGTCGTCTTTGCGACACGCCGACGAAGCGTTGATTGCGGTTTCTGCCTTATATGTTGTCAAGTCATCCCACAAGAAGCGTTCTTCAGTTCGAGAAGTGGCCTTCCACCTCGGGCTTCTCAGTCCCGATTCCCTTCACGCTCCAGTCAAAACATCAATGAAAGGATGTCGTTGACGCAGATTTGTTCGAATTCATTGGAATCTACCCTCCAGAATCAAGCCGAGATAACCTTTTCTCCTGCTGGCAATATGCTTGCGTGAGATGTTCGTACACCTTCCTCTTGCGTCTAGCGTAGGATGTCGAGGCTCAGCCGCGTCACCGAACCTGCATAAGGTCGCAGTGATCCTTCACTGCACTAACGACTAGCGTTGCTACAGCGGCGAGTGTGGTCACTTTAGACCGGCGGCAGTTTCGCTTTCTTGTTCTCGATGTCGTGAGGTGGCAGTTGAAGCATTTGTCAATCTTGTCGGTTGGAAGGAGGGAAAGGAAGATGAGGGCGCCAAGATCAGAGTATTTCCTACTGCATCAGGCGGATGAAAATGGCTCAGCAGAGACCTCTATAAAGCCATTGTCTTGGAATACAACAGTCTTGGGAGTGTGCTTCGTTGCAGCAATATCCATTGTCATCAACGTTTCTTTCATATGGCGTATGCTGCGACTGACAGCCGAACAAAGCCCAACTTGCGAAGCTATCTACTGTCTGTATTCCCAAGCCGTACCTTTGCATTGAATTGACGGATCTCAGCGCCAGCAAAGATTGCATCGAGATCTCAAGAAGTGGTCTTCGATGGCAAGTTTGGACTAGATGCGTCGCCCTTCTCAGGCATACCCTCCGCGGCAAACAACGCTCATTGGGAGGCCTTGTACGATCGTGAGTCTCAAACTGTTCACTCTGGAGACGAGCAAACTCATGGTTTTAGATGGCATATCGAAGATCTCGGTCGAGGAAGCCCGTCCCATGGGAAACAAGACCATGCCGATTCCTGGGGAGCAGCGACCTCAATCATACGTCGCCGAGCTGTCGGTATTCCATGACTTACATTGTTTGGTACGACCTCACTCCATCTTCCACTGATGAGACAGCAACTTACCGTGCATTCTAGAATCAGATTCGTCTGGCAATCTTCAACGGAGCAGATCTATCAGACAAAGACGGGTTGATGGGAATATCGCACATTGATCATTGCATCAATGCAATACGACAGAGTCTCATGGTTCGACTGTCCGATGACATGTCACTGTCAATGTGGATGCTGACGTTCAATCTCCAGTGTAGCGCCGACACTACCCCTATTGTGTGGGCACGAGACCTCCGCGATGGGAAAGCGAAGCCTTCTATGGACGTTCCACACTCTTGCCGAGACTTTGAAGCGCTTCAGCAATGGGCCAGAGACCATGCATTGACAGGAATGCTTGATGTAGATACTATTGTCGAGGACGACCCTCTGGGTTGGGGGTCGCATTCGTTGCAAGAGGAGGGCTTACGACTCGAGCCCTTACCGATGTGACTTGAGCATTTTGAGACTTTCACGGCTCGAGACATAGATGTAGATCAAACAGCATTTGCTGCCTGTATGTATGCTATGTCTACCAAATGTGCATTGCTAAACCTCTATTTCTTGATCCATGGGTTGCCGGTGTTCACGATATCCGGGCTGACAGCCTCAGTACGCTTGATCCAGGGGTCCCCAGTGTTTACAATGTCCGGGCTAACAGACTCTTCTCTTTTGATCCAGGGGTCGCCAGTGTTCACGATATCCGGGCTGACAGACTCTTCTCTCTTGATCCATGGATCACCAGTGTTGACAATGTCAGGACTGACAGACTCTCCACGCTTGATCCAAGGGTCGCCCGTGTTGACGATGTCTGGGCTGACCGTGTTTACCTGCGAGATGTTAGCTTGAGATGCCTTGACGGTGAACAGCTTCCATACTTCAGTTCTCGCTGACTTCTCAAGAGGTGCGGCTGCCGTGAGAGCAACCGCAAGGCTCACAATTGCAGAAAAGGTAGCAGTCTTCATGTTTGCGTTTTGGTCTGTTTCGATTATGATTTCCTCACGGCCTCTATATCACCGTCAAGCCATACTTATATTGTCCATTTTCAGCGGAGCCGCACGGCGAACACCAGCCGAGCCAGGTAACATCGCTCCATTGTGTGCTCATGGCAACTTCACGCCGACAGAACACAGCATCCCATGCTAAAGCTCTCGTGGTCGGATGCGGAAGGTGGAAGACATACCACCGGTAATCCTTCAAGATATGGCAGGTGTTAGCGTCCAATCGGGGATCGACTCTGAAAGATGCAGTATCGCCCGTACAACCTATGCCAACTAGAGGCAGCCGCTACTGTGGTGATGCATGAACGAAACAGAGTTACATGCCGTGGAGGGGATAAACCCAATACAAGTTGTCGTCAGCTCATGCGACTTTCGCAGTTGTTCAGTATGCGATGGAGCTTCATGTTGCTCCACACCTAATTTGGGATGGCAGCCGTCCAATGTTGGTATTGAGCGTAGTGAGTTGAGAATTGTTAACGAGCCCTATCCGTCTTTCACTATCGCAGGTCGAAGAGAAAGCCAATCAGTAAGAGGGCTAGCTCGCTGGGTCGGCTTGCCGATACCATTGGATTCGAGTTGAAGGTAGAGTAAGGCTGCCAAGCTTGACAGCATATACATGTCGAGGCGAGACCAAAGTTGTAATCGCAGTCTTGACATCTCACATTTCGATGAGCCCAGAGCCATCTTTTCCCGCAGCATGATTTTTCCATCTATTACCAGTCTCCAGAGCCTCGTTCAGAACCGGAAATCTTTTTCTAATGCGTCCCTTGATTACAACTCGTCGCGAACCTCTTATGGCGAAAGTCTAGTCTACATTTGATAGTAGTCATTCTTGCCCTGAGTGGGTCCAAACCAGGTCAGCATGGCAAATACGGAAGACCGCCTGGGGTACATCTTTGCCCAGGTACAAGCAGCTCCACAATCCTGAGATATCCTCGCCTGAGTCTGTGTCAGCCACCTGCCAACTGCTGAGACTCATCGAGTCATCTGTGACGTCCGAGAGGCTTCCATGAGAAGCTCTCCGGCACCGCAGACCACGCCAAAACGTGTGTTGTGTCGATATTGCCAGAAATCGCCCCGGAAGGAGTGAGCAAGTTGAGCGATACCACTAGCACAGCCCACCATTTTGGCGCGGCGCGGTGAATCTCCATGATCCCCGGGGCGAGGGTCAGTGCCAGATATACTGCAGCTAGAAAGGATGAGCATCGTGGCTCTTTCCGCCTGCTTCTTGCTCTCTCTCGCGATTTTAAGATTGGTTCTACTGTCATTGACTGTGCTAGAGCCGATCAATGCTTGGTAGGTGTCGTTAAGCAAGGAAAGTAATGCGTCTGCCTGGAACATGAGAATGTCGTATTGTGTCCCCGAAGGCGTGAGCGCACTGCCTTGTTCCTCGCCTTCATCGCTTGTTTCATCTTCTCGGGTATGAGCATCATCGACGTAAGTGCCATCGTCCTCTTGGACACTGCACAAAGGTTGATTGATCCTGGTTCAACCCGAGGTCTCCTTTCCGGGCGCCTTCTTCGCTCTGGACGTGGGAGCACGAGGATATATCACATTTTGGCGACCTTGACCCACCTGGGAGAAAGCTCTTCTACCAAAAGCATCGAGCCTGAATCGAGACAGATGACCGGCTTGGTCTGTCAGGTATTCGACATTCGCCCGCCAAGCATCGGCGATGAGAAGCCCAGAAAACGCAGCCAATGAGACCGGCATGCTACCAGGAGTCCGTGAAGATGGATAATCCAGCTCGCTAACCCCTCTCATTGCCTCTTCTGCAATGACCAACTCGGCCGTGTGAACAGTTCCCAGAAGGACTCGTATTGGTAGAGCTGTCGATCGACTTCAACTTGTGCGGCAGTCTGAGTCAGTTCCTCCTCAGCAGCCTGTCCATCGGCTTCAGCAGGCCGGAAATGGAGGCGTTGTAGGATCTTTCCAGGTGCATCGACGTCCTTCTTCACAAGCAGCACTACAAGTAGATCAATGATCCAAGGCAGACCGCTGTTACAACCTAGAATGCCTGGTAAGCTTGGGAACTGTGAGGGACAATGGTGCCCATGGCCCAAAGGAGACTCACGACGAAGTTGTACCAAGTGTAGTGCACCCGAGAGGACAGCATGATCAGTGTCTGTGGCGAAGACAGCGCCGCACACTTCGACCCTGTAGGATCGCGATTTCCAAGCTTATTTGAAGAAGTTCATCGGGATTGATAATTGTCTGGTGAGGCGTGTAGCAAATTGTCCGATGAAGCTCGGCTGAGTAACATCAATGCAAGCTAGGTACGTCTATACAAGAAATGATCGCTATGCTTGTGAAACTTCACTAACCTCCTCCAGCAATGTACAACGCACAGCCCAAAGCGACTCCAAAGTCTAAGACAGAAAGGGACATGCAGTCATCATGAGTCGAGATGACGCTTCAAATGGCCAAACTTATTGAGCCGATGAACAGCGTGCTCATTATTGAGGCTAAGCCAACTCCAGTGACAGCGCCAGCATTTGTGGTTGCTATTGACGAGGCGGAAGGAGTGTTTGAGGCTCTCGGCACGCTGGTCGTAGAGTTCCCTGTTGGTCTTGGAGTGCCGGTGCTTGCTACCAGCCGTGTGGTGGATGGCTGTCCAGTGGTTGTGGAAGTCGTGTCATTCCCTCCTGCAGTTTTGCCAGCGGCACAGTCACCACAGCAGATCCATTTGATTTCGACCGGGTTCGTTGCCAGATTGGATGGTGGGCCGTCTAGAGAAATAGTATGAACGCCGCCTGGGTTGCCGCCACTTGCAAAGACGCAGCTATATCCAAGATCTGCCATTGCATTTCCTCCAGCAGCTAGCATAGACGTTGCCGAGATACCGGTCAGTGTGAGGTTTTGATTCCAAGTGGTGTAGACGAGGCTCTGTGGGGTGGCGGTACCATTAGCTGGCAAGGTGGCGTTGTAAAGGATCAACGCTTCAGGTTTTTGTTCTTGTCCGTTGGCTGCGGCAAATGTGCCATAGGCGGCGAGGAGGCTTATGCAGCTGAGAAAGGTCTTAGAAAGCATTTCGGAGCGGGTTCGAGGAGAGATTGGATTTTGCGAGTCGGCAGCCTGAGAGGGAATGCACGAACTGCTCGAGCTGCTGGTAGCAAAAGAGATAATTGCAGCGACGAGGTACAGTTCTGGGCAACTTATACATAGCGATACAGTCCAGTGGTTCAGCCGCAGGTATAGAAATAGATTGTGTCCAGCGCACCAGGCTTCAGCGAGCACCGAAAGCGGTATCGAAGCAAAGAACACATAGCATAGCCTCCTGTGGCTGAGAAATCAGCACCATCACCACTTACCTAACACAGCATGCAAGGGGGATAACAGCGTGTCTGATCCAAATGCATCAGCGCAATAGACCAAGTGTTGGAGGTGGATGGTCTCGACTGGGCGCACGCTTAGGGATCTGCTTCCAAACATCCAGGAGCTTGCCAAAATCGCATCTGCTTTTGGGATGCAGCTTCGTGAGAACCGTTGTTGTAGATTGTCAGGAATTCGGCGCGTGGTCTTCGTTGTCATGAGTGGTGGTGTTCGTTGTTGCTAAAGAAGTGAAGTCGAAGTCGAAAGGGGTGGCGAAAATCGCGACAAGGTCCTAGGTATCTCATTCTCAGACCCCTTTTTGCGCTAGTCCCAATCAGAGTCCGCAGGGCCTCGTCACTTCCAGCTCCTTCCCTCGACTATCAACAATCATCAACAATCACGATACCAAAATCATTAGTATCGTCTGGTTGCTAGCTGTTGACAGCTGACTATTCGCAGCGCGGCTGTAATCGTGTTACACGGCGGCGATGCTTGCGCCATCGTAGCTCTTGATTTAGCATGAAACGGCCCCCAAACGGGATACCACACGGGACGGACGCCCTTCATTTCCCAATCAAGGCAATGTTAAGTCGAGATGTCGTTTCGGGCGTAAGAGAGGACGCTTCATCACGGGCCAGATACGCTGCGGCTGAAGACATACCGGAACGATTACGGCTTGTGGTTTGGAGCTGAAGAAGTATGAGCCAGGCGAGGGCGCCCACAGTTCGGGTCAAGTGTGGTCTACCTTGGCTGTGCCGTATGTGGCCTAGGGACATGTCTTCATCGCCCACTAGCGTTGTAAATACCTCTGGGTAACGATTCGTCTTTTCCGTGCGAGGTTTGACGTGTGAGACTTTCTCCGGAGGATGGCTGTGCGAGATGCCAGCTTGAGCGACGCTCTATGCTTTCTGAGTCTGCGGCAGACTCCATGGCAGAGGTGGCAAGTGCATCGTCCTCATCTAAATCTATGAGAGCGCCACAGGTAAAGTCTTCATCGATTTGGCAAGGGCGAGAGACTTTCACTTGGTTCGGTCATAGATGTACCGTCGCTCGACATAGTGTCCGCAATGGCCACTGAGATCGTTCTGTATATGCGATGACGCCGCTGACCCTATAACGCAGGTCTTGAGGGATTGCTGCAAGTCATCTCAAGTTGCCAAATTCGACTCTTTCAGTGTGAGCATTGGGATGGAGTGAGGAAGAAGACAGGAAGACGGACGAAGTGTAGTCATCAACAGACCAACGGCCTCGTCCCGTTCCGTGAGTCTAGACTGTATTGGGACGCGCTAATGGGTGCCAATGTTACGCCGGTTGCTTCCCTCAACCTTTGCCTCCTGTATCACCTCACGAACAAAATGATGTTCTCACCTCGTCCCACGAAGTGGATGGTGTCGACATATGGGTCAAATGGGACTGACTCTCCGACTTTGCAGATGTATGGCGTTGAATTACGCCTACGACAACCTAAAGGAGGGGGACTCCATATGAATGGAAAGTCACTGCTTTTTGGTCCAGTCCCACAAGACTGTGAGTAGCAACCTGTGTATTCATGCTGACTACAGTAATTATCACTGGGAAAGACACCATCTAGCTTCGACACCCCACAGTTGACTCGTTTCGCTCAAGTCTCATCTTCAACAATGATGGCTGTCATTCTCTTCTTCCTTCCCTTCACTCCAGGTCTTGTTTGTGGACTCCCTCCTCTCATTCTTGAATCTCCAGCACACCTATAACAACATGGAGAAATATCTCTTCAATAAGCTCCCTGGTATGTCTACTCCCATCGACATCACCTCTCTGCGGTCTGATGATTTGGAATGCTTCGAGCACCTCTACGCCATCTACATCAGTACTGACACATAAACAGCTGAGCTACGGCTCCAAATCTATGAACTAGCCCTCGTCGACCAAAACTCGCCAATCATAATCACCCCAGAAGAAAGATACGATCAAATCGAGCCGTCGGCTGTGCGCATGCGGAACCTTCCCTTTGCGTTGATCAACACGTGCAAACAAATCCGGTCCGAAGCCTTTCCAATCTTCATCTCTCAGAACAGATTTCTCTTCGCACCGAACAACGCATGGCGCCGATATGAGAAGCTTCCCAGCACCAACCGACTGTGGTTCAGCTACCTAGGAGAGTTCGTCGAAGACTTGAAGTCACTGGACGTGCATCTCGGCACATATCGGTACGAATGGATCGAATGGGAGGATCTCGAATGTGACGTGACATGGGTCTTGAAGGGCATCAGGGCCCTCTTCCGTCGCCACCCGAAGATCAAACTTTCGATCAAAATGGCCTTCAAGTTCTCGTTCTCAGAGAGGTTCTTCAACGATCTCTTAGACCGGACCTTCGAGGTGGAGCTCTACGCGACGACCCTCGCGCAGGCCAAGGCTTCGGTTCGTCAGCAATGCGAGACGTACCAGCGGCGACTTCACGGGTTGTACAGGTACCCATATTGGGATCGCGAGATGTGGGAGACTGTTCGTGAAATTGAGGCATATCTCGAGTTACTGGACGCGGACCCGACGTGGTCTTGGGGAGTCCAAACCGAGGCACCTCTTACGGCCACAGTCGAAGAGTGATCGAGTGCAGATGCTTGCAAAGAGCGGCCCAATGCACCAAATGACGACCAGGGGTGAAAGTTGCTTGGATCGGCTCATTGACGAGGGTACACAGTACGCATGAACACCTGATTCCAGACATTCACCTCTACTCGAATGACGCACGTGCGGAGACCCGCTTACTCGCGTATTCACCAAGTACTGACTTAAAAGCCGCCCTTTCGCCAGCCCTCCAACTTTCTTGCACCTCGCCACTCTCTGAACATCACCACATCCTCGAGCACACGAGGTCACGATTCAGAATGAACAACTCGCTATTCGGTAAACTGCCAGCGGAGTTGCGCACCTCGATCTACGAGTTGGCTCTCTTCTCACCAAACGGCATCGAGCTCGGCTTCATCAAAGCGCCAATCCGGGGAAACTGGGAAGAAGACTCGACCCTCGCCATACGACCCCTCAACCCTCATCAACTCTCCCCCAACCTCCTCAGCACCTGCAAGCAAATCCACCACGAAGCCCTCCCCATCGTGCTCTCCAACCATTTCACCATCCCGCTCAACTGGAACTTCCTCCGCCACATGGCCCTACCCGCCGGCCGCGCCCTAGCAGACTGGGGAGTCCGCTACACCTCCCACGGCCACCTCATCACCTCGCTCCACATCACCTACTCAGACCTCGGCATGAAAGAGCTCGAGGGAATCGCCGCCTTCGCCAAATCCTCCCTCCACTCCCTCCACTCCCTCCAACACTCCGGCCTCCGCCCCTCCCTCACCCTCTCCATCGACCTCGTCCACCGCGCCATCGGCCAGCACTCGCCGTACATCGCCCACGTGGACCTGGGCCTCAAGTCCGCGAGCGGAAACCGCCACGCGATCGCCCACGTCATCCGCGACGCCGACGCCATGGCGAGCCCCTGGTATCGTCCCCGCTTGGCCCCTGGCACGTACTTGCTGTGGCAACCAGGCATGGAGGACGCACTGATGCGCAGGACTGTGCGAGAGGAAGCCGAGTATGTGGAGAGCATGGTGGCGTACGTGCAAGCAGGGGGCGTGTGGGCTGCTGAGGAGGAGGAGTACTTGCACAAGTACGAGTACGAGTGTGGAGAGAGCGACAGCGAGATAAATGAAACGTTGTGGGAGGCGGATTTCGAGGAGGGATACTCGCCAAAGGGGGGCCGAAGTCGTGGGCTAAGAGGTTCGAAGAAGAAAGCGATCAAGGGGAGGGCGAAAAAATGGTAGACTTGGACTGCGAGCGAGACGGGACGTGGGAGATGGAGGAAGCAGGATGAGTCGTTCGCCGACGAGGAACTCCTGGGGTTCAAGCGAATAACGACACGCCACTAGACGGGATGGGCAAGCTGGAGCGAGAACAAAGAATAGAGCAGACTCGTACTGGATCCGTGAGCGTTGGCATTAACAGCGAGCTTGTTTCAGCACTCACTTCCCTAGAACAAAGCGTTGAGAAGTGTGACATTGAGATTCAAGAAGATCAGACTGGTGTCACATGCTTAGCGTAGACATGAATCCTTCGGGAAGCGGATCCCCCCTGCTTCTAGCACTGCAAAGCATCACATTGGGAATGAAGATTGGACAGACTAAAACGAAAATCGTCTCGAAGTAGTTCATGATTTTCAGTACTACGAACCACGCTCGTATGTCATGTTATTTGCTCATGCCTCTGTGGCAAGCCATAGAATCAAGTCGTGCCGCAACTTTTCATATCCTCCCGCCTTTCATCATCAACTCAGAGTATGGGTATCTGTCCCTGCCGTTTCGTACAAGAAGTCAACTTGTGTGAGTGAAGTGGAAGCTTAGTATCTTGGAGGCTGGCCGTAACCACCCTGCTGAGGTGGGTAGCCGCCTTGTTGAGGTGGGCCTGGTGGTGGTCTGCCGTATTGACCGGGTGTTCCCTGTCCAGGAGGTCCTTGGCCTGGTGGTCCTTGACCGTACTGAGGAGGAGCGCCATATCCTCCCTGCTGAGGTGGGGGCTGGCCATAACCGCCGGGACCGCCCTGCTGTCCGTATGGAGCGCCGCCTGGTGGAGGAGCGCCGTACTGTGGCTGCTGACCGTACTGGCCAGGTGGAGGGCCACCAAATTGGCCACCGGGAGGACCACCCGTCATGCCCGACTTCTCGTCCTTGGTGTCATAGCTTGGATCGATGGCACCAAGAATGAGCTTGATCATCCAGAGATCAGGTGTGAGGTCGACAGGTGGGTTGGCTCTCGCCATTTCGGCAGACTCGTTCTCGAAGTCTAAACAAGTATGTTAGCGGTGTATTCTCATAATTCCACATGATCGACTTTGCTTACTCGACGTGCAATCCACTTCCCTACCAACCATGGGATCGTTGTCAAGCTTGGCCAAGAACTCGGTAGCCTTCTGGTCGTTGCCAACCTGAGCAAACTGGAATGCAACAGCACCTGGACCATACTGCGAACGCTGAGCGGCCTGGACAGCATACTGCACCGTCTCCACAAGCGTGTTCTGGTTCTCTCCAGCTGGCTGACCATCTGTGATGCTGATGATGAGAATTGGCTTCTGCATTTGGCCACTGTTGAGCTTCGAGACAACGAGCGGGTCGATGACCTTCTTGCGCAACTCCGTGCCGAAAGGCGTGAGACCCTTGTAGCGCTTGCGAGCGAGGATCTGCTCAATCTGCTGCTCGCTGCGGATGTTGGAGATTTCCTGTGGTGGAAGGTCCTCGTTCATGAAACGAAGATCCACACCGTCGTCATCGAAGAGTGTGGCGGCGAAGGCGGCTCGCTGCAGAATAAGCTGCAAGTCCTTGATGCGCTCGCCGTTCTCCTCGAACGACATGGAGCCGCTGTCATCGACGTAGATGATAACATCGTAGAGAGCGAGGCGGACGATATCGTTGGCAATCTCTTTCTGGATGCGCCAGGCCTGGCACAACCTGTCCACAGCCTGCGCAGCGCGCTGGGCAATCTGAGGCAGACGCTGTGCGCCTGGTGTTCCTGGACCGTAGAATCTATGCAGACCCTTCTCTTGAATTGCCTGCTCTAGCTGGCGCTGGTAGCCGGCGAGGTCCTGTGGGCCAGCAGTAGGAGCGCCGCCATACTGACCGGGTGGTGGGCCGCCTTGTGGTGGGTAGCCGCCTTGCTGGGGTGGTGGTGCGCCTCCGTACTGTCCTCCTGGAGGTGGTTGTCCGCCCTGCAAAATCGCATGTTAGTCATGCTCATGAAAGTCGCACGCAAAACTCGACGTTGCACGAACATATCCTCCGTAGCCTCCTGGTGGTCCCTGTTGCTGGTAGGGTTGACTCTGATACGGCGCTGGACTGTATGGTTGCTGCTGTTGAGCTGGGTTGTATGGCTGAGGGTTGCCGTAGGGAGGAGCTTGGCCTGGATACGGACTGCTTTGCCCAGGTCGCGCTGGCGGTGGTGGAGGCGGGCGCGCGTAGCCTCCTGGAACCGGCGACTGATATCCTTGCGGCTGTTGCTGTTGATATTGATATTGACCACCGACCTGCAGCGGCGCAGGAACGGCTGAGGGTGGGCCCTGGCCTCCAGCGGCGAGTCTCGAAGCTAACGGCATGTGTCCGAGACCAGATGCGGGGGGTTTGTTCGTTCGGTGGTGTTGTTGTAGGAAGAAGAAGTCAAGGACAAAGGATGTGGAGGATGATGTAAGAGGAAAGAAAGCTGCACACTCACCTGCTGTGGAGGACGCTGCTGCTGCTGTTGCTGGCCTGGGTAAGCTTGGTACTGAGGAGCCTGGCCGGGCTGTGCAGTGCATCATTCATGAGCCAACGCGTCACGCTCTCTCGTTTAGAATTCACTCACGTAGCCGCCTGGCTGCTGCTGCTGCCCTCCTGGCGGTGGTGCACCAGGCTGGCCACCGTAGTTTGCTACCGCCGTCGCACCGCCTTGTGCTGCGGCGAGCTTCGAGGCCAACTGTTGCCACGAGAGTCAGCATTCACATTCTTCTCTTCATGTTGCACGAGTGCGGCTGGCGATGATGTCAGGCGGGGCATTGGCGGGGCACTCACTCCCATATCTGCGACTGTTCGACGAGGTGGTGTTGGCGGATGGTTCAATGGGTTGGGTGAAGATTGGGTAAGCGTAAGAAGAGTCGTCGACCGGGCGCGAGCTTCTTTTGAAGATTGTTTGCTGGCGACTCAGCTGTGGTGGTTCTGCAAGAGCTGAAGGAGCAAGGAAGCCAGTGGAGGGACAGGGACAGCACAGCCACAAGATCTCCCAAGCAACAGGCGCCGTCATACCACCGCCAAGACACACGTGTAACCCATTTCTGCAAGGGCGAGGTCATCCACGTTACTAATCCTTTCACATGTTGGAGGAGACCGTTGTCACTTGGAGAGGCTTGTGGTGGCTTTGACACGCATAAACATGTGGCAACAGCCTTGTAGCGCCTCCACCTTGTCCTGATCTGGCTCACTCTGCGCTTCCTTCTCGCAATTACACTGCCTCGTGAAGCGATCCGACCTAATCCGTAGGGATCGTTTGATCTGCAGGCACGGTAACAGTGCTTGGGGCAACGTCTCTAGATTCAAGACGACGAAATGGCTGGAACTTGTGGGAATCGCTCCAAACAATTCTCCGGCGCTGGCGATATACCTTCTCGGGCCACATACAATCTGCCTCCAGCACCAACGCATCACGGTACCATGCAGATGAAGTTCCCCTCCACGTGGCATATGCGTGTCAGAATCGTGTCGTCTGCGGCTCACGCATCATGCAGTAGAGCGTTATAGCATCCCCATCATCATCACACGTCATCTCCTTTGCGAGTCTGAATCCCATACGCTCATAGATGGCCATATTGGGCTCTGCTCTGCTGCTCTCCAGATAGCACTTCCGGCCCTCCTTATCTGCCTTGTCAGTGACCTTCTTGAACAGCAGCTTGCCAATGCCTTTGCCTTGAGCTTCGGGGTTGACGGTGACGATGTTGCAGAAGTAGTAGCCTTTCTCGTCCGTCCAGATTTCCTTTTGCGCTTCGGCTTGAGCGGCCTTCCAGATGTAATATCGCTTCACGTTGAGCCCTCCACGCCCATACCAGAGGTTCATCTTGACTTGCTCCAACCATAGCCACCAACTTCCCCAGTAATCGCTCCACGTCTGAGCTGCAAAGGGATTGCTCGGAGTCAGCCAGCATGCCACGCCGAGGACTTTGCCTTCTGGATCATCTGTGTCCTTGGCCACTTCGAAGATGGCGTACTGCATCCCCCATCGGCATCGAATACCCAAGCTTACGGAGTTGCGCTTGAGAGAGAACTTCTTGCGATCATTAAAGACCCATCGATTATAGGGATCTTCGGCGAACGCGTCCTGGATGCATTTGACGGCGCCAGGGATGTCCTTATCGGTGATAGACGTGACTTCGATGGGCATGGCGGGCGACAGACCTCATGAGAAGGGAGAGAATGGTATGATAGTCCAAGAAGAAGTTGCGTCTGCCTCGTGCTCAGATACGACTACAGAACATGGAGGAAGTCTTATCATGTGCGTTGAGGAAAACATATCGTCCTGCGGGACGGTTCCGCAACACAACACTCGCGGCTTCCCAGCCAACTATTTTTCTTCTTGCAATACATACAGCAGCACTGCACTTCAGTACAAAGCATTACTGAGCTGTCTGCCATCTCTCGAAGGGGCTACGATGGTTTAAACCGTTCCTCTTGTGCCGACAATATCGCCAGACACTCGCGATTCGCCTCCGATCCGCGTTTTCCAATGTACCACTCAGCTCTGAAGATGGATATAGCAGATGCCACGACTTTATTCATTTCCGCGCCCAGCACTAATGCCGTCGCCATATCATTGAAGCGTGCGAAGGTCAGGCTGTAATACAAATAAGAGACTGGAATGTGAGAAGTTGGCGCGGACAACTACCAAGGCGGCGCAAGAGCGAGACGTGGACGATCGGTGCTGGGAGACCGCAAATCACCGTTCAACAGGAGCTTTGCAGAGTCAAGAGCTGTATGGGCATGATAAGATGAATACCACGGCCGAGAAAGACAAATACTTGACATCTTCGGCGGTGAAGTGACCATGCAGTCTCTCGCAACAGCTACCTAGTGGGGCATGAGAGCGTAGCACTCCACAGATGCATTCAGGTAGGACACCATATTCAATAAGACCATCCTACACTCCCTATCCGTCCAAGTCCGAGAACATCAGCGACAAGGAGGAGATCGCCTTCTCGAGAAAAGAAGGCAAGCGTGCGAAAGTCTGCTCAAGACAGCTATTGCTCCAGTTCTGATCGTTCGCGAGCTACATCTTTCCCCACCATGGCGGAAGAACAATTCATTGAAGGCAAAGCATCTTTCGACATCCCCTCCATCGACCATACCTGCGAAACATACTACAAAGTCTATGGCGATGTCCGCCAAGGCGCACCACCTATCATCGTAGTTCACGGCGGACCCGGCTCTGGCCACAACTACCTCTTAGCATTTCGAAAACTCTGGGACCGCTACAAACTGCCTGTAATCTTCTACGACGGAATCGGCAGCGCAAAATCGACACACCTCCGCTACAAGAAGTACGACAAGGGGTTCTGGACAATCGAGCTCTTCGTCGAGCAGCTGGAAAGCCTCATCGCACATCTCCACCTGGACAATGACCAAGGCACCGGCTACTATCTCCTCGGACACAGCGTAGGCGGTATCATCAGTTCTTCCTTCGCCGCCCGCCGGCCGCAAGGTCTGAAGAAACTGGTCCTTGCGAATGCACCAGGATCCGTCGATCTCCACATGTACGGCATGGAGCTATGGGCCAAGGAATTGCCAGAAGAAACGCAACGAGCCTTTGCAGAAGCGAGTCGAACCCGTGACTGGAAGGCGCAGGGTTATGTGGATGCCTTGACTTTGCTGAACAAGAACTACTGGTGTCGTGCGGATCCGCACCCGCCGGAACTCGAACAGACGGCAAAGAACCATGCGGATGATGAGACGGTGACAGAGACGATGTGAGTATCTCAGCCTTCTCCTCTTTCTATTCCACCCCTGACCGTTTTCTCAGGTACGGGCGAGCGCCTCACGAGCTAGTCGGCTCATTGAAAGGCTGGAATCATTTCGCCGAGTTGCCCAAGATCAATGTGCCTACTCTTCTGTACAACGGCGAATGGGACATTGAGCGAGACGAGGTCGTCGCACCGTATGTGGGGCATGTTCCAGGTATTCGAAAGGTCACAGTTGAGAGGGCAAGTCATATGTCCCATCTTGACAATGACGACTGCTTGAATAGAGTATTGGAGTTGGTGGGATCGTTCTTCGTGGAGGGTTGATCCTGTTGGGAAGCTTCTTGAACGTAGACCCAGCAGATATGGTGCAATTGTAGAATGCAGATCCATTGAAACCCTTGAAGGTCATTTTGTATGTATTGCAGTTGTGTATGCGACTGAGCAAGCCACAGCATGAAACTTTGAAGCTTGAAAATAAGCTTCTCGACTCGCACGTGGACCTCAGAAATAGATCTCTTCCAACCCACCTTGCACATGCAAAGCTCATGCGAGCCTCGCCACTCCACCTCCTCCCATCGCCGCGAGTCCTCGAGTATCTGATCCGCCGCGGCCGCATCCCAGCCTCCAGCATGGCCGTCACCACCGTCGAAGAGCCCAAAGAAGCCCCCGAAGTCTTCGAGCCTCCCCCCAAAGTCGTCACTACACCCTGCGATCCCTGGCCGAGACCGTACATCCTCGACGAAGGCCTGAGAAGAGTCGCGCCGTATCACTTCACATACAACACGTACTGCAAGCAGCGATGGCGGGGTCGGGAGATTCTGGAGATTTTCAAGGATGAGTTTCGAGATCGGCCGGTGGAGTACTATGTATGTTTTTTTCTGAGAATTGGATTGATGAGATGGAATGGAACAGGCGCCTGACTGACGCGTTCAGAAAGATGCCATAGAGAATGGTGCGATCCATGTGAATGGTAAACCTGTCGAATCGACGGCGAGCACCGTTAAGAATGGCGATGTCATCAGCCATACTCTCCATCGACACGAGCCTCCCGTTACGGCGCAACCGATTGGCATCGTGCATGAGGACGATGGCCTGATCATCATCAACAAACCGGCTGGGGTTCCTGTACATCCAGCGGGTCGATACAACTACAACTCCGTCATCGAGATCATGCGGGCAGAAAGAGGGCATCAGTGGAATCCTTTGCCATGTAATAGACTGGATAGACTGACGAGTGGAGTCATGTTCATCGCGAAGCACAAGAAAGCTGCAGAAGCGGTGACGGAGCAGCTTATGGGTCGAACGATACGGAAAGAGTACGTTGCGAGAGTTAAGGGCGAGTTTCCTGAGGGAGAGGTCATCTGCGAACAGCCGATTCTGCAGATATCGCCGAAGTTGGGCTTGAACAGAGTGAGAGCGAATGGGAAAGAGGCGAGGACGGTGTTCAAGCGACTGGCCTACTATCCTCCAGGCAAGGGAAACAATCTTGGATACAGCATCGTTCGATGTCGGCCACTGACTGGTCGGACACATCAACTTCGAGTACATCTGCAGTATCTGGGACACCCCATCTCGAACGATCCGATCTACAGCAACCAGCGAGTTTTTGGCCAGGACCTTGGAAAGGATTCCAGTACAGGTGACGATGACGAGGACATCATCAGCAGACTTTCACGAATGGGCAAGGACGAGGTCGCCGAAGCAGTGGCCTATCATGACGAAATGGTGGACGAGTACAATCGCAAGAAGGCAGAGAAGATGACTGGGGAGCTCTGCGACGTGTGCCAGACACCTCTGTACAGCGACCCTGGACCTCACGAGCTGGGAATCTATCTGCACGCACGGAAGTACGAGTGTGCTGAAGGCAAGTGGAGCTACGAGACTTCACTGCCCGAGTGGGCACTACCGCCAACAGGATATGAAGGGCCGAAGGAGGCAACGAGCGAGACGGATCCTCTCGCCGTGGATGTTGAGAAGTTGACGTTGAATGATCCTACAACCAACGGCGAAGAGACGACAGCAGCTTCTGCAACATGATACATGCCTAGATCTGATACTTCAACTCAACAGGACTCCCGCCGCTATTCAGCATAGCCTCAATGATCTCCACATCAGCCAACGCCTCTTCAGGACGCAGACGACTCTCAACCTCACCACTCTGGATACTCTTAACCCAAGCCGCAACCTCCTGACTCACATTATGCTGCGCATCAGGGACACTAGAAACCTTCTCATCGCCCCCCAAAGGCTTCATCTTCAACTCAGAAGTAAACGCATTCGCACTGACCGTCCCACCCTCACACGCAACACTCCACTCGCCATCGAAAAACGTACTCCCAAACGAAATCGACACCGTCCCAGCAGAGCCATTCTCCAACTGCAGCGTCGCAGCAACCGTGTCCACAGGAGGAAGATGTTCCGCCAGCGAGGTCGTGAAAGCCGACACCCTCCTCACTTGTCCCTGACCATTGCCCAGAACCTTCCTCAGAACCGCCACAAGATGCACCCCGGAATCCAACAAAAACCCACCCTGAAACTCCGGCGTCTTCCTCCACTCCGTCGTCGTATGCTTCTCCCCCGGCGGCAGATAAAAATGCACCCGCGCATTAAACGCCTGGATTTTGCCGAATCGCTTCACCTCCTCCGCGGCTTTGGCGAAGACGTTCGTGAAGCGCCAGTTTTCCGCTATGCCGAGCAAGACTTTGGACGTGTCGATGTTGGAACGATACCACTCCAACAACTCCACACTCGTCGCAACATCCTTCGCGAGCGGTTTCTCCGCGAGGACATGCTTCCCCGCCGTCAAGGCTTGCTTGATGAAGTCCACCTGGACCGGGATCGGCAGGGCGATGATCACGGTTCGGATGTCGGAGCGGGCGAGGAGGTCGGCGTATGTGTTCGAGGGAGAGGAGTCTTGAGAGTAGAGGTCGATCTTGTCTGGGAGGTCTTTGGTGAGGCTTTGGGCCGAGGCGAGGGTGCGGGAGAAGAGGGCTTTGAGGGTGAGGTGCGGGTTTGTGAGGATGGTGGGGAGGTGGGAGTCTTTGACGATGATGCCTGTGGAGGATGAGGGGGGTTAGCGATCCAGTGGACTTGGACAGGGAAAGGGTGGTGCGTGATTGTGGAGATGTGCGTGTGCATACCGCTCCCTATGATCGCAACGCCAATCCTGTCTGCCATCATTCAGATCCGATCGACGAGATCAAAAGTCAAGAGCAAAATTGAAGTGAAGTTGAAAAAAGAAACAATCCAAAACCAAACCTGCCATGCTCGCTTTATATCCCACAATCCTCCCTCCACCTCTCAGCTCGCAACTAAACCCTCCCATCCATCACCCATCCAGATCCTCGACTTTCCAACCAGTACCTGCTGTATCCTCGATGCGATATTACTTCGCTTGACAAAGGTACACGTACTGGCTCCCAGCTTCGCCTGACGTCCCCAAGCGAGCGAGCTGACAGAGATACTTCTCATAAGTCTCCGAAGAGGCTACATGCATGCATGGAGTAAAGGGTGGGTGTAAATGTATTTACTGGATCGTTTAAAGGCATGTCGCCGTCTAACCAGGCACTTGATCATGGGGCAAGAGCACGACCTAATAAATCGAAAGCCCATTTATGTCCGGAGAGTGAGGGCGGGAGATGACGAAGGATGGATAGTGTTGACAGGGGCATTTAAGTCCGAATGATGAAACGAAAGAGTCAGGTCGAGTGATTGAAGATAACCCACTGGAGGGTATACCGAAACTTTGCATTACCCGACCGTTTATTCCTGACCAGACTCGCTACTTTATGTTCTCATGAACCTCAGAGTAATGTGATGTGATGGGGTATCAGTATCAAGTGACAAAAAAAGGTGATGGTATTAACGGCGGTAGGCAGCCTTCTCTCTACCGCCCAGCTCCTCTCCCCTCCTCTCAGCGACTACTCCACATCCTCCGCACGAAGAATCCGATCAACGACCGTATCCATGCCATGCATCTCACTTCCAAATCGGCAATTGTCGCCATTTATGCAAGCGATGCCTTTGTTGGAGCCCTCCTGCACTTTCGGATACGGGCAGTGATGGCCGTAGATGCAGTCGATTTCCGTGCAGGCGGTGCCCTTCTTGCAGACCGTCTCGCGGGCGACGACACGGAGCCACTTCAGGTCGTCCTTGTTCAGCTTGGGTTCATGCCGATGAGGACAGGCGCCGTTGCCGGCTGAGTGCTGGCAGCATCCGCGACCGATGTAGTGCTGATTGCAGTACTTCATCTTCTTCAGCTCATATACCTTCTCGTGATTGTACTCCATCTCAGCATCGATGCGCTGGCCGAGTTTGTTCTGGCGAACGACCGGGCCGGTGATCTTGACCGTCTCTGGTGGTGCGGGCTTGCTCGTGAGGTCCTTGAAGGGGAGATGGGCAGAGCCACGAGCGATGTTAGCCCAACCGCCGCCGCCCACATTTCCACCGTTAGTGGCAACTGATGACGGAACTTCCGAAAATGCGCTCGAGGAGGCGTGGGAGTTGGTGCGTGTCAGGTCGTTTCGAAGGGATGGCGCCGGGCTAGGGGCGACCGCTGGAATGACGGGGCGAGGGCTGAACGGTGATTGTTGGGGAGTGAAGACACCGCTCTGTGGGTTGAACATGTTACGCGAATCCTTGCGAGTGATCTCGGCGTGTACCTCTGGTGCGTTCGGGAGAGGCTTGTGGGAGTCGCGGAAGATGCCTTGAAGCTTCTTTCTCTCAAAGGGCATATTGGCCATGTCCTCGTTCTCGAAAGGCTCGAGTTCCAACAAGCTCAAACGACCGAGCATCTGGGAAGAAAGTCAGTGGGGTGGAACTGGCAGAGGTGTCGGTCGTAGGCATACCTCAACATTGTCGACATAGCCCTCGAGCGTTTGGACAAAAGCCTTGTCGTTGCCGCAGCCAAAGAGAACGTGGCCGCTCTGGTAGTTGAGGGAGTGGTATTGCAGTTCGGCTGTAAATTTTATCAGCTTGTGCATGAGGGTAAGAGTTTGAACGATCTCACCTGTCATTTTAGTGACGACCCCATCAGGAGCACCTCCAACATCGACAAAGTCAAAGAGCCCTCCTTCGCCATTGTTGAAACCTTGGACGAACGCTTCAAAGACATCCGTCGAAGGCACAAGGTTGGCTTTGCGACACTTCTCGGCCAGGACTTTAACGTTGGCGAACACACGCACAACAGCGCCGTCCATTGCAACGCGTGGCCAAGCTGTGGATGCCCATTCCATAAGCTTCTGCCTGAAAATGCTCGCAGCTTGCTGGCCGCCCTTGCTGCCTTGCTTGAGCAGGTAGCTCTGGAAAATGAGAGAGTTGCCATCAATAAGAGCAACCTGTGTCGAATAAGTCAGTGAAGGTTCCACACCGTTCAAACTCGATATACATACCAAAAGTGTCTGGCGATTTATCATGTCCGTGAGTGTGGTCGCAACTTGCTTGTAGTTGACGCCAGGAGGCGGAAGCTGTCGAGTGAGATCCTCGTTGCGAAATTGCAGCTCGGTGCATTTGTCGAGGAGGTCTTCGAGAAGGGCATCTTTCAGATTCTCCGTATTTCTGAGTTGATTGTAGCGCATGCGCAAGTGATTGAGGTTGCTATCTCTGCTCCAAGTTAGACCCACATGCCGTGCATAGGAAAGGCGGTGAAAGCTGGGCGAACATCTCGCCGTGGCTTCACATCATTTTGAAATTTTGATGCGACTTACCTCACTGGAGAAGAGCTGCCGTGAGCTGGCGAGTGAGTGCCATTGCCGTTACTGACGGCGCGGTTGCCAACAACACCCACGCAAGTGCTGCTGCCGTTGAGGTGGCCCAAGCCGTTTGGCGAGCCTGCCAAAGAGTCACTGCGGCGTGGTGTACCGATGGGAGCGAGTGCAGTAGCCATTCTGTTGGCGCCAAAAGAATCGAGAGACGTCAGGCGATTCATACCGATCGAATCAAAGGGCGTGGCTCTGCTTCCACCAAAACCGGGTGGCGCGTCGATATCGGGCAGAGAATCTTGAAGCCAGTCTGATGAAGGCGCCATGTCGGGTGATGGCGATGGTGATGATGTCAATGCGAGTGATGGTGTTGTTGATGGATGCTGGTGTGGCGGCAGTGAAGTGAAGGCGATATTTTTTTATGGCCGGGGATGCTGGTAGAAAAAAAGTTCTCGCAGTCGGCCGTTGGTGAGGGTGAGTCGTGGTTTTGATGACGCGCCGGTCGCGTACGTATGGCAGCGAGTCAAGGCTGATTCAGAGGGCAGCGAGTGGTGGGAGTAATGTCTTTCAGATGGACGGCGACTTGCTGTTGCAGTGGTCTCTCATATGAAGTTGCTAGTGGCAGGCTCGGCAGCGGGCCGCTCAGGCCTTTTTTCTGCAAGCGACGGGGAACAGCAGCGTTTGCAGAGGCGCCAGTGCGTCGCTTCTGCCACTCTTGTTCCGCGCTGCAGCTACCCTTCCGTCAACCAACAACGACCCCCTCAACACGATCAATCGCGCGGGAAAGAGTGCGGTCGTCGTGGAGGCAGTATGCGGTGAGCAACGCAGCAGCGCGCACTGCATATGCACGTCCCACAGGCGCAGGACGACAGATCACAAATTGGGCTGCGGCTTGGCGCCAGCGGAGGTTTCGTGCGACCTGAGACGTGGACGATTGCTGTGCCGGCGTTGCTCTCTCTCGTGCAGTATCGCGATGCGGTTTGTTATGGATGCGGGTTCGGGTGGCCGCGAATGGGAGGTGTCTGGGTGTCTGGGTGTCTGGGTGTCTGGGTGTCTGGGTGTCTGGGTGTCTGGGCTCACGGGCTGGATCACGTCCTCATCGTCAGCCAAATTCTCGGATCGCGTGATGTCAGTGTGATGTCTCTACCTTGAACCCAGGGATGGGTACAGCACTTTATACTATCCGCTGCTATGAGACCGTACCCCTACGGCGCAACGCAGACGCCAGCGGCGCGACTCACCATCACTAGGCGCCTCACATGTAAGTGACTCAGGGAAGAGGCCGCTCGCAGCTGGCTATGATCCTGCGCCGCCCTCCAGCGCCTATTTTCCTACGTGCCGCCATTACTGCATGACAGCTGCAGTAACTTTGTCTGAACCGCTCGATTGCTGCATGTATCTCTAAATGCAATGTATCAGCAAGTGTCCGTGCCGTGTGAAACCATAGATGCACCAACAGTCTATGTCAATCCTAGCATGCGCATCGCTTGTGCCATCTCAGGTGACTGATTTCCTGGTACTGGGAAAATCGCTAGGTGATCACTTCGCCTGCATCCAACCAGTGCGGATAGTCTGATTGCCATTGCTCTGCGATCTTCATTCCTTCTTCCACTCCTCGAACTCCTCCGCCAGATGATCCTTGAGCTTGGAAATCTTGTTACCGAAGTTCTTCCCACATCTCCAACAGTGCATGTCTGCCGGGAAGTGCTTGTAGTTTCGTCGATGATCGTTCGCAGGTAGAGGAAATTGGTCCAGTCCGATGAAAAAGTCCGTAGTGAAGGACAGGTAGTGATTCGTCTTTTTCATCGGCTCGCTGAACATATCTCGGCTGAGCAAATGGATGTGGAGATGGCTCATTGATGGGTTCGCGTGGATTCCGGAGATCACGTCCTTGGACCAGTCGCGGCCGGGAGGGAGTTCGTCTGCACATATGTCAGACCATCCACCGGATCAGAGACAGTGTTCTCCATGTCACAATCTTTTCCAGAGAGCTCAGGAACTAGCTGGTATCTCTTGACATGTTTGACAGTACTGTTGTTATTCCGTTCAACTCACCTGGAGGGTCTTCCGACTCCATTGCTTGTCTCCTCGCTTGCTCCGTCTTCGAGTACTTCCCAAACCTCCTTTGCATTTCCGATGCGACCATCTCTTTCACCTTCTTCAGCTCCTCCCTGCAATCTTTCAGAAACTCAAGGTCATCGAAGGCCTCCTGCGGCCTAAGGACGTTCTTGTTTGGGTCTCGAGGGAGGATAAGCACATGGATTTGCGCTTTCGGGAAGAGATCGTTGATCACGGTGAACTTGTCATTGTAGTATATGACACGGCTGCTCGGGAACGAAGCAGGATCGACGGTATACGCGGCCAGTCCATCACGGCCAGAGAAGATGGTTCGTTTCGAGGCGGTATCGGTGGAGACTGGGGCTTGTTTCTTCTTGGGCTTCATGATTTCTGTGACTTATAATCATTATCAGACTCTGACAAAACAGTAACGATATATCTTCGTACATGCATTGGGCTTCTCTGAGGGCGGGAACTGCTCAGTGGGCTGCTCACCCGGAGCAGCTGTACTCGAGACATGCTCCAAGTCGTCCGCCGTGGCCCGGTCAGAGGACATTATGCGGGTAGGTGAATGGAGCGCTCGGAGGGAACGCAGAACAGGCCGGACACGCGAATGCTTCGATACTGCGCCGAGACATTGAAGCATGCGGTTGTGGAAGAGAGTGAAAGAGGCTGACAGAGCAGAGAGAGGGGAGTCAACAACAAACTGGTGGGGGCAGTGAGGGACCAGTGGAGCCCGTCATCGGCCGGCCGAAACCTTGGCCGTTGGAAATGAAGCACGTGCGCCGGCGTCATTCAATTGGTCGCGAAACGCGTCTCTCAAAGTGAAGCAGAGCAAGTAACTTGCTGGAAACATCCTCTTCTTGTTGTGCTTGTCCTCGTGCTTGAACTTGCTTCCTCCACCTTGATGTCATCTTATGCCTAACAACTCTTGGACACCATGCCTTCATCCAGGGCCGCCCGCAAGAAACAGGCCCGTTTGTCCTTCACGCCCCTCCCAAGCTCTTCGCCAGCTTCCAAGGACTACCACAAGCAGATCAGAGAGCGTGCAGCTGCAGTCAGTCTGGATGGCACGCCTCGTTCGTCCAAATATCGCAGAGTTCATGACGACGACAGCGACCTGGAGGTACTCCCAGAAGACGAAACACCGACCATGCCAACGCCTGATGCTACCCTGCAAAAGCAGAACCCAGAAGTAGTGGAGATCGATAGCGACGACGAACCCATACGCCCTACTCAGCGAGCTCAGACCAAGTCGCGAGTGAAGTCGTCGCGCTCCAGGCAGCAGAGGCTCGACTTCAGCAATTCGCGAGACATCGACTCTTTCGATTCGCCCGTCAAACTACCTTCTTCCTCCGTTCGAACCCGCTCCTCAAAACCTGGCATGTTCAGCTCTCAAGTCAACGGCCAAGCATTTAGCAGCGACAGCGACGAAGACTCAGCCGGGTCTGAAGAGCTGCCGTCTCCCAGAAAGCTGATGGAGAAGTCGAAGAAGGGTCGGAAGGGCAAAGAGAATCGTAACGTGGTAGTTGAGGACGATGAAGACGAGGATGAGATTGCGGTCGCGCCACGCCGTGCTCCTCAAATACAGCAAGAGAGTGAAGACGATGATGACGACGACATGCCAACAACAGTGGGAAAGAGACCTCGCCGGCGGCGGAGGAGTCCATCAGCGGATAGCTTCATCAGCGATTCGCCACCAGCAGCCCCAGACAGCGACGATGAGATTGTTGTGACGGGGCAGCGATCAAGAAAGCGGGCGCGACAAGACACCCAGAGCGAGGATGACGAGGACGACCTGCCAAAGACGCCGGGACGAAGACGACTCAAACGTCCAAGACAAATGACGCAGCAGGAGAAGGAAGACTTGGCTGAAGACCTGGACTTCTTCGAACCCAGTAGCGGAGCGGAGGATGAGCCTGCAAAACCACGTGGAAGTCAATCGGCTCAGAAGAATGCACGTCAACAGGCTCTGGAGAAACTGAAGCGGATGAGGTCAAGTCAGCTACCAGGGGTGGACCAGGAGGAGCAGGATGAAGCAGATGCCCAAGAGGAAGAGCGAGAAGATCCATACGACGAAGACGAAGATGAAGTGATCCCTGAAGTCACTCGAGCACGCCAAATGTTCACTAAAGATGACGAGGATGACGACTTTGTGGAGCAAGAAGACGACGAGGGACCGTTAGGCGTACCAGAAGGTGTGCCTTTGGAGTTCACCCGATACGCCTCCTCGAAGTCGAAGGAGCTTTTCGAATTCGCCGTCGAATGGATGGTACAGAAGAAGATCAACCCAGCGTTCGCGATCGACGATCCCATCTATGAACTCACCTTCAAGAAGCTCGACGACGAAGTCAGAGGCTTGGCTGCATCCAAATTCACATCTTCCGCGTGGACATCGGACTTCACTCTCGCTCTCCAAGCACGACCTGAGATCGCCTACGAGAGGATTGATCGAAACTCAGCCGAGCACTGGATGCGCGACAAGTGCGATGCGTGCAACAGATCAGGCCATCCAGCTACTTACCAAATCCAATTCCAAGGCAGACCATACCGCCGCGACACTCTCGACCCTGTCGACCAAGACGACCCCAACAAGGAAGACGACAGCGACAGCGACGACTCCTCCAGCGAAGACGAAGACAATGAAAAGCAACACTGGGACGCCAATCACCGCCCAATCGTCCCCGTCAACACCATCTGGTACGTCGGCAAATTCTGCAAGAGCAACGCGGAGACGGCCCACTCCCTCTCCCACTGGAAGCACCACCTCCACGGCTACGTCGAAGACTATCTCGAGGGCCACAAGTACTGCACGGCGGAGCAGTTGGTCAAGAGAGACAAGTGGCCTACCAAGAAGAGGAACAAGTACGCGAACAAGGTGGTGGATAAGATGAAGGCGGATGGGGAGGTGAAGAATCTTTGGAACTTGTTCAAGGATAACATCGATCAGGCGCGGAACTCGAAGCAGGGACGGTACGCGGGTGATAGTGATTGAGCCGGAAGACAAGGGGAGTCTTGAGGATGGGAATTGATGCTCTTATGGTAGGTATCTTGTCCTCTAGAACGCTGACGAATTGACGATCTCTCACCACAGCTCACCTAGCCCTCAAACAACCACCTTAGGCTTCTCCACCCTCGGCCACCCCAACAACCCCAACCCCAACAACCCCTTCGCCTCAATCTCCCCCCTCAACTCCTCCAACTCATCCACATCCCAATGCGCCCACAAAAACTTCCCACTCGTCCAACTCGCCCTTCCACTCGCCAACCACACCGCAAACCCACTCGGCAGACTCATATCATCCCGCGAGATCGTCATCCCGGACTTGGTGTTCATCTCCGAAGCCAACACGCCAGGATGCATGGACACGACGCGCACGTCCGGGTTCTCGACGGCGAGGTGCGCGATGAGCTGGCCTTGCCCGAGTTTGGACGCGCTGTAGGCGGAAATGTTCGGGAAGACGTTGTGGGCGGCGCCGGTGTTGAGGGAGATGAAGACGGGGGTGTGGGTCGTGGTGCGGTGGTTCAGGAACGCGCGGAAGGTGAGGAGCGTGCCTTTGATGTTGATCTCGAAGGTCTTGAAGTAATCGCCCAGGTCCGCGGTCGCGGCGGGGCCGGGCTCGCTGAGGTATCCCGCGTTAGCGACGACGACGTCGATGGGGGCGCCGGCTTGCTGGGCGGTGGAGGAGAAGGCCTTCTCGAGAGCGGCTTCGTCGACGATGTCCGCTTTGAAGGTCAGGATCTGGGAGGAGCCCGCGCTCTCGAGGTCCTTCTTGGCGTCGGCGAGGACGTTTTCTCGTCGGCCGAGGATCGCGACGGTTTTGGCGCCGGCTTGCACGTAGGCTTTGGCGATGTTGAGGCCCACGCCGATGCCGCCGCCTGTGATGAGGATTACTTTGCCGGAGGCGGAGTTGGAGGGGTTGGTGGGGGAGATGGCATCGTAGGCGCTGCGGTGGACGGTGTTGGTGAAGGAGGGGAATTCGTATTCTGCGCTGGGGGCCATTGGGATGGTGTTCTTGTGGGTTTGTAAGGCAGGTGTTGGTAATGGTATTCTTAACGTTCGCTGCTGAAATGTTTCGATGTCCTCATACGAAGGGCAGCCTCCTCTATTTAAATACAATCACGAACCATGGGCCCGTGTCCCAGCCTTTGTCAACTTCTCGCTCGGAAGTCCTTCTCGGCTCATCAGCAAGGGCTTCGTACTGTACATTGGAAATTCGTACGTCGCCCTGCATCCTCATTTCACCGTCTGACTAAAAACTCGCATGCGTGCTGCTGTAAGATGGAGCTGCCATGCACGCAAGCGAGTGACGTCGAAGCATCTTGAGCCCGGCCCCGATCACACCACCTTCCCGCTTCGAGTTAGCGAAGGGTTTCAGGGTGAAGTGGGTGTGTAATCCGATCTCTCTCCCACTCCTCCACGGAACTTGACATTTCTCAGAGAGACGACTAAGAAGCAGGCCTTGTTGAATGCCTCTCGAGCGGCGCGGACGGGGTGCTGGAATGGCTGGTGCTGGACTCAAGTGACAAGTGGTCGTACTCTTCGCTCCAGATTGAATCGGCCGCACATTACCAATTCTTCGCCCTTCACGACGAACTCGATTGCAAAGATATGGCCAGATTGGGAATGACAGTCGAGAATGATTTCGCCGTCGGTAGAATCCCCGAGCTTGAGGCGCCAGAATGGAGGACCAGACGCAGCGAATCGATAAGGCGGTGATGGTGATAATTGCTCTCCATTGTCATGGCATTTTCGTGAGTGGGAGGTGGAGTTGAGGAGAGAAGGTCGACTTGACTTGTGGTGATGTTCTGGAGTGAGGTGTAAGTCGAGGCAGGCACGAGTTCGAACTTTCCTTCTTTTCATCAGTCGAACGCGGCAAGACCCACCGTTGCGCGCCTTCTTCTTCTCTGAACGAAAATGACACCTGATGACAGCTTGAAGATACTTCTCTCTCATGACTCTTGCCTCATCTTCGCCCACGTCTGTTTTCATTGCACATTGTCCTCTCGTGCCGCAACGTTGAAGCTCCAGCCATGGCAGGTGTCCAAGGAAGGAACGACCACACTCAACTTGAAACGACACGGCCTAGCTCAAAGGTCATCGCATTCGCAACATCAGTCGTGCACTCCAAACCTAAGGAGCTGTCAGTCAGAGGTCAGTTCCCACATCACTAGTACAAAATGCCTTGACTGACATGGTCAGAATACATCCACCTGCTCAGGCAGCATGTGGCCAAAGGTCGACGAGCAGACGCCGTCAGCTCGAAACATCGTCACCTGGACAGATCTTCATACTGGCGTTCGGAATATCTACGTACCAAAGACGCTCTCAGCGAGGCTCAGGATCAGTCTGTCGACCTACGTCGGGAGAACGAGATCTTGAAAGCTAGACTCGACGCTGCAAAAGCTGCGAATCCGCCCAAGAAGCGAAAGAAGCAAGATGTCGACACTATTCCCGTGCCTCGATCGCCGAAGAAAATGAAGCGAGCAGCATCTCCAACCAGGATTGCGCCGTTGGACATTGTAGGGGATGGCGAGGTGGATGAGTTTGGCGAGATCAGTGAGTCAACCTGCCATGATACTGTGGAAGGATGCTGACCTATGCAGAACCATCTCTGTTGCGAAGAGTCTTCGATATCCACACGATTGTGAAGGCATCAGGGAAAACGGATACGACAAAACTGGCGTACCACATCATCGAAGCTGCTGCGGCAGTCTCAGAAATGGTGAAGCAGGGTGTCCACGAATGCATCGCCGATGAAGCGACAGACCTGGAGCCGCTCAAAAGCACACTGACAGCCGCCAGTCGTGCAACAGCTTCGATAATTGTCGGCCTCAACAGAATCGGCCATGTCCCTGAAGGCAGCGTTGTGCAGGGCAAAGTGGTCCACGCCTTCGTCCAGATGTTCAGAGACACACTCGGTGAATTCGAGAGCCTTGCTTCTGCTGAAGTCAAAAAGAACGGCAACGAGGCCGCCGTCTCCAAGGGAAAGAGTAAAGCCAAGTCGAAGGCAAAGATCACCAAGTCAACTACTTTCCAAGGATCATCAACATTGAACGCACTGGCTTCATTTCTATCGAATGTTGTCGGCCTGCTCGATTCGAAAGTCGATGCCAACAAAGCAGTCTTCGAAGGGTTCGCATACTGCATCCTGCGTCGGCTTGGTCGACACCTCTATTCAACCGTCTTTGGCCATCCAAGAGCATCGACCTTGGAAGCTGAAATCCTCCAAAGCAGGGACGACATCGAAGACGACGAATCGACACCTTCGCCACAAGAGAAGGAACTGCAGCAAAAGCGAATGCGAGTGGAGGCACCATATCTCATCCACCTGCTCACTCGAATCATGAGCATCGCTCCAGCCCACCTCGGTGCAGCCCTCACCAAGACTGGCAAACCCAAGCAAGCCCACAACAAAGCTGCAATGAAGGGTGCGTTGGCCATCACCGCCAAAGATTGTCTGCAGAGCACTCTCGTCAACGCCATCTTCGGCACGGAAGGTATCGATGAGAACGATCCCTTCATCGACTGCCTGAAAATGCCTATTCCTGGCAATGCGACGATTCCGGTGCCTAAGGTAAAGGAGCCTGAGATGGCAGAGTGGTTCAAGGGGGAGATGTGGAATTTGTTGGGCTGGGAGATTTTGTCGAGGACGGATGGGTAGTCGAATTTCGTCGATGCGTCTAGACACCGTTGCCGGCTTTTCTCAATATCAATATTGCTCATAGTGGAGATATCTCATAGCAAGTAACAAAGGATATCGTCGTTACCAGCTCGTTCTCACATGACATTCAATTCTCAGCGTTCTTCCTCTTTCTCAATGCCTGTCTGCGGCTTTTCTGTACAGTTCGCTCCTTGTGCAAAACAAAGAAAAGCTTGAAGTACGCTGGTAACATTGCAATCCAATTGGGCAGCTCCAAAACGTTCAAAAAAACGTCCACCATATCATGGATCATAGGCACTGAATTGACAGACTCGGTCGATCAAGCAATTAAAGAGCAGCAAAAAGCAAGCTTTCTAAGGCCGATAAAGCCCACGCAAAAAGCACCGTCGCCATCCTATGTCCCCCAACGGCCCAAGTCCATCATATCACCAAAAAGTTCCAAAAAATGATACTTTCTCCAGCTGAGCTGGAGGAGCAGGACAGGTCCTACCCGGAATCGAACCGGGGTTCCCGGAAGACTCTAACAATCAAGCCAGAAGTGACATTACTGTCGTTACGGACGTGAAAGCGTCAGAATCCGATGTGATAACTAACGATCGTCAGCCGATGTACCGAGGGTCTTAGAGTGTGAAAGTGGACTAACCCGCTACACTATAGAACCGCGGGCTTTAATTGGCTACCTCATACCTCAAAATTATATAGATAGCTTCGAAACTGACCGAGATATGGCCATGGCAAGATTTGAGGAAGTTGAGCCAATGGGGAGGCACCAAACGATCCAGGACAGTTATGTGGCCTACGATGGGATAAAGAGCATGCTAGAGAAGCTCTGGGCAAGACCTGGGCCAGACTCGACTACTCATTGACATGATATGGTGATATGGGGCAAAGAATTTTTGAGAACGTTGACGTGTGAATTTACCGACGATCAGCTGGAACGACAATGAGACGCCGTCTAGACCAACATGAGACTTCTATTCTCATTCTGTTGATCGATCGAGACAATGAAAGGAACAAAGCTCAAGCTACTGTGATATGGAACACTTCCTCGAACTATCATTGCTGCTTTACCACAGACTACCTGTCAATCAGACCGACTTGCCCATACTACCTCCCATCCCCTCCCCGTAAACCCGTCTCAAAACAACATCCTTATACGCCTCACGATCCGTACTCAAAGGCGTCCCATTCTCAGGAACCCTCCCCCTCACAAACCCACTTCCCATCAACACCCTCCACCAACGCCCCCACCAAAAGCGCAATCATCGCCACCCCAAAAGGCATGTAAACCCCCCTATGCTGCTTCGCAGGACACCGAAAAGGCGCAGCGCCAAACGGCATGAAAATATCATCTTCCTTCTTCTCGTCCACACTCAACCAACGAGATGGATCGAACAACCTCGCCGTAGCGCCCCAGATCCCCTTGTCTTGATGCATCGCCTCCACGTCGGCAGCGACGAGGAAGTCGTAGCCCGTCTCCTGATCCTTGAAGGCGCGTTAGATTCGTCGGGTGGACGGGTAGAGGCGCAGAGTCTCCTTGGCGAGGATGGCGGCCGAAAAGCCGTAGCTGTTGTCGTCGAGCTGCGCACGGGTCGGGTTTTGGGGGAAGTTGTGGAGGACTTTTTCCCACTGGGGTGCGTTTTCGTGCGAGCGGGAGGTGACTTCGACGAAGCAGCGCAGGACGACTCGACACATCGTCTCGTAGCCTGGTAAGATGAGGTTGAGGGGGTTCTCGACTGTCCAGTTGGGGAAGGCTTCGTTGAGAGCCTTTTGGAGGTCGTGTTGTTGGTCGGAATGCCAGTCTGGCTTGTCGCTTTCGGAAGTCGCCTTTTGAACGCAATCACTGCTTATTGACCTCGTCGGCAAGACCCCTGATGGCCTCGTCGTTGTCGCCAGCTTGAGGATCGATGTTCCACATGACCTTTCTTGTCATCTTCATGGTGACGAGCTGAATCAAAATGAAGAGCTTGATGGTGTTGTCTGTCGTGTCGAATTCCTTCTGGACGATTGCTTTGGCAGCGGCGGCAAACTCTTGCCATTTGTCGAGTTCGACGTGGATCAGCTTCGCGACCTTGCCTCGAAATTCGGCGCATCGCTTCTTGTCGTCGGTGATGAAGCAGTTGTCGATGCCGAATGCGGCCTGTAGACGTTGATTCGGCTGTGCGCGGGCGGCTTCTTTGGAGAAGAGGCTCTGAAGGTGTACGGTAGCGTTCTCTGCTTTAATGATGTCCTTGCAGTTGATATGGTTAGAGGAATTCTTGGTTTTTTGCGAGCCGTTGGTGATGTAGTTGGAGGCTTTTCGTGAGCACAATCTGAAGAGAAGTATGGCAAACGCCTCGCCCATCACAACGCCAAATCCTGCCCAGGTAATGAGGCTGAAGACGTTGGTCCAGAAAATGGGGAGACCTGTCGATACAAGGAGCTCTTTGGCCAGCAAGCAAGCAGCCAAGGCTGAGGAGATTGGTCTGAAGTTGCGTGACATGAAATGCTTGAATGGAGCGTGCATGATGCAGAAGCCAAAAGTGAGCGCGAGGACGGTCGTAGCGAGCTGAATCATAGAGGGATCGAAGAACATCTTGATGAGTGGTCGGTGTTCTTGAGTGTCTGCCTATGTGGAGTAGAAGTCATGATTACTGCAGTGTGGCCTGCCCTATTATAGAAGACCTCAGAGAAATCAGTTGTGCAGCGTGTTTGCTTGGAATACAGAATAGCGAAGGGAATGAACTCATCTTGTTTGTAGGCAATGAAACAGATGATTCTGGGCACCACCGACATGCTCTGGAAGGGGAAGGCTGCCCGCGATTCTGATTTCGTCCATGCCTTCTCGCTGTTTCGATGCAAAGTTCGATTCGTGGACATAGATGGCCCATGACTAGAGCCTCTGGGGCAGGCTTCCACGCAATACCAAATGCCTTGACATGCCCGCAGACTTTGACCTCTCCTGAACCGAAAGGGAACATTCGTGCCGAATGATTGTCTCTTGTGCGTTGATTCCGTCTTTCGAGTCTCAACCACCGTGCAAAGTTGACACGAAGACGATGTTGTCGCCAGCCTGGACTTCGTATTTATCCTCTCCTTCCAGCTCCCAGTCAGCATCGTTAATGAGGACGAGTATGCCCGGCCGTCTATTCATAGTCAGCAAGTCCCTAGGAATGCTCATCGTGGCCTCGACTCACACCGAATCGTCCAACACAAACATCTCCTTTCTCGGATCCTTCATGAGATTATCGCACAGCCACTGGATGAGAAATGCAACTGTAGCAGGTTGTCCTTTCGACTCCTCGGCGGGTATTGATATCTTGTGCTTTCGTTGATCTGAAAAGAGCATTTCTAGACCTCCGCTGCCAGACGGCTTAGAAAGTGAGCGGAGAAGAAAGATAGGAACAGGACCTACGTGAACTCCACCGTGAGATCTACATTGCTCCCCATGGCCACTGATGTGAGAAGCAAAGTGTTGATGGCAACGTTGTTGTTGATGTCAGCAGAAAGTGAAGTCAAATTCAGCAGCAATATCCGTCCTCGATGGCCCGTGCGTCGCGAGCCACAAGAGGCTAGCGAGATTTCGAACACTTCGACATATGACTTGAACTTTTTTCGCGACAACAACAATTGCACAGAATGTCGAACCTGAGATGACAACGGCGAGTCTGGAGTATATCGCTGCTGGCGGAAACAGACACTCGTCTGCCGCGGACTGGGCGCCTTCCTTGCTTGCCTTTGGAGCCGGCAACAACATCGCCCTTTGGGATCCTGAAAATGAAAGACAGAACGGCATCTCAGCCCTTCTAGCAGGTCATGAGGATGCTGTCAATGCTGTGAGAATATACGAGAATGATGGCAAGCGGGTCATCATCAGTGGGAGCGCAGACAAAACTATACGCATCTGGACTGCCACAAATGAAACACGCTCTGGATTTGAAGAAACCCAACGCCTGACAGAACACAGCAACTCCATCAACACGCTTGCGGTCTTTCCCGAGCATGACATATTCGTCTCAGGATCTGCGGATGCTTCTGTGAACGTATGGCACATGCAGGATTCAACAGCTAAGCTCATTCAGACTATCTCATTGAAGCCACGCTATCTTCCATTAGCACTTGCACTTACTTCTCTTACCAATGGCGATATTGTATTGGCAGTTGCTGGGACTTCCAACAATATTCAGCTCTATGTCAGGGCGAAGTCAGGCCAGAACTTCGAGTTGCAAGCGACTTTGAGCGGCCATGAAGGCTGGATTCGCTCGCTTGACTTCACGAAAGAGTCAGATTCGCCTGAGAGCGATATTTTGCTTGCTTCTGCAAGTCAAGACAAGTACATCAGACTTTGGCGTTTCCAGCAGACGGCAGGCCAAGCGACTGAGGCACCTGATACGATTGACGAATTATCTGCTACTTCTGCGAAGAAGTCGCTATCAAACAAAGCGCACCAGGTTGGAAGCTCGTCGACAAAGTACGCTGTAACTTTCGAAGCACTGCTTGTTGGCCATGAAGACTGGATCTATACCGCACGATGGGAACCAAAAGGCTCCTCGAGATCACCGCCCGCGCTGCTCTCTGCCTCGGCCGATAACTCACTCTCGGTCTGGCATTCGGACGCAGCATCTGGATTGTGGATTTGTCATAGCAGAATGGGAGAGATAAGCTCTCAGAAAGGATCCACTACTGCAACAGGTAGTGCAGGTGGCTTCTGGATAGGGCTCTGGCAACCCCAGGGACGTTCAGTTGTCAGTCTTGGCCGCACAGGTAGTTGGCGCCGGTGGAATTTTGACGAAAACAGCGACATGTGGCTCCAACAGGTGGGCATCAGCGGGCATGTGCAAGAAGTGCAAGGCATCGCGTGGTCTCCTCGTGGTGACTACCTTCTGTCCACTTCATCAGACCAGACCACAAGACTTATCTCGGAATGGAAGAGACGGGACAAATCCTCTTGGCATGAGATGGCTCGTCCTCAAATCCACGGTTACGACCTGAACTGCATCGATGCCATCACAGACATCCAATTCATATCTGGTGCTGATGAGAAGCTACTTCGAGTGTTTAACAAACCAAAAGCGGTCGACAATCTGATTTCGAAACTTTCAGGCACATCTAGTACAGTCTCAGGCGACCTCCCAGATGCAGCCAACATTCCAGTGCTCGGCCTTTCCAACAAGGCAATGGCCGCGGCCGATGATGACGATCAACCGAATGGCCATTCAAATGGGGACACCGACGAGAGGGAAGCGGTTGATCCAGCTTCCGTGGTCCACAAGTCAACCCTCGATCTTGATCATCCACCACACGAAGACCATCTCGCACGCCATACGCTCTGGCCAGAACATGAAAAGCTTTACGGACACGGTTACGAAATTTCTGCTGTGGCCACCAGCAATGACAAGTCGCTCGTTGCCACGGCATGTAAAGCAAGTTCTCTTGATCACGCAGTCATTCGACTTTACGAGACGAAAGAGTGGCGAGAGGTGAAACCGCCGTTGACGGCACACAGTTTGAGTGTCACGAGTCTCGCATTCTCACCGGATGACCGGTTCTTGCTCAGTGTTGGAAGAGATCGACAATGGGCAGTCTTCGAAAGGGATGCTCATGAAAACGATACATACAAGCTCTTCTCGTCGAACCCAAAGGGCCACTCTAGGATGATACTCGATTGCTGCTGGGCACCAGCTTCGGCGGGCCATGTCTTCGCCACCGCTGGCAGAGACAAGTCGGTGAAATTATGGAGGCTGAGCGAGAGCACATTCGAGACTGTTTCGACAATCACCACGGGTACTTCAGTCACAGCTGTGGCGTTCAGCTCAGACCTCGAGACCTCATCGTTCGTCCTTGCATACGGATGCGATGACGGGTCTGTTCATGTCGCTAAGATCTCTCCCGAAACACTTGCTGTGCACGACACCCTGGCTCTGGACCCGGGAATTGTTCATTGCAAGACTATCAACGCTCTTCGGTGGCGACCAAGGCTGACACAAGGTGGCGAGAAGATCGCTAGTCTGATGCAGCTCGCATCAGCAAGTGATGACTTTTCAATCAGGATATACAACATCACTTGATCAGACGGAAGCTAGCTGCTGGAGACGATGGCAAGGTCGATGAGCGAGGGGACAGAGATTTCAAGCGCCCAGCTCTTCTGGCCTGACAGACAGATAGCTTCTTCTTTCAACAGCATACGAAGCCAGACTCTTACCTTGTCTCATACTCAGGGCCATGCATGGAACGCACATACAGTCATCACTCGTCCGTTGAGAGATCGTGTAATTGCTTGACCATAGCCTCGTCGAAACTCAATTGAGTGACCACCGCTGGACGCTGTGTCAATCGGCACCTTCAGTCTGAAACCTCCTACGTCGCCACCTGCTCTGGTACCACGCGCTCAAGCCATCGAATCAAATCCGGTGCGATCTTATCCGAACTGTGAGCAACTCCTGGCACAACGACTAATTCTGACCTGATGCCAATGGCCTCGAACTCTCCGTGCAGTGCACTCACAGCGTCCAGTCTATTTGATAGATTGCCCGGGGGCAGAGGTATCTCAACCCCCATCGTTGATGCCGGCATGACACGCCATAGACCCTCATTGACTTCAGCCACATCATCGTCGCCAACGAGCAACTGAACATGCGGAACAGCCGCCAAGGTTTTGAAATCCACAGTCCCGCCCGCGAAGTACTTCTCCACACCATCGAGACCCCAGGGCCACGCAATCCTCCCGTCCAGGCGGGTGACCGTTCCAGGAGCGCCGATTGAAACGCCTGCGAGCTTCTCGGGGTGTAGATAGAAGAATCGCAGGGCGAATTGACCTCCTCCAGAGTAGCCGGCTAGAAAGACCTTGGAAACCTCGATTCCAGGCCAGCGAACAGCGACCTCATCGAGGATGGATAGGAGAATAAGGTCGTAGCGGGTCCGACTAGGTGCGCTACCAGCGGAGAGGAACTTGTACCCGTGCGAGTCGTTTGGGCCATCGATCACGCCGGGAAACAGAGGCGCAAGGATCGCGACTCCCTTTGAGTCGGCCAGGTCGATAAGAGAGTCTCGACAGGTTTCCGCTCGCCGCAAGCTGCCGCGGATATTGACTACCAGAGGCATGTTCTTCCCGGCGGGATGCACCTGGTAGTGTGCTTGAGGGATGTACATGCAGTATGAGATCCGGGGATCTGCCTGGCATGCGGAAAAGGGTATCTTGCCGGTAAGCCTGGCTGCCTTCCAATAATTCTCTGGCACGTCTGAGGTGCCCAGCATAGTCGAAGCCATGAAGACTCGGGCAGTGCAGAGAGTGGGCTCTCGATAATTCGAGTGAGGTCTTTGAATCGAAGCATGGTGCCTTGGACTATATGTAAAGGTTCATCGTTCGCTGAACAGTCTCCTTCAAATGGCACATGGCCCATGACCGGCGTCGGGCAACTGAAGTCATTCCGTTCCGGCTGTCCATAGAAAGACATTGAACGGCTGGGAGGGAACCACGTTCGTACATCGTACAGCCTCGAGGAAGATCTCTTCCAACCCCGCAGTCATTCCTGCATGAGAAGATGATGGCGACAACCTTATTAGCGCCTTTGAATGCACCAAGACAAGATTCTGTCTGCTTGTCTGAAGCCGGGCGTTAACGTTGATTCGAATGTTAGTCTCCAAGAGGTCTGCAATCTCTCCGCTGAATCAAATGGGCCAAGTGTACGTCTTTGAGCACCGCTTTCGATCGTGTGCATCGGTGGTTTGCATGCTACTCCATGTCTACGGGTGGCAAGAACCGTCATACGATGAATAGAGTGCATCCCGTCAAGCGTCCTGTCCATCATGTGATCAAGCATCAAGCGCGGTTCCCCACGACACAGTCCGTCCTGCCAATAGCCACAACTAGAGTCCAGAACATAGGAGCATGAACGTCGTCGTTCCAGCATATAGTCAGTATCCGGGGACCACAGCATGGAGGAATCCATCTTCATCCTTACACAAACTCCGACACCCCCCTCAACATACTCACACTCGTAATCACCCACGTCGAACCCCTCCTCTCCCACTTCCCACAAGACACCGACTCCTTACACAACCCACCGGGCAGCCCCACAACCCTCTTCAACGACCACGTCCTCGCCCTCCGCCCATTCTCCTGGACCTCCGCCACCGTATCCAGAATCTGCACGTCGAACGATGGGTTGGCTTTGAGCGTCTGCACCCACTCCGCGACGTGCGAGTCGAGGTCTGCATGCGATTTGTTGGGGAAGTCCGGGTCTGGATCGTGGGTTGAGCTTAGCGTTGGACAGATATGTTTCTGTAAGAGCGGGTGCGTGAAGTCCCGTTCGTTGTAGATGAGTCGGAGGATTTGGTGGGAGAGGTTGGTGATGTAGAGGGCTGTGGCGTCGACGTCGTCTTTTGGAGGGTGTGGTGAGGAAATCAGGCTGTTGGGGGATAGGAAAGCTAGGGAGTCGTGTGTGCATGTGATCTTTTTACATACTGCCGGTCCGAGGGCTATCGTTCCTATGGGTTTGAAGCTTTTGGAGGTTGTATGTGGGACAGGCATTTTAATGTTGATATCTCGTCGTCGTTGTTCCTAGTCTCGCACCAATGCCGGTCTGATAAGGTCTACCACGTAGACTGCACGTCCGAGTCGCCCAGAGGTGACGTTGACCGCCGATGTTGATGCGGTGGCGACGATCTCACGGTATGCCAGGAGGTACAAGTCGTCTGACGATAAGCCTTCTGCCGATATAGTTCCTGCTGTGGTTCTGTGTGTATTATTTCTCTGCTACCCGTCAGAAGGTGATAGCGTAAGTATATTGAAGAGAGCAGAGGGAAAAGAGAACGTGAGAAGCGGCTGACGACCGAGAAGGATTCGTGACATTGCAAGTATCACTACGTAGTCATCTTCTCCGAGCGAGTGAGAGAAAAATCTTCACTGACATAAGAACACGATTCAGAAGACGTGAGATTCATTCACGGAGATCAGCCAGGTGGTCGTGCCACTCACCGTGAAGATGCCGTTGTTGACGTGAGGTCTGTCGAAGGGAAGTACCTCTACGGCATACCATAGCTGCACGAAACTAGCGGCGAGCTAGACGGTACGTCCTCATCAATGGCTCAGCATCACCACTTCCCATTGCTCGGAGCTTATCTGCTCGACTGATCAGATGTCGAGCTACTACCTCCCAGTAGTACCACCGTATACCCTTCCCTTCCTGTACTATATCAAGCCGTAGGTCCACTCTCCTCTCAACATGCTCCTCCTCCTCCGCAAACAACAACCCCCCTCCCCCCTCAACCTCACCACAATGTCCACCCACCTCCAACCCCAACCGCACTCCCACCTCCTCTCCCTCCCCACCGAACTCCGCCTCCAAATCTGGGAACTCCTCCTCCTCCACCACGTGCACATCCTCAAAACCCTCTTGCAGACCTCCCCAACCCACCGCCCCATCGCATCCCTCCTCCGCACGAGCAAGCAGATCTACGCCGAGACCCTGCCCATCCTCTACGGCGAGAATACCTTCCTCGCGCATCCGACGCTCCTCACGACGCTCCCGGCGTTCCTGCTGTCGAAGACGGGCTCTCATCGTCCGTTGACTCTCCCGCCTATCACGGCCCCGAGACTGCTGCCGCTTATTAGGAAGTTTTATATCCACGTGCGTCTCGATACGGATCCTCGGTTCTCGAAGTTGCAGGCGACGGAGAGTTTTACGGGCGTGCAAGAGTTGGAGGTGGAAGTCTTCCAGGCGATGTACGGGAGTTGCGATTTTGAGGTGTTGAGGCTGTTCGAGGGCGTGAGAGGCGTGGGGAGGTGTGTGGTTTGGGGAAGTGTGGGCGATGGGAGGTATGCGGCTTGGTTGGCGAAGAGCATGATGAAGTCCGTAGGGGAGGAAGTGGAAGGCTTCAAGGAGGAGTTTGTAGGTGGAGACCGGGGGTGGCATGCTTGGGCGCAGGGGAATCGATGAGAATTGAAGACGACGACCGGGGTATTATAATATGATCTTCTCTGTGGGAGGCTCTATCGACATACAATCATCTGGGCAGACTATTCGTCCTGCCGGCCTTCTCGTCCCACTCAGGAGCGACCTCAGCATTGATCTCGGGCTTGTGCATCCTCAAACACCACAAGAACCAATCCTCCAACGGCAAAAGATTCAACAAGAACTTCTCCGCGTTCCACGCAATGCCGCAAACCATCGCACCCGCTACCGCATCCAAGATGAAATGGTTCGCCGTGGCAATGATGGCCAGCAGGATGGTGGCCGGGTATCCAAACCCCAGCACAATGCACAACATCCTCCGCGCACTCAGTCCCGCAGCCTTGAACCGCCATAGCCTGCTCGAACGAGTCTGCTCCTGGGACGAAGCCAGCGGTATCGAGGCAATCGTCAGGCCTATTAGCAAACTATACCCGAAGTGTAAACTCGGCATCGCGGCGAATTGATTGCAAAACTACCATCGACATTCACGTCAGTTCCACAAATATTTACACCCATAGCAAAAGTTTCGAACTTACCCGATTCTGCGTCCATACACTACTCTCCCCCTCGGCCCCATGCACCGTATCGACAAAGCCATACGACTTCGCCTCCTTCGCGTCCCCTCCGAAATACTCCGGATCGCTGAGCAACCTGGGCGGCATGCAAGGCCACGCGGTGAAGACCATAAACGCAATCAAATTGCACATGGCCATCGTCCTCCTCCGCGCCTGATACAGCGCCGGACCGGCAGGACTCCGCTCAATCTCATACCGTTGAGGCGACTTATTCGCCGTAATCGTCAAATAATACGACCAGATCAAAAACAGAATCGTGCCGGGGATATGAATAAAGCTGTAGATGCGATTGATCCAGTGCATCGTCGTCGGGTACTGCAGGAAGTATCGCTGGATCGCCGGTTCCCAGAACATGCCGAGTTGTTGTTCGAGGTGGATGAGCTGGAGGGCGTGTTTCCGCGCGGTGTGCACGGTGCCTTGCACGAGGGTCACGGCTGTGAAGGCGCGGCCGAGTTGGTAGACCCAGTAGATTAGAGCCCAGTACCAGACTTCGACGAGGAAGGGGAAGGTGCGGAGGACGCGGCTCAGCAGTCTGTCTGAGAATTGGGCGGTGTTGGGGGAGGTTATGTCGGTTTGCCAGCCGAGAAGGCCGACTCTTCGTTTTCGCCAGCCTGCTTGCTCTTCTGGTTGTCCTGCTCCTCCGAGGTATGATGAGGACGTGCGACTTCGTGGACTGAGTAGTTCATCTTCGCTGCTCGGACTCGGCGGGCCGGATTCTCTGCTGTCGTCTCGTTTGTGGCTGGCCCAGATGGGGCTGTTCAGGACTTGTTCTCTCTTCTTGCCGCGGTTGATGAGGGTGCCGCCGATGAGGAGGGATATGACCACCAAGGGCTCGATGAAGGCTCCGGCGCCCATGGTCGGTTGTGGTCTTCCTGGGTATGTGTGTAGAGCTGTATTCTGGAGCGAGAGACGCTATTCAACGCAAGCGATACACCCAATATGGGTAAGAGTCCAACTCTTCCTCTCCCAAGAGCTCCAAACAAGAAGAAAAGAGAAGAAAGAAACCCACCTCGAGAGAGCACGCGACAGCAGTAGTCATACCACGAGCGCCTTACCAACCACCTCATCACGCACCGCACCAACGTTATAGCTAACTAACGTAGCCACACAATTCCCTCATCAATTCAGCCCGACATCCGGATTGCTTCAACCAACGCGAGGCAGCTGGCCAGTCACAAGATGAGGTGAGGTTCGGCCGACGGCAGCTGGAGGACAGCAGTGCTGATGCTTCCGCGGCGTGCCGTGAGAAGGAATCAATCCGCGGGCTTTGCAGTGTGTGAAAGCTTGTTTTGGGTGGTATAGTAGAACCTAAGCTCCACTTCCTGCAGAGGGATCAGTGATAGATTGATAAGTCCGGGTGTAGAGCGGAGCGGATGAGTTGTTCGATTCCTCTTCATCCGGCCAGGTAGCATGTCAACTCATCCGGCATTTCCTGGCCAGCTTCGTTCTATACCACACTCTTCGACAAACATCCCAAACTCCCACCTCACAACACTAAAGCACCAGCCGTCGGCACCCTCGGCGCATGGTCGCGTGCCCACCTCAGCTCACCTCACAAGTCTCTTTTTCTTGCTTCTGCGGCTGCTGATGAGAACGTGCAGTCAGCCTGCAGCAGTGACGATGGTCGTGCCGAAAGTCCGCGCAGTAGCGTGAAGACAAGTTTCCGGGCTTCCGTGGCGATCATGTCAGGTCAGGTCATGTGTCCAGGTGTCGTCTTCGCGATGCAGGATGCTAGGGGATATGTATATACGAGACGTGGTTCGCGAATGCATGAGTACCAAGGTCGAGATGTGTATTTGTCTTCCTGCCGAAGATCTCGCGTGGTCTGGGACTCTTGGCGGGAGGTGTAGGTGAATGTCATGAATGCATGCAGTGCTGAAGATCTGCCTCCATCCCCGTCCATTTATAGACACGTGCAAGAAGAGAAGAACCATACGAAAAGGAAAGGGGGTGGTTGTGAACAAGTTGCAGTCTTTCTTTTCCTTTCCATACACTCACTACTCTCATCAAGCGCCAGCTCAAGTTTCCAGAACCCAGAGCCCATTTTCTTCTTTACTCAAAAAAGCAATCAAATATAGCGATCGATTGGTAGGCGCCGCGTGCGAGAGAGGCGTATATCTCATGCTTGTTGCTATCTCAATAGCCCACAACAGATAGATTCAAGGTGCGCGCGAAAAAAGCCAGGCTCCCATTTCAATTCCATTCCCATTTCGCAGCCTTATTAGAATGATGATGATATTGTTCCTGCGCAACCACAACGAAACAACGCTTCGCGCCTTTGGGGGTATCCTCTCAAAAGGGGGCCGTCTCCATCCCATTTCCTTATCTCCCAAGTCCCAAAGGTCCGCTAGGGATCGATTTTGTTTAGATCCTCCGTCTTCTTCGATCAACTTTCGTCGTCAGATCAGATTCCAGTAAAAGATGAATGACCTTTGCCCGATTTTTGCTCCCCCATCTTCCCCAGACCGACTGCCCAAACGCTCGCACTGCGGCGAATAGATAGTCTAAAACGCCGCGCAAAACACTAAAGATTACGAGAGAGATTGTTCATAATCCGATCCCCGCCAAATAGATCACACAAAAACTCCAAACATACAACAAGCAAAAGCGAGTTGTCTCGCACACAAAAGGAGGTAAAGCCATCCACAAGAAAAGTATTGGGTATATTACGAAGGTAAGCTGTTCGGAACGCCGGTGCGCAAAAGACTAGTGGCCGTATGATGGCCTTTCGTTAGGCGCCGTTCAAGTCGTCGATAGAGGGTGGTACATCGCGCAGCGCGGTCTTTAGTGCTGCTGTCCGAGCGTGTTGGGGTCGACAAAGAACATTTGTTGAGTCTGCATGTCGAATTGGTTCGCGGGGCTCTGTTGGAAGAGTTCGTCCGGGACGTTGTTCATCTGGCCTGGGCTGGAATACATCTTGGAGTCTTGGTACAGCATTCCATTGTCTGGGCTGTTGAACATCGCCGCTTGCTGTTGGGAAGGAGTCGAAAAGTCAACGCCGCTGTCCTGGTGAGTCTGACCTTGGTGCGATGGCGAGTTGTAGTTTGTGCCGTCATGCGATGGGCTCTGGAAGTTCATCTGTGGTGCTCCTTGCATGTTCATGTTGCCTTGACCATCTGGCCCACTTGCTTGTGGCGACTGGAAGTTGAACATGCCATCAGGCATTGGCGAATGGAATGCGTCCTCAGACATTGGGCTCCTGAATGGTAGGGCGATCTGCTTGTTGAATGACTCAGACAGGTAGATGCCTTCATCGCTAATCTGTGAGCTTTCACCAGGAGTGCCGAAGATATCAGCGCTCTGGCTGCGACCAACACCATTGAGTGGTGGCGAGTGGTCGGCAATGACAGGGTCGCCGTGGCTGGCAATGGACAGCGGAGTGTTGCTAGTACCGATCATGGAAGCTGGGTCAACAGCAAGGAAGCCATTGTTGCTGAAGTTGAACTGCGGCTGTTGCATGCCTTCGCCGTTCGCGCCGGAAGTGAAGAGTCCAGGAGTGCCATACTCGCTTGGTGAGTTCGCAGTGGTTGCTGACAAGGAGCCGTTGAACTGCAAGCCCATGTTGAAGCCCGACGACGTGTCGATGCTCAAATGATGACCCATAGGACCTTGAGCGAAACCATTCGCATGCTGGTGTTGTGGAACCGGAGCGAAGATGTTGGGATCTTGCATTGGCTGCTGCGGTGGCTGGCCTTCGTGTTGGATCAAGAAGGATGGCATTGGGCCATTTCTGAGCATGTTGAAGTCGACAGCAACAGGGACAGAGCGACTTCGTTGGCGTTTGTGGCCGCGGGGACCTGGAGGACCCATCATCCCAGGAGCAGCCTCTTGAGGCGGATATAAGCTCATACCATTGTGCGGGTGCATCATGTGGTTCGGCTGGCTTGCAGGTCGGTGTCCAATGGGCGAGACAGGGGCCGAGACGGCGAACTGGCTGGGGTCAAAAATGTTGTGTCGATTTTGGTATGCTTCCAAAGAGACGAGCTTGGCAAGTTGTCCACTGAGAACCTTGGAGGGTCCTCCAAGCTGGTGAACAAAGGTTTGGCTCGCTTGCTGGTCCTCAGTGAAGTCGCCACACTCGTAGAAACCACCGCTCCCAGAGCTGTCCATGTAGAACTTTGGTGGTCGGGTCAACTCAATTACGAGTCCACCCAAACGTTGTGAGGCTCCTTCAGCAGGGGCCAGGACGTCACCTTGCTCCAAGGTAATGTTCTTGATCCACGCAAAGGGGTATTCGATCTTGTAGCCGGCTGAATCGTTGTTGATGTAGTACGTCACGCAGGCCTTGTCGGGAGAGTAGAAGATGACAAGGTCCATAGTGCTCTGGCCAACGCGACGCCAAGTGCCAATGGAAAGCGAGCGGCAGTGGAAATGTTGGATGACGACCTTTCCAGATGATGTGTCAGTGTTGAGGCAGAGGGTACCGCCGCCATATGGGGCGAATCCAGGGCCAGCACGGCCCAACATGGTTGCAGGAAGTCCCTTTCCAGGGCCATATGCCTGCATGGCCAGATACTGTCTCATCGATTCTGGAATGCTGTCACAATCTTCACCACTTTCGATGCTTCGCTTGGCAATGTTCTTTATCTTCGCTCGTCTACGATATGTTAGCACATAGTCACACTCCTATTGGTATCTATAGCATACCGATTCTGGAACCAGATTTGAACAGATCGCTCAGTCATGTTGATCTCCGATGCTATCCGCTCTCTCACGAGCGCGGTGGGCGTGGGATTCTTGTTGAACTCCACCTCAAGAGTCATGAGCTGATCTTGGGTGGCCCTCTGTCGCTTCTGGTTCTTTTGCTGCTGCGTAAGAGTGCTCTTTCGCGGCGGTCGGCGAGCGTTGTTGTTCGAGCTGGCGTTCGAGGGTGTCGTGGAGGGAGGTGGTGGAGCCATCTTGGGCTTAGCATCCACCTGCCCCTGGGATTGGGGCTGTTGAAGGGGTTGCATAACGTCGGCCATTTTGGCGGTCCTGTGCCGGCCGGTTGGTGGTGATGATACAGTAGGAAATCGTTCGTTTGAGTCGTGGCGCAGCCGCGATTGTAGCAAGACAATCGGATTCGGTGTCGTGAACCGAGACGTAAAGGACCTCGCCGGGTAGTTGGCGAACCTGAGGAGGTCTGAAGGTAAGGGATACAAGCTGTGCTATACACAGTCTCCGACGGCCAGGCGGACGCTGAAAATGATGCCACTGGCTCGGTTGGTGCGGTATGCGGGCTGGTGTCGCTGGTGAGGCGGATTACCTAGACGGCGGGTACGCGCAAGAAGGCGAATAAAGAAAGTCGGGGCGTGCCCAAAGAGCGACTCGGCGCCGGAAAGAGTGAACGGCGGCCGGACAGGCGGTTGATGAAAGAAGCTGGATCAAAGGAGAGGCGCGAGACGCAGCATCAGAAAGAGTGATGACGCTGGCCTCTGGTAGTGGTGGGCGTGCCCGCGGCGGCGATGGGAGGGCAGCGGTATGGGTGAATTAGATAGAAGATAGTAGTAGTGGTGTGGGAGGAGGAGGAGGAGGTGGTGGTGGTGGTGTCGAACGGAGTGAGTGGGGAGAGAGAAGCAATCTCGCCGGCTGCTCGCCGTGCTGCTGGACTGTGCGTGTCAGACGGGCAGGCAGGAGAGGAGAGCGACCGTCAAGACTCGCTCCTGCCCTCTGTCGCTGGTCGCTGCTGCCCGTGACGCTCCCCAAGCCGACCCCCTTGAATAGCGCACCGCGCTAGCAGCCGCATCGGGGCCAGCGCGGTGGCTCGTGCGGTCTCCCGCACCACGCCTGGCACCACGCCCGCGACAGCACCCACTCCTCGCGACCAGGCTCACCCTGCGAATACACGACCGCTGCGCCGCTCCGATTGGCCACCGCCTCCGTTCCATCCTGGCCCATGGCCTCGCCTACCACAACTGCCTGCGCTGCCATCGACCATCCCGTCCTGCTGACGAGCCGGGGCCAGACACGCTGCTGGCTGCCATCTTCTCCTGAAACGAGCATATCGCGACCATCCTGCCAGGGCGGAGCTGCGCGGAGTTGACAAGCAGCGACATGAACAACAACGACGACGACTGCCAGCCTGCTCCGGCAGCCGCTCCGGTCGCGCGCATATCCCACCAACAACAATATACTCTTCTTCTTCAACAACTACGCTCCGTCCAAGCGCCTTCAAAAGGCCCTACTAGCTCTCGCTAACCATGACCAACGAGCGTCACCGTCCCAAACAGGCAACCCAACGCCCTGCTTCAGGGTTCCTCCTATTCGTTAAAGGCTAACGCTGTACGTGACCGTGCAACCGTGCGAGCGTGCAACAACGCTCTGCCACACACCAACAGCAGGCCGCTACTTTTTGGTCGCGCTACTACTGCATCACCCGATCGTAACGATAGGGCCCGGCAAGAAAAACCACCAACGACAAGGGTGCACCCCCCTCGTCTTCCGCCCGTCTGTCCGTTCAAGAACCACGACAGACGCCGTGTGCCGCCGCCGACCACTGCCTTTTCGTGAGACAAGCGTCCTTTGGACACTCCAACGGCCGAACCTCAAACCAAGAACCCACGGCGAAGGCAAGGGAAGGGTTGGAAGTTTTTTAGGGACCGAGTTGCAACAACAAGACGACGCGTGCAGCAGAGCTCCCTTTTCCACTAGCGCGTCTTTTTCGCCGCAGCTCCTCCCACCAAAAACCTCCGATGCACGACTCACCATGCACGACTCACCACGCACGTCAGCCTCACAACAACAAGCGCGTCGAACATCACGGCAAGAAAAAGACTGACTCCCTCCTCCACCTCCCCTCCCAAACCGCAACAGCAACACAAGCGAACAAGAATCAAGCGCCCTCCCCCAAAGCTGAAGAGTGGAGTGTCAGATGTGCCGTTTATCCAAACGCCGTGTTGCGCATCTCTCGCGTGCCATTCGCTGAAGAAATCCAACACGCTCCCGGATCAACAGGCGTCTTACTGTCCTGGTCTGTGCATCCTCCCTTTAGCGCCAGGAACAGCCGTCTTTCGCCTGAACTTAGTGTAAGCCTCGCCGCCGCGCCGCAGCATGCAGAGAGGTCACGTGAAAGGGGTAAGTGGGTTGGGGGGTTGTTGGATGGAAGCACGACATCCTCGTTGCGTTGCTCGTGGTGCTATTTTCGAATGGGCATGGGCATGCTTTTATGCCTGCTCGTGCCTATGAGCACCGTTTTGCTCGATCTAACAGTTCAGCACTTTCAGCAACATCAAACTGACGACATCATTGGCAAGTGTGGATCAAACACACGTGCCGAAAGTCTGGTATTTCGCACGCACATCAATCATCGCCGCCGAGCAAAGATGTGAGACATGGGTGTTTCAATGCCAGCCTCACCGCCAAACACAGTGCACACCAAAAGAGGCTCGAGCACGACTCGTGGAATCGCCCTGTGACCGGGGTGCTTGATTAATCTGTTCGGTCGGTCCAAATCCCACCACGTTGGTACTATAGCATGATAAGTGGCTTCATGACTGGGAAGAATAGGCTTACACTACTGCCGCACTGTCATATCAGAAACCTCGTGCGATGCTCCTAAAAGATTCTATGTCGTACAGATTCCCTCTCAGTGTCACACACACCGCCTCTCAGCGCTCAACACGAACTCTCCACTACACCGGGTCCTCAGCAAAACAAACCCCGTGACGCCTGACGTTTAGAAGACCTATCCCTTCCAATTTTTCCCACGTCAAGTGTCAAAAACCTTGACTGCTTCCATCCATCCATCCCTACCAAAGTGTGGCGTCGCGATCAAACCTCTCAATCTCCTTCTCCGCGTCCTCGACGTCCTTCTTCGCCTTCATGCGCATGTAAAAAATCGGGCAGTCCCGGCTCGAGCAAATCACCTCGTTGTGCATACTGCCCTGGCACCGCTGGCACTGCGTCCAGAGACGCGCGAAGCGCACTTCGAGTTCCGCCGTCTTGCTCAGCGAGCGCTGGTAGAGTTCTCCAAACCGCGGTCGGCACTCCTCGCCGACCGCACCGCCCTTTTCGTCTGTCGACACGAGCGGCTTCTTGCAGCCCAGACACGTCTCCGTCTTCTTCGCGAACTTCATCAGCCCGCCCATCGTGGGCGCCGCCACGGAGATGGCACGTGTGTGCTCGCCTGTCAACAGGGATCCGGCTTTCTTCTCGCCCAAAATAGGTTCGAAGATGCGGCCCAGGGGCTTTGCGAGCTGGTTGTCGAGGTAGTACTTGGTGTCGATGGGAAGGTTGTTCTCCAGCACGAAGATGGGGTCTTCCGACTTCTCGTACCCCTTGGCCCCAGCCGCACCCTTGACCATCACGTATGCGACACGGTCACCGAGTGCCGGCGCGGAACCGGCATCCCTCTTCTTCATGCGAGCCGCGAGTTCGGTGTGGGCCTGCTTGGACGCGTAGTCGTCTTTGGTCAAGGCCTTGGTGATCACGAGGTTGGACATGTCGATTCTATTCTGGAGCAGCTCCGAGATGGTTTCCTTGACATAGCTGTGACGAGATTAGCAACAGCTCGGCAAGAGTTAGGCATCGACATTGCAAGATAGCTTGGACTTACTCTTGGGCTCCCTGTACATCTTGATCGATGAGCAGCATCTTCAAGCTCGTCTCGATGACAGTCTGCACAAGGCGGCAATTGTCTCTACGCACGGTCTCGATACCCTTGGTGTCCATCTTGTCCCACTTGTCCGTCTTGGTCCAGTACAGTCCGGCGTACCGCTTCTTGTTGATAAGGAGGTATGGATAGTACACTTTCTCAAACTCCAACTTGATCGGTTTGATGAACTTGCTGGAGACGTACTCAGCGGCTTCCTGGCCCAGCTCCATGGCCTTTGCCAGGTCGTTGGGTCCGAATTTGACCATGACGGAGTCAGTGTCTCCGTAGATGACCTGGGCATCATGGCTGTATCCATTTGCGATGGTGTAGCGACCCTCGACCTCCTCTTTCGTCTTCTCAATCATTTGACGACCATACGATGTGGTACTCGATGCGATCGCCAAGCAAGGCAGTTTGCCTACCGTAGCACCCGTCAAACCGTAGACAGAGTTGGCACTGATCTTCAGAGCCAACTGACGACCATTGAGCACGGCTTTCTTGAAGGGATCGGTCTCGACTGCGAGGTCTTTCTTGGCACGCTTTCTAGCTCCCAGCAACTCTTCCAGAATTTGTGACAGAAGTCCCTTTCGCACCTTGGTTGTGCAGAACAGATCTCCATTGGGTGTCACGATGTAGTCCTCGTCTTTCTTCAGCTGAAGCTTGTCGACAGCGTTTTTGTTCAGGAGCGTGGTATAGCAAAGATTGTGGGCTTGCATGATACTGGGGTACAGAGATGCGAAATCGAGAGTTGCGACAGGAACGTCGTAATACCCTCGTGTCGGTTCAATAACGGTGGCACCTTCGTACTGCTCGTCTGAGCTTTCGGACTTGAGGTCAGGAACAACCAGTTGCTGTTCCAGAGCTTTTCGGAATAGTTGACTGATGAACTTGATCTGTTGGCCTTTGGCAAGCAGGAAGTTGAATGGTACACCCGTGACTCTTGCCATTTCCGTGTAGTTGACAAGACACATGAGCTTGTCCATCAATCTCTGAGGAAGATAGGCATCCTTCAGGCAGTATACGGCCAATCGACGGCGTGACTCGGGTGTACCATTGTACAACTCAGTGATCATAGTGTGATGGACGTCTTCTTTCTGCTCGTTCAAGAAATGTGCGGATACGGAGTTGAGCGTATAGCTGCGCAGCTGGTAATCTCTCTGGATGAGTTGCAGCAGGTCAAGTTGCAGCCTGCCACTGATGTTCGTCGCCTTCGTGTCGCGATTGCCCATTTGCTTGCTGGAGAAGTTTGTCTCTTTTGCAACAGACTTGACATTTCTCAGTCGCGACCAGAACGGGAATCTGCCGACTTTCAGGTGTGCGGCTCGATCCAGCAGGTAGGGGAAGTCGAAGTTGGAGATGTTGTATCCGATGATCACATCCGGATCTACTTCGTCCAGGAAATCTCTCCATGCCATCAACATCTTCTCTTCTTTGTCGAACTCGAAGATCTGGGTGTTCACGATGAGACTGCACGTATCCATGCAAAACACGTTCCGCACGAATGGCTTGGCTTCACCGTATCTCGTTACGACGTTGGCGATTTGAATGACTGGATCGATATTTGCTTCGGGAAAGACACCTTTGCGGCCGGCACACTCGATGTCGAAACTCAAGACTCGAAGTGGAGCGATCTTTTGCCATTCTCCGTCGATGGGGTGGGCAATGATATCTCGAAAGTGGCAGTGCACTTCGATTTGGCACGTCGACTGTCGGTCCCGCTCTGGTATCAAGTGGTACTTTCCCGAGTTGATAGAGATCCAGGACATGCCGGCCATGTGGGTGTCGATCATGAATCGAAGGACATACTGGATATTGTCGAAAGTCAAGAGTCCGCCATCTGTAGCTTTCCACATGCCCTTGTAGTTGGCGTTGTTCTCCTTGAAGGTGGAACGAAGTCGATTGATGTACTTTGGGTCAGTGACGGTTATCTTAAGATAAGGGCTCTTCTGGTTGCCTTGGAAGCCAAACAGATTCTCCCTCAGAACCATCTGCACTGAATGGATGGCAGGAGCGTGCTGGGCCATCGCGCTCTCCAGGAATATCTTGAATGGTTCACAATCATTCTTGGTGAAAGAGACCGGAGCCGCAACGTAGAGGTAGTGTAAGAAGTCCGTGACATGGAGCAGGACGGAATGCCCAGCTTCAGTGACGCCAAAGAGCTTGACAGTAGCCCTGCCCCCATGGAGGGTGCCCTCCTCGGCATCGATTGCTTGGAAGCACACGTCGTCCGTCTTTTCATTGAAATCGCCCAAACTTGGTCTTGTCCACTGTTGGTCCTTCTCCGAGTTCTTGTCCTTCAGGGCGTCGATGTCTTGCGTAAGCTTTTCCAATACCTCCTCTTCAAACTGGCTCTTGGGCTGACTTGAATCAATGAGACGGCCATTGGGTCCACGCTTTGCTGGAGTCTTGAATGCCGGCTTCGAGTCCTCCACCTTCCTCTTCTTCTGCGGCGATGCCTGTTGATTACGGCGGGAGGCGGTGGTGTCTTGCAAGACACGCTTGCTGGGCACCTTGGCCGTTGATTGTGTGACGACGCCCGGCATGTTGGCGTTCTGGTGTTGGAAAAGGTGAAATGGGAGTGTTTCCAGAGCAGGCGTTACCTCATGACGCGACGAAGCGCGTTGTTGCTGCGCGCGGAGGAAGCCGAGCTTGGGCCAACTCTTAATGACTACGCGAGAAGCATGTGTGAGATAGTAGTGGGGGCGGTCAAGGTAGCTGGTTGTCTGAAAGCACACCACAAACAACGACTTTCCACCATCACAACACTCGAGTGAGGATATATTCGGAGAGAGTGTTCAGGTCGCATCGCTTCCTCGAAACGTGACATCACCTCAAGCTCCGGTTGTCAGAAGCTCAGGTTGAAGCTTCGGGGCCGCAAACAAATCGCAGACACCACAGCTGCCTGGCCCAACATCATCTGTCGGGCACCGCAATCAGGGCGCACCAGGCCAAGTATGATAGCTGCTACTCATTGAGTCCTTCCATACACACCGTCTCTACAATCATGGAGTCGCAGAGCGCCTGGGGTAAGTCGAGGCAGACTCCAGATCCACCATCTTCCCATACTAATACATCCACAGAGCTGGAGAATGCCACCAAACTCGTCGACTCGAACCGCGATGCACTCTACGACTACGACTCGGAAGGGCAGAAGAAGATTGGCGAGCAGAAGCCATGGCGGACAGACCCACATCACTTCAAATACGTGCGCATCTCGGCCGTGGCGCTGGTGAAGATGGTCATGCACGCTCGTTCTGGAGGAGACATCGAAGTCATGGGCCTCATGCTGGGCTACATTGAGCACGAGACATTCATCGTCACTGATGCGATGCGACTGCCGGTCGAGGGTACGGAGACGAGAGTCAATGCACAAGACGAAGCGAACGAGTACATGATCACCTTCCTCACCAAGTCGCGCGAGTCTGGACAGCTCGAGAACGCCGTGGGTTGGTATCACAGTCACCCAGGTTACGGCTGCTGGCTGTCTGGCATCGACGTGACGACTCAGCACACTCAGCAGCTGTTTCAGGACCCGTTCCTTGCCGTCGTCATTGATCCACACCGCACCATCAGCGCCGGCAAGGTCGAGATTGGAGCCTTCCGCACGTACCCAGAGGGCTACAAACCAGATGGCCAGGAGTCTGCTGCTGAAGGCATGAGCGCTGTTCCCATGGCGAAGGCTCAAGACTTTGGTGCCCACGCCAACCGGTACTACTCCCTGGAGGTCTCGCATTTCAAGTCCACACTGGACAGCAAGCTCCTGGAGGCTCTATGGAACAAGTACTGGGTGCAGACGCTTTCTTCATCACCGCTCGACACAAACCACGACTATGTCACGCGACAGATTGAGGATCTGGCAGCCAAGACGAAGCTCGTACAGGAGAATGCCAAGCAACGCAATGTGCCTCTCGGACCACAGCGTAGGACCAAAGGCGGAGATGAGCAGATGGCGAAGATTGTCAAGGCAGCGGAGAAGATTGCCAGCGAGGAGAAGTCTGGTCTTATGGCAGCCATGGTGAAGGAGAGGGTGTTTGCAGAGGCAGCTCCACAGGCGGCCGCTGTTGCCGGAGAGATGGAAACCAACGGCACCGACACGCAGATGTCAGATGCAAAGGACGGCTCATGACTTACACTGCCACGGACATGCACCAGCATCAGCAATCACGATGCTCGTTGAAGACGTCGCCGCGGACGCTGCAGAGACAGAAGCAATGATGAGCTCAGTCCTTACAAGCATGCGGCTAAGGACGAAGTGGCGCTCGACGAACCTTGACGCCGGAGCGTGGTGCGTCATTTGCTGGCGAGCGAGACACGGACCTCACTCTACGAGTCCGGACGGAGAGCAAGCAGCTAGATAGCAGTAGTCGTGCAGCATTGGTGAGGGCTGACTGAACCTGGCTGATGTGATTGACGAGCCCCATCGCATCCTCTCTCACAGAATACGTATGTAGCAGACGAATCAATGGTATGCCCGCGGTGGTGGTTCGCACTAATCACCGACGAACCCGTTCCCATCGCCCAAATCTCGCCGCAGCGTGCCGGAACAGCAGCCCTGAGATCGGCACGCAGCTGCTCCCGCGCACTACCTCGTCTTCCACTGCTAGCCATCGCATTTGCGATAGTACCTCTTCACTCCTTCGTGGTGCTATCTGCAAAGGCGCACTGCGCGGGCCAGGCCAAGTGCCTTTTCTTTCATCGCCACTCCATTCTTCCACCCGCGTCCACGAACAACCACCCACCCGTAGACGGCGTCGAATTCCACCTCTACCTCTGAGCCTCGAAACCACGACAGACCGCACCGCAACATTGACGAGCATGACACGGCGAACGACAGCTCAGATCCACTCCATTTCACTGCGCCGGCGCGCCGACCTCTGATGGCGCATGCGCCATGCCTATGCCCACGGTGTCCTTCCTGCTGGGCGTTGTCGTCGTCGGCTACCTCTTCACCTTTGTAATCTTCGCCATCCTGCGCATCGTCACCGGCGTCTCGATTCAACGAGTAGGTTACACCGGTTTCAGGCGCATAGCTTTCTCCCCGCGCCATGGCATCAAAGTCAACATCCGCGGCGTTGGCCTGTCCATCCACCGCCCCACCTTTGCGCTTCCGACCTGGTGCAGCTTGGTGATAACAGAACTGGCTGTGACGGTGGATTTGAAAGCTTTGGATGAGAGTAGACGAGGACAGAATGGCGGCCTTGAAAAAACGAACGGGAGTGTACAGGACGAGGGCCAGGCTCGCCCAAAAACACCAAACGATCAGCAAGATGCGAGTGGACATGGGAAGTTATGGCGGAAGTTGACGGAAGTCAAGGACAAGATCAAAAGGCTTCATAGGCAGATCAGCTGGCTTCGGCTGATCGACTTGATAGCTACGGCCATTACAATCAACATTGTAGGCGTGGGATCTGTGAGGTTGGAGCGTCTGACTCTGTCAGTGGATACAAGGCGGCAGACGGTGGATCGCAGCAGGCTGTTCCAGCATCACAAGCACAAGCCAGAGACGCAGTGCCCTGCTGAATGGAAGTCGCTTGTGAGAAGTGTTCTCTTCACGCCAGAGGGCAGAGAATCCACCGAGATGCTGGATTACTGTACGATCAACATCCATGGAATGCTGCACCGAGAACGAGAGGGACTTCGCGATGCATCGATTGCGTGGAAACTGGGCCGGCTTAATATCCCATTCGATGACCTTGAATATGCTAAACAATGCGCGGATCTTCTTCGCGGGAAATATGCACATCCCGCAGCGGACCACGTACCAGCCGATGTCTCGTTCGCCGATGTCGTGGACGAGCTCGAAAGGCCGGGGAGCGCTGATGAGCGAATCGTTCGCACAGTATCCGATTCACGAGCTTTCATCGCTTCCATTCTACGAGGGATCCAGGAAGTCCAGTTCGCAGTAGGCTTCGTAGGGCTCTCTAGGAAGCTGGATATCAAGGGCTACGCAGGCAAGGAAGTCTACTTCAATTTCGCCATGAAAGAGCTTGGCTTGGACTTGTTACGTCTGGACCCCAAGAGTCCGGCACATAGGATGTACTTTTCGACAAAGGACGTTGCCCATCAGGCGTTGCTGACTGGAATCGCCATCTCTGCAGGCATCGACGATGGGCACGAGCACCCTGAGCGTATGCTCTATGTGCCCATGGTCACGGCCACGGTCAAGACAACGCTACCATCACGAACGATCCACTACGCAAAGGCTGATGATCCGGACGACCGAAACACGAATATCTTGTATGCGAATCTCGTATGCACTTCTCCTTCCGTGGATCTGGATCCAAAACATCTCCCACTGGTTCGGGAGATGCTCAAGCACCGCTCTGGGAGCAGTCAACGCCGCAAGCCTTCTGCTCACCATCAGTTGATTTCACAATTGCTGCCAAAGGCGCATGTCAAAATCTCTATCCAAGAGCCTGTAGTTCGAATATCACTGCCACCTATGGACAAGAACGCGGCCAGTGATGACTTCGACTTGCTCATCTCTTCAGTTTCCTCGGTTGCCCTGGAGTGTGAATCATCACACGCGACAGACGGCCAGAACCATTACAGTTTGAACTCGTACTACCGCCATTCCAGGCATCGTCTCTACTACCAGACAGCTTCAGGAGACCGCCATGACCTTCTTCATAGCGATTTCGTGGAAGTACAGGTCGATGTTAACGCTCTACCAGATATCGCTGTGATAGCCAACGGGCGCGCTCAAACCTTCACGGTCTTTCTAGTTCGACCTGACATTTGCGAAGGCGTACGACAGATAGTCAAACAGCTTCGCCGAAACGTGCTTGCGCGGCCTGACAGTACGAGCAAGAAGCAAGCAAGCTTTCTCAGAAAAATGCCAGCATGGCTACATCAGTTGCGTCTAGACGGCTCTGACTTTGGGCTCGAACTAGCTGGCGTTGATGACCAGGTCTCCAAAGACACCCGAGGGCTTGGATTGCAGTTGCAGAGCTGGACAACCGAATACAGAGCCCAACGTGATGAGTCTCAGCCACCAGATGTGTTTGGACGTCGCAGGTCCATCACCAAGTCGCCTGCGAAGGAGAAGAATGCAAAGGCTAGCGAGCAAGCCTCTCCGAAGAAGCGTTATCACACCTTTGCGGACGGACGGAGACTCACATTCCATCTTCAAAACCTCGAAGGGCTTATTGTGGACTCTATCGAAGACTCTGAGCCGGAGTCATTCATGTCGTTACCGCGCTTCGAGATCGCCTTCACTACGTCGACTGATGCACACGGGCCCATCTTCCACATCAACGCCTTTGCAAGGAGCATACTGCTCCAGTACTCACTCTACAATCACTTCGCAATCGGAGTAGCGGCCACGGTTATTAGAAAGACGTTCTTGGAGCGTGAGAAAGAGGACTCACGGCCTACATTGAACAGAGCCGCAAGCTTGGGCTTGTCGGCTTCTGACCCAACTCTGGATGAGATTGCAAGTCGAGAAATCACAGCCATCGACTTCAAGACGAACTTGTTGCAAATAAAGGGCAAAATGCCGGCGGACCCTCCTATGATGATACACATCTTCAGACTGGAATGCGGTCGACATCGGTGGTCCACTCCTTTCCTGCGCACTCACCTTGCAAGGATGTATGCGCGGGCGCCTGCTACCAAGTCAGCATGGAGTCGAATAGTAACAATCAAAACCCTACGTCTCGACTTGCGGGACTTGAGACGAAAAGCTGGAAAACACAGCGTGCATGAGAAGTCTATCGACGCGGTTGCCGAAGCTATCAGGATCTCGGTGCCTCACTCATTGGTGGTTCATACCATCTTTGACAACATTACCAACATCATCAAGACGACCAAGCAGCTGCAGCATCATTTCTTGACCGGCACCAACGAATACATCCTCACCAAGGAGCCCGAAGGCCCGAAACATGTACCTCGCATCACCTTGCGCACTCAGATTTTCGTGTTTGACATCGAAGATAGCCATTTCGAGTGGAAGCTTGGCGCGATTTACAGAGCTGGCCTGATGGAGCAGAAGCAGAGACTTGCGCGAGAGGAAGCCTTCAAATTAAAGGAGAAGAGACTGGCTCGTGACGCAAAGCGCGGCAGCTCGAGATTGCGGGCCCAGTCCGCACAGCACGACCGGTCCAGATCACGCACGAGGCAACCACAGAGCAACGGCCGACGAAGCCATAGTGCACGAGGCCATGAACGATCAAGCCCTCATACAAGTCAGAGGCGGGCTCATCGCAACATGCGATATGATACTGAAGGGAAGTGCGGCCTTGGCGAGGGATCTGCAATAACCGTGGAGCAGGCAAGGGAGAAGCTGGATCTTCTCAATGCTCAGTCGTGGAAGAGCAGGATTGACAGCACCAAGCAACTTCAAAGCCACGCCATTCGTGAGATCAGACGTCTGTTTGGTGTCCTCGACGATGTGGATGCGGATATCGAACAGAATGAGCCAATTCTGGCTTGGAGTCGACGACCTGGGCTTATGGTCATCGCTATGATGGACTTGAACATCACCGTGGACAAGCCATCTTTCCCCGTCGACGAGTATCCCAACTTCCTGAACAACGTTGGCAAAGGCATGCCCAAGGATATGAAATATGGCCTTCTTTTGCCGATGAACCTGCATATCACAATGGGCGAGGCTCGCTTTCAACTGCGAGACTATCCTCTGCCGCTTCTGCACATCCCTGCTTTGGGTAATGGTCAATCTCCAAGGCTGCCAGCTGTCTCTTTCCGAACAGACTTTGTGATTGCTGAAGAGTTCAGAGATGTCGAATCACAACGCAGCGTTGAAGTGCAGGTCGTACCTCCCGAGAAGATGGCAGACGGGTCAGGAAAAGGCTTTGCGATCGATGTGCGGCGTACCATCTCGGCCGTCAAGACATACTCGGACCTCAAGATGGAGATCAACACCAACAATCCGACGAAGTTCACATGGTCTACTTCATACCAACCAGCAATTCAAGACACCATGCAGGTGCTGGAAAGCTTCACTAAGCCTCCAGTCGACCCTTCCGATCGAGTTGGGTTCTGGGACAAGATCCGCCTTGCCTTCCACTCGCGCGTCAACGTTGCCTGGAAGGGAGACGGGGATGTACATCTCATTCTCAAAGGCTCCCGCGATCCGTATGTCGTGACTGGCACTGGAGCTGGTCTGGTCATGGTCTGGCGAAACGACGTCAACTGGAACATTGCCCAAGACAAGGACCCACGCAAGTTCATGACAGTGGACAGCGGCGAGTACATATTGGCAGTGCCTGACTTCAATAACTATGCACGCAGGTCACAACAAACCGATCAGCATGATGACGCCAGCACCACAACGGGCTCAAGCCACTCAGGACGAGATGCTGTTTTCAAGAAGGTGGTCATGAAGCTGTCAGGTAAGGTCACTTGGCTCGCTGGACTCATGTTCGAGCGTGATCTACCGAATGGCAAGCGAACTTTCGACTTCAAACCGCATTACGACGTCGTGCTCAAACATCCAGACTTTGCAAAGGGCCCTGAAGGACAGCCGTACGATGCATACCGTGGCTTTAGAAGTCATCACATTCACATGTCGATTGCAATCTCCGCGCCGCACGATCGAGACTGGTCGGTGTCGAACTTGAAGCCGTCGAACAACTACAACTCGGTACACCTTACGCCACGTTTCTTCTCGCACTTCTTCAACTGGTGGTCCATGTTCTCTGGAGTGATGTCCTTGCCTATTCGCCAGGGGCCACTCTGGGGCGTCACAGAGAAGAAGAGCAAGAAGTTCGGTCGACACATGGCTACGATCAAGTACAACCTACTTCTGTCGCCATTATACATCAGCCACGTCTACAAGCACAAGGATGCGGAAGACTACGCTGCTCACGCTGTGACTGCCACTGGTCTCAAGATGCGACTTGACAGCTTCATGATGGACCTTCACCAACGCAGAGAGCACTTCGACTTGAAGGCACGAGAGGGTGCCCGATCGAAGCAAACCAGCGGGATGCGAATCAATCAGGCTCAGGTCGACTTTATCTCCGCCGATCTGCGTGCCTTGTCGGCGAGCATCGAGGGAACGAGCGCCGAAGACATCGAGAAAGCGAATGATGATACCATTGCCTCGCTTCAAGGCCCGACGCCCTTGGTCGATATGTCCAAGTTCGACATACCGGACAACGACTTCAGCTGGATTGATATGGATGACTTCGTCGAGCTCGACTGGACTCTACCTGCAGAGGCAGACCCAGAGACGAAAATTCTGCCGCTAGGCTTCGCGCCCAGATTCACATACTTCCGCCAGACCGATCATAATGGCACCATCGCGGGTGATCCTTCTAGGACAAGTCCATTCGGAGATGAGCCTACACATTACTGTGTCATGTCGGCCAAGAATGATCCACGTCGGGTCCAGTCTGAGCTCATTGAAAGGCGCCTGGAGCTGATCAAAGAGAAGCAAGCTCAGAACGTGCGTGCGGTGGGAGAGGCAGAGCTCAAGGTGGTGAGAGACACATCTGGCGACAGAGTACATCGGCAGCAATTGGACGACAAGCTGGAAACATTGCGAAGTCACTCTGAGCATCTCCAGACGAAGCACGATCTGCTGGAGAAGATCTTGCATGATCTACAGAAACGACTCGACGAAGACGATCCTTCGGCCGTACCCGAGCTGGAGACGAGCGAAGAGTTCTTTGAGGCGCACGAGAATGTGAAGAGACCAGAAGGAGAAGCTAGCCATCTGGATACCGCACCCCTGGCAGACTACACCAGTGACTTCAACAATCGATTCATTGTGCACAATGCCCAGATCAAGTGGAACAACTCTCTACGGAACATAATCCTGAGATACATCCATCAAAACGGTCAGCGACGTGGATTTGTATACTACATGTCTCGAAGGGCAGTCAAGTTCATTCTGGAGATTCTCGAAGAAAGAGAAAAGGCGGAGAAGTTCTCAACTCCTAGCCGCCAGAAGTCGAATGCGACGGCATACAGCGCCATTTCACCGGACATCGACGACGATGCAGCCGTGCAGGACCGTATCGATCAGATCCTCCGCGATGGCCGCAATTTCGTGGATGCAGACGAACCTCTTGCAGAGAGATGGGACACCGGCAAGAGTTCCGACGGACCAAACGATGACATATCGATGGAGTTCACGCCTCTAAATACTTACCACTTCAGGCTCATCGCACCTCAAGTGCAGCTGCAAAGCGAAAAGAATGCCAAATCTGCAGTGCTCGTTACGGCGAAGGGCATGCAGCTGAAGGTCGTGCAGATCATGGAGAAAGACAAAGTCGACGACGATGTCAGTGGTCTTGTCCAGCGCCGTTTCAATGCCGCTGCCGACAGTCTGCAGATGTTTGTCACGAGCTCCAAGACGTTCTCCACGGAGTACCTCCACTTCTACTCTGCGAATCGTTACGGTGTCAAGGCCGGTACATACTGGCCCCCGTGGGTGCCGATGGAGATCATGTTCGAGTATCAGACGAATCCGTACGGATTCAATCGTGTCGTTCATCGAACATCAGCCAGTCTGCGGTACGACAAATACAATACTCTTCGACTCAAGTACAACGACGACATCACCGGAGGCGACCCAAAGACTGCAGAGAGCGCTGAAGAAGCCGAGACTCGCATGGATCATGTCTGGCTCGAATTCCCTCATTTCAGAGCCATCTGCGATTCTGCCCAGTACTTCGCCATGTACATTATTGTCATGGACCTACTGCTGTACAACGAGCCACTTGAAAAGACGCGTAGTGAGCGGCTTGAGAAGATCATGTTGGCATCTGACTTCAGCGATTTGTCTGGCGCGCCGGAGATGGTTCAGATGCTGCAGGAACGCATTCGACAGTTGGAGGAGATCAAAGTCCACTTCCAGGTCAATGAGAAGTACTTGGATCGACAAGGTTGGAAGGATCGCATTCAGGTTGATCAGGATTTGGCGAGCTGTGAGGATGAATTGTTCTTCATGATGAAGGCCATCACCACATCGCAGCAGCACGCAGAGAATCCTCGAGGACAAGACGATCAAGCTGGAATGTTGCATTTGAACATGACTTCGAAGGAGATTGCGTGGCATCTTATTCGTGAGCGGACCGAGCAACATCACCACGACAAGGGCGAGTCGCTCATGGAAGTGCAACTCAAGAATGCTTCGTTCGACCGCACAGACAACTACGATGGGTCGAACTACAATAGCATTGAGATTGGCCGTATCAATGGCTACAATCTGCTCAGCGATGCTTTATATCCTGAGATCATCGCGCCGTTCACGGATGAAACCAGGGGCGGCCGGAAGCTGGGGAACACCAAGATGCTGCGTGTGCACTGGCTGATGCTTGAAGCCATTGCTGGTATCCCAGTCGTGGACTACTTTGAGATCGATCTCGTTCCATTGAGGCTGCAAGTCGAGCGAGACGTGGCCAAGAAGTTGTTTGAGTACATCTTCCCCGGCGTTGGTGGGAATGCTTTCGATGGTGGTGGCTTCTCGCCCTTCATGGTCAAGAACATGCTACCGACCCAGGAAGAAGAGGACGAGGGCCAACAACCAGAGTCACAATCCCTGGCCGAGACAGACAGTCAGGATGCAGAGCTGAATCACGTCGACAGCAACGGCCCTGGCTCTCTCGAACACAGGCTCAAGCCCACGCTCAACCTGGCAAAGACGAAGAAGAAGAATGATCAGAAGGGTCTTGGGATCTCGAATGCTGGCCACTCTGGTGGAATTCACGGATTTGCCATCTTCCAGCATTCGAACAAATCGCAGCATGGTCATAGCGGTCGCTCGTTGGCTTCTCGACAGGCGCTTTCTCAGACGAACTTGACGCCCATGTCTCGCTCGCCGAGTGAGCGCTCACTCAATACTCTACGGAGCAGGAACGGCAGCAACGGTGATCTTGATCAGAGGTTGATGACTGGAAGGTCAAACAGCCATGACAAGAAAAGGAAGAAGGACAAAGACAAGGACAAGGAAGGTCCTTCTGATGATCTGACGCAGATGATGAACAGAGCATCGAACTACATGACGCTGGCGTACGTCAAGATCCCGAGCATGGTGCTGTGCCTATCCTACAAGGGTCAAGGCAAGCGCAATCTCGAAGACGTGCACGACCTTGTCTTCCGGATGCCGACATTGGAGTATCGCAACAAGACCTGGTCAAACCTCGACTTGGCTCTGCAGCTGAAGAAGGATATCATCCGCGCTCTGATCAGCCACGCCGGGGCGATTGTCGGGAACAAGTTCAGCCACCACAAGCCGAGCCGTCAACAGCAGTCTCGGCTGCGCGAGCTGGCAAACAAGAGTACCTTCATGAGCCCCAACGCCAGCGACTTTGGCCTCCTCCCCGGCCCGCCAGACTGGCAAGTCAAGACCTCCAACAGCTCCGAGACAAGCAGCTTGCAAGAATCCGGTCGCCCCTCGAGTGCCAGGCCACCCAGCAGCAATCTGGCCCGGACCATCAGCTATTCTACCTCGCCGTCCAACTCCACGCCCGAGATCAGGATCTCCGAGGAAGGCGAGCACTTGAATGGGAATGGCGACGTCTTGCAGCCAGCTTCGTACAGCCAACTGTCTACACCACAGTCGACGCCGAGACCGCGTCCTCGTCCGTTGGCGACTGTCGGCAATAATGAGGGTGAGCACTCGCGTACGCGGGCTGCTTCCATCACGAGGCATTTGTCTGGCTTCGGGGAGCGTTTGAGACAGCGTCAGTCTTCGACCCAGGCTTCCATTCATGGCAGTCAGCACGGCGGCGAGGCGTCAGCGGAAGATAACGAGGATACGAAGCGGAAGAGCAAGCTGCTGCTCGGACCGCAGAAGTTACTCGGTCGGCTGAGGGATTAAAAAAAGCATTACTTTTCATTTTGTTTTGTTTGTTTTTGCATAGCACGCGGGAAAGGAGGAAGGCGGGGACACCGAAATCTTGGAGGTAACTCTTTTCTTCGTGATACCCCCCAAGGAGTTGATTTTTCATTTTTATCGTTCCTTTTCTTCGACAGGACTGGGAGAAGGAAGGCATGGAAGGAAATGGGAAGGGTGTCTTTTGCTTCGTGGCCTGAGAGCCTGGCTCGAATTTGATTTGCTTGCGTTTTGTTTTGTCTGCGCTGTACGAATGTACGGCTGAAAGGGCACATGGGTTGCATTTCCTTCGACAGTACTTGTCAGCTTCGTTGATGTATATAGAATTCTCCTGAGACCAAAAGCCGTACCGTCTTCAACCTTGATCAACCTTGCTCCTCCACTTTCTCCTTCTCCCTCCCCTGCTCCTTCTCCTTCTCCTCCCCACCCCTCTCCTTCGCCTCACTAATAATATCCCTCACCGGCCGTCCCAACACAACCATAGTAGCAAACCCCCCAACCTTCCCCTTCAACCCCTCCACCTCCCTCGCCCCCTCCACACTCTCCACCGCCGCCCTCAACCTCCCCAGCACCCCCTCACACTCCTCCAAACTCGCCTTCCTCCCCCTCTTCTTACTCGCCAACACAACCTCCACCCTCCGCCCCTCCGTCAGGAACCCCTTCATCTTCTCCACCCGATGCCCCAGATCATTCGCGTCAATCGCCCAGTTCAGCTCCACGGTCTTCATCCCCATCTCACTGCTCCGCGCACTCAATTTCTTCGCTGTCTTCGCGGCTTTGGCTTTCCGCTTCTCGGCGTCGTATGACTCCTTCTTATCCACAATCTTACACACCGGCATGAAATTCCTATTCCCCGGTTCGTCCGGCTCGAGTTGGACCAGACGGTGGGTTTTCGTGTCGATGCTGTTCAGCACGTCGTAGCGCGTCCGCGGTGGGGGCAGGGCGCCGGTTTCGGGGTCCCGTAGGATGTTGGTCACTGGGTCGACGAGGTAGATTTGGCGGGCGGTGATTTCGGCGTCCCATTTTTGGGTGCGGAGTTCGGGGGCGCGGGTTTTGGCACGGAGGAGGGGGGTGGTGGTGAAGCGGCGGATGTGGTTGTGGGGTGGGAGGAGGTGCTGGGTTGTGCGGGGTTTGGAGAGCGCTGGGGCGATGAAGACGTGGTAGAGGGCTTGGGCGGCCGGGGAGGTGTGGCGGGTTTTCATTTTGTGTGTTGTTGAGGATATATAATTGTTGGGAGGTTTGAGGTGATGGTCAATGGCATGGGGTGAAGTCGGGGAAGAGGTGCGGAGGAGTTCCGTTTTGAGAACCTTTACAGCCTGCTCCGAGACAGCCGCACACCTCACTCCTTACTTTACAGCCTAATTTCTTGGTGCTTTTAGGACTATACTACTTGCCGTCCAGTATAAAGAATTGGAATTCTGCTTGCAAGCTGACATCGGTGTTCAGAAATAAAGACATAGGGGAGTTGTTTGTAACGCCCACTGATCTTTTGTGTAATTGCTGGAATATGGGCCCGAACACTACGTTCAATCCCAAGGTCAAATGAGTGTATACTATTTACGTTTTCCCCCGTCCCTCCTCATCGCGACACAGCCTTACACAGCCAACTTTTCAATCTGGAGTCGAAGATGCATTGCCGAACATCATATCTGTACATAGACATTAGAATCTACACTCATCACGTCGAGAACAGACCAAAGCACTAACCTATACTGGAGCCGCATCGAAACCGACAGCGTTGGCGGAGAATCCGAAATCCGTCAAACAGCCACTGTCCTGGGCGGCGTAGCCATGGGAGCCACAGCTGGGGCAGCCACAGTTGTTCTTGGTGTAGAACGTGATCGTACCCTCCGAGGGCAGATCTGCAGCATTGACGACCTGAGCGGACGACCAACCCGTTTCAAACGGCCCCGTGTCGCAAGTGTCGCCGTCGACAACGGTATTGCCAGATCCTACGACGGGCGTCTGGCACGCTGTGTCCTGATACAGGGAGACCGTCGCTTTGTACGAAGTGTCCGAGAGGACCAACGCAGGGACGATGGCCAACATGTAGAGCTTCATTTTTGGAGTAGGCAAGGGGTGTCCAGACGTCGAACAGTAAGGGTCCTGAGTAGTGTTGGATATCGATGGGTTGATAGCGAGCTTTGACTTGTGATTGATGAGTGCTTGAAATGTTACTGTGCAGGCAGTTATATATACACCTCTCTCGGCATCCACAGTTGGACAGCAAGCAGAGCTGCAAACATTACACGTCGGCCGAAAAGCCTTTCCTAGAGATCGTCCGAGGTGGCCATCGCGGGAATGATCATGGTACGGCGTTCATCGCGGAAGAACGGCCAGTCTACGTAGATCTGTATGTATGATGCTAAAGGCACACACGAGGCTTTCTTAGTTTGCCAGACAAACGTTCGATGAACTTCAGTGATCCGCTGCGCCACTTCGATTCACGATGAGTGAAGAACAAATCAAGACTTGACTAGCCTGGAGGATTGCACCCGGAGTAAATTCCTTAGACAATATCGTCGTGCCCTAAGGATTATATACAAGCGCATAGACGGAGTCGCCGAGCTCGAGGGGTAGGCATTTGCTAGTGCATTACGTGACTGCTTGCTTGTACTCCGTTGTAAGACCTCTAGGTACAGAACGTGCCTAAGATCATTGGTCACGAGTACTTAAGATACGCTCCTCATCGCATGGGGGCAGGGGGTCCCATTCATTAGACGTGTAAGGAGATAGGATCTGCTTTGCAGAACACGCGCGTTAAGCTAGCTATATCCTACTTTCTAGCAAAGTATAAACGAAGAGCGAAACGCGAGAAGTGCAGTAGGTAACGAGGTTAATCCTTCTCGTAGCGTGTGTGAAGCTCAAAAGCAGAAGACAGTGCCAAGAAGAGATGTAAGTCAGGGGCGTACGTTAGAATGGATATCGACACGCCGTGTAATCTGTTAGGTATATTTACTGCTTTCGGCATTGCAGCGCACGAGTGCGTCCTCTAGATAATTTTTTGAGTCCCGCAACACGGTCCTAATAGGGGAACAGAAACACGTGTAGTTGTAAGTTTGAAGCCCGTTACACATCTAGAGCCTAGATCTGGTCTAGGGACCAGCTGGAGTCTACCAGCTACTTAGTACCAAAGGGCGAGTATCGTAAAGCGAAAAAGGACAATGACATACCTGTTGCCAACTTTTCGTGTGGGGTAGCGATCTATGAAGATCGTACACTAGTCGCAGACTTCTAGCTATACGTGTCGTACTCGGGGAAAGGCCCGCTTTTAGCAGGCAGTTGTGTAGTCGAGCGTGACGGTAGGGCAGTATGGCGGCAAGACTCCCATTATCACTGCATCAGATGGGAACGAACTCGGGATGCGTGGCCGTCGTCAGCTCCGGTGCACAGCGTAACGCAGCCCCTGTTAGTTGAAGACCATCACGGAGACTTCTTGCAATTGATCGGGCTGCCTAAAGGAGACAAAAGGACCATGAGACAGTATACAGCATGGATCTTCATCCGTGGCTTTTCGCCCACATGCCGATTGACCAGCTGTCGCATTCGTGTCCAACTTGACTCCTAGACTTCGAGAGCAGCATATGTCGAACTAGGGTTGGATCTAGATCCTTGTATCTAGCGTCTATTCCGTGCAGAAGGAACTACAAACTTGCTGCCAGCCGGAACAGTGTCCGTGGTTTCTCCTACACCACGTCGCGAAATGCTCTAAGTCTCTTCGAGCAGGAGCGACTTCCGTACAATCTAGGCTGGAGACCTCGCGCTGAGCCGATCAAGATCCAGAGTTTGGGACAGATGGTCTTCGAGCTGCAGTAGCTCGATTTGCAATGAACGAGCTCCGAAGTAAATTGTGAACAGCGGCTGGAACGGTCTCTCTCACCATTGTTTGGAATCCGGTGCAGTAGCCTCAGCAACTTCAGCGCTGATACCAGATACCAGAACGACCCAGAAGCTGGAAGGTGGCAATGCCTCGTCAAACGAGGCCTTCAAACGTGTTCAAACCCCTTCGTTGTAGCGCCAGGATCGCGGAAAAGAGGAGAGAATCTGCAATGAGCGCACCTGTACCAACGCCTCTGTCACCGATGGCTTCGGAGAGGTCCAATGTGAAGTCTAAAACGGCATGTAAGAGGAGGAGCCGGCGAAGAAAACATTGCCTGCGGCCTATGGTGAGCCCCCAAGGGATGGTCAAGAGGGACCGCAGCAGTGCAAACCCACGGTCTACGCAGGAAACTGAAGGAATGCCGGCGCAGCGGAAGAGTTAGCCCAGTCAACTCGAGGTTATACTCCCCAGTGAGTCGCGCAATCATATCGATAAGGTTAAAGACAGCTCTCCAAGTGGAAGTAGTCCTGTTTGAAAGGGACCAGCAGGGACGTGAGTAAACAGTCTAGAGATGTCTAAAGCAAGCTGAGCGCCGTTGTTCTTTGACTCGAGATTGTAAGCAGCTTCGTGGATCATGATTGCTGCTAGGAGCAAAGGGGATGGATGCCTGAGGCACCACATAAGGCCTAGGTCTAGGTCCGTACCCGCGCGGCTGAGCGTACAACCTCGTCTTTCGAGCTGTCGATCGTCTAGTTATGACTGGACCCGAACTACTTAATGATATGTAGAAGTGAGGTGGTTATTGTTACAGTATCTGCAAAAACATGATAATACAACTATCTGTACCGCTCCTCCTTCAGCCTCTTGTAGGGCAGTGGTTCGATCCTCTTGTTCTTGAACTCAACGTTCCAGCCAACAATGCCTGCTCTTCTCATTACCCCAGCAGTTCCCTCGTCCCAAACTGTTCGGAACAGGTCAACCCCGACAGGCTGGACCTTCGTGTATCCCACGAAGCCCCGAAGGTTAAAGCCCTCTCGGGTGGTGTTCTTTTCGTTCTCTTTGAGCGCCTTGACGTCCAATGCAGTCGACGGGGGGACGTCGTTAGATCCAGGGGGCAATTCTCCCTGAGGCGGCTGCTCTAGGATCCAGATGCTCATTCGCTGGTATGGCAGACCCTTCTGAGAGTACGCGGGCAGCCATGGAAGCACCACCTGCTCATCGCTCAACTTGCCAAGCTGAACGAGCGTGTTCGTTGGCGATATAGGAACATTGCAGGCCAAGAAATGACACCTTCGGTCGAAGGCGTCTGCGGCGACGTCGGGTACGTCTGGATTGATGACTGCGATGGTGTACAGTTTCTCGCCCTTTTCAAAAGGTTGGATCTTGATATTCGGTGCTTTTTCAGATACTCGGCTGTCGACAATGTCACCATGCTGGACTACCCGAGCAACACGATGCCGATCTGCTCTCATGGGGCCTGGAAACGAGAGCGTAGTTTCGACTATAGGGTCGACTTTGGGCAGAACATCGGGAGTTACGTTCATCTGCTCGATGCGCTGCATGAGGATCCGTCGTTTGTGCGATCGCCATTTCTTGTCCGCCAAGTGTCTGTAGATAGGTTTGCTCATGTCCCCTTTCGTTATGTCAGTCTGCGACAGCATCTCGATTAAGTAACTCAGCACATACCTTGGCCATCTTCGAACTTCTTCTTGATCATTGGATCATTGATATCCGCCAATATCTTCAACTCTTCCAGGTTCCGCCGCATACTCCGCAACCGGTGGTCCTTCTTTTGTTTTTCTGCCTCTTCCACAACGACCTTATCATTCAGCTTTTCAATTCTCTCGCGCTGTATCCTGATCTCCTCGAGCTTCTGATTGCGGTCTTCCTGTAGGTATTTGCGCGCTTCTTGAAAGCATTGGTAGGGGAGCTCGACGAAGGGAATGTTGGGAGACGTGAGCATGGCAGCTCGCCTTCGTCGCGATCCGATGGGTGTTTTGTGTTGCTCGCGCATCAACTTTCGCTCCAATCGAGGTGTTATCGCGGTGAAGGGATCCAATGGAGGCTTGGACGGCTGCTGTTGTGTTTCTGTTTCGCGGCAGGCTGTCGAGGAAGTGAAGGATCGGATGGGAAGGGCTATTCTCTCGTGCCGTGTGCATCGTAGGCTTTGCGCCAATGGCCGGGCGCTCCGTTCGAGAGCCATGTTGCTTAAGTGGCCTTGATGTGACAAGGTCGATGGTCTCGTGAGAAGGAGAAGGCAAGACAGATATCGCCAAGCCAAGCCAACTTTCTGCGGAGATCTGCGGCGAAAGCTGCCACCCCCGAGAGTCAATCTCAACTTCAAACGAGAGACCTTCTGCATCAACCACACTCTCTATACCCCAACAATGGCTTCGAAACGAGCAGCAGTGCCCGCGAAGCACCTCTTCAATGGTTTCCGCGCCTACGAAAACCCCACGCGACAATACCTTACGCGCTCCATGGCCACCGAGGCGCCTCTCCCGAACGCGACTCTCTCCAAGGCTTATAACGACGCAACCCTCACTTCAGCAGAGACACAACCGATTCTGGAAGACAAAGTCTCCGTCCCATTTCCAACACCATCAAATAAACCCATCACGCAACAAGCCGGAGCTAGCCAACCTCCACCAAACCCGTTCCTCCAAACAGTTCAATGCACTCTCTACGACTTTCCCTCGCTCGAGCCCGTCTCCTTCGCCCGCTACCCCTCAACGCACCTGCTGCTACCCCTCCGAAAAGATCTTCTCCACCGCGCCGTAATCTATGAAGCCGACGCCGCCCGATCCGGCACAGCAACCACGAAATGGCGCGCCGATATCCACGGCTCGGGAAAGAAAGTCCGACCGCAGAAGGGCACGGGCAGCGCGCGTCTCGGTGACAAGAAGTCCCCCATGCTGCGCGGAGGAGGTGTGGCGCATGGACCCAAAGCGAGGGATATGAGCACTGAACTGCCGAAGAAAGTGTACGATCTGGCTTGGAGGACGGCGCTGAGTTATCGGTGGAAGATGGGACAGTTGCTGGTTACGGATAGTGAGGTGGATATTCCTGGGGTACATGAGAATTCTTGGGAGAGGTATATGAGGGATGTGCTGGCGTGGAATAAGTTGGGGAGGAGTGGAGGTCGGACGCTTTTTGTTGCTGATGATTGGAGGGAGGGGTTGTTCAGTGCGCTGGAAGGTGAAGGGATGGAGAAACAGGCCAGGGCGAGGACGGTGGATACCATGAGTGTTAAGGATCTGTTGTTGGATGGGAGGCTAGTCGTGGAGAGAAAGGCATTGGAGACGATGCTTGTGGGACATGAGACGGATTTGAGCCCGCAGCAGAAATTGGGCGCGTGGGAGAGGATGGTATCTTCTGAAGTGTCACAAGGCAGCGCTGAAGCACGATCATAACGCTGCTGTAGTAAGACAGCGAGATCACTTTGTACAAGTATCATACAATCTATTCCTCCTGAGAGGAGATCCATGTCAACCTACCACCCACCTCCTCTCTGCGGCGTAACACCCAACCGCCGACAACACTCCTCATACCCCAACACAGCCATCAAAATGCCCACCCCAGGCCCGGGCAACCCATAACTCAACTTCTCCCTCAAAAACCTCATCATCCCCTTATTCCACTCTTTACATGCCTTTACCGTCTCCTCCACTCCCGCGGTCGTCAGAGCCGGATTCGTGGCTTTGTCGCCGAGAAACTTTGCGTAGGCTTCAAGATCGAGCGGTCTCGGTGTGAAGGGCAGGTACTCGAGTTCCCGGCCGGCAGGTGGGATTTGGCCTGTCTTTGCGGCTTCTTTGTACTGTTGGGCTGAGAGCATGAGCCAGAAGGGGTTGGCTAGGGCGCGCCAGATGCTGTGGTTGATTGCGGCGTGGATGAGGGTTGATTTGTTCTCTAGGGTAGAGAGGATGTCGTCTTGTGCCGTTTGCTCGGCGGCATGGCTCGACTCCTTGACAGCTACAGGTGGATCGCGGTATGTCTGGTGGAAATCGAACTCTTCGAGTAGTTTTCTTGAAAGCGTTTGATATGCTACGCTTTGGGCGCCTTCGGTGAAGCTGTCGCTGTGCTGGATCTCTGTGGGATCGTAGTGGAAGAAGTATCGGTTCCGTTCGACATACTGCTTCGGCGTCTGGTAGGACTTCGAGTCGGCCAGGAGGACCTTTGCACAGTAGGTGTCGAACTCATCCTCAGTTGAGAATTTCGACTTGAGCGCATCTGGATATGCTGCCACTGCCTCTTTGCGAACGACTTTGACAAGAGATTCGATCGGTTTGAGCGACTGGCTTTCTTGGACGGCCTCGCATTTTCGCGCCACATGCTGTTTCTGCAAGTACCACAGCTTCTCCGTGCGGACGATGGTGTTGCCTTTAGTGAACTTCAGGTCAAAGTCACGAATCAACTCGTTCATCTCCAAGACGTCGTTACGTCCAGGGTTGCTCCATCCCAGAAGAGCAAGGAAGTTGCACAGCACTTCAGGCAAGATGCCTTGCTCTTCACGCATGCCTCTTACGTCGAGGATAAGACCAGTGTTGCTTCGCTTCGAAAGCTTAGCTTTGTTCTCGTCCACGAGTAGTCCAACGTGTGCAAAGGTGGGCGGCTCCCAGCCGAAAGCAGAATAAAGGTCGTAATGCAGAGGCGTGCTGGCCATCCATTCCGTGCCTCGAATGACATGACTGATCTTCATTAGGTGATCATCAACGACATTGGCGAAGTGATAGGTCGGAGTTCCGTCACTCTTCACCAGAATCGTATCTGCGGCATCAATACCAGAGTCATCCTCTGTTTGGCTGACACCAGGCGATCGCTTCAATCGCTGAATCTTGCCATAGATCAAGTCCGTGTACACACGCTTGTGCGCATTCTCCGGTACTTTCAACCGCACCGTGAATGGCTCTTTCTTGCTCTCGGCACGATCTCGGGCCTCTTCTGATGCCAACGAGCCACAGTCCTGATAGCACCCACTAGTAACATAAGCGGCTCTCTCGCCTCCAGGACCGGACGTCTGGGGCGTGCAGAAACACCGATAGGCGGATCCGGAATCTAACAAGCTCTGAGCATGCTCGTGGTAGATATGAGTGCGCTGAGATTGTTTATAAGGTCCGTAGGGTCCATCAACTTGCGGCCCTTCGTCCCATTGGAGTCCAGCCCATTGAAGATCTTCGCAGAGTCGTTGTTCGGCATCAGGAACGAATCTTTTCTGTGAACATTAGCTTGGTGTCAATTGTATTGACAGAAGCTCATACTTGGTCTGTATCTTCAATTCTCAAAAGGAATTGACCATTCGTTCGCTTCGCCAATAGATAACTGAACAGTGCAGTCCTCAGGCCTCCTATGTGCATGTATCCTGTTGGAGATGGAGCAAAGCGCGTTCTTGCCGGGGCATTTGGTAGTTTGCCATTTCGTGATGATTTCTGAGATGCGTCTGTTGATGCAGGTCTTCTCAGTTGGGCATGACTGTCAAATGCGTGAAGTAGTTTCGGCTTTCTGTTGCTATCGCTTGCAAATGCTGAGAAAAGACGTCGGTTTGACTCGATTTTCCGGGACCGACATGATACGCAGATCCAGATGTCGGCGGACTGAGGCCATGCTCTGACACTTGCCTTGCGAATGGCTGACATCGAGTTTGCATGTGATGGAAGCTGGCGTGAAGGGGTGTTGGGTCACTTTTTGCGTCGAGCCTAATTTGGTTTAGCTCGTCGGCGCTAAGATCTCGGCCGGACGCGCTCCCGGCACGTCACCTCATCCCTTTCTGACTTTCATCTCTGCATTGCGTGTTGGCATTTTTACAGCCTTCTGCATGACCGGCCCGACACCGAGTCTTCCACCGCTATCTACTAAGCGTTATTCGGGATTTGTTATCGCTATGGACTGTCGACGTTCGTAACCTGACGGCCACCAAGCACTACATAGGAAATATGCCCGCTCATTCGTTTGGAGAGTAACTAGGATCGGCAGTGGTCCAACACAACTGCAAGGTCATCAAATTTTTGAAAGCATCGCGCGAGACCGATGGACGGCACGCGTTACTGCGTGCGGAAGGTGAAAGATACCATCGACTTCGCACGAACGTGCCTTGCGAGGTATCCGAGAACCAATCATCGGAGCCAATCGTCTAGCTTTTCGCAAAGAACCATACTCGAGATTCTCACGACTGTATTGGGTCGCCAAAGTGAAGCTGCGTAGTGTTTTCTTCGTTCGCCAGTATGAGGCTGATCACTGCCGCCATTGCTACAAAGTGATGCAACGTAGAAGCACCTTCGATAAACATGTTCAGACGTGGAAGACGCCACGCGGGGATCCTCTACGTGGTACATAAAGCAGGGCAGCCTCGACACGTCAGGCTGAAAAGCACCAGTCACTCTTGGCCAAAGCTTGGCAAAGCTTAGCATAATGGCAACGAATATGGACCTGAACCCCGTCTCTTCGTCCGGAGAAGGGAACGAGCGCCAACGTTGATACTGATAGTGTGGCATTCGGCAAGACAGAAGTCGGTGTTCACGGGCAAGCAGGTTTTGCAACTGTCGAACAGGGTAATACCATTCCCACAAGTGGAGAGCGCAAGACCACTACACGCCTTGAATACTGGGCTTTCTGTCTGTACAGTATGACAACCCATCATTTCAACCGGGGCAACCGGCAGCCGTACTGACCTTGACCTCGCACAGACTGGGCCGGAACTGGAGTCGGTGTGGGCAACTATGCCGGTGCCCTGCAACAAAGCCTCACGGAGCTGGCCTTTCCAAGCGGCTACTTGAATTGGGGTGGCCAGAGAACATCCGTCAACTCTTTTATCCTCGATATTAGCGGCATCACCTTCGCCGTCCAGCTGGTCGTGCTTCTTATGACTGGACCGTACGCCGACTATGGCTCGTGGAGACCATGGATTCTCATATTCTGGACCGTCGTCGCCGTCGCTAGTTCGTTCGCCTTCTTTGGCTTCACCCAGCCATCAACCTGGGCCCTGGCTTCAGGGTTCTACATCTTGGGAAATGTAGCCCTCACTGCCACGGGGGCTTTCTATCTCGCCGCGTTCCCCAACTTAGTGCGAGACCTTCCTAAGATGCAGGAGTCGGAGCGTCAAGTTCTTCAGGGTGCAAAGAGTCCTGAAGCGCATGCGGACCTCGAGACAATGGAGCGCTCTAAGATATCGAACATCAGCTTCATATTTTCCGGATTCGGCTCCTGCGTGTCCATCGCGCTTGCCTTTGCGATCTCGTATGGTATAGGATACCAGACTCAGGAACAAGACAACAAAGTGTATGCCATTACGATCGGCTACTTCGGTATCTTGTGGATTGTCACCTCTGTGCCGTGGTTTCTGGTCGAGCAGGTAAGAAAGAATCTCCCCAACTTGCCATTCACACGACTGACCACTCTTGCAGTACCGGCCCGGTCAGAAGCTGCCTCCCGGGACGAACTGGCTCACAGTCGGCCCGAAGCAGGTGTGGGAGGCCGCCAAGAATGTCACACATCTCAAGCAGACATTCATCTACATCGCCGCATACTTCCTGATCAATGACTCGATAAACACATCGGGCACTGTGGTCAACATTCTCCAGAACAACGCCATCGAGTTCGACACGGTGACTTACAGTGGACTTTTCTGTGTCGTGTATGGAACCGTCTTTATCGGCCTGTTCGGCAACATGTGGATCCAGAAATTTTTCAACATTTCACCGAGATGGATGTACTTCTGGAACTCCGCGGCCGGTGTCTTTATCTCCCTCTGGGGCGTGGTCGGTATCTGGACGCACAAGATCGGCTACCACAACGTTTGGGAGTTCTGGTTCTACCAAGCCTGGACAGGTGGCGCCTCGGCGGGTGTGCAATCCTATGCGGCGACCGTGATGGCTGAAGTCTCGCCTGCTCCTAAGATGTACATCTTCTTCGCACTCTTCAACACCCTCGGCAAGACTTCGGGCTTCATTGGACCGTACATTGTCAGCGCTATTGCAAACGATGCCCATGGCAATAACAATGTGGGCTTCTACTTCACCTTCTTCACTGGCTTGGTCGGGCTTATCTTGCTGTTATTCTTGGATACCGACAAGGCGAAGGAGGATAACGCCAAGTATCTTGAGAAGGAGCGTGAGGATCTGTACGCTTCGTCGGGTTCCAATGGTGCTGCCATCACCGACCCTTCACTGCCTTCGGTTTAGGATGTCGCAGCCGAGAGGAGCTTTGCATGTCGGGTGGTACTGTCCGCTTTGTGACATCAACCACCTAGTCCTGGGCCAAACAAGTAGAGAGCTCTAGTTCAAAATGAGACAGAATTTGCTTTAAGAACGAAATGATGAAACCTGGAGTGAAGAGGTGATGTTGGAGGCGAACGCCAGGCTCCGATCCTTCGCTGACACCTCGAGCTGGAACGGCTTGTCTCACATTGAAGACATCAGCACGATGACTTCGCAATTCCAGGCCACCTTAGCCACCATATTGGTGAGCCAGTGTGGGCAAACTTGGACTGACTCTATCGCCACATAGCATACTTTCGCCTCCTTGTTGATGAACAAGTCGCTGTACTGTAGATGGTGCTACTCGGGTAGTATCGAGACCTGCACGAATATCATCAGCGATCTTCGTCCTAAGCTCTCCTATAGGTGGCCATAATATGCTGACTGAGAAGAGATTGCAGCTTACATAGTCTAGGCTTTTCCATCCTTTCATGTGCGTGAGCAGGAGGTGAAGTCAGCCAGTCGGCGTTTCTGAAAGCCTCTCCCCGATGGCGTAGAGAAGCTTCTCTACGGCAGTACAAACTTCTTTTGCCTGCACCCTGCGTCAACCCTTTGTGACTCTTACACCACTCTCTATAAAGCGTCCAAACACCTGCGTGTGTGCGACCCTGCAAAAGAAACCTACGACAGGAAATCCCAAACCAGAAAGAGAAGAAACACGATCAGGCGGCACAAACATGAGCGGCGTGGAAGAGCAGGACCTCTACGGTATAAAATCCATCTCTTGAAGACGCTATGGCGATGGGCTAACATTCAAAGAGGTCCTCAATATCTCGCGCGGCGCGACCAAGGCTGAAGTGAAGAAGGCATATCACAAGGTAGACTCAAACCTTTCACCTCAAACAACCCCCAGCTAACTCAGCTTCCCCTCCAGGCCGCCCTCACCTCACACCCCGACAAAGTCCCCGAAGACGAGCGCGAAGAGGCCGACGTCAAATTCAAACTCGTCTCGCAAGCCTACGAAATCCTCATCGACGACGACAAGCGATCCCTCTACGACCAACATGGCATGGCGGCCTTCGAAAAGGGCGGCGCGAATGGCTTCTCCGGCGCCGGGCCCGATCTTGACGACATCCTCGCGCAAATGTTCGGCGGCGGTATGGGCGGAATGGGAGGAGATCCGTTCGGCATGGGCGGCGGGATGCCGGGAGGAGGACAGCGGAGAAGAGCGAAGGGCAGGAATGAGATGCAGGAATATCAAGTGACGCTGGAAGAGCTGTACAAGGGCAAGACAACGAAGTTCGCAAGCACCAAGAATGTGATTTGCACGAATTGCAATGGCTCGGGCGGTAAGAACGAGAAGGTCAAGGCCAAGACTTGCGATACGTGTAAGGGACGGGGCGTCCAGACGAAGCTGCAGCCTGTGGGGCCGGGCATGGTCACGCAGGCGACGGTGCCGTGCAGTACGTGCGAGGGACGCGGGAACTTCTATGCGGAGAAAGATAAGTGCAAGAAGTGCAAGGGTCAGCGGACGATCAAGCAGAAGAAGATCTTGGAGCTGTATGTTCCACGGGGATCGCGGGAAGGTGAACACATCGTGCTAGCTGGCGAGGCGGATCAGAATCCGGACGATGCAGAGCCGGGAGATATCATTTTCGAGTTGGAGGAGATACCGCACGATACCTTCAACCGCGCTGGAGCAGATCTGCATGCTGAGCTCGAGATCAGCTTGGTGGAGGCTTTGACTGGCTTCAACCGGGTGGTATTGATACATCTCGACGGACGAGGCATCCAGCTCAACGTCCAGCAACCAGAAGGCAAGGTTATTCGTCCAGACGATGTCCTCAAGATCGAGGGCGAGGGCATGCCACACAAGCGATCCGACGCCAAGGGTGATCTCTATCTGACAGTCAAGGTCAACTTCCCGGAGGATGGCTGGCTGCAAACCCAGAAGCAAGTCGATGCCGTCAAGGCCGTACTTCCACCTGCGCCAGAGATCAAATACAAGCCCGGCGAGACTCCCGAGACTGTCGACGAGGTGGAGTTCGAGGTCGTGGAGAGCTTGGAAGGCTTCGGCGCCGGATCTGATGACCCCCGAGCTGCTGGTGCCGAATGGGAGGACGAGGAAGAAGGACCTGGTGGAGCGCAGTGTGCGCAGCAGTAGACTGTGACTGCACGACTTGCAGACACCAAGAAAAGGGGTGATGGTTTCGTGGTTGTTTGAATGCATGCATAGCGACGGCGTTCTTACAGGATAAGGAGGGTTTCAACGAGGATCGAAGGGACTAGACGACCCAGCTCTAGTGATTATGAGACAGACGGGGAAGGGGTCGGGGATGAAGAAGCTGATGATGATACAAGCTCTCTGCTTTTGTGTATTGTGTGAAAGGGGGAATATGGCCGTGTACAGTGTAGTTACCTAACGACCTTGATGACGCTCGTTGAATTTCCTCCGCTGTTTCTCTAGTCTCGTTGGCTTTTTCTGGTCGGTTGCCAGTGATGTTGAGGCATTTTCGTAGTTTCGCAAGTCGAGTAGGGACGTGGGTGGACGGGACTGGGCCTTGAAGATGCAGAGCCCTGGAATGTTTGTCAGTGTTGTGAATGGATGCATGCTTGAGAGACGAACTTACAAGTTCGTGGGCGGCGTGTCCACGTGTCTATGCGTCCATGGCGAAGTGTGCCCCACGAGCCAGCTTGTCCGAGATCCAAGGAGTTGTGAAGCTGGACCAAGGCATCTTGAAAGCCGACCTGTGATAATGAGTTGCCGCAGGATCCGGTTTCTTCATCCACTGTCTCGTTGAGACATTTGAGGCGAATTTGGGCAATAGCTGGGAGAGCGTGCACATAGCTCGTCTTAAGTCTTGACATCGGTTGCCTCGAGAACGTCGAAAAACTTGCCCATGATCCGCCGTGTACGTTGGAGGTCATATTTCAGCCTCTCGATATCCTCCGCAGTCACTTCGGGCGCCACAAGGTCCTGAGCGCCTTTGATAAGGCTCTGCTCATTCTGCAATGCGATCTCGGCTTCCTTGAGCGAGCCTGGCAAATCTTGTGGATTTACACATATTGGTATACCCGTCTGTGGTTCTCCGAAATCATTGCACTGAGCCCGGAAGCAGAGCTCGAGTCGAGCACGAGTCCCAGCGAGAACGTTCTGGATCTCACGTATGCAGAGAGGTAGAATACGGACCAGGACATCGTCTCGCTCATCGTTAGCGTGCCAAGCGGAGCAGTGAACTCTGACACGCCGCAACTGGTTGAGGTATGGGTTCGGCTTCTTGAGCCATGCGCCCAGGAAGAAGACAAATTCGTCCAGGAATGGCACTTGCTCGTCTTCTGGCCAGTCCTCGAGAATCGGGGTGTAGAAGTTGTGGCAGCTGCTGTAGAAAATAGGCAGAGCTTCTTGACGCACTTGCTTGCAAGTCTCGGTCACAGCCAGTCGGGCCGTGAGGTCCTCATAGACAATGGGTTCTTCCGATCGTGCATCGATGGAAATGTCATCTGCCAGCGCAAACTCATAGATCCGATTCCGAAGCTCCGCGGGCAGCTTATTGAACGGCGACTTATCCATTGTGGTGAAGGATGCGCCTGCTATCTCTCATGCGCGGTGATGGAGCCCAAGATCCTTGGCAGTCGTATCAAGTTTCGATCTCTGTGGCTGTGTTTGGCAGTTGCGAGGTTGTCGCAATCGCCGTCAGCAACGGCGACGAGTGTGTTGTGTGAGTGTCTGATCGCCGCCGCGATATGGTGGTGATGAAGTTGTTGTGTTTGAAGTTGCCGCCAGAACAGCACGTGAAGTGAAGTCAAGCGAAGCGAAGGGAGGGTCCATTAGCTTCCGCTAGGCGCTAGCGGCCCTGCATGTGACAAGCACGCTTAATCATTTTGGAAGGAAGGAACGGCACTTGCATCTTGCATTCGCGAACCGTTCCGAAGCGACGTCATCCAGAAGAGAAAAAAGTGATGAATGGGGGGAGTCCTGGCGGTTATGCGACGGGGGAGCTGCTACATCCCACGTCGCAGCTGTCGGCGCACGTCACGGATAAGAGCACCAAGCGTAATCTTAGAGGCTGTGTCGAATCCGGTCGGAGCCGGCTCTTGGAACAGTGGGTGAAGCAGGGAAATTACACCAACAGGGGAGAAGAAGCTAGAATCAGACGTACTCTATATCTATGCTCCTCCGCTTCTGTACATTAGTCGTTATAGGTCTGTACTCTGCTTTCCCATAATCCAAAGGAGAATTCTGCCGCCCGTCTATCGAAGATGCCGTCTGCTCGAATCGCTGCTATCGCTCTTATCAATGGCATGCCCATTTCTAGGTCTAGCAAAGACCGCTGTAGTAAGAGACTTGGGTATGGAACGCCTCTGCCATGCCGAACTCCGGTACTGTGTCCCCCTCTCTGTACATATTACTGACGTTTGCTCCTAGATCTCCATGCGAGGGCGGAATCTCCGGAGAGGAGATAAGAGCCTGGAAAGAAAGTCAGAGAAGCCAGCAAGGTAGCCCAGAGCGAGCATCAGCATCAATGGAAGCAAAGCGGCGAAAAGGATCGTCGGCAGCCAGCTCCGAATCTTCTGTCGATATGCCATCCGGTCCAACTCATGGACGAGCAGCACACAACGATCAAACAGCTGCTGCGATACGTTGATAACGTCTTGCTTCTCGTCCATCGTCAAGAGCCGCTCAGCATCCCCGAGCCTGGTCTTGAAAAGCGCCTTCAAGTCCTCGCCATCATGCTCGCTGTCGAAAGAGAGAAATGAGAAGCCAGGTACAACGAGGTCGCTCTTGGGTCGAAGAGCACCAGGCTGGCTCAACCAGAAATCTACGCCGCCGTTCGAAAGCTGCCGCCGAATCCACCTACCGCCCGAAAAGACTGCCATGTAGAAGACCCAAGCAAACGCCATGAAGACATGAGGCTTCTTACGCATGAGGTCTCGCATGTCCTTGACCCATGCGTCGCCCAGAGCTGGCGTGTTGTATATATCCGGTCCAGCGACCATGCGCAAATGTCTCAGGTCGTCTCTGAGGCGATGTGATCTTGCGAGGCCGGAGGGCCGGAGGTTGGATAGCCATTGGCGAACGTCATATTCATGACCCGAGTATGTGGAGGCCTTTGTATGAAAGTGTCTTGTCAGCAGCTCCCACTCTATTTCGAAAAGTATGAAGATCCTCGCGAACGGTACGAGCCCTTTGCTGTATAGAAGTGGTGACTCTGTATGCGGTGGAAGGGCTGATGGCAGACGGTCCATCAACAGTCGGTTGAGTCGTGTATGTTGCTTCCTGGTCGCCGCGTTGATCCGACCAGACAATGTGTCACTCGGTGGCATCGTCGTGGCTGGAGGGAGTGGAGGATCAAGCGGTGGAGTAGGAGGACTTGTCGATGCCATCTCTTCAGCGAGTGTTGATGGTTATAGGCGATGCGCGGCGGCCAAATGACAGCCTGGACTCTGCCTTGGTTGTCATGTTCTTCAACCACTTGATCTCGGGCGGGTGGAATGCCGTAGCTGTGCCGGTCGGAGCAGTGTTCACGCGATACATCTTCGAATCACAAGACACTGCAAAGAGAAGGTGAAGAGAAAGTGCATCACACGGATATCGGATCGTAAACTTTGACGCCACAAGTGGCGCCGTGTCCGACAGGGATCGAGAGCGGGCCGCGGCGGTTGTCCATGGCAACAGCGGTCCGAGCGTCTCGGGCCTCCATCATCAGCTCCAGATGTTTACGAAGATCATTGATGGCTTGGTAGCTCCAACAAACCCGAGCCACGGTTCACACCTTCAATCCATCGTCCTCACCATACACTCGTTATCCGCCAGAATACTGCTAGAAGCAAGTCATTCGGGGCTCGGCCTCACTCAGCACATTCGCGACTTCCGCCGTCGCATCGCCTCGCCGAGCACTGCATTCCTCGCCTGAGAACACGTCACGTTATTGATGCTCTTCCGATTCGCATAACTCGCTGCTGGCAGCCGGACGAAAGCACCATGGACACCTCGTACCTGTCCCAGCAGGTCACCACCATCATTGAGCGACTACATGGCTTCTTCGACGAAATTGGCGTCCCTAGTCATGAGCGCGACTCGCGAGAGTCCGAGGTATGCCATCGCTACTCTTCTTGCGATCACACATGCTAACTAAACTACCAGCTCTTCTCGGCACTCTCAGAAACCCTCCACAACCAACTCAACCTCGTCGCGAAAGAGAAACACGATCTCACCGAAGAAGCGAAGCGCCTCATCAAGACTATCCGCCAGATGGAGCGATCGCTAGACGACACCCGCTCGAAAGACGAATACGAGGCCGAGAAAGATGGGCTCAAGATCACATACCCTCTCACGAATTGCATACAACGCTTGAAAGAGAAGCACCATACCATTGCGAAACTCCATCGCGAGCGCTATGAGCAGGTCAAGAAGCTTGTGGAGGCATTGGAGTCATACGCATCACACCTCGAGCCTTCATTCATCAAGATCAAACTTCCACCTACCAACGGCGACGTCTCGCCTTCTTTCGACCTGTCCCCAACATACGTCAACAAGCTCGACAGCGAGTTCACGAAAGTGTACGACGAATACAACAAACGTGTCGCGACCGTCGCACAATGCGCTGAAGACATCATCAACCTCTGGTCCGAGCTGGGTACTCCACAAGCGCAAATCGACAGTCAGATCGTGCAGTATGCGCGCGAAGCTCCAGAACAGTTAGGTCTGCACCAGGACGATCTCAAGCGACTGGCATCGAAGCGCGATAAGCTCGTGAATGAGAAGCAGCAGCGGGAGAGGAGGCTGAAGGAGTTGCGCGCAACTGTTGACAGTCTATGGGATCGTCTCGGCGTGGACGAGAGCGAGCGCAAGCAGTTCCTGGCTCAAAATCGTGGTTGCGGCGTCAAGCAAATCAACGAGTTTGAGGACGAGCTGGCGCGACTCAACGAGCTGAAGCGCCAGAATCTACACATCTTTGTGGAGGATTGTCGTCTCAAGCTTCAAGAGCTATGGGACAGTCTCTACTTCTCAGAAGAGGAGATGCTCGACTTTACGCCCGCATTTTCAGACACTTACTCGGACGCTCTCTTATCAGCACACGAGCGAGAGATCGCGCGGCTGGAGGCTTTGAAAGAACAACGTGCTCCTATTCTGGCCGTCATCGACCGGTATCGAGGCCTCATCAAGGACCGAGAAGACTTGGAGAAGAGCAGCCAGGATGCATCTCGATTGATGTCCAAAGGCGCCAAGGGCGAGAAGCGTGATCCTGGAAAGCTACTTCGAGAGGAGAAGATGCGCAAGCGCATTACCAAAGAACTTCCCAAGATCGAAGCAGACCTGCGCAAGACGCTCGAAGGCTGGGAGGATGAGTATGGACGACCATTCCTTGTACATGGTCAGCGCTATCTGGACGAGCTCGACGCCATCCAGTCCAAAGCACCTCCACCACGAAGCAAGACACCGAACGCTTTGTCCGGCACGAGAGATGCGCCAAAGAGTGCCGGTCGTGCAACAGCGACATCTCAGTCCCAGAGCAGAGGAGGCACGATGCGCGGTGCGCCACCACCTAGGAGTAAGACCCCTACCGCTACTCTCGGCCGCAGTCAGATGGGCATGTCCACTTCAAACCTAGGTGCATCTACCCTGGGAGCCAGCACATCTGCAGCGAAGGGTAGCCCGTCGAAGATTCCAGGAGCGTCACGGCTACCTATGAGCGCGCTACGCGACGGGAACAACTCACCGGAGCGGCGAGCAAGAAGCAAGACTGCACCAAGTCAACAACCGGAGGACGATCTGAACAGCACAGTTCGTGGAAACATGGGCCCTCCGCGAGCACCTCCGCCCAGGATGAAGGATCTGTTCATCCCTCCAACGCCAACCCCAGGCAGCAACAAGGAGAACGGCTTCGAGTTGGAGCGTCCCGGCAGCGTGCTTCGACACATCGAGCCCGAAGATCCATACAATGACAGCCGATACCACAACAACCAGTACTCGAGCATGCACTCATCAGCGAGCCACTCCTCGACGATGTCCCGCCATCAGCACACCCGGTCCGTCGATTCCTTCGCCTCCAACTCATCACGGCCCATGAGTAGATCAGAATACCCGGTAGCACCGCCTTTCTCACGACAGACGAGCAACACCTCTTCCGTGATGAGCGGTTCCGCCGCTAGCGGCAGCGAGAACTGGGAGACCTACACCGACGCCTCCGACGTGGAAGAAGTCGACGCCACGGACGCCTACTACGCCAAAGTGAAGGCTCAGCAGATGCGCATGTCCCAAAAGCGGCCGGGAACCGCAGGCATGCAGATGGGTGCCGTCAAGCGAGTCCGCGAGCAGCCCATCGTCGAGGAGGGTGTGGTGGATGGTAGTGAGGCGGGCTGGACGGACGACGGCGAAGTCGTCGTGGAGACGTATTGATGCATTCAACGACTACTACTTTTCGATTCTTGGAAAAAACCCAAATACTTGGATCAACGGCACCGATGACAGTGCTATTTGTGCGTGAGAGAGAAGAGAAAGCATCGTTCTGAGCGAGCGTGCGAGGAGTTTTTCTTTTTGCTTGTTTCGGATTACAGACACGGTCAAGACGGGGTTGGCGTTTGGGATGGGATGGGAAGGGAGGGTTGTTTGATGTTATGTTCGACGATTCCGATGAAATCGAACGGCAGGCAACTTTGTTTTTAGACTTTGCTGCTGCTCGCCGCCTTCTTCACGTTGATACTAGAACGGATGGATGGATGGATGCCCTTGCTTTGACTTGCCTCCAACAAAAGCAGAAGGCAAACAAACAACTTGTATAATATATTTAACGAATTCAAATGGGAGAAATGGATGGAATGGAATCCGCAATGGTGTTCGATTTCGTCAAACTCTCAACTCTCAATCATCCTGCGTTGGTGCGTGCAGTCGATACCTCACTCATCGATCGAAATGCCCTCCAACAGCCCTGCCAACGAGCACGGTGGGAGCCTCCCCGAGAATCCCCTCTTTCTCAAACGTCTTGAAGATCTCGGCGTGCAAAGGGTGGTTTCGATGCGTCTGCAAGTCCGTGACGGATTTGTACCTTCAGTGCAAACAGAGCAGTCAGTCAGTGTCGGACCTCATGAACAAAGCATTGCTGCATGTTGCGAGGGCGGCTCGGGTGAGAAGTACCTCTCGAAAAGACAATACCGCCCTCCGGCGCCGTCTTCCTCTTTGTGGAGTTGGAATTGCAAGGTGCCTGGTTCGAGGTCGTAGACCTTGGCGGCGTAATCGTTGGTGAGTTCTTCGAACTGTGGTTTCCTGTTTAGCTGGTAGACTTGTGAGGTCTTTGGCTGGTAGGAGACGTTGTTTACCCGTGCACCCTTGCCTTCCGCCGGCTTGATGATGGCGACCAGGGCGATTTGATTTGGGTCTTGGGTTTCGTTTTTGGACATTTTGGAAGTATCCACGCGGTAGTGTCGCGATTAGAAGGTGAGTCTTGCTCGGGGAGAAGCGACCGCGTTCAAATAGAAGTGTGGTGAGCCGCCCTTCGTCGTTGGTTTCGCCTAAGGATGCGTGATGAGCTCAGCCGGGCTGAAGACCTGCAGCCACTCCATCTCCCATACGACGGGCTGGACCCTCCAATCACAAACTAGGGCATTCTTTCCTATTGTGGTATAAGCCCATAAGTCACGATGTCCTTTGAAGCTTAAGTCCAGGGTCGTAAACCTCGCCATCGACCATTTTCATCGTTCGTTGAGCTCGTCGCCCGGATTTTATTGCTTCGGTTTCGATTCAGCTCCGCCAAGGGCCTGTGCAACACTTTCGATTCCCTCGATTTCGTCCCTTCCCATTCTCCTTCCAACCGCAAGCGCCGCTCCGGCAGAGGACTCGGGATCAATGCCTTTCCTCTCCAAAGCCCGTTGCGTCTGCTTCTCCAGATATCGTCTCCGTCTCGCATCAGCCGAGTCCTCATCCTCATACCTCGCATTTCGCGGGTTGGGGATCGTGTGCAGCGCGTCCTTCAACTTGGCCAGAAGCTGCTGCAGTGCAGGTATTTGGTTCAACGCTTCTTGCGTATCCTGCGTCAGGTTCTGACCTTTACCTGCCTGCAAGAGTGCAAATGGTGCTTGTCCATCTTCTCCCTCTTTCTTCGGCTCTGCGCCTATGAGCCCACTCAACTGCGAGAGCATCGCAGCATGCTTCGCCTCTTCGGCCTTGAGCATCGTGTTCAACTTGGCAGTCTCATGCAACTTTCTTCTTTGCAGTTGTATTTGCTCAGGCGTAGGCACCTCATCCGCCTTGACCATATCCACACCCTGGTAATGATCCAACCGCACCCAATTCGCCAAATCATCCTCTTCATGTCCAACAGCCAGAATGTTCCGCAAAGTGTAGATTTCAAACTTGTCAAAGTCCCTATCCACCGTCGCATTCAGAAGACTCTCAAGCTTGACGGTGCCATTGTCGATCTCATTCTGCTTGAGCTGCTCGAGCGCGTCTCGCCGTGCGTCTTCGGTGCGGAGGGAGGAGAGTGTTGAGTTGTCCAGTTCGAAGCCGAGCTCTTCGGGGGCTTTGGCGCTGAGGCCTTCTTCGACGGCATTGACGGCGCGAAAGACAAGTTCGTTTACGATGTTGATGATGTCGTCGAGGAGAGTCTAGCTTCTGTCAGCAAGAGTCTGGATTTTGATGATGTTCTTCGACAAACCAGAGGTGTATATCGAAAGTGTTCTGTGAGCAGTGCAGTTGTATTCTGCTTATCTGACGCCATCTCGTCGGTAATTGAGCGTTAATTGAAGTGGTGGTCTATCGCAAGTTGAAAGACGCGAAGTAAACATGGGTCGCGAGGGACAGCGGGGAAGTCGCGATTCGTGCCTCAGGCACCAAGTCAATTCAATATACGTAAAAGCGACTGCTCATATCAAGGAGTTCTACGCACTATTTTGATCACACACCGTTCTTCTCTTACTAACAAAAGGATTTGCAATGTATCTGAACCATCTCAAGCCAAACGAAGCAGTTCGAAAAACAAAAATAGGAAGATTCAATCAATATCCATCCTAAACCAAACCTCAATCAATTCCAACTTCAACTCCATCTTCTCCTCACCGTCCAACACTCGAACTCACACCCTTCAAATCGAAAAAGACAAAACAAAAATCCAAAAGAACTAGAATCCTTATTTCAGGATTCTAGAGAAAACCAACCTAATGGTTTTACTTTTTATGTTGTCGTTGTCCGCCGAGGTTCGAACTCGGATTTCTAGTAAGTCAAGTCATGCGCTTTGCGACTGCGCCAAACTATTCAGATCAAATCAGCTGCATGTCCCTCCCACACCAGTCTGGGCTGATGTGTTGATGGGATTGAATTAAAACAAACTGTATTATTTAGAAGCGTCTCTCCTTCATTGTGAAATGCTTTGTGAATGCATAAGATTGCGAGCAGAGGGGGACTTACCATCAGATCTGTTCCTCTTCATCGTACCCAACCACGCACCACTCTGCGCAGTCATGCGCCCCTGGCTCATCACACTCGCCTCCACGAGGCTAGTCCCCAACAACCCGCAGCAAAACTGCCAAAACAGGTAGCAGCCACGAGCCGAACAATCCTCACTCCTTCACAGCACCAGCCGCCGCGGATCCCACTCTACCACCACTCGTTCGCCATCGAAGTCTCAGAGCAGAGGAGAAAGCGCGCAGTCGGACGGGGCAGCGAGTCTTTGGGTGTGTTTATGCTTGTGATTGCGACCAACTCTTCACTCTTCGTCCGGCAAGGAATCCACTGTAGAGGAACGTGGACAGTGGAACAATCAAATCATCAACCCGCTCTATCTCTTCAAGTCAGAATATATTACGTCTATGATTTAGCTTAACTGTGACTTTTCTAGAAAAGATATCTTTGCTGTTCTTTCGGCTGGTGGAACGCCGTCGATGGAACGCCAGAAAGACATTACTGCTCGGTCTTGTCTGTGGTGACCAAGCTCGAAGATGGGACGCATCGCACTACTGAACCTTCTTGCCAGACTTGAGTCTCTGGACCGTCTCGATCGCGGATGCTGCGTGCATGGTGCTTTGGTAGATCAGGACTACATTCACTGGTCAGCAGTCTGTACATTCCGAACGATCTATCAGTCAAACTCACTGCCCGGGATCAAGATCCAGAAAAAGTTCATCAGCACAAAATAGCAGTAAAAGTAAAACGCCTCGGGCCTCGAATAGCTGATCCCCGCAACATAGTGATCAAACAAACACGTCGCATAGTACAGCGCATCGCCATACAGCTGCCCAAACGACACCAACATCTGCAACGGATGCCTCAGCGGATGTCGCTGGAAGATCAACGCCGCCACGAGGAAACACCCGGGCCCCCAGCACACGACCGTCACCGTCTCGACGCTGAGCACGAACGAGTTCTTGGTCAGGTACCGCGAGTCCGAGAACGCGTACTCCTTCCACATCTGCCCGATGAGCGTCTGCTTCGAGCCGAGCGTGTCGTAGTTGTAGGCGTAGTAACCCTCGAAGAAGATGTGGATGGAGCCGGAGAGGACGAACCAGAGGATGGTGATGAGCTCGGTTTTGTTAAGTGTCGGCTGGAGTCGTTTCGCGAGGATGTACGTCGTGGGTAGGAGCAGGGTGCAGGCGCCGAAGAAGACGCCGAGCAGTGCTGGCACGCTCCATTCGTTCGCCGCGTAGCCTTCGATGTACGAGCCGATGGGGTAGTATGGGTTGTAGTTGTTGACCAGCTGCTGTTGTTGCGTCGCGCTGCTGCCGTTGGCGATGATGTCAACTACCGGAGCCGCCATTGAGAAGATGCCTGCCGGTGATCTCCCCGTCCAAGATTCTGGCCGGGATTCGCGAATCGAAAGTGAAGCTTTAGTCAAGAGAGAGAAAAAATCTGGGGTTTGTTTGTTTACTTGGGGAGAGCTTGAGTGAGGAAGGAAGAGGGAAAGTGGATGTCGAGAGCTGCGAGGTTGTTTGTGTTAGGTTCCTGAGCGGAATTCCGGTTGTTTGTGTGGCAGGGCATGTGCATCACAAACGGGTGAGAATGGCTAGAGCTCCGGGTATGCCGGAGGAAACCAAACGAAAGTGTAACTTTGCGGCCGACCCAAGACGCTTTCGTTAGGTCACCGCAGTGGAAAGTTTGTGCCTGAGGTATTAAGTATTAATACAGTCTGATGAAGGAATAGCTGTGTACTGTGTAACGCTCACTAACAATTTCTTTTCTCCATAATGGTCCTTCATACCATACCATACCACATCACGCAGCTCTCCCTGCTTTTACAACCTATCAAACCACCCCAAAATCCCACCCCCAACCCCAAAACAAATCGGCAGCAGCGGCAAATGCTTAAACCGTCCCTCCCCAGACGTCTGCCTCTCCTGAATCACAAAATCATAAACCACCACCACACACCCGAGCAACATCAAATGGCCCAACGTCTTGCGTTCGCGGTTGTTCCACGCCGCGAGGATCGATAGGCCCAGGAGGACGTCCCGAGAGGCGAGGTAGAGGATCAGGTTCTTGCCGAGTTGGACTTCGCTTGTTGTCATGTTAGGGACGCCTTTGGAGTCCCACATTTTGAGCGCTGTGAGGGGGCTCATGGTCCCGACGGCTCCGAGGGCGAGCATCGGGAGGGCGATGAGGGCGGCGGCGTTGGTGAGCCAGGGTGAGTGGGAGAGGAGGCGGCCTGATGCCATTGTGTTCGGTTTGTTGAAAGTGATGTGTTTCTTCGATTTGTTTTGAGGTGCAAGCTTTCGTCGATGGTATAGATCAATTCAAGTGCTCTTGGTAGTTGCTTGTAGTGTATTGTTGATGTGACAAGAAGACAGTCGAAAGCGACACCACCGTCCCTTGATATAGCAGCCAGAAGAAAACCGCACTACCCGCCTCGCACAGAGAATCGGCATCAACTCCTACCTCAATCTGCGGCTGAACCCCAGACCAAACCGCAAGAAGCAGCCCAAACGGAGAGACAACACGCCAGGAACCACCAAAGCCGGTATACAGCGTAGCAAATTGTCCCAAATTCCGGAGATATCTGGTCTCCAAGTCGTGCGGTTCCAGGATTTGACGAGTTGGTTGTTGTAGGGCTGCAACCTTGGAATGACAAAGCTGAGTAATGGATGTGAGTGAGGACAAAGCTGTTCCTCCGTCGGCGGCGGACGAAGCTCGTCGGCTCGCTTTGGGTGCCGGAGAGCGCCACAGACGCAAGGGAACGTGTAAGGTGTATATGGCGAGCAGTTCGAGCTTCAAAAGGTCGTGACTCTGTGTTTGCTCGACACGGCGTCTCTTGTGCTGGTTCAAATGATTGTTTAACGGGCTAGATTCGTACCGTTGGGCGTCTCTGTGCTTTTCTGCTGACTTTGGATGTGAGAAGATTGGATAAATCGTAAGTAGATAGAGTCTTCGAGAACGCTTTTGGACAAGGATAACTTATACACAAAGTCTATCAAATTTACTGCCAGACTCAGAGTTAGCTTTACTTTCAACGCATCTTCAAGACTTCACATACCAATCGCACGAAAGGACGCCTGCCTGTCGTCTACCGCTATCATACAGCGCTATATCCTCCCCTTGACCCTCCACCTTTCAGCTTGTCCATCATGCTGCTGATGATGTCCTTCACGATATAAGGCAAATCCCGTATGGTGTCACCGTGAGGAAGCAAGTCCCAGCCCCTCGCGCCGTAGCGGTTGTAGTTCAGCCAGGATCCAAAGATGATGTAAGACGCCGCGAGCAAGAAGACGATGATCAAGAACCAGGTGAAGAAGCCCCAGCTACCACCCTTCTTGCCGTCCGAGGGCTTCGTGTCCGCCGCATCTTCGCAGGCGTACTTTGTTTTCCATTCCAAACGAAGCACCCCGGTGTCATCCTTTTCATCCCTGTAGCTCTTCCACTGCAATGCCTTGTCCCCATCAAGGTCGGGCAATTTGCGATTGTCGTCCTCGTCATCTCCATCGCCCTCTTCGTCGTCTCTCTTCTCCATGCTGCCGTACGAAGACACATCCATTTCCTTCGAATCCTCGAACCCTTCCGTGCCCTCCATTTCAGGATCGCAGATAAACTCGATGATAGCCTTCTGCGGCTTCTTCTCCCACAATCCACCATGCAGTTCTGCCCTCAAACCTTCGCGCTCCGAGTCCGAATTGCTTTCACTGTCCTTTAACCTCGTAACCTTTGGGTCCAGATGACGGGAATCAGACGTGCCAAATTCGCCGGCAATAGGAATGACCTCCCTCACGAGCGTCTGGCCATCCTCGTATATGCGCTCCACACCACACACCCGCGTCCCCGTCGGACATTCTTCCTTTGCCTTGTCCTTCCCTTTGCTCTTCGTCAGCGGTTTGCAGACGTCGATTGTGAAAGTCGTGTTGGTAATCGAGGGAGAGGTCAGGCGTTGATAGTTGACCTCTTTAGGTCCGCCGAGCTTTTCGAAGTTGAAGTCCTTGCCGCCGGCTCGGATGTGTTTGCAGTCGAATGTGACGGCTGATATCGCGGCGGGTAGCAGCAGTAATGCTGAGAGTTGTGAAAAAGATGGCATGGTGGATGCCTGCCGGGTTGGCTGCGTCAGATTCGGAGTCGTGCGGCCAGGCAGGGATGTCAAGGAGTGGACTAAGACAAGGCGAATTTGTGAAGCAGAAGGGGAGATGGCCCTGGAAGTGGAGCAAGTCGAGTGTCGTGGTGAATGTGATGCGATCAGATGCTCGCGCAATGGTCGACGAGCACCAGCTTGTTCATCATCGGCCTCGCCAGACCTGCCCCGTCGAGGAGACTCGGGATCCTTCGATTGCGCTTCAACTCCTGTCAACAACGACACTCCCTGCAAACACCACGTCACGTCAACACACCAAAGCCATCGAAGTCACAGAGACGGCCGTGTTCGACGCCTCCTGTCCCTGCACATCTCCAAGGCTACGAATGCTCGCAATCGAAACCATCGCAAGGCATCGCATCAATCTCGGTCATCGGTGGACCAAAACCGCGAGTGCTTCAACACCAAACTGTCACTAGCACGAGGCTGAAGACTGGATGATGCCTGTTCATTGATCTATCCACCTCCACTCCTGGGACCACACGCTGCCATGGCATTGGGCTTTGATACCGGGTTCGCGAGCTGGTCTTCCTTGCGAACATCATCGATCGCGTCGACCTAGGAGCAGAACACTTCTCCAGCAACAGCCGTGTTTGTTTACTTTCAAGAATGGCAGAGCTGAGGGTGGCTGTATACCTGTGGACGTTTTCCCGAATCTCGGCATCCACACGGCACGTCAGAATGGAACTTCCCTCTCCTGAAAGCCGAAACCTACGACAATTTCGGCAGTGGCAAAGCTGAACGTGAGGCGCATTCGAAAAGTCTTCGAAGGAAACACTCATTCAGAGGCGCTGGCGAGGTGTCGTGGCTGTCGTCATCTCCACGAGTATCCCCTCGATGCGAACGTCCTTGACCATGGATATCCTTTCCAGCATGCTTGTTCCGAGCTCTGTTCTCCAATGATCTATACTCCTCGAGGAATAGCCAGCCGTGTTGCTCTCGACGACGGACGCCAAAGCTCTGCTATCAATGCTTCCGGGAACAGGCCGCTGCGTTTCACAGCAACGCCATTGTAGAACGTGTGGATTGTCGATGGTCTGTGAATGGTGAGTATATGAAGGTGGGTATGTCCTTCCTGTGAAGCCCGTTGCGTTTGTTCCTTCTGCTTGCTATCTTGTTTGTTCGCCTGAGCTCCCGTACTGCATTGCATTTCACTCTTTTGGCATAACGTGACGACAATGACGACTCCAACGGCCCTTCCGACCATGCCAGACCGAAGTCTTCGCTCCAGCGAGGAGAACCCCCGTACATGACAGGAAAGTGAGCGGAGGAGGATGATACGGAACTCCTACCAATCAGCAAAGTCAGTCCATACTGGAGGCACTGAGCCAACGATAGAAGAAGAGAATCCAACACCTGCGCCGCTCAGACCAACATCTCTGACGCCGTCGGCCAAACAAGCTTCGCAATGGCTACCTCCACCGCAACAGCCTCAGCATGGCGATTTCGGTCTGATGACGACGGAGCCTCACTCTGTTGATCACTCCCCCAACCACAGCACCATGACTGTCGACCAGCAGCTGCGTCCAGCTTATGACCGTCATACCTCAGGCGAGTACCCAGGCCTAGCAAACGACGCACCAACACCCACACCCCAGAAAGATACAGAGTCGGCATACTTCGGAGGTCGGCCTCGACAACGCGCTTCCGCCCTCTCTCAAGACAACACTTCCATGAGAGGCACTCTCCCCCGATACGCCCCTTTAGGCAACGGCAACACCCCGCGTCGCCCACAATCCATCCTCTCCACCCGCCAAAACCCCTGGGAAGTCTACGACCCGGACGACCGCCCCCTCAGCAACCAAGGCTCCTCCGGGACGCCCTCCAAAACCAAACCCAATCGCCGCGGCACGTCCTTCTACATCGTGCGCGAAAACGGCAGCGACGCCGGCCCGCCCGACGAACTCCTCCGCCTCCCCTTCACGCACTGGATCCAGGGCTCGCTCCGCAACCACTTCGTCGCGTTTCTCGGCGAGTTCATCGGCACGACCATGTTCCTCTGGCTCGCCTTCGCGGGGACCATCGTCGCCAACGTCGGCGCGAAGAAGAGCGCAGATAGCACGACCACCAACGCCACCGTCGGTTTCAGCCCGATCGTGAACCTCTACGTCGCGATCTCCTTCGGCTTCAGCCTGCTCGTCAACGTGTGGATTTTCTTCCGCGTCAGCGGCGGGCTGTTCAACCCGGCTGTGACGCTGGGCATGGTCATGACGAAGACGATCAATTACATCCGAGGGTTCCTCCTCTTCGCCGCGCAAATCACGGGTGCCATCTTCGCGTCGTTCCTCGTGCAGGTGATGTTTCCCACGGATTTCAACGTGCGCACGACGCTGGCGGATGATACGTCTGTCACGCAGGGGGTTTTCATCGAGATGGTTCTCACCGCGCAGCTCGTCTTCACGGTGTTCATGCTGGCGAAAGAAAAGCACAAAGCGACGCATCTGGCTCCGATTGGCATCGGGATGTGTTTATTCATCGCCGAGATCGTCGGCGTCTTCTTCACGGGTGGGAGTCTCAACCCCGCGAGGAGTTTCGGGCCCTGTGTCGTGGCGGGCAAATTCGACGCGGAACACTGGATCTACTGTAAGTCACCATCGTCACAAGGCATTGTTGGCGTGTTGATCCTTCTTGATTGACTGATTGTGTTTTTCCAAAGGGGTGGGTCCTTGCTGCGGGACGCTCGTGGCTTATGCTTTTTATCGGTTTATTAAGATTTTGGAGTATGAGATGGCGAATCCCGGGCAGGATCATTCGGCTGAGGAGGCGGAGGCTGCGAGGTCGATGAAGAGGGCGGAGTCGTTTGTTTGAGGTGGGATTTGGGATTGGATCGGGATGGGTGAGATGTCGGGCGGGATTGTTGGCCTTGTATGATGATACATTTGCATGGTGAATGTTGGCGTCAGGGGTATGGATTTGTAGAGCATGGCGTTTTCCTCGTGATAGGTTTTCTGTCTCCTCACTGTTTGGCGAACCCCGACTTCCCTTTCTTCTTCCCAAAGGTCACGCTTCGAGGCACGAACTGCAAAGACGACATGGACTTTGTCACAGCATCCACCGAGACCTCCTTACTCTTCGCCGGCATCACCTTCTTCTCAGACCTCGTCTTGGGTATCGACGCCTTCGGTCTAGCCCGTTCACTTTCCTCCTCCACGACCGAATCACTAGCCAAGCTCAACGAGGTTGCATCAGTCGTCTGAGTCGTGACCGTTGCACTCGAGTCTCGCCTCCCACGCTCCCTGCTACTCTTCCTATGACCATTCTCATCAACACCCCGCCGCAACATGCTGTACCGTCCATCGATCCCATCATTCACGATGAAGAAGTTATAGTTCCTGGGAAAGCCATGTTTGTCGACGAGATGATTTCTCCGCTTTTTCCAATCCTGGCAGACCTTGTCACAGCCTTCGACAAAACACACGTACGTTTTCTCGCCGTTGTCGCGTCTGGTGGCGACGATGGGGTCGTGGTTCTCTGTCAGATGCAAGTCCAGGAAATGGTCGCTGGGAAAGTTCTTGTTACATTCCCGGCAGCGGTTGGTGTGCGTTTGGGTGTAGTGGATCTCGAAGTCGGCGTACGTTGCGAATGTTTGAGCACTGTGTGGCGGCAGGAGACAGTTGAACGCTTGTCGATCGTCGTGCTCGCTCTCCAGTTCGGTGTATTTCGGGGTATGGGCCATTTCCTCAGACTGTGATGGTCCATCGTCATGGGAGGCGAGAACGTCTTCTACTCGCGGGCGCTTCGCCATGGTGCGTACGGTACAATATGCGGTGTAGTGTGCTTTAGCCGCCTGCCTGCCTGCATGAACCGGTTCCTTCACTCGCCTCTTTCCCAATTCGACGGCCCTTGTGAGCTCACTGACTTCAACTTCACATGCTTGTCGCGCCAGTCATATGATCGTCGGCTGACTGGAACTCTTCACCTCTTCGTTCGGCCTAAGCTTCTGCTTGCTAACAACAATCAACAATCTTCACGCGGTGTTGTTGTTGTCACGTTGATCGCGTGGGTGTTGATTTGCTGGCGACTCGGAAGCGGAGACCAGTGCCGGCGGGCGAGATTCACACTGACTCCACCAGCGCCAACCACCGCACCATCGACTCGGCTCTCTCAACTAGCACACTCATAACTCACACACGCACCACTCGCACCACAACTACCCTTCACCCACCTCGACCCATCCATACCTGGCGACACGCTCGTGTTGCTGCGCCGACCTCGCTCCGCCTCTCGCATTCGACAGATGGACTGCTGCACCGCCGCCCCATCCTCCACCTTCGACAACACCCACACCTAGCCGCACAGTCGACCGCCCCACGGTCACTTTGCGGTCGCAGCGCCTATGCGTCGCACACCCAACCCAAAAGCATGGCAGATTTGCTCGAGCAACAGCGAGCGACCGAACAGTATCTCGTGACCTTGCTCAAGACTCCACATGTCGCAGCCGATGAGCTGCTGGCCATTTTCCAGCAAACCCGCCTCCTAGCCCAGGCCGCCACCTTCGCCGACTTCCAGCATGCCGAGTCCCACGAGATGCGCCTGTGGAATCTCCACGGCGACGGCAAGAGATGGTTCTCCCGGAAGCTGAGGGATTTTCGCAAGAAGCACGCCGACAGACCGGTCGAGGAGCGCCAGTGGGCCAAGCAGTACCTCACCTTTCTCAAGGAGAGTGAGAGGTACTACCGCTCGTATATCCACAAGATCGACAAAGCTTGCGGTGGCATCCCCGAGCTGGAGGCGATCGCCCATGCGTCGACAGAGGAAGACTTCGGCGAAAGCCAGACTGACTCTGCGCCGACCATCACACGCGAAGCTGCTGTGGCGTCCTGCCACCGCAATGTGATCTATCTTGGAGATCTAGCCCGTTACCGCGCATCTGACAAGCTGGATCGGAACCCAGATTTTGGCCGGGCAGTTGGCTGGTATAAGTTGGCTACGGACATACTGCCATCTTCTGGTCACGGTCACCACCAGCTGGCTGTAGTCACGTTGGAAGATCAAAACCACTTGCAAGGCATCTACCACTTCTATCGATCGCTTGCTGTCCCTAACCCTCATCCCAACGCCAAGGCCAACCTGGGCAAGGAGTTTGAGAAGACCAACGCCGCTTGGGATAGAGGCGAACTTATCCAGAAAGGTCCTCCAAACGATCCGGATGCTTCGAAGCGCGCTCTTGTTGGATGGTTCGTCCGTTTCCACAGCATGTGCTACAAGGGTGAAGTATTCCGCGGGCATGCAGAGTTGGAGCGCGAAGTTCTCAGCCAGCTGTCGAACGTGATCAAGCAACGCCCGCTTGAGCCCGCACTTCAGCGCATGCTCCTCACAAATATGGCCGCTCAGTATGTCGCTGGCGAGGCCTATCAGGGTAGGTCACGTCTTTGGATAACAATGGGGATGACGCTTACACCCTTTGCAGAAGATCCAGAGAATCTGCGGATTCAACAATCATTCTTTTACTACTTTCAGTTCAATGTGAAGACTTTCACGACGTTGCTGCAGCTCTTCTACGACGACCTTCGGAATCTCCTGATCAACTTGGAAGATCAGGACATCGAACTTGCCGCGAAGTTGACCCCTCTTGGCCGCCGCCTTCTGCCTTGCCTCCGTGTTTATAGCAGTTGGCTCATGACCGCGATCAATTTGGTTAAAGGACTTTTCTACGATCCTACTGTTGGAGTTTCGGTGCAGCAGTTCTGGCCTACATACGCCAGAGTCATCGATCTCATTGCGCAGGCGTTCCCAATTTGGGATCTCGACGACGTCGATGAAGTTGAGTACTTGGTCGAGGAAGATGTCGAAACCAGAGAGTTCAAGCCAGTCTGCGATGAGCTGTATGGGACTGACAGAAGGTGGAACAACAAGCAGACCGGCGTGAAGAAGCCCTGCTGCACCGACAAGAATGTCGTTCGATTGTCTCCGGATGAAGAGATGTTGCACCGCGTGAAGGAGTTCCTGGCCGACGGACTCAATCTTGCAAACACTGAGAATATGCCTATCTCGCTGCGTGGAACTCGAATCTTCTCTGGCAGCGAGGATAACATCGATTCTTTGGTTGTTCGGCCTGTCGAGTACAAGCCTGCACCCATCGCACCACCAAAAGCAAAGCCGAAGCCCGTTAGTTACGCCGCGGCTGCTGCGAATGGTCATGCTAAGCTGAGTCGTCCATTGCCCGTGCAGAGAAAGGCTAGTGCTGGCAAGCCACAATCTCGCGATGCGCAGCTTAGTCGGATGGTGGATGATTTGGTTGATGATGACGACGGCAATAATCCAGTCACGCCTCCTCAGCAACACGCCTCCAATCCGGCCGTGGTCACGAACGGCGAGGCGCCGCAGATCTTGCAAGACAGTGCAATGCACGACTTGACACGTGCCATGAAGAATGTCGCCGCTCGACCTGATGTGACGGTTACGCCTCCAGCTGCTCGTCCGACTGGAAACATGGGCAGACCCTATGCAGGCCAACATCAGCGCATGCAGTCCGTCTCGAAGCTGTGGGGCAATGGTCAAGGCCCGGCTTCCTCGTTCCCAAACAACCTTCCAGCTGGCACACCTCTCGGATCGCCCATGGTCGGCGTCCGCGGTCATTCGCGCGGCAACTCTGCGAGTAGCATTCGCAGTCGAGCTTCGCTGAATGGACCCGATCCTTGGGGCTCCGATTCGGCTCCACGCACGATGCCGGATTCTGTCGTTCCTCAGACTGTGTATGGAAACTACTCCAGTCTGGATCAGTCCGGCATGGGGAGTCCGTTGTTGTTTGGCGCGGGTGGTGGCCCCTGGAGTAGTACGAATACACGACGCGGCTACAGAAATGTGAGCCCGCCGAACGGCCAAGGAGGTTGATGTGCTTGATTGGAGGCTTTTGAAGGCTTCCGGTTAATGACATGCTTCTTCACACTCATGAATGGGTCTCACAAATCCTGCTGATGGATCCTGCCGATCGATGCAACCAGCCATTGTGCGGCTCTCACATCACACGAGCGAATGCGATTTCACGCCACCATGACAATGACATGTCCTTCGGGATTGGGCATACGGGGTGGAAACGAACAAACTTGCTACAGGCGAAAGGCGGCAACGGAGAGGGAATGGGCAGTGGATGAATTCAAATTGAATGCAAAGGAATGGGAAATTTTGGGGTTGGGGTTGGGGGATTTTTTTTTTTCAGATTGCTTTGCTGTTAATGTCACGCTTTTGGGCAATAAAGTCAAGACTGTTTTGGCTTGGACACGACTTCCTTGCGAAGAGTCGACGACACTCCTTTTTTTAATGCATGCAGAGAATACGTACGTACGAGAATGAATGAGGGTTTTTGTTGGTGCGTGCTGTTCTCTCTTTCTCTGTCTTTCTCTCGAGAGAGAGTTGTTTTGCTTCTTTGCAGTGGTGGGGGTCTTTAACACGGCATTGGGAGCTGTTACGCTTGGGGTGGGCGGGAATCTATGTCTTCTTCCCCTTGGAGGGTTTTGAAAATGGGGCTGTACTTTCGCTTGCGGAAATCGTCAGCACTTCACATCTCCTCAAAACCTTCCCCTCCCCACCCTCCATGGTCATGTGGTGTTTGCCTTTTGTGGGGGTGGTTTGGTGTTAGGTTGTGGATTGCAGCATGGGGCGTTTGGACACCCAGAGAGCGATTTTGGAGGTGGAGGAGGAGGAGGCATAGAAGTATAGATACCAGGTGAAGACTTCGCCTTCTTAGGGGTCGTTGAGGAGCATACTTGTTTCGCAGATGCATTTCTGTCCTGGATCTTCTGGGGGAAGGGATTGATCCAGCATCACGACGGCGCAGACGTTGCCTCCTCCTTAATAGAAGGTCTTGGCCGCGTTTCGGGCGTTTTAATCGAGCCAGACTTGCCATTCCAGCGCCAAGGGACGGTAGGAGGGCGTTTTGGTGAGGGCTTGCACACGGCTCAGACGAGTTCGCCGTTGTCGAGGGCTGGGAGGCGATTCACCCAATCGTCCGTCGGCGCGATCTTCGCGTGGGTGTTGTTGGACCAAGACAAGAACCCTTCGAAGCTAGGATACGTCCTGTTGAAGTCGAGGTAGGGTTGGAGTTTCTGCAAAGGAGGTTGAAGGCTACGTCTGGGGCTTGAGAGGGGTTTGAAGGGGAGGGGACTCGTGTGGCGGAGGGGGAGGTTGAGAGGGCTTGTGCGAGGAGCATGATGTGGAGGGATTCCTCTGCTTGCGGCGCTGGAGCTGTGGCTTCTGGAGGCGTTTGGGAGGGCGAGGCCTGTGGGTTGGTTGGTGAGTGTGCCGGAGTAGGTCAGGCCGTTGGCGCCGTTGTCTGGGAGCGTTCAAACCTGTCATATATGCATGAGTATTCTTTCTGAGAGACTTACATCCAATCCCCGGCTGCACGAATTTCCCCTCCCAAAAGAGGACATCTTGGATGAAGGGTTCTGGGTTTTGGACGACTTGTTCGAGGCTGTAGCCTGGTGCAAAGCGGCGTGGTGGGTTGTGGGTGGGATCAGGCTGTGGGTGGTTCCAGGGTAGTGTTTTTTCCGCAGAGACGAAAGTAAAGTAGAATATGGCTAGAATTACTCTTCACAACTTATTGTAACATTTCCAAAGACGAGTGGGAAGGGTAGGGATGAAGAAAGACTTGATTCCAACCACGAAGCATGTCTACCTTCTATGATCGCTTTTGCTCGACAGCATAAGGACGCTGTGGGGTTTCGATGCATTGTGGCTTGAGGCCGTACCGAGAAGATTTGGGATGTGCTGTGGTGGTCGTGGAGGAGCTGCCGTTTGCAAGGAAAGGGGGTCCCAGGCAGCACAGAAGTAGATCTGCTGTAAAACCACAACATCGAAGTTTGAGGACTTCGTGATTGAAGGAGGTTGGAGCGGTGTCCTACCTCGAAGGATTTGTCGCTTCTGCCGGCTCAAAGTCGGCTGCCAGCTGATGGTGGATATAAATTAGGAAAACTATTCGCCATCCAATCAACAGCGCAACGCATTGGTGGTTTAGTGTAAATCAGCCCTCCAGCAATACCTCTACTGCCATCAAATGCTAATGAAAGCCTCAGGGTAAAATTCGTCGTTGCCAGTCGCTTCTTAAGCACATTCGACGAGCCCCGGGTTCGATGTGAGTGTTCATACAAGTCTACGCTCGCACGACCTTCGTACTGACAAGACTCAGTCCCGGCCGATGCAATTCTCAAAGCCGCAGCACCACAGGTGTTGATATTCTTTTTCTTTTGCACTCCAGTGTCCAGTATTCTTTTCTACAAACTTTTGTAGTATTACACTCCTTTCCACATAGCATGGCCATAACTTGTTTTGAGATTTTGAGAGCAGGTCGAGATCGTTCACACGCTCAGAATGACCTTGGTTCAATTATAATTTTGCCCTAACTTCTGTTGTGTGGGCCGCGTTGCTGTGAGGGGGAAGCCAAGCTTAATCACTCACTTACATCTGATCACGTGAAAGCTTAGTCATGGCTTGGCATTGACTTCCGGAAGTGGAATTGTCAACAATCTAAGCACGCATACGTGTGAGATGATGGAGACGTTATACAATCGCTTTAGCAATGTTGTACTCTTCGTTTCTGACCAGTCAATTCCCATTGTGTTGCTCGTTTTCGGCTGTTAAGGACACAGGCTCTCAATAACCGCGAACCATTTGTATTGAGCTTCACAAGTGGAGGTCGACGAATTCGTGTATATAGAATCGATACATTTAGTTGTCTCAGAGTTGCCAATTGCAGTTGCAGTGCTCAAACTAACAGAGCTCAGCGACCATACCTGCTCAAGATCTACAATGCTTGCGACCGGCAGGCTTGTGTTATCGAATATGCGTGGCTCCTGACCTGGCCTGCTCTAACGCTGACTACTCGAAATGGCGAATGAAGGTATGCGGGTTGCGTAAATGATCATTGAGATCGCTGAAAGTCCTGTGGAAAGGCGGATCTCGGAAAGCACCACGACAGTGCACGACCAGGCGCACGAGAGAAGCAAGAAGTATGAAGACGGTAAGGGAGAGCCGGTTGATGCAAATCTGGAAATGGTATGGCAGGCGGACGATGTCAGGGAAGTAGCAGAGGACAAGGGGTGAGCCCGAGGAAGTACCAGGTCAGGAGAAGAGAAAGCGGGAGCAGGGTCAGTGTTTGAGACCAGCCCATTTTGCAGGTATCTCGTGCACTCGTAGAATCGTTTGCATCGCCTATAGTCATCCTTCGGTGACCTGGTGTAGTAGTCGCTGTTGTGTGCATGACCTGACCAGCTCAGTCTTCCTTTTTCTTTTCACCCATCTCAATGCCTAGCTCCTCCAAGTATTCCTGAACCGCTTGCACAATAATGCCGTGGTCTTGCTCTTGCTTCAATCCAGATACCACAACCACAGCGACAACACCCTCCACGCCCTGCACCCTGATTGGGAACCCTCCGCCGTGGATCGCATACTCTCCAGCTCTGTGACCAAGAGCAAACTTCGCTGCGAAAGCCTCCTCGTCTCCCTTGAACTTGTTGTGCATGTACCATGTCGAACTGCCAAATCGCAAGACTGTATTCCTTTTGCGCGCTACCCAGAAGTCATTGTCAGGAGCGGTTCCAGAGTGCGTAGTAGCATGGAACAAGCAGTGGTTGTTGTTCGCCAGGCTGATGTCGATAACGACCGGTTTCGAAAAGGCGAGCAGCTTGGTTCGTAGAAGTGACCCTAGTGCCCATGCGGTGTGCGATGTAAAGGTCGGGAAGGAGAGCGAATTGTCGATGATCTGGATCTCTTCGAGCTCGCGAGGCGGCAATGGGATGATCGGTTCTGTGGCCATGATGGGCTGTATCATTTGTGTTGTTATCGGCAGTCTCGTTGAGGGCAGTGGATATCTGGCAAAAGAACGCTGTCTCCACTCTGCCGTCCAGCCAAGCACTGCAGATCCGGTTTCGAGAGAAGCACAGGACTTACAAGTGAGACCTTGGTTTTGAACGGCTATGAGGCTCTCGATATATGGCTTAATGGAGCAACAATGAAATGACTTGCCCTACGTGCCTCAAGACGAGAAGGGAGACCGCAACGTCTGCTTTCGGACAAGGGTTGTCTAGCGCCGTCCCGCCCCCGCTTACCCGCGCCAAGCATTCAGACATCACCTCCTTCTCCTTGCTACATCCAGTAGCATCCTTCTTCGCAATCATCATCACCTCAAGTTTAGCAGGTTCAGCCACAGGTGTCAAGGTAGATCCAAGAAGCTCATGAGTGCTATATTACAAAGGAAGAAAGCCACGATGTGGCGGATGAGGGTTTGATGACAAGCGTTACAGGTCATAGGGATGAGAGGAAAGAGAAGGATATTTCATTTTCCTGAACTTGGGGCGTTCTCGTCTTCTATCGATCGGTAACCCACAATTGAAAACGTCTCAAAGGTTGACAGCCATGCATTCAACATAACAAGCATCAATAAGTGAGTACTCGAAGGGCAAAGAATTTAAGCGGTGCAGCGGGCGGCGGTCCGCTCCTACATTTATATCCCAAGCTGCTTAAAATCACATTCATACTGCTGAAACAGTTCTATACGAAAGCATCAAATCAACATGGCCGCTGAGAAACATCTACATCTTGCTGGAATCGGAGTGGGCCACTCAATTGCGCCGCCGATGCACAATTCCATAGCCAAATCATTGGACCTTCCCTGGATGTTTTACAGCACAGAATGCCCAACTCTCGAAAGTGTCATATCACTCGCACGAGACGAGCAGACCGTTGGACTTGTTGTAACTATGCCGTACAAAACTTCCATATTGCCGCATGTCGACGCTATCGACGAAATAGCAAAGACGATTGGAGCATGCAATCTGGTCTATCGCGATCCTGGCAAGCCTCAGCAACTGCACGCCTCAAACACAGATTGGCTTGGAGTGAAAGGATGCCTACTGGAAAAGAGCCCTAAAGGAAGACCGGTCCTTAGTAAACCCGCACTGATTGTTGGCGCTGGCGGAGCAAGTCGAGCGGCACTCTACGCTCTCACAGTATTCTTCCAAAGCTCGACAATCTATGTGCTCAACCGAGATGATGCAGAAGTCGAAGCGCTGGTGAATGATGCAAAACGTCTACCACGAGAGATCGACATCATCCACGTTCGGCCTGGACAGAGCCAGACATTGCCGACGCCATACTACATCGTGGGCACTGTACCCGACCTTGAGCCGCGCTCGTCAGAGGAGAGATCACTCAAGGCGTCGCTTGAAGAGTTCCTCTCACGGCCGGAGAAAGGCGTGCTTCTGGATATGTGCTTTAAGCCGCGTCGCACAAGGACAATCAAGCTCGCTGAAAGACTTGGTTGGTCTACAGTCGAGGGCACTCACGTCATTGGTTATCAAATAGAGGAACAGTGGCGGCACTGGGCAGGTGACGAAAGATCTCAGCACCTTGACAAGCAACAGGCCCGGCAAACTCTCCTGCGCAGCGCAGAGTCGAGTCCCGCGATCAATGGCTAGGCTCAAAAGTACTTGCTGTACAATGTTGTCTTAACAATTCCTTCAAAAAGCACCGTCAATGAGCGCCTGTAAATCTGGAGAAGCCGTTCGAACAGATCCAAGACCTCTGACAAAGTCTGGAAGATTGTCGATCCTATACAAGCCACGTGAGTGAACCTCTTGAATTTTGGATCTGTAATCATCACCTACCAGTTTGTGGAGTCCAACGTCGCCATAGTATCGAACAGCATGTCATCGTCGTCAACATTCCAAATACCATGTTCGATGCTCGGCGGTTGTAAAGACGCCGTCTCGGCGACGACATTGTTCGGTTGTGGTTGGCCACTGTTGCTTGACACAACTGAAGCTCCTGCTAACGAGTCTGCGGCAAGACGTTCCCCGGTTCTCGATCGACCTCCTATCTCCATTTTCACACTCCGCAGGCGCTTTATACTACTTAGGATATGGACTATCTGATCTTGTGTGCCTGACGCCTGATCCGAGCCTTGTTGAATTAACGAGTCTTCTATCAGTGACAGATATAAGTCGATGGTCGATGGGACGAGGCTACTTGTTAAAGCCTTATCTGAGGATACTTGGTGCTCGAGCGTCTCCACGAGCACGCTCAATTCGTTCAGAGTCGTTGGTGAGAGCTGTGTAGTAATCTGGGTCTCAACCATTATCTGCATAGTCGTGACTGCAGTGCTGAGGTTCAGAAGCTGTGGCGATGAATGAGGTGACAATGACATTGCATAAGTTTGTTGTAGCTGGCCTTTCCAGTTCCCGAAGCGTACCGCAGAATCTTGCGTCTTCGCATTACCTGTGTCCAGCTGTAGTTCGTGCATCATGGCGGCAAGTCGCATGAAATGATTGAAGAGGCTGACGACACGGCCAAGAGCAGTTTGTATTCCATCAGTACCAGGCCCTGTGGAACTCTGCCAGGGCTCCCATTCTTCGACCGTATTCGTTGACAACAAACCAAGAGTCTGCACATCCGCATAACTCAGATATGTTCGCCGCTTCAATCGCGTTGCGACTAACGCCTCCATAGCAAAACACCCGAGCAATGTGCGTTTGTGGCCTTCCTCCGCAGAAGACATAGTCATGGCGTCGTTGATGTCTAGAAGGCTCACCATCATGTAGACAGCTCGTCCAACCGTTCGCCAGGCCTGGTCCCACTTGTTATTATCGATTTGAGCAAGAGTGAGTAATAGTAATGCTCGAACGTGTCCCGGTTCGTTTGAGTCTCCAGGGAAGTCCAGCAGGTCAATTGCAAAGGTAGAAAGGCGCAGTAGTTCTTCGTTGCGAGTTCCACCGACATCTTTCTGCTCTCTTTGGATGACATACGCAAACGCGGCGGCAAGGAAGGCATTATCTCCGCGGGATGAGGTTGTGTGCCCAGTTGCAGGGGCTTCGATTGCACGCAAGGAGTACGATATCTTCAGAAGTTCGTGCTTCTCCGCAATAGGCAACCAGCTGTGAGTGGTGTGGAAGTACTTGTCGAGCAGTTCTTGCCAGTCAGAAGGAAGAGGGAAATGATCGTTCGAATGCTGCGATCCAGTACCCGTCGAGCCTCCAAGCGCCTGAAACCCCACAGACGGGTCGTTCTCTTCTGCCCGCGGAAGAACATGATCGTCTAGTATCATTGGGTCTTGGAGTATTTCTGAGGCCTCAATTGCAAGATCTGGTACGTTCGCGGAGGCATTCAATTCTTGGAGAACGAAAAACGAATTGCCAAGCCTTATTGGTCGTTCTTGTTCCGTCTGGGACGAAGCCATCACCTTTGCAAGGGTATCGGATAGCCTATCATTGAGTCGATCTGAAGACTCGTCTTCATCTGCCCCAGTGCTGGCAAAGAGACCAAGTCTTTCGAGTTCTACCAGTACGTGGCTTCGTCGCCAAAGACTTAACGGAGTCTCGGCAGCATCCTTTGTGAATTCGGTGGCAAGTCGCAAGTGGAATGACGGGATCGTTGTCTTGTTCGCCAGAATTGAAGCAATCCAAGTCTCGGAGCCTTCGATAGTGTTGAAGATCAACCCGAGCAAGATCTCCAATGTTCGAACATATCCACCTCGAAGGCCCCTTTTCTTGTTGGATTGATTGTAACGGCATGGGCGATCACAGCTAACACATCGAGAGCAGGACGGTCGTGCTCCATCGCAGCGATCCTTGCGCTTGCGACATTCATTGCATGCTTGCGTAACACGCATTCTTGTGTTCGAGTCAGCGCCATTGTCGTGACTGGGCTTGCGGCGTTTCGATGGACGATTGGCATGATTAATCCTCGGCCGGCTGTCGTCGCTGACTTGGTTCATCGCAGAATAAACACGGTAAACCTTATGTGATCTCCTGACGACATTCGTGTGACCAGCGAGAAGGCACGGAGACAATGGCACAATGTCTTCCACCACCTTCACCTCCACACCCCAGATTCCCCACACTTCAGGGGGCGGGAAAATGCTTTGCCGCCGGCACACTACACAGGCAACATCTCCAGGGAAAGAGCTTCAGCTACAGACACTGCAATCGCACTTTCTCCAACCGAATCAATGGTGTTTCCATCCTTACCGGCTCCGATCATTTGCATCTTATCGATACAATAACATGTAAACAGGGATAAATTTTCCGAATCCAGGCTTCGACTTTTTCATTCTCTATTTCGGATCGCATTCAGTTCGCATCTCAGCCAAAGGAAAATTGGCCTCCAGACCTCAAAATGACGGGTACGCAATCAAATCGACGATATGGAGCTGAAGCGTCCATATTGCTTATCGGCATGCGTGGAACTGGTCTCTCGACTCTTGCTTTCATGGCAGCCAGAGCACTCAAATTCCGGGTTGTCGATTCTGAGCAAGTGTTCCATCAAGTAACGGGTCTGTCACGGCACTCGTATAGCTCGAAATACGGGGCTACCGAATACAGAAGACGAGAGTTGGAACTGCTGCAGTCGATGTTGTCGCAAAACTCGCAAAGTTGTATTATTGTCTGCAGTCTTGGAGCCATTCAGGGGACTGGACAGGAATATATCGCCCAGTACAGCAAAGGCCATCCTGTGATTCATGTTATGCGGGATGCCAAAAGTGTTCAAAAATACCTGAAAAGTCGAGACATTGAGACTGTGACCGAGCTCATCCGACGTACTGATCCAATCTATCGTCGGCTGTCATCGTTCGAGTTCTACAATGTGAATGATGCTTCATCAGATCACTGCGAACTCAACGGAAAGACCAACGAACAAGTTCCGGGAACCCTTACCCTGAAGCAGCTCGAGGCAGACTTTGTCCAACTTGTCGAGAGGATATCATTTCATCAGACGTACCCCCACGACGCCAGAGAACATTCGTTCCCCGTTTCGCCAGAAGTGCGCCAATATACATACGCGCTTCCGGTTCTGCTATCAGATTGGAGCGAAGGCTTTTCCCGAGTCGGAAACGCTGACATTCTAGCAGACGCTTTACAGCTCATAGTTGCGGACTATCGGACTGTCCGTCATGAGCAAGGGCTAGACGATCTGACAGCTACGAGGATCAGTCAACAATACTTCCAGGCAAAGAGACAAAGCCATCTTCCTGTCATGTTTCACGCTGCACGATACACATCAACCGACTTTCATGTTCGCAGCATGATCGGTCCTCCTGTGCCTGATCATGCATACATGCGACTACTCAACCATGGACTTAGACTTTGCCCGGAGTATCTCTGTATCGATCTTTCGATAGATGAAGCAGAGATTTTGCGCCTTGTTGCATCAAAAGGCTCCACAAAGATTATCGGGGACATTCACATCGAGGAGCCTGGAGTCGATGGCTGGAACCAACCTGGCCGCAAGGAACTAGTTGAGAAAGCCCAGCGTCTTGGGTGTGATTTGATTCGGATGTCGCAAGACGCACAGAACATGGACGACAACTTTGCTGTCCGGAGCTTTGCGTACAAGATCAAGACTGATGTCGGCATTCACGTTCCACTCATCGCCTACAACACGGGACGCCTAGGTCGCACTTCCCAATTCCTGAATCCTATATTCAGTCCGGTAATGAATCCTGTGTTTTCTCCAAGTAGTCATCCAGGACCTACACGAGAGCAGCTTCTCACGGTGCGCGAGTCTCAAGCTGCACTGTACTCGTCTCTGGTCCTGGAAGGCTTGAAGTACGGCATATACGGTAGCAATGTCACCCATAGCTTTTCACCACAGATGCATAACGCTGCCTTTGACTTTTGTGGAATGCCACATGAATATAGCATCTTCCAACATGCCACACTAGGACCCTTACGAGAAATTCTTCAACGAGAAGATCTAGGGGGCGTGAGCATTTCGGCACCATTCAAACAGGACGTTCGGCAATATGTCGACTCAATGAGCTTTGAAGCTCAGGCGATCGGTGCCATAAACACAATCTTGCCTCTGCGATCAAAGTCAACGAATCCTACAACTTTGCGAAATCGAACAGGAAAGGTCACAGGTCTGCATGGCGACAACACAGACTGGACAGGAATCTATGAATGCGTGCAACGAAACCTTTCCCCAATCAATGCTATCAAGCCTGGCACAACTGCGCTTGTCCTTGGTGCTGGAGGTATGGCACGCGCAGCGATATTTGCATTGATTCGGCTTGGGGTCCGTACAATTTTCATCCACAATAGGACGGAGTCCAATGCAGTGAGGCTGGTCAAGCATTTTCAGGGCAAGTCATTCTCAAAAGATCAGGATCCAAATTGCTACCACTCAGTGTCCAAACACGATGAAGCCGCTGTGATACGAGTACTCCATTCAAGAGACGAGCCTTGGCCGACAAATGTTGCAGCTCCGACAATCATAGTGTCTTGTATCACAGTGCAGGAAGCTGAGGACAAGCCACCCGTAAATTTTACGCTTCAAGATAGCTGGCTTGAAAGCACCACAGCAGGTGTTGCAATTGAGGTATGCACCAAGTGCCTTGTCATTACAACGACTAACCAAAGGCCCAGCTTGCATATACCCCTATCGAGACGCCATTCTTACAACAAATTCGCAGCCTCGCTGACCAAGGCTGGATTGCCTGTGATGGCTTGCAAGTACTACCGGAACAAGGCGTTAAGCAGTTTGAGCTTTTCACTGGGAGGAAAGCACCACAGAAGCTTATGAGGCACATCGTGTATCGCGTTCTACATGAAGCAGAAGCGAAAACTTCAGACAGACCGCCGGCTTGATGTTGCTGGCGTCAATATTCATGCACATGATGGGCTAGTGGCTCTGGAGAGGAGATATCGAAAGGGAATGACGATCTCGAGTCAATGACATGTTGAGCAACTAGCCATGTTACGCCAAGGCGATGGACGACGTACAATTGCTTGAACAACGCCAGCACGGATCCGACCATGGTGCTATTATCGTTGACTGAGACTTGATCTTCATGTTCAGGGAAAGAGGGATGCGTCGGGACGTAGGCGGGACAAGATGCCCCTGATACTGGCGAGCGGAGATGTAAGAGTTAGTTATGATTGTAAAAGACAGATGTGCCTACATCACTTAGACTAGTGATATATACGCCATATAATACTTTTGTTGATGCAATGTCGGGCAAGTATACTGCGTTGCTCCGATCAATGGCGATGGCAAACAACTGGGGCAAAACTCATTGCCGCTGGCGGATCTCACGGCGGCACGACGAGCCGGACGCTGCATCTTGTCATGCCAGGAGACAATTTGCAAACTTTGTAAGTATGCTCGTTTCTGAGGGATCGCAAGTGAAAGGTGAAAGAAGACATCCTCAAGGCACCAAAATGACCACCAACAACGAACCGTGCGAACCAGATCTACCAAGACTTCAGTTCTACATCTTTGGACATAATATCGCCCACTCGCTTTCACCTACGATTCACAACGCCGCCTTCAAAGAACTCGAGCTGCCCTACTATTACAGTATCTTCGAGACCGATCATGTGGAAAACAGTGTGGAGGCGTTGATCCGCCGATCTGACTTTGGCGGCGCTTCAGTAACATTTCTTCACAAGCTGCAAGTTGCAAAGCTCCTGGACTCGCTCAGCCCGTCAGCAGAGCTCATAGGGGCGGTCAACACCATCGTGGTCGAGGACTCTGCAGACGGGCGTCGACTTGTTGGAGAGAATACTGACTGGCTGGGGATCCGACAGTGCATCAAGAGCAACGCCATGGTCGAGCCATCATCTAGCAGTGCAGTAGTTCTTGGAGCTGGTGGTGCTGCACGTGCTGCCTGCTTTGCCGTTCAGGCATTGGGTGTACATCGGGTGCTCCTTGTCAATCGAACGCTAGAGAGAGCAAGGAGACTGGCATCTCAGATGACCAAAGAAGGCACACCAATTGATGTATTCTCGACGCTTGAAGAGGCCTGCATTGCTACCGAAAAGCCGATATCGATTGTAGTCGCATGCATTCCAGCCGACGACTTCGGCGAAGACAGAATCCCGGAGGATCTATTTCGGCAATCCGAGCGAGGAGTCTTGGTAGAGATGGCCTACCGCCCACGTATGACTGGCATGATCACAGTTGCTGGCCGGCATCCTGGTTGGAAGGTTGTGAGAGGCATTGATGTCCTCGCAGAGCAAGCATACGCCCAATTCGAACTGTGGACTGGGAAGCAGGCTCCTATCGATGTTATGTTGAGAGCAATGAAAGAGAAGGTCGCCACGAAAATTTAGACATGATATAGCTGGTGGCGAAAGATATCAAGCTTGCTGGCGTTATAGGACACTTGAATAGAACTTTGGCAATCCAGTCACTTTCTTGAACTTTTTTTCGGATTCGTGCCATTATTCAACAGTTGTTGATGGTTCGTTCTTTCGAGAGTACGTGGCTAATACCAGCTTGTCCAATATTCAGGCGAGAAGATCTCGCTTGTATCACGATGGATTCGTTGATATGTGTGACAGCAGGAAGCATACAAGACATTCAGGAGAACCTGAAGTTGAACCTGGAGCCGGACCGGCTACCGAGCGCTTTTTCAGGAATGAGCTAAGCCTCATTGGGATGGACAACCGCTGCCTCAGCCGAGGAGGCGGCAAAGACCTTTGCCGCCAGCCCCTCTTGCCCATGCTCACGAACTTCCACTCCTCCTGCATCGACTCGACCACGACATGGTGATGATAAATCAACGCTGGCTTCACGGAAGGCAGGCGGAAGACTATGGTCGATCGGAGATATATTTCTCCGCTTTCAAGGTAGGTGAATGAACAGAAAACAACTTCGCGTTCATGCCATTCGAAGCGCAAGAACACCTACCATCACCGTTTCATCGCCACCAAGATGAAGAAATTCCGTCCAGCGATCATGTCGGCCTCGCTTGGCCGCGCTGCGGTGCATCAATTCGATCAAAAAGTTCAGGAGGCAGCCCGCGCTGGCTTTGAAGGCATTGAGATCTTCTACGAGGACCTCGAACAGCTAGCCAAAACCTTGTACGATACCGATGTTCCGGACACTCAACACCTCCTATACGCTGCACGACGCATGAGAGTCACACTGGACAACGTTGGTCTGCAGGTAATAGGACTGCAGCCATTCCTATTCTATGAAGGCCTGAAAGATCGAAACAAGCACCAGGAGTTGATCAAAAAGCTGCATGTCTGGATCGACTTGACGAAGATTCTCGGCACGAACACCATTCAAATACCTGGCAACTTTCTACCTGCCGAGGAAATCACAGATGATCCCAAAGTGATCGTGGACGACATGCGTGAAGTGGCCGATATAGGGCTGCTTCAAGATCCGCCTATCCGATTCGCGTACGAAAGCCTGTGTTGGAGCACATACATCGACACTTGGGAGAAATCTTGGGAGATCGTTCGTCTGGTTGATCGGCCAAACTTTGGCGTATGCCTCGATACGTTCAATATTGCAGGGCGAGTGTGGGCCGACCCTTCATCTCCCGACGGCAAGACGCCCAATGCCGATGAGGATCTTGCAGCGTCTTTACGACGCATGCTGACGGATCTGGACCTTGAAAAGGTGTTCTACATCCAGGTTGTCGATGCTGAGCGCATGGATCCACCGCTCTTGCCTGGCCATCCTTTCCACACTGAAGGCAATCCAGCGCGAATGAGCTGGTCACGCAATGCGAGAACTTTCATGTACGAAGAAAGCCGCGGTGCGTATCTTCCAGTGGAGGCTGTCGCACGTACATTAATACATGAACTTGGATACAAGGGCTATGTCTCGATGGAGCTGTTTTCCAAGACGATGTCAGATCCATCAACAGATGTTCCCAAAACACATGCGCAAAGAGGCATCCAGGCATGGCAGAAGTTGGTTGAACGATTGAGTCTTGATTAACAAGAAATATAAACAATACCTCGCAAAGAAACGGCCACGAAGACGGTTACGGACTATTCATATTCATGGAAGACAGTCTAGTCGATCTTGTCTCGTGATACTGCTGATCATGTGGATAGGCAGCGATTGAAAATTCCTTGCCGAATATGAAGCCCGAGGGCAGCAGCTGCCATCACTTTGTCTCTGCCTTCCACATCCTGCTACAGAGCTCCTTCCGTCCCCATACTGGCAAAGGAACGCAGGGACATGGCGATCGCGACTGTGTCAACACCTCACACGCTGAGGTCGCCCTCATCTGCCGGACACTGAATTGTTGTTATACAGATCCCGCGATATTCAGTATCACTCTTGGGGAACTCTACTTAGCCTTATCACGATTTTGTCGAGCATCTCCATCACCATGGCTATGCGACTATTCAAACGACGGACCAATAAACCACCAACTGCTGGCCCCGAAGATCGCGACGTTGCTGAGAAGAAGAGGAGGTTCAACTTCTCTGGATCGAAGATCTTACGAGACGTCTGGGAGTGGTTCAAAGAGACCTGGCCTGACCACTTTCTCCTGATTGAAGCGGCGCTCACTACGTTCGCGGTACGTTCGGCTCCGTAACCGATCTTACTTACACGTTCTCATGAAACGCACAGATATATCGGGCACCCCCGGTGGCTCGACGAACCTTCCAGATCAACTACTTCAATGGCGTACCTGTGAGTTGATCGAAAGGTCAAGTATTGTGCTTGTACTGAGCAACGACCGAAGATCCCGCCTGCTGGCTTCGATCACCAGTACCGACCCTACATCTTGAACTCATTCGTCTCCGGCGCAATTGCGTTGGCCGCACCCATACTTGTATTCATCCTTATGCAAATCCGAGTCAGATCACTCCGCGATTTGGGAAATGCCATCTTCGGTGTCCAGTTTAGCTTGGCCACGAGTGCGCTGATGCACGTCGTCATCGCCTCAGTCGTCGGTGGACTACGACCCAACTTTTACGATGTCTGCAAGCCCAAGGGGAAAGAAGAACATGGCGAAGGGTGGGAGATGGAAGTCCTAGATCGGGACGCATGCACTGGAGAGGATCGGATGGTCGACTACGCCTTCTCATCATTCCCGTCTGGACACTCTACCGCAGCTTTCGCCGGCTTCGTCTTCCTCTTCCTGTACTTGAACGCGAAATTCAAGACCTTCAGCAACTATCGGCCGCCGTACTGGGCATTGGTCGCCACCTGGGCGCCCATACTTGCGGCTATCGTCATAGCTGGGCAATGCATCGTCGACCACTCCCATCATTGGTATGACGTTCTTGCGGGAGCATTCCTCGGGACTCTGATGGCTTTCTCGGCCTACAGGATGGTGTATGCGAGCATCTGGGACTTTCGGTTCAACCACATTCCTTTGGCTCGCTTCGCACCGTTCCAGTACGATACAGAGTCCGACTCTGTCAAATACGACAACCTCGGCAAGGCAATGTGGACCAAAGATGCTGGCTGGGGCTCGAAGACTGAACGACCGTGGGATGGAGCACCATATGACCGGGCTGGTGCCGACTCTCGTCGTGGTCATTCAGGTCATGAACATGAAGCTCCTTCACAGGTACCAGTGCCAGATGCTGGGCACATGGCATAGTGTTGAGATCGACGCAAGCGGGGTGTGAGAAAGATTGGAGAACGAGCAGGAACCCACCTCTTTAATATGTACCTATAATCATTCCCGAAGCGACGAGACTCCGACAAAGTGTAACACGGGTTTGATGGCAGTATCTAGCTTCACATGAACCGTGACCTACAGTCGTAGTTCGGAGAACTCTCGACTGATTGGCGGAGAAATCGCCAGCATCAACCCCTGTCCCAAATGGAGCATATCCCCGTCCAAATCCAACACGTTCCTGTTTCAGTTTCATCGACACAGGGCCCTCCTCTTCGCTTCGAACAAATGCAACAGAAATGTCTCGTCAAGCTCTCCTACCAAGCTTCGTTTAGATTGCGAAGTAACGAAAGCATCCACAGTCTCAATATATTGCATGCATCGGACGACAGCCCAGTATGGGAAACGGTCTGTCGTCATCACGGTGAGAGACACGAGGTGGAGGGCTATAAAGAGGACTGTAAGAGAGGATATGCCTGTTGCATATGTCCTGCCAATCCCTTCCTTAAACTCTACTACTTTCGTTCTGAGATTCAAGTCTGGAACTTGGACAACGTCACTTCATACTCTCCTTTATCGCAGCGAGACTATTCTAAACGACCATGAAGAAGGCCACAACGGCCTTCGTCTCAGCGGCATTGGCTGGCCTTGTCGCAGCGGCTCCAAGCAACACGATCAGACAAGCGAGCAACTGCGAACAGTACGGCAGCGTCCAAACAGGCCCATACACAGTATACAACAACCTCTGGAACGAATCCGCGGCGACGTCAGGCAGTCAATGCTTCAGCGTCACCGGATTGGTGAATAACGTCTTATCCTGGGCCACAACGTAAGTCCTCCACCAACACCCTCCGATCTCCACAAGAAATTCACAAACGATAGATGGACCTGGGTCGGCGGCGCAGGCCAAGTCAAATCCTACGCCAACGCCGTCGTCTCCCTAACAGCGACGCAAATCGGCTCCATCTCGTCCCTCTCCTCGAGCTGGACTTGGGACTACCAAGGCTCGAACCTCATCGCCGATGTCGCCTACGATCTCTTCACTTCGTCTTCCCCAACAGGAGATGAGGAGTTCGAGCTCATGGTCTGGCTGGCTGCTATCGGGGGCGCAGGGCCGATTTCGTCCACGTACGATGCCCAGGGGAATCCTACGCCAATTGGGACGGCGACGATTGCTGGCACGACTTGGTCTGTATATAAGGGTCCTAATGGCCAGATGACTGTCTACTCGTTTGTGGCGCCTAGTCAGGTCACTAATTTCAGTGGGGATCTGAAGGACTTCTACGCGTGGTTGGTCTCGAATGATGGGTTCTCGGAGAGTCAGTATTTGATCAGTGCTGGGGCTGGGACGGAGGCATTTGAGGGCACAGATGCTGTGTTCACGACTAGTGCGTATAGCTTGGTGATTTCGTAGAGCAATGGGGATGATATTCCAATCTGAGCGGATATAAGGGAGGTACATCACGGCCTCGAAGACATCTTCCTACCACCCACCATGCTTCCACCCCCAACCCCAACCATGACCCCAACCCCATCCATGCCCAATCTGTCCCCCACAACCGCCCGTCACCAGCAAAACCGCTGTATCATGACTCTCCACCTCCCGACTCACACCACCACTCACACAGCCCAAATCCCTCTCCGTCCAGACGTCCCTAACTCTATACCTCCCATTCCCCTTCAAACTCGGAACCTCCGCCCAGTTCGCCCGCATCGTCCTCGTGGAGCCCAACGTGTTCATCATCGCGACGATGGTGCCTTTGCTACTCTCGCCGGACCAGTACTCCGCTGGGTTGGTGGCGTTGAAGGTCCAGAGGGGGTTGACGCCGCCTTTGTAGGGCTGGGCGGGGCTGGAAACGACGGGATCTTGGTTGAAGGCGATGAGGTGCTTGTTCTGGAGGATGTCGATGTTGGTTTGGCTTAGGTTTGTAAGGTCTGTGCCCATGATGAGAGGGGCCTTTTCGATCGCCCATATGGCGAAGTGGGTGCGTGATTCGGCCTCGGTGAGGTTGCCGTTGCCGACTTCGAGCATGTCGGGGTCGTTGTGGGCGTAGAAGTCGGCGTAGTTGTTGTAGAAGGAGTTTTCGTTGATGATCTGGATGATGCGAGACCAGTCGGCTGTTGTACACGTTAGAGGGACTCATAAGACATAGGGGAGTGCTCCACTTACGGCTGATATCACCTGTTGATCTCCAAGCCTGAGCAACCTGCGCCCCCCAAGTCCACACCTCCGCCGTGCCCCATTCACAAAGATTGTACAAGATAGTCCGGTTCTGCTTAGCAAGAGCATCACCCATCTTCTTATATCGCTCAAAAGTCAAAGACTTGCTATAGTCGTACCCCTGAGGGCACTGTCCGGTGGTATCCTTGCACGTCCCGTTGACATACAAGCTCGAATCGCTATTATCCGGCGTGCAAGCGCTACACTCGTCCGTCCAGTTGCTGGGAATGTTGCAGTTATCATACTTCAAAAAGTCGATACCCCATTCTGCAAAGGTCGCGGCGTCGATTTCCTCGTGGTCGATGGAGGCTTCGTAGCCGGCGCAGGTCAATGTGCCGGCTGAGCTGTAGATGCCAATCTTCAAGCCCATGTCGTGCACGGTGTTGGCGAGACCGCTGATGCCGTCGGAGAACTTGGACGTGTCGGGGATGAGTTTGCCAGTCACGTTGTCGCGGCGGTCTTTGATCTGCCAGCAGTCGTCGATGTTGACGTACTGGTACCCGAGATCGTAGAAACCCATCGAGACCATCGCCTTCGCGGCTGTCAGGAACTTGCTTTCGTCAATGTCGCAGTGATAGGCATTCCTGGTATCGTGTCAGCCAATACTGTCTTTAAGCTCGTGGCTGTGCTCAAATTGTAACGCAGATATCCTCAGTTTTCTGGAAGCGACCCTTCTCTCATCCGTATATGAGTTGGTTTAGACAGCTCGAGAGTTCTGAGAATGAACAGTCCTTTTGGGACAGAATGATGAAGGGATGCCGCTGTCGGTCTCGACTCACCATGAGTTCCATCCCATAGCAGGCAGACGACCAATGCCTCCTGGTGCCTCAAGGCCCAGGGCTGTTGGAGCCAAAGCAAGTAGAAGATACGCTGCCATCCTTACGAGATGAAAGAGGAGATCGCAGACGAGGACTTACTCTGCAGTAGGAAAGTGCTTGTTAAGTACTTCTCAGACGGCACCGCCCTACGTTCATCAACGTCGTCAAGATCGTCCATCCGCATGCACAGAACACAACTCTCTGGCTCCACGCATCCTACCAATCTCGAAGTATTCCCGGGGCAACGTAGCATCACTGAGGCACGCTCTCGCACTCTCCAGCCTTCGTCTCCGCTCTCTCCACAGAGGAACAGGGTGAATCAGTGCAAGATCGACGTGTAATGTGATCAAGAAACAAGCTTTGTCGAAGAACACGAGAGGTGGTGTCCTGCAGATGCAGGGTCAGGAGGACGAATGCGAGTTGCTGGAGGGGTTCGGGATTCTCGGGCTAAATGGACATCGTGGCCGTATTGGAGGTGTTAAAGTTTATCTGGGGGCGGGAGGTGGAGGACGAGACAAAGACATTAGGTATCGAATAGCCGCATGTTGTCCCGATGAACGACTTGACGTATGCGAAAGCAGTAACCTCGTCCTCGAACTGCAGATGGATTGTGCCTATTGACGTATGCATCAATTGTTACGAGTTGGCCCACCAGTGAGATCCTGGCTATGCCTTGGAGCCGATACATAGCCCTATAGCTGCAAGTCCAGTGATGAGACTTACAAGCACACGGATGGCTGCCTGTGCTAAAAAGAGGTGAGGGAGAAAGTATGAAGTGTTTCTGTGTGACATATCTCCCAGTTTGGCAACGACACACAACGGCCCCGAGAGTCTTTTCGCGGGTATGCTGCGGTCTAGAAGTGACATTCTCCTTTCACCAGCGTGGCTCAAAGACAGAAAACCCGCAAGTCTGCAGGCCAGACATCCATTTTGGTGCTTCTGGGTCCGGCTGATAGTGTTATGTCGATGCCAGTTCGATGGAGGATGCCGTGTCTTTAGGATTCGACCGCATTAAGCGGTTCTCAAAGTGATTCAGTTCGTGTCCTCTTTGCCTTGACGCTCAGTCATCTCCACTGCTCTCAGCTGCCGCATCATCTCTCTGCCTCTCCTCCAGAATCTTCTGCCAATCTCTGGCGAACTCTCTCAAGCCCTCGCCACTCTGACTGGCGTCAACTACGTCCTTTGGTAACTTATGGGCGCTGTATCGCTGGGTGCTGAAGTTGTAGGCCTCTGGGTCCGTCTTCAAAACAAGTCGAAGCTCGGGCAGCCATAGCTCTTCATCTGCTTCTTCCTCTTCATCATCAGATGTATCCTCCGGGTCCTCGTCCTCTTCCTCGTTCGAAATGCCCTCCTCCATGCCTCCGGCCCTAGCATTGAGCGACAACCTCACAAACTCTTCTTCTCCAAACTCGTTCGAGGAAGGTTCTGCCGGCTCTGGCATGTCCAGGATTTCCATCCAGCTGAATAGTAGGGGATCGGTCCGCGGTGCCCATGGGTTGAAATCGACGAGCCAGACACGGTTGAATGGTTGCGGTATGTAGACGTCGAACGTGAAGCTCTCGTCAGGGAACGAGTCTCGCAATCGAACTTCGAAGAACTCGTTGATCAGGGACCGCAGCTTGTCCTGCATTTTGAAGAGAAAGTCGAAGTGGTTGAGGTCTCGCTGACAGATGCAGAGCAGCTTGCGTTCTCTGACGAAACATCTGAACTCGACGGATGGATTCCAGCTTGGAACGCTCTTTCGAAGGACAAGATGGTAGGGTATGTCGTCGTTGGTCAGGGTGGAGTCTGGTGAATCTACGCAATCTTCAAGAGCATGCTCCAAGTCGTGCGTGACGAAGTCTGAGCTCTTGAGAAGGAGATAGACGTCGTTTGCAGTGCGACACTCCATCGTGTTGGCATTCATCCACGTTGCGTCCTTGGGTGCTGACCAATTCAATTTGGGCACGACCCGTCCTCCAAGCTCGTCAATCGTACTTCTGATTGCTTGATGTACCTGTCGCCACTCTGCAGCCACATCTTCCTCTTCATCTTCGTCGTCTAGTGCATCAGGATTCTCCGAAGCTGAGTATATGCCACTGTCGTGGTCGGAGGACCATTCAGGCTCGTGCGAATCGTCGTCGTCGGGAAGTATGATGCCGTCGGCTCGGAGGTAGTTGAGGAAAGGCCCTGTGAGAGGTATGAGGCGAGCCTTTGGTGTGATCGTTCGGAACCGTGGGTGCCAGTAATGGTATGAGCAGTGGAGGATGTGGGATTTGGTGACTGGTGGGAACGGTAAACGGGCTTCCGTTCCAGTGCCTTGAGCGGCGTTCTCGAGAATCGCGGGCATGTCTTTGTCAGGGAGCTGTTCTTGGGCCGTGTCGTCGGTGGAAGACATGTTTGAAGCCGGCAGTTATAGAAGAAGACACCAACAACGATGACTCGAACGAAACGTCCAGTCACACTTTCACATGTCATTGTCGAAAGCGGAAGGTGAAGCGAGGTCGATCTTCAAGATGGCGCGTGCAGACTTCTGGGACATCGGCCTTTACAACAACGTCTCTCGAACAACAATCTTCAGTCCATCTGAGCAGACTTTCCGTCATGTCGTCCAACGTTGGCCTCAGCACGCCGCGAGGCTCAGGCACCTCCGGCTACGTCCAGCGCAACTCTGCCAACCTCAAACCCCGCGACAACGCCCAACCCTACCCGAAAGATATCGATTCGATCAAGCACCGCCAAAGACAACCCGACAAGGAGATCTTGGAGCACGATCGCAAGCGCGAGATCGAGGTCAAGGTGTTCGAGCTGCGAGACAAGCTGGAAGATGAAGGGTAAGGTTCAATACGAGCTCTGTCACATGGATGCATACTAAGACGGGCGCAGTGTGGACGAGGACGAGATCGATGACCAATGCGACGCACTACGAAAGAAGCTCGAAGCCGAACAGAGCAAAGCCGGAAGCGGGCCAAACGCGAGGAATCTGAAGTCACACCAGGTACACGAGATTGCAGCCGCCAAGATCGACGAGAGCGAGAGGTTGCGAAAGGCGCTTGGAATTAGCAAGGACTATGAGGAGGGCAGTCATTGGAGAAGGCAGGAAGAGAGGAAGCTGGAGGCAGAGAAAGAGCGCGCCAAGGGCGAAGTTGGAAGAGATCGGGATTGAAGAGCAGCATGAGAGATGAGACTTTGACACACGACCAGACTTGACTATTAGCGCGGCGTTGGGGACGAAAACTTCGATAGGGATACGATATCGACTCTATGAGGCATGCGATTGATGCGCGCGAAGACCATGAGGTCTCTTCGATTGACACTCCCGACAAACTCTCGCCGACGATTCATCATATTTGTGGACTAACTGCCATGAGTGCTCAGAATCACACAGTTCGTCCCCATTACTCGCAAGCCGTCTAACTTGCCTGAAGTGCGATTGGAGGCGTGGTCGCTCGTGGGAAATCGGGAAGACATGTCAATTCTAAGCATGCTCCAAGGGTATTCCGAGCACCCAGTTCGCCGCCTGCACCGCACTGCAATACTTCTATCCCAAAGACGCCCTAATCTCATCGAGGCCTTTGATCTGCCGCCCCAAATCATCGAAATTGCTCTTCTCCAGCCACAGCTCAAGCGCCTTCTTCACAACCGGCCACTCGTCGTCCAAGATACTCAACCAATCCGAATCCCTCGACCGGCCCTTCACGATCATATGGTTCCTGAAGAGCCCCTCAAATTTATATCCCAACCGCTCCGCCGCCCGTCGAGACTTGCTGTTCAGATGGTTGCACTTCCAGCACACACGGCGGTAGGGAAGCGAGTGTCCACCCAGGCCGGGCGACTGTTGTTCGAAGACGTTGCGAAGCATGAGGTAGTGCACTTCCGTCGCGGCAGCCGAACGCTGTAATCCTGAACCGAAAAGCACACCTCCAACCTCGAGCGCACGGAAGTTAGGATGAACATCGAGGTAGGCGATAAGCCCCAGCACCTCACTGTGCTCCCTCGACGAAGGAGCCGTTTCTCCCTTCTTCGGTGGATTCACGTAGCCCGGATCCGCCTTGATGGCGTACAAAATGAAGTTGCGATCTCGCCAGCCCTGCACGGATCGACGCAAATCTTCTTCGGTCTCATGGCTCGTCAGAGGTAGGAAGTCGAAGAGCTGGGGATTCTTGTCCGGTCGGAGGTTCTGCCAGAGACTGGTGTATTCTGCGTCGGACTTGAAGTCCTCTAGAGTGACATAGTGGCCTTTGAGGGGGACGGTGTTGTCTGGCAGAGCTGATGGGGTTGGATCGACTTCGGGGCCAAGGTCTGTGTTGCAAATGTCAGTCTCTCATCTGTTTCTTGTTACGATTCAATCTATCGTACTCTTCGTCTTTGAGTCCATGCTTAAAGTTGGCGAGACTGGCTTGTATAGTCGATTTGATCCTGACGGAACAGAAACTCGTACAGTTCAGAACATGAACAGGTTCATCGACATGTGAAGATTTTGAAGAATGAACGAGCGAGGAAAGAAAAAAATTGGCTGATTGAGCCTCTAGTCTTTCGCGCCTTACGCCTTGTCGGGCTTGTTGCGACAGCTACAACACCCGATTCCGAAGCTTGCATGATCTTGGAAAGCCCCCAGCTGGAAACTGCAACTTGTATTCTTATCGCTGGTCGAATTGATGGTTGCCGTGAAGGAGAAGTGATAGAACAAGTAATAGAAGAAGATGTCAATCTAAACCAAACATCACCTCTTCGCATCCCCGCCCCCCTTCGTCGCCGCATTCTCATACGAAGGCGGCAAATCCGCCGCACCCACAACAACAGGACTCTGCACCCCATCCCTAAAACTCGACGGCCCCGCCATCATCGCCGCATCCGGCACCGTCTCCAAAAGCTCATGCAGCCTCGCCTCGACATGTTTCTTGAACTCCCTCCACGCCTCCAACGAGTCCTTGCCGTCCTTGGGGGGTTCGATCTTGGACTCGATGACGCCGGCTTTGATTGCGACGAGGGTGGCGACGACGCGGTCGTTGGGTTTGCGCGCGTAGAGGAGTTTGAAGGCGTAGTTGTCGAGTTTGGTTTGGCCGTTGGAGGAGACTAGGCTGAGGATGGAGTCTGAGAGGGGTTGTTAAAGGGAGCTTGAAGGGATTTGTTGTTCGATCTTACGAATGAATTGATCTCGGTCTTCTTGGTCGCGGAATGTTTTTGTTGGTTTGGGCGATCTGCGAAGAGACATTGTCAATGTACGTCCGGTGGGTGGAAGTAGAGTAGAGTATCGTTACTCACTTGCCGTCATCCCAAATCGAGTGAACTTGGGGGATGACTCTGCTCAAGTTTTGATACGGCGCTGACGGTACTTGGCCCATGATTATTGACGGTCAATGCTAAAAGATTGGCTCACAGAAAACACAATGCAATGCTCAAACGATTTATGGTGTTTCGTTGCCTGGGGCCTGGTGCAGCTCGGAGGGCGGGCTGAGCTCCACGGACACAGCCACAGCACCTCTAGGCGACTGCATTCAGCTCTCCAGTTCATGTCGTATCCGCAAGCGATGAGTGGTCAATCTCGGCATCGCTAATGAGAGCATGGACTTTCCGAATGCGATAGGCCTAGGAAATCGTGAGTGGTCGATGAGCTTCGCGAGTTCGAGCTGTCTTCGGCTGGATACTCCATGGAGCATTTTCATTTGATCAAAACACCTGCGATTTTGCTATCAGGGCCGGTATGCAGACACGCTGGCCAATGGAAAGAACGTGCCCGGTCCGGTTTTGGAAGTATCTTGGAGCTATCTCGACGAGCAAACGATACTTGGATCTCCGGGTAATCCAGTGTGACGATGCTTGATCCATATTACTGAATGTTGTACCGCTCCCAGACTGGAGACAGATTGGGCTTGTCCTGTTTCAAGATATATTCTCGTTTTCGTAAGTTGTCGAATCAGCGGTCGATTGAGGCACGCCAATGAACGGGAAAGTCTAAGGTATCTGTCCATGTTTCTCGGCTTGGCGCAACATCACTGTTACCTGCAAAGTGTCGAGACGGCATGGTCGCATCTCATTTTTTCGGGGATTCTGTGGCCTTCGATTGACACTGTCCTCTTCAACGTATCATTCCGTAGACTGCATGATATCAAGCCTTACCCAAACGCCTCACGCTGAAGACTCCATCCCATATCGCTGTTGATCATTTTTATCCGCAAAGTCCACGCTGCAAGCTCTTATCGTTTCCTCTGGGCTCCTCTGACCAACATGCCACCTACCACACCAGCAGCCACAGCCAATCCACCCACAATCGCCATGCCCATCAATCCCTCCTTGTTAACCTTATCCTCGATCAACTGGCTCAGACTCTGCGCTTGCAGGTTGTTCGGCTCCAGCTCGATGAGGCTATCGTTGTATCGTCGCGCTTCTGCGTAGTTGCCGAGTTTGTAGTTGCCCAGAGCGAGGTAATAGAGGCACTCTCGTCGGCGGTCGGGGCTCGCGCGGAAGATGTCTGAGAGGAGGCGCACGCCTTCTTGTTGGTCGTCGCGGGACGAGGATTTTATGAGGCCCTAGCACAGATCTTAGAACCTCTTCCGACTGTCATGTTGTATTCTCTTTTTAGCCATACCCATGCGAAGTTGAACTTGGTCTGTAGAGAGACATATTCGCCCTCTTTCTCGTATTGCGATCGTAGGACTTGAAGCTCTGCAGGCTTCAGTGGGCTGTCGGCGTCAGCGGCGTCTGGGAGCGAATTCGTGTCAGTGGATGATGATTTCGTGGAGTGGCATCGCCCATACATGGAAGATGTTCGTTTCCCATCGTCGTTGTGTGGTAGATGTGATCTTGTGATCTTGTGAATGAGGTGTTCGCCGCCTGCGATGTTCACATGTGTCGAGTGCCAGCGCCTTGGCTCGAACGTCATGGCATGCAGGGATCAGCGACGGCAGGCCGCACCTAACAATATCTCAACCGACATGACCTAGGCAGGTGCTCGATTAACCCTTGATCCTTGTTATTAGATAGACCTCACTTTACTTCTCGCTTCACTTAAACCTCTCTTTTACTGAAAACAATACTATTTAAACGCCTATTATCGCTCTAGTATAACTTTATATACCGCTACCTTCGTACTCGCTTTAAACTACTCGTACTACTCGTAATCTAAAGACAACAGCGATAATAGCGAGTATAGCGACTTAAATACGGTATATACTCGCCTAAAGT